CAAGCTTCGCAGGAGCAGAAGTTGTATCCTGTAAGCACACGAGAATCAAAACATCACCTAATCATTTTGAAAACAATAATCGATAGAGATAATCGTTGTACATCCATACCTCTCCTTCCTTCACAAGATTTTCCAGAATAGCAATGACAAAAGACGAATTTGCCTCTTCCTCCAGAATATCAGTCATTATATTCAAAATGTTGTTAAATAAACTTTGTTGTGTTTGCTGCATGCTAGCCTTTCGCTGCTGCGTTTTAATATTTTTCTGGTTAATTAAACTTTGTTGATGGTGCTCTCTGTAAAGACAAGGGGGAAAAAAACCTTGTTAATGCAGTTCAACTACGAAACAATGAAATCAGAGTAGCCATGAAATAAATAAAAATCATTTCATCTCTTACCTAACAAGAGAGAAAAACATGTTGAACATCTCGTGAGCTAAATCTAGGCAGTCCTCGTCCAGCATTAGCAGACAACATTTCAATCGAGAGACAGTCTCCAAGATTTTCGCCCTCTTAGAGAAATAAGGGCTTGCAGTATCAGATAGCTCAGAAAACTCAGCAAGAAAGAGAGTGAAGATATCCTGAAATTGGGATATAACAATGTCAATGCGAGTAGCCATAAAATTGAAGAAAACAAACACATAAACATGATTATTGAGAAGGAGTTAAAAGAATCCTTATACCCTGAGATACTCGTCTTCAAAAGGTCGATTAGGTGCTAAAATCCGGAAAAGCTCGGAGACACAAACAGTGACCAAGAGACTCACGTCGTTATCACGATTTTTAAGAAGACCATGCTTGATAATGGATTTCTTCAGAGGTCTTAACTCAGCTTCTAACAGTTTCAGACCTTTTTCCTTGTTTGTGGCTGAAGGCTGGTCGATTTGTGAGAGAGTATTTGCAACTTCCTACAAAAAAAATCACAGAAATTATGTATAAGCAAACGCTCAAGCCACAGATGAGCGATTAGCTTACCCAACAAACAAAAAAAAGGAACCAAAATCGATTTCAAACGTGCAAAGAGCGAACAAGAGAGATAGAGAAATCGTCACAAATTAGGTTTTGATCCAGCAAACCCAGTCACAAACCCACTCAAATTCAAGTCGATTTTTATAGGAATCAAAGCTATTTCGGAGTGATAAAAAAAGTTGTAAACAGTGAAGAAATCAAACCCAGAGTGATGAAATCGAGTAAACTAAAACAAAACCCAGCTCAGAAATTTTACCCGTAGTAACTTAACCAGAGAATCCTTGTTGGGGCGAGATAATTGAAGCAAACGAGAACCCAGTTCGGAAACAATCTGCGTCGGAGTTTTCTCCATTACGGTGTACCGCTACTTGAAATCGAATCAATATGGAGACGAAACGAAAGAAAGAAAGAAAAAAACCCTAGAAACGACTCAGTGGAGTGAAGAAGAGAGAGCGAATCTAAAATCCAACGGTGAGAGTCTGCGATGAAAACGGAGAGGGAAGCTTTGGGCGGGACTGACCCTATTTTTCCTTTTTTATTTTTAACGAATTATTCTCTGTGTGTTCATTGCCCATCGGAGACTGTCCAGGCTCAGGAGAATTATTAACTAACTTTAGATACACATGCCGACAAAGAAACACACACAATTTATGATTATTAATATGGGCCTCTAAGCCCAACGAAAATTACCCAAAAGCCTAAAATATGTTTAAATTAGAAAGTGCATAAAGAGTTCTAAAATCAGCTGTCTATACACGTCGTCTCACCGGTTTATCAAATTTTTAATTTTTTCTGACGGCACCGGTTTATCAATTTTAAAAGTCAATATTTTCTTTTAAAACCGGGTTATTTATAGAAGTCAATATTTTTCTTAAAGCCGATTTATCTGTTGAGGATGAAATTAAAGACCGAGTATTTTTTCAATATCATATATTAAAGAAAATCTGACAAAGTTTGTCGGGAAAAACAAATATGAGGCTAAAAGTTGTCTAAACTATTTGCTAGCGTCGGTAGAGACCTTTTGCATGTAACCTCATAAACTATCAGATGCAATCTTGCATGAAACATATGGTTCAATTCAAGCATTAGCCAAGTATGGTTTTTACAAAGACTAGATGATGACAAACTGGAAGAAGGCTAAGCAAAAGAGGATTCGTCAGGACAGAATTGAGTCTCTTAAGATGCCTATGGCAGACTTGACAAAGGAGTATCATCAGAGTGCAGCTGAGATTGGGTAAAATGTTCTAGGATAACTCATAGAGAAGAAGCCTTCACTCCAACTTTAGCGCATACCTTCTTTTTTTCCTTCTTTTTGTTTTTGAGTAGAGAACACCATCATACGATATTATTTGTGATAGTGACGATATTATTAGTATTAGTTATTTGATTCTGTAGAGTTTGTATACAATTTAATCCTTTCTCTTTACCATATTATCATCGGATTCTGACTATATACTTATTATTATTTTTCGTACAAAAAAAAACAATTGTAAAAATCATTCAAGAATATTTCATATTTGTTTAAACTTACTAAAAATCCTAAAACTAATAGTTCTTGAGTACATGTATAGACAACAACACCAACACCCGAACATCCGAGTGTCTAACGATGGTAAGAATATGGAAAAAGTAATATAATGATTCGCTCATAGGTTTACTTCATAGTTTTATTATATTCTACTCATTAGCTGGTGTAGTAAGCATAGGGACAACACCACCCATGTGCTTAATACAACCCATACACACTTAATTAGTGGCAACACCACTTGACTCTCTAAACCATGATGATAATTTGATCACTTTTTTGTCTCCATTTCGTTTCTAGATTTATAATTTCTTGCATCAATGTTCAATAATTGAATCCCAAATAAGAAACAACAATAATGGTGGTTAATAGGACAAGAGTTTCTCTAAATAGATGCGTTTTTGACTTTTGCAGGTTTCTTTCCCTATCTTTCAAGATAGTTTCTTCATTTGCTTTGAGAAAGATTGGTTTATGTGTCAGGCCATTCAATGAATAATGTGAGAAAATGACTTGCCCTTAATGAAGAGAGTAACTATAAACGAATTGATAAAACAAACAAGATTTCGAAAGTGATGTTTATCTTTCGATTATGGTCTCTATAATAAATAACCAAATTAATATCCGATCAGCTTTTCTTGTTCAACAATAAATACAATCATACATGGATAAAATTGAAGACATGTAACGAATTATTATGCTTATTGTTAGGATCCTTCATATCTAAAGTTAGATGGGATATAAAGTAATATATAATTTGCCCAAAAAAAAAAAAAAAAAAAAAAAAAGTAATATATAAATGACATACACCAATTTATTAACTGCTAGTTAGTTTTGAGTTAGGTCTCTATAAAAGTTGATAATCTAGGGTATTGATCCGAGTAGAGTAACCTAAGTATGATATGTTGCATGTCCAATATTGAGATTTGGTTCAAAATGAGCGGATGAGAATTATTATCAAACTCCTACTCGATCGCCTTCCATTTAACCCTTTCAAGTAAGTCAAAATTTGTATTCATTGCTTACACTATGCAAAAGGGAAACCAAGAATTGCTGCCTACTTCATTCAATTTCTTGAATCTTTCGATTTTGTTTTTAAGTTATTATATTGATAGATATTTCTTCTCTATCTTATCGTTTACATAAAGTGCGACCATCAGATGGGATAACTTTCTCGTGGTTTGACCAAGTTAGTCATTCAAAAACTCAATATATTGAATGGTCATGGAGCAACAAGTATATATACACATGTTAATTTTATATAACCTTTTTTATGTTAAAATAATTAGAGATATTTCATAACATTACTATAGCTCAAACTATATATTATATATGCATTTTGCTTGTGATTTGCTCATATGAGATTTGTCAAAGAGTGTATAAACTTATACTATATTTCATGACCGATATCTTCGTTCAATAACATTAACGTCGCCGCTTCTTTAAAAGAAAAAATTGGTTGCCAAACCTATTATAGCTTGATCATATAATTTAAGATCCTATTAATATTTAAATGCTGCCTGTTTCGAAATTAATTATCTCCATATCTTACTTCTATGACTGTACAAGACGAAAAAAATTGAGAAGTTTGGTCCATAATTTTTATAACTTCTAAGACTTTAACGTACAAATGCTATAAGTATATCGTCCGTAGTTTTTGCATTTAACCAGAACCAGTTTCTTGTTAATTTATATAAAAATATTAATTAATTACAAATTAAATTAAATTAATTGTGGACTATATAACGTTCAACTTTGCGAATTTGTAAGATACAACAAAAAATTTAAGATATGCCATAATCAATCTGAAAAATAGACAGTAGTGGGATGTCAACGTCGTGAAAATGTATGTTCATCGGACGGCAGTGATCTCCCCCATATCCTCGGAAGTATGTGGGACAATATACCACAAAACAAAAAATACTTGTTGCTGCATTTCTTTAATAAATTGCCGCAATAATTATCAAAATGTTTTAACTAACACAAAATATCAAATATTTTCGATTAAAGCAAATCTTGAACAAAATCTTTAACAAAATAAAAAAATTGCGCATTTTAATTTAGTGATATGTATTCCTGGTCAGACAATTATTTACCTGATAATGATATAACAAAAAATAGTATTAAAGCAGCCATATTATTTATTACCATGCTTTACCATCCATTGAGTTTTGGAAATTGGAAATTGAATATTTGACTTAACCTTAATAAAACATGGAAATACTATTTTGTGATATTTTTTACTCGCTCTCTTTATTTTCTTTTCATAAAACATTTATTTTCGGATGAATTTAATAAGCAAAAATAATAATAATTAAATTGCCAAAAAAAATAGTTATTCTTAAATAAATAAATGGAAAACCTACGGAAAAGCAAAACATAATTTTCATGGCATAAAAAGAGAGAGAAAGAGTGAGAGAGAGAGTCATAGAGAGAGACGTTTGAGATTGATGAACAGAGAATTCGAAACAAATCACATGGAAGAAGAGCTCTCTTCTGCTACCGTTACCTTCTCCACTTTTCTCCTTCATTAGGGTTTTCTCTCTATTTAGCTGCGCAGCTCTCTCTCCTTCTCACCGATTCATTCACTTCTCTTAAAACTCGTTAATTTTTTCTGGGTTTTTGTCTCTTTTGCGATCTGTTTCCGAAAGTTGTTTAATTTTCGAGTGAGAATTAAGATTGAGAGAGAAAGAGAACCATGGAGGAAGGAAGTATGTTCAGATCTCTATTAGCGATTCTTCAGTGGTGGGGTTTCAACGTTACCGTCATCATCATGAACAAATGGATCTTTCAGGTTTCTTCTTAACCCTAGAATTTTAGGTTTTAATACCCTATTGATCTGATCTATTGATTTCTTATGTTTGATGTTTTGGTTTTGAGATTTCTTTTTTTCTCAATTTGGAATTTTGGTTTCAGCTTTATAGATTGGTGATAATGTTTTTTTGTTGTTGCAGAAACTGGATTTCAAGTTTCCACTATCGGTTTCATGTGTTCACTTCATATGTTCATCGATTGGAGCATACATCGTTATCAAAGTTCTTAAGCTTAAACCATTGATTGTTGTTGAACCAGAAGATCGTTGGAGGAGGATTTTTCCAATGTCTTTCGTGTTTTGTATCAACATTGTCTTGGGAAATGTCAGTCTTCGATACATTCCGGTTTCGTTTATGCAGACGATTAAATCTTTCACTCCAGCTACTACAGGTTAGGGTTTTTAAGAGATAGAATTTGTGATTTGTGATTTTTCTATTTGTCTGTTGTTGGATTTTCAAGAGAGTCTTATTGTTTCTTATGTATATGTTTGAGCAGTTGTGTTACAGTGGCTGGTGTGGAGGAAATACTTTGACTGGCGTATTTGGGCGTCTCTCGTGCCCATTGTTGGTGGAATTCTTCTGACATCTGTGACTGAACTTAGTTTTAACATGTTTGGATTCTGTGCTGCTTTGTTTGGATGTTTAGCTACTTCCACAAAGACCATTCTAGCCGAATCTCTTCTTCATGGTTACAAATTTGACAGGTCAGTGCCTCTTCCTGGTGTCTCCTTATCAATTTCTTGCTATTATACTATTCAGTTTTGGAACTTTAATTTCCATGATCGTTGCTGATCCATGAAAACTGCCCTTAGTTTCTAATTACAATGACATTTGCTTGTTATGTCTTTTTGGATTTGATATGCAATCATTTTGCTTCTATTAAACTAGATAATCATGTGATGGCATCTTAGCCCAAATTGAAAAAGCATTCACTTTAATGGGGTTTTGTGACAAAGTTGATTGATATATCTCTCTCTATTTCCGATTAAGAGTCAATCACATCACCTTTTGAGAAGTAGACCTACGAATATCCATCTGCGTAGAAGAAAGATTTCATTTTTTTTTTTTCTGTTTTCTTTATTTAGCATAAACACCGTATACTATATGGCGCCTTTTGCCACCATGATACTCGGGATACCAGCACTATTACTGGAAGGCAGTGGAATTTTGAGTTGGTTTGAAGCACATCCTGCTCCCTGGTCAGCCCTCATCATTATATTCAGTTCTGGTGTTCTAGCCTTCTGTCTCAACTTCTCCATCTTCTACGTCATTCACTCCACAACCGCAGTCACGTTCAACGTAGCTGGAAACCTTAAGGTAACTAAGACAACCCTAATCCCGTAACTAATTTTATCTTTTAATCGCTCTGGATGATCCAAACTAACAGAAGAATAGGTACTTTTAATTCATTTTACTGGCAATAATAAGTTCTTATCAATTTTCCTATCTTACCATGGTAAAAGAAATTGAAAGCCAGTCAGCTAGAGTTTCTTCGCATCTATATCTTGAGCATGCTTCATATTTTATTATAGGTCTTATTCCTAGTGGTTGGGGCATGACTGTAACTATATAAGTTTATTTTTAACAAGTTAAAACCGCTAGAATATCAAAATTTTGAGGCACATTGCTAGGGTCTTTGTCATCACCAGCTTGCGATTTTTTTGTTGCCTTGGACCCTCACTCCCATGGTTGTAATATGATTTGCAGGTTGCCGTAGCTGTATTGGTCTCATGGTTGATATTCCGTAACCCAATATCGTATATGAATGCTGTTGGATGTGGAATTACGCTTGTGGGCTGCACGTTTTATGGATATGTGAGGCATATGCTTTCACAGCAAACACCGGGAACTCCTAGGACACCTCGTACCCCAAGAAGCAAGATGGAATTACTTCCTCTTGTTAATAATGATAAACTCGAAGGCAAAGTCTGATCATATCCAATCCGCAGCTCCGTTTAGCACTCACTGTCACTGGATCAGGGTACTGCGGAAGAGAAGCATTCACACAAGCGGTGTTGAATTTTTTACTAAATATGCGTTTTACTCGAAAACCTTAATAGAGAAAAGTTACTTCTTTTTTTTCGTTTTGATTTAAGCTCGTAGAAGAGATGATGGTTCCTACTATTTATATCTCTGTGAAGTGTAGAATCTTTTAATTTATCAAATACATTTTCTGAAACCTGAAGGAGAGAACTACTGCATTTTGCTTCTTCTTTTTTGAAATTTCTGTGTATATTCACTAATGTCGCGAGAATCATCTCGGCTAAGATAATTCTGAGCAAACAAGTTTAAAATAAAAACTCTTCTTGAAGTGTGGAGCTGTTCTAATTTCTATACAACTGAAACTGCTTTATTATTCATTTCTACTGTATGTGCTGTGTTGGCCCAATAATGCAATATCTTCGGAGGATAGTTCCATTGACAGATAATGTCGAGCTTCTCTTGACCTGAATCGAGAAAAATTGAGATTAGGAGAGAATCAATCATACTCAGAAACTATGGTGAACCAACTGGTACTGACCTTCGCCGTCTGCCTTTCTCCATGGCTCCGGATAAGTTGGAGGGATCTGCTCTTGAAATCTTCCCTATGAATGAAGCATATTCATGGAAAGCTCTTCCTTTCAATGATCTCAGAGGGACTACTGACTCTAATATGCCGGAAAGCCTTACCATTCGCTTACTGCATTCGGGAAAAAAAAAAAAAAAACAACTCCGGGTATGAGAAAGAGAACGAAGGAAAATTTTGGAAGAAATTTACACTGCAACTGATGAACCCATTGGAAATGATATACTAATCACGTTGAAAGAAAATTATTTACCATTTTAACAAGTCTGGGTTTATATTCAAGGAGCTTCCATTGCTCGATGTGCAATCCTGTCTTGCCTCGTCTAGTGCTAATCCTCTTCCTGGTACCATGGTGGCTGATGAAGTAGGAACGGTTCCTGTTGTAGTAATTTGGTTTGTGAAAAAGCAAAATTCTTGCTGTGCCACAGTGGAAGTCATCTGTTCAAGCATCTGAGATAAACCAGACGTATCAAGATCTCCAGAAGCGTTCATCATTGGCTCCAAAGCTCCCTAAATAAGTGAATTCCATAAGTCAAAAATGTCTGAGCTGAAAAACTGCGAAAGAAATCTAGAAAGAGAGGAAGCTGAAATGTAATGTAATACTCACAAGGTTCAGGCATCTAAAATGTGTTAGGTCAGCTTCTGAAATTAGATTGGTTATCTGGTGAGTGAGATCAAGAACTTGTGGAGCTTCTACAGGTTCTGAATCCAAGTATGGCTTGAAATCAGCATGACTCAAACAGATTTTTTCCCATGATTCTTGCACAGCAGATTTAGAGGTATCAAGCTTCGGTTTCTGAGCCATCTTGAATGTCTTACCAAAATCTATACGACTGCATTCATCTGAAACTGGTTGCATCTTCTGGGCAGTCCCTACATATTCCTTGTAACAGTTTTCCATCACCATCGCATCAGAAGATTCTGCAATGATCTCACATGTATTCTTTAAACAATCAAAAATCTGAAATCTGTCTATGTATATCTCTTTTGATGGGGGAGTCTGTACAACGTCCTCATTCATGGACACTTCTACTCTTCCATCAAAATGTCCGCAAGATACCGCTCTTGGCGACAGCTCAGCTTCACCATCCATTAAAGTTTCTGGAACATACGAAGACTCTGGTACACATGATACATCAACTGACTGGGACACCTCATTAATGCAAGAGAATTTTGATGTCTCATACTGATAACAAGTTGCCTCCAATATTTCTGCTCTGGAAGGAACTGAAGGATCAGCTAATAGGTTTGTTTCCTTTTGCATATCTGGCCAATATGAGGACAACGTACCATCTTCTTGGAAAATCAATCTGTCGTCCTTCTGATGTTGTGCAATGGAAACCCGTATGTCAGTCAGAGGCTCATCTTCTGAATCAGAGGACATCACAACATTGAGCTTCCGCCTTCTGTTTGGCTGAGAGAAAGAGAGTGGTTGGTAGGAAGTGTTGCTAAGTTCACACGGAATACTTAAGACGTCTTCTAATTCATCATAATCTTCAAAAGTAGTGTTCTGCCTGAACATGGCTGTTTTCTTGGCTTGTATGCTGTTCTTTCCTGCGCCCCGCCTCCATAATCTATTAAGCATTTTTTCGTTTTCAACCTCTTCAACAAGTACTTCCACTGTGTTATAGCTTTCCTCTTCTATAGATAATACCTTAGCAATCTCATTCTCCACCAACTGAGATAACTGAGAAGGGAAATCCCGTGTAATTATCTTGGGAAGCAGCAAGTGGCCAGCTTCATGATCAAAGAGATCTTGATTACCTGTGTTCTTCACCTTTCTGGCTGTGTATGGGAAATTAAAACATGAATAAATCAAATGTCAAAACTTTCATATAACTGAAAATATTCACACCTAGTCATTCACTACTGGACCTCTGGGACTATAATTATTTTTCGCATGTAGCAATTTACATCCAAAATACCTCTTTTCGGTTTACTCTGAAACCAAAACTGCAATTGCATAATTGCTTTCCGTATATCACCACCACAAGACGTGGTCATTTGCTCTAGTGAACCACGATTAACTTTAACTTCCTCTGCTGCACAAACCTGTGAAACAACAAATGTTAGAAGAATCCATTGAAATTTAAACGTTACGTATCAGAATACTAACCAGAGAAAGGTGGCTAAATAGTTCTTCTTTTGATGGCAATGAAAAGTATATTTCTATCCTCTCTAAGTTGTCTGGTAAACCATGATTCTTGTCTGTAAATATGCATGTAATACAGATACCATCAGCAGATTAATTAAGACGAACTGCAAATGAAACAAAAATAATGTTTTAACATGGACGAATATTACCATTGGTAGTCAATACCACAGGCCCTTTTGCTTTCGCAGCAATCTGCTGGATAGCAGAAACGAGACCACGATCTTCAGCAAAGCAAATATCTACATCTTCAAAGAGAATTAAAGGCTTCAAGTTAGCTCCATCATTCTGGATATGTAATACGGGTACCACTTCCATTACATCCTCTACCCCATTGCCATCAGTACAGGAATTGAAAAGAGGGTCCAAGGACCTGAAAAAAAAAACATATTATGTGAATAGAAACGCTATTTTCAGTTTGAAAGTACCGATTAAAATGGAGAAAATAGCAGATCCGAGCATTATTGTTGCAATTCTATGTACCTTGACAGGCTATATGACTTGAGAGCCTCCCCAAATTTCTGCCTAATTACTGTTCCACTTCGGCATTCTGATGTGTTGGACTGTAGACAAAAATCATTAGAGACATAAACAGTTGCGAAAGTAAATATTTCCATGCCAGAAGAGGAAAAAAGGTCCTTTAGATACATATAGCGGAAACAGTTCATACCTCTAGGATTTTAAATCCTTGTTCCTTGGCGCATGCATGAATAGCTGCAGATTTCCCACTCTGCAACACAGGCACAATTGTACTCACAAACATGAGTCATACATGAAACTCAGAAAGCAATGTAAACGTAGAAACTGACAGTTCGTGGCAGAATATCTTATCACACACCCCAGCTGGACCAACGATTAAGAGCACATTTTTCAGGCGATCTTCAGCACCAATATTTTCTGAGTCAGAGCCACTTTCAGAACAGTTGTAGTCAGCATCTTGCGATTTATCTTCATCACTACTCAAAAAGTCTTTGTTTGGCTGAAACCCTCTCTCCTGCCATTGGCGCAGCCATTCATTCATTACTTTTACAGATTCGGTATTACCACATACCTGCAAGATATTTGGGTAAGAGAATGTGAGAAATTTGTGTTTGGTAAGAAGATATAAACAGGCATATCCACTACAAAGGCAGTATGCTCAAAATGTCTGACCTCCGAGGCACTTCTTGGCTGGTACTTATCTACCCATAAGCTATTACGAGGCTGGCCACTGGAGTCATTACTGCATAGATCAGGAATTATAGATCAAGCATTCTAGAAAGAATTAAAATATACCCAAAAGAACTTCCAAGCATATCACAGAGGTCACCGGCCTATGTGGTTATTTCTCACTATTTATGAAGAATTCATCATTCCAACCTAAAACATGATAGGTGTTGCTACTGATATCAAATACAAAATCACTACCTTTCTCGACATGACAGGTGTTGCATTTCATGAGAAATGTCTGCTGCACCACCAGCATCATCAGACAAGTTAATTGCTTCATGAACTTCACAATCCTAAAAAGAATGATAGGAAATGTCCCTTTATCATGAATGGTTCCAACAGACGAAAAACATAGACCAAAAGGGAAAGTTTTAGCTCATTACCGATTCTGCTCCATCTAAGGAGCCAAGGTACCCACGTTTCTCCTCCTGGTCTGCTATTAAGACTACCGGAGATGCCTCTGCGATACGTTCTGATTGACTAACACATTGTTCAGGCTCCTCATCATCGATGACACACACGTCAGGATGTGAAAGAGATGGCAGTTCATTTAAATCAAACTCCTTGGGTCGGGGTTCAAGAGAGTCAAAATTCATTTGTTGATCCGCATTCTCAGTGGTGGATGTTTGCTCATAGAAAGTCCAGTTCTTCCAATCAAGGGTGGTTTGATAATCATCCTAAGAAGAAGGTTTTGCTATTCAGATTGCTTTATTATTACAAATGATCGAATAAGTAACCCTATATGTATTTTTCATACTCATACCTGAAACCTCTCAAATACATGGATAGGGCCAATGGTGACAATTTTATCTCTTCCTTGACCCTGACACGTACCATTCTCTGCTGCAGCAGCTTCTTGATTTCTTTTACCGCCTTTCCAAGTCGAGAAAAACGGATGTATTTGCTTGCCAGCAGACATCCGAGAATCTTCCTGATCAAATAGAAAGCAAAATTTTGTCAAATATGTGAAGCTACTTCATCTAAAAGTAGAGAGTTCTTATCCGTGAATTAATAGATGGAGTTTGATTGCCAAAAAAAAAAAAAAAGAAGAAGTTTATAAGGAGCATTGATAATAAAACCTATTTACTTACCTCAGCTCTTAACTTAGCTTCCAGACGCAAATTGGGAACTGGAGGTGAAACATTGGCAGCAACCATCTGATCAGCAGCAGCTACAATTCCGTTTTTAGTTGCAGTTTTCTTTGGCGTTGTTTTTCGAGGACTCTTTCCTTTAGCCACCTGAATAAGAGAAAAAAAAAAAAAAAAAGGAGAGAGAGAGACCACTCTTAGAAAATCTTATCCAAAGTAGTTCGACACCGTAATATATAGATGAAAACAAACCTTCTTGGTAGCTCCGTTCTTCGGAGTCCTCTCTTTCTGTTTTCTCGTCTTCTTCCCTTGACTACTACATAAACCACCATCTCCTACTTCTCCTCCTTCGCCTTCCTCCTTATTACCGACATCGCACATCTGATCTCCGTTAGACTCAATTACCGCATCCGATTTATGAGGGAGCAACGTCGACTGAACCAATTTCCGACGAACATTCCGCCGTGGAGTCTGATCCATTTCAATCACCGTCGCAATCGCTCAATTTGGGGAAATCAGAGTTACGGTAGAATCTAGGGTTTATGCGTGAATTTGGGGATCTTGGTAAAATTAAATTATAACGTTAAGGTTAAAGACGACATATGTCAGATGAAAAATTGGTTTTATAGTTAGGTGAGAATTTGGAGGGAACAAGATTCTTTTTTTGCTATTTCCCGCTAAACTTTAAGGCCGTGTTTGGCTCTCTCTCTCTCTCTAGACCCGCAATAAATTCTTTGCTTTAGCCCTTGGAAAAAAAGGAAAGTGGGCTTTGAAGTGGGCCTCAATTTCAGGCAATTAATTTACCGGATTACCCTTATCCAATTCTGGTGGAAGGTATCATTACACAATACTTCTTTTGATGTTTTAAAAGTTTGATGAAATTTCAAATTAGCATAAAAGTTTTTCATTTTGAAGTAATTGGTAAACCGATGCTTCAATTTCATCAAACTTATCCTTGTTGACCGTTAAACCAGTGAATTATTCCATGTTGTACATTAAACCGGTGGGGTCAAACCAAACGGAAATGAATAGGGGCAAATTCGTCATTTACTAATATGTTATCTCCTACCGTTGTCTTTTGTCTGCAACTAATTCACACAGGCCACAGCTGTTAACTATTTCAAAAAAGCTTTTAACTTTTCTTCTCTCTCCTTCGAAGAGGAAGAAGATATATTTTCTCAGTTCCTTCAAATCCAAAAAAAAACACCTGAATTATGTTTCCAAGCTTCTTCTGTTAATTATATACAGTCCACTGATACTGGCATTTTCCAGAAATTCTGTGAAACCCTACAAAGTTTGAAACTTTCTAAAACCCTAGAAATTTCCAAATTCGTAAACCCCTAGCCAAGTACCTGTATTGAGTGAGAGGAAATCAGAACCCACGAATCGAAATGAAGAACCCAGAAAAACCCTTATTTCTGTTTCTTATTTTAGCTTCGAGCTTAGTATCAATGGCGACTGCGAAATCCACAATAGAGCCTTGCTCCACTAAAGACACTTGTAACTCATTGCTAGGTTACACGCTCTACACCGACCTCAAAGTCACAGAAGTCGCTTCTCTCTTCCAAGTAGACCCAGTCTCGATGCTTCTCTCTAACTCCATTGATATCTCTTACCCAGACGTCGAGAACCATGTCCTTCCCGCTAAGCTCTTCCTCAAAATCCCAATCACTTGCTCCTGTGTCGACGGAATTAGAAAATCCCTTTCGACCCATTACAAGACTCGTACTTCCGACACCTTAGGATCGATCGCTGACTCTGTTTACGGTGGTCTGGTCTCTCCGGAGCAGATTCAGGTCGCGAATTCGGAAACTGACCTTTCGGTTCTCGATGTAGGTACAAGGCTTGTGATTCCATTGCCTTGCGCTTGCTTCAATGGTACCGATGAATCTCTTCCGGCGCTTTATCTATCTTATGTTGTGAGGGGAATCGACACAATGGCTGGAATCGCAAAGAGATTCTCGACCACTGTTACGGATTTAACAAATGTGAATGCCATGGGAGCTCCTGATATCAATCCTGGTGATATCCTCGCTGTCCCATTGCTAGGTGAGATCCAAAGTCTCTCTTCTTTATTGAGTTTGAAAGTTCGAATCACAGCTTCTAGTTCAGTTTCCTAGGCATAAGAGTTCTAAAGTTTCAATCTTTGAATAGAAATTTGCCAATTAAGCACAGACTAACAGATTATTGAATGTTTTGTGTATTTGTATCAAAACGTCTCAGCTTGTAGTTCAAATTCAGAGCCATAAGAGTTCTAAAGTTTCAATCTTTGAAATTTGCCAATTAAGCACAGACTATAACAGATATTGAATGTTTTGTGTATTTGTATCTAAACTTCTCAGCTTGTAGTTCAAATTTTCCTAAATACGCTACGGATTACGGATTGATCATTCCAAACGGAAGCTATGCTCTCACTGCAGGCCACTGTGTACAATGCAGCTGTGTTCTCGGAAGCCGCAGGTATTAAGCAATTTGAGTTTTGTTAATCGTATTTTGGCTGTTTTGCTGATCTTTTGCATTTGTGTGATGCAGTATGTATTGTGAGCCTGCTTCTATATCAGTCTCTTGTTCCAGTATGCGATGTAGAAACAGCAACTACATGCTCGGGAACATCACTTCGCAGCAGAGTAGCTCGGGTTGTAAACTTACTACTTGTAGTTACAACGGTTTTGCTAGCGGCACTATCTTGACCACGTAATGAGTCTTTCCTTATCTCATTTCCTCTACTAATGAATTGAACAACCTATTTAACTGATCTCTCTCGGTTTGTTTTTCAGGTTATCCATGTCTCTTCAACCTCGATGCCCTGGTAAGGATACTGACTCATGCCTTATAATAAACCCAATGAATGAAATCTTGATCTCCAACTGAAATGCAATTTGCAGGACCGCAACAATTAGCACCGCTTATAGCCCCGCCTGATACTGTTCCAAAGGAACTGATGTATCTACCTTCACCTTCACCTTCGCCCTCACCAGAGTTTGATGATATTGTTGGTGGAGGATCATCTATAGCCGCAGTCCCCGCGGCTTCACCCAGAGGACCTACGGTTTCTTCGAGCAGTTCAATCCCGGGAAATCCAGCAAATGGTCCAGGCGGGAGTATTTCTATAGCTTCTTGCCCATTGAGCTATTACTCATTCATTGCGTTTCTCATCTCCATTGCTTCTTGCTTTTTTGTTTTCTTAGTTTGAATGCAAGACAATTTCATTCTTGGCTTTTCTTTCTCTTTCTTTTTTAACTATGAACACTACTTTGGTTTGTCATTATTAAATTTGTATCGAAACTGGAAAGCCTGGCCGGTTGACGATTTTTACGGTTCAAAATTATCCGGTTAACAATCTTGCCAAGTAGGGGACTAGGGGTGGCCAATTTGGGCAACCCAACCCAATTCACTCGAAAAAGCCCAAATAGTTTGGATAACAAAAACCCATTTCAGTTTCTTTTTTTTTTTTTTCTGTTTCCGAGATAAAACAAATATTGTATTGAACGATACTAATTTAGTAATTTTGTTCAAACGGGACCAAAGAAAATTTGAAAGAAACAAGTAGTTGAACCTACTTGATGTACGAGCATCCTCTGCCATAATGATGAAACCCAAGTTATCTTCACTTTCCTAGAAATTTCTCCAAAAGCATGTATTTTATTCAGCGCACATATTTAATTTCAATTAATAGAAAAATCTCGATTCTGCAAAATTTAATTATTTGCATCTAGCTAAGCTAACCCTACATGAATTATTTTATTTTATATACTATGCAATTTTCAACCTATAAAAACGCTCAATCTTGCACCTTCTTCGAAATTCCTCAAGCCAAAACCGTACTATCGTACCAGTTTCTTTATCCATGATAAATTGATCGTATATTTACACCTATCTATCTACATATATTATATTCAGAATCAGATATGATAAATTGATCATATGACTAAAATATATTGTCTGATAGTAATATTTGTAATGGTAAGGCCATCTCTTTTGTTCGGTTGTTGGGAAACTACGGAGGAAGTACGGTGCTACTGAAGCTGCCCAATTTGTGATTTTGGGTAAACTAAAACGTCTTCATTGCCAAAACCCTATAATGAAAATGAAAGAAGCCTCGAGATGCTTTTATTTTCTTCATGCACAAAAAAAAGGAAATATTTTTGGGCTGGAAGGCTGACAAAAATCGCCTCTGTTTGACCTTTTTAAGGGTTTGCTTAGGACCAAAGTGTGAAATGTCTAAGCGAAGACAAGTATCATAAGCCCTCAAGGCTTTGTGAGAAAGTCAAGGCTGTCCCCAAAAAGAACATGCCAATTTCTCAATTCTTCGATCATGTGCTCTTGCGTGTCTTAAAGTTCCATATATAAGGTTTGTTTTGGCTTTTGCCAAAATACACATGCTTCTTTTGAAATCATTATCTTGCTTTAGTATCTATCTACACATATACCTCCATATTCTCACATATATCATTGTGGTGCTATCTCACACTTTTTTATAAGTATCGAGAGTCTTCTAAACCAGAAAAATTAAATTTTAAAAAAAAAATTGAAATACGCAGTGATTATACAATTTTTATTGATAGATTGTATAGATCTATTTGAAATATCCTAAATATTTTTAACAAAGACCTTATAAGTACATGTCGAGAAGCGTTGGCCTGATCGACTTAGTATTTATAGCCTGAACAGAAAATATTATAGTCAACACTATGAACGACATGAAACTACTAAGTTACAATCCTCTTACTTGTATGATTGTTAATACTTAATACATGCAATTTGGAAAATTTAGACAACAGTCATGCATTTTTTTATTATTAGGTTGTTTAAGTATGAAATTAAGCAAATCTAGCTGAGTAGCTTAGCTAGATTCGACGTGGCGAATCTCCTCAAAGTTCACAAAATAACGGACTTCATCCTATGTCTAAAAAGAGCAAAGGGGAAAAGTTAACTTAAAGGAAAATTCCCAAAAAAAAACCCCAACTATTTAATATTTGCTAGAAAAAAACCTGAACTTTTTTCGATGCCGGAAAAAAACCCCAACTAATTTACCGCTGACAAAAAAAACACGAACTATTGTTTTCTTCCAATTTCCTCTCATCTCCGTTACGGCCGTTAACGCCGTCGTTGACGCCGTTACTATTTTTTTGAAAAATTCCTTAAAAAAACTTAAGTTATTTAATTTTGCCAGCAAAATACCTGAATTATTTTTTTGTTGCCAGAAAAATACACAGATCAACATTTTTCTCTTTTTCTTTTATTTCATTAACAATGTAAGGTGGTTAGACCTCATAACTTTATGTGTTCTCTTGAACCTCATACAAATTCTCACTACTATTAAATTAATCGATTTTTCAATTTTCCAATTAGAACAAAACTCACAATTACATTAGTTGATTCCCCAACTTTTTAACTAAAACAAAAAAAATCACAATTAGATTAGTCGTTTTTTTAGGGTTGAGTAGGTTTGATTAAGCTAGCTTTACCTTTAATTTTGGTGGATTTTGCTTGATTGGAGTATTTTTTTTTTTGCGATTTATGTAGAGAATTTTTGAAGATCTACCAAGGTTTTTGGGGCTCTTATGAAATTTAAAGTTCCATTGTTGATGATGTCCCAAAATTTGTAAAGTCTGAATATATCCAAAAACAAATCTAATTGAGAAATTTGAAAATCGACTAATCTATTTGTATATTTTTGTTCTTAAATTTAATTGTCCTAAGTAATAGTGAAAACTGAAAACTTTGATGAGGTTCAAGAGAACACATAAAAGTTATTAGCTCTCACCATCTTATATTGTTGATAGAAGACAAAAAGAAAAGAAAAATGTTGATCTATGTATTTTTCTGGCAACGAACAAATAATTCGGGTAGTTTTCTGGCAAACTTAAATAACTTGGGTTTTTTTCAAGAATTTTCCCAAAAAATAGTAACGGCGTCAACGACGGCGTTAACGTCCGTAACGGAGACGAGAGGAAATTGGAAAAACATAATAGTTCGTGTTTTTTTGTCAGCGGTAAATTAGTTGGGGTTTTTTTCCGGCATCGAAAAAAATTCAGGTTTTTTTCTGGCAAATATTAAATAGTTGGGGTTTTTTTTGGGAATTTTCCCTTAACTTAAAGTAGGTTTTAAGTATGCATGATATATCATATATGTGCAGAATATGATAAAAACACAGGATTCCTTCAATCTCTAATCCCACGTAACTTTGTTTCGCATTATTTTCTTTCTAAAATTTTAAAAAACAAATAAAATTATTATGGTTGTATTCATCAGATTATTTGATTACGTTGATATCAATTGTATTAATATTTGACTTATCTATATCTCTGTTTACTGTTTGTTACGTTTTCTATGCGTGTGTTAGAACTTAAGAAGTGTTGAGAACGTATGATAAGAAAAAATACACGAAAAAAAAAAAAAAGATTGTTTCTAATTTCAAAACTAAAATAAGTTAATAAGTTAAAGAAGGGTGAGAGAGAAAACGCGGTTTTGTGCAGCAGCGAGACAGAGTGGAAACAGCTGTTTGTTAGAAGTGATTCACTCACTTCAGTCTTCACCAATATTTATTTGCCCTTCACTATTTGGCTGCGCGTTTCCATTTCCATTAACTATATATTAATTTCTCAAATATCTTTTAACATTTGATAGTACAACAAACACAATTATTTTTCTTAAATGTTTGGACTATCTTTTTTATAAAAAAAGGTTTACGTTTATGTTAATTTATCATCTTTGTTTGTGAGACCTCACATGCTACTTCATGAAGCTGCCTCCCATTGTCCCTTCATATCAGAATCCTATGTATTTTCTTCTCTTTTGTTTTTTATTTCTTTAATTGTAATCTTCAATTATCAATCAATAATTATTCTTCTATTGTTGGTATTAAAAAAAAAAAATTAACAATTTAGCCTAGTAAATCTAATAGATATTTATAAACACAAAGTTTACAAAAAAAAGTTACGCGTGAGTTGCTACAATAAAATGTTAGATTTAGACCAAATGTGTCTTGTATTTTAGGAGGAAACCCTCTTAATTTGATAAACGTCAATCTGAATAAATAAATGAAACTTTAGAAATAATACTATGGGAAACATAATAATATAATTAGCATTCTTTTGCTTGTTATATTCGAACTTTTCAACTACTTAACCCTTGATTAAAACACAAAATGAAATTATCGTTTAATATAAACCAAAAAGAAACATAGACCAATGAGCAGGCTTGAAGGGTTTCTTTCCTCGAAAGATCGTAGGACTTGACACATTCAAATGCAGCTGTAATTTGCAATTCCGGAAAGTGATAGCTATAACTATAAGTCATCAACATATAAACTTCATTTTCTTTTTACATATAATAGTCTCAACCTCAAAATTAAAGTAATCCTCGATATCACCATCAAGTACTGGCTTCCGTACAGCTAGCTGTACACTCATCAGATATATATACATTTACAAAAAAAGATCTTTGCTTTCAAAATTAACTCACTGGTTAGTTTCAAGTTTAGACCATTATTTGATACTAATACATCATAGTAGATTTTATACATGTAAACTTTAACCTTCAACAAACGTCACAAACCAAAGAAGGTATTGGAATGTTAATTACTTCACTAACTCAGCTTTCAAGTGGTGGAGAATGTCTCTGTTGATATAAGTTATAGTTCCAATTTAGCTTTTTACATATCTCATAAATTAGTTTGAGATTCGTTTACATGATCTGTTTTGGTACCAAAAGAAATTCTTATAATTAAATAGGATTATAGCTACTATACATAAGAAACAAAATCTGACATATCCATTTGTGATTACGCGGGTGAAAAATACTTATTAAAGAAAACACCTGTCATGCACCAAAAACGTCATATTCATACACAAAAACGATACTATTTCATTTGACCAAAATTTTAATTTATTAAATAAACCATTATTGTCCCCCTCTATCACAATTCCCCCAAATCCAATCATGCTATATATAATCTCATTTCCTTGACATTATTTGTCATCCAGAATACTTTTATCTTATATCCCAACACACTTGTCCAAGCATCCAAGTCAAAAACAACATCACCACATAACATGGTGAAACAAGAACTCAAGATCCAAGTTACTAGTTCCTCATCATCACTCTCTCATTCTTCATCTTCTTCTCCTTCTCCGACGTCGGGGCTACGTCATCAATCTTGTAAGAACAAGATAAAGAAGTACAAAGGAGTGAGGATGAGAAGTTGGGGATCATGGGTTACTGAAATTAGGGCACCAAACCAAAAGACAAGAATCTGGTTAGGTTCTTACTCTACCGCAGAAGCAGCTGCTAGGGCTTACGACGCTGCTCTCTTGTGTCTTAAGGGACCTAAAGCTAATCTCAACTTCCCTGACATCACAACTACTTCTCCTTTTCTTATGAACATCGATGAAAATACCCTTTTGTCCCCCAAATCCATCCAAAAGGTCGCCGCTCAAGCCGCTAACTCCTTCTCTTCTGACCCTTTTACCCCTCCCTCCGATGATGATGGAATCCATCACCATCCATCTCCTTCTTCTTCAGCTGCATCTTCTCCACCAGATGATGATCATCATAATGATGACGATAGTGATTTGGTATCGTTGATGGAATCTTTCGTAGACTACAAGGAACACGTGTCTCTGATGGATCTATCGTGGTGTGAATTTGAACATAATGAGATGTTATTCACCAACGGAGCTCCGTTTGATTATACTCCACAGTTAAATAGCTCGATGGATGACTTCTACGACGATGTTGATATTCGGCTATGGAGTTTCAGTTAATCCAACGGTCAATATTATACTACGAAACACTTTCAATTCACATTATTTCATTTAATTTATTCTTTTAAACTTATCGATTATCATTCGTCGTTGTTGTTTCTTTATGTATGAACATTTAAAATACAAATATACACACACTAATTTAAGAAGATCACATGGACAAGAGGGCTTTTTTGACACTTCTTGACTTTTTCATGTGTTTTTTTTTCTTTTCAATTTATTTATTACACACACATGAAAGCATGTACTTGGGTATTTTATTACAAATCTTGTAAATCCCAACTATTATTTCTTGATATTTAAGGCCCAATATGAGTGACGGAGCTATTGAAAAGAGCCCAATTAATATATTAAAGCCCTAATAATAATAACCTAACAGTAAGTAGTATTGGGCGACACGCCACATTTCTGTTTCCATGGCTTCATTGTCGCTGCCTTTTGATGTTTGGATTCGTCGGCCCATTTCCTTTACAGAAAAAGGCTTTGATGAAGCTGTAAGCCTGTAAGTAACAAAATATATAAATCTTTTTTGTTAAAGAAAATATTTAAATCTTGCAGCGAAACATATATTTGCTGGTTCATTATCATTTTATATTTATATATATATATATGTATATATCATTTTATATATATGTTATACAGTTGATAATATGTAATACTGGAAGATAGGAGTCGGGCCGATTGAAAAATGAAATGGTCCATAAAAAGGTGGTAATTGCCAAACTCGAGGTGACAAAAAATGGAAAAGTCGGTTTGCTTTTATTTTTTGAATTTTAGTGTTAATAATGCAACTTGTAATTATGTTGTCTACTTTGCATGTTTTGTAGCAACCAACTTGAAATATCAATGATCCAAATAAAAAGAGAAATAGAGAATATGAGTTTGACGAGAGGGTACCATTTGGCTGCTCCTGTTTGATTCATAATTTGGGGAGGTTTAGTTTTGTATCAAAGTATTGAAGTAAACCCTATAATCTATGTAAAGATGGCATTAATCACTGAATACGGAGTGTCGCGTGGAAAGCTATTTGACCAATATGCTTTGGGTCAACCAATGAACCCCATTGGACAAGCAGCACTTTCATCAATTCCTTCATTAATTTCATTTAAAAACCTTCAATATGTGAGTACTGATCAGTTAAATAAACAAACCATCAAAATTATTAGTACTAGTACTCCCTCTGTCCCAATATATAAGATGTTTTAGACCTTTTCATTTGTTCCATTATATAAGATTTTCTCTACTTTCAATGCATGATTTATATTAGTTTAATAGTTTTTAATTATTTTAATTATGCAGTATCTTTTTCTATTGGTTGAATTTTCATAAATGAGAAAACATTTATTGTTTCTTAATCTCTGTGCTTTTAGTCCAAACATCTAATAAAATGGGACAGAGGGAGTATATGATGCCTTTACTCTTTGCATTTAATAAATTTTGTAGAAAAACGAGGCAAAAGATATGCATGTCATATGGATTATGGAATGATGGAATCTTATAAAATCATAAAAATAATGCTACAACAAATCATTTATCATTATGCAGAACAAAACTCTAATTTGAAGTTATGAAATATAAACGTGTATTTTGTTTTCGTCACTAAAACCATGGAATACAAATCGCATATTTATTCAGTTGTTGATATATTTGATATATTACCACCTCATCCTAAGCTAATGTACACTACATAAGCAAGTATTTGTTGGAAATACTGCTTAGAACCAGAATTGACAAAGAACGAAAATTGCAGAGCCGTAGAGAATCTACTGCACTTGAGCGAAAAACCGCCTAATCCCGGTGTGCAAGATAACCAAGACGGCTCACTCCAGGGTTTACTCTGCTCTCAATTGTGTTGTGCACTCAACCCAAAAGAGATGAAGCTCTCAAAATTCAAACTCAGAAATTTAGAAGAAAAAGAAGAAGAACAAGAGAGATCTTTTTTTTTCTTCGATGATTTAGAATGAAGGATATGATTCTCCTTTAAATAGGCACAAAATCGAACTTACCATCAAGGATTTCAGCCATGAAATCCGAGATCCAGTAACTCCATCTCTCCTCTCCGTTGCAAACAGACCCAGAGAAAAGTGGTCACGATTTTGACTTATTTTTTGAAGAAGATAAAGTTTTTGTCAAAACAAAATTTCCCAATTACGTAAAAACAAACTTGGGCAATGAGGCCCATTTGAATGTTCACAAAAGCCCAATTTACTAAACATATCCAACAATCCCCCACATGTTTTAAAATTGAAAGAAACGTTGATGTCTTTTAAGACTTGAATCAACAAAAGCGTGAAAAATTTTTGAGAGCTTCGCGTATCAAATACAACGTATTATAGGCCTGTACATAACCCTGCATCATAAGTGTTCTAGTGAGTTAGCCCACAACTCATCTAGTTAGGCAGCCTTTACCTTAACACTTACTTAGGTGACTTATCAAGTGTGTGTTGTCTCACACCCCCATACGGGAATAAGTTCATTAAGAGACCATATGTCTCAACCTTCCAAACGACAACAACTTGGGAGCTTAACTATCATCAGATTAATATCATTCCTTCGTTTGACCAATTTGAACCGAGAATTCAGAAGTGAATAGAATTCTTGGTTTGGTATCCAGAATGATCTAACCTGAAAAAGGCTTTAGTCCCATTTCCTTTGCTGTGTCCAGGACCATTCGTCCACACAAGCCTTTCGTGAGAGGATCAGCTATATTCTTCCCTGATCTCACAAACTCTAGTGATAACACTCCACCTTCAATCAAGCTTCTTATCACTTTATGTCGCATACGTATATGCCTTTTCTTCCCATTATACAGCGCGTTCATCGCCACAGCGATCGCAGCTTGAGAATCACATCTCATTGACACGGAAGGACAAGGTCTTCCCATCATCGGAAAATCCGCTAGCAGGTTTCTTAACCACTCAGCTTCTTGACCTGCCAATTCAAGAGCAATTAGTTCAGATTCCATAGTGGAACGAGCAATACAAGTCTGTTTAGTAGACTTCCATGCTACAGCTCCTCCACCTAATGTGAATACAAAACCACTAGTACAATTCACTTCATCATTGTCTGATACCCAATTAGCATCACAATATGCTTCAAGAACACAAGGAGAGCCAGTATAACACAAGTTATAATCAATAGTTCCTTTCAAATATCGCATTAAACGACCAAGTGCTACCCAATGATCAGAATTAGGATTATGAGTATATCTACTCAGTCTACTCACTGCATATGCAATATCAGGTCTTGTGCAATTCATCAAGTACATTACACTACCTATCACCTTAGCATAATCAGATTGTTTCACAATTTCTCCTCTATTCTTATACAAATGCAAAGACGAATCATAAGGAGATTTAGCACACGTTTCATCCCAATATCCAAATTTCTTGAGAACCTTTTCAATATAATGAGACTGATTTAAAGAAAACCCAGAATCAGTTTTTACGACCTTAATTCCAAGAATAACATCAGCTTCATTTAAATCTTTCATATCAAATTTAGAACTCAAGAAAGCTTTTGTTTCACAAACAATTTCTAGAGATGTTCCAAGAATAAGCATGTCGTCCACATATAAACATATAATGACGTACCCATGATCATGCATTTTAGAAAACACACACGTATCTCCAAAATTTGAAACAAAACCATTTTCATGCAAAGTGCTACTGAATTTTTCAAACCATTGCTTAGGGGCTTGCTTAAGACCATAAAGAGATTTTTTTAATTTGCACACTTTATGTTCTTGACCATGCACAATAAATCCCTCAGGTTGCACCATATAAATTTCCTCATGCAAATCACCATTTAAAAATGCAGTTTTCACATCCATTTGATGTACTACCAACTTATGAGCAGATGCAAGAGCAAACAATATGCGAATGGTAGCAATTTTAGTAACAGGAGCATAAGTATCGAAATAGTCTACTCCCTGTTTTTGCGCAAAGCCTTGAGCTACCAGCCTCGCCTTGAATTTGTCAATGGAGCCATCAGCTTTGAATTTTTTCTTTAAAATCCACTTGCATCTGATAGCTTTGCATCCCCTAGGCAAATCAACAATCTCCCAAGTGTGGTTAGTCATAATAGAATCAAATTCATTATTGACTGCTTCTTTCCAAAAACTAGCATCCACAGATTTCATAGCTTCAGAAAACGTTTTAGGATCTTCTTCTATTAAGAAAGCATACACAAATTCTTCACTAATCTCATCATACTCAGCTAGAAAAGCAGTAATGAAATCTGGACCAAAATCAGTTTCAGTTCTCATTCTCTTACTCCTTCTAGGTTCTTCACTATCATTAAGAGTTCTTTTAGCAGATGCATTACTAGGAGAAGCAAGTTCTAAGCTACATGCATTGCTAGGAGAAGCAGATTCTAAGTTTCTCTTAAAAGGAAACACATTCTCAAAAAATTCAACATCTCTAGACTCGATCATGCTATCAAACTGCAAAGAATCATGCTTAAAAGTTAAACAACGATAAGCAGCACTGTTCAAAGCATAGCCAACAAACACAGCATCAACAGTCTTAGGACCAATGGTGTTTCGTTTAAAAGCTGGCAGTCCTACTTTAACAAGACACCCCCACACTCTCAAATAGCTCAAGTTAGGAGAATGTCCTTTCCAAAGTTCATAAGGTGTAACAGGAATTCCTTTATGAGGCACTTTATTCAAAATATAACAAGCAGAAAGAATAGCTTCCCCCCACATTTGATCAGGCAACCCAGAACTAATAAGCATAGCATTCATCATTTCTTTAAGGGTTCGATTTTTTCTTTCAGCAATGCCATTTTGCTGGGGAGAATAAGGTGCAGTTCTTTCATGAATAATACCCTCTTTCAAACACAAAGAATTCAGAATTTCAGATTCATATTCTCCACCTCTATCAGATCTTAACCTCTTAATTTTTCTATCTAGTTGATTTTCTACTTCAGCTTTATATCTCATAAACATTTCACAAGCCTCATCTTTTGTTCTTAACAGATAAACCCTCGTATATCTAGAACAATCATCAACAAAAGTGATATAATAATGCTTGCCACCTCTACTAGTGGTGCTTTTAAAATCAGCCAAATCAGAGTGAATAAGCTCAAGCAATTCAGATTTTCGATTAACAGGATATGAAAAAGGTTTTCTAGCATGCTTTGCTTCCACACAAATTTCACATTTTGAGACATATTTTTCCAAGTTATCAGAAATCAATTTAGCATGCTTTAGACGTCTAATAGAGTTCACATTTAAGTGTCCTAATCTGCCATGCCAAGTATCCATAACACTCACAAAGTAAGCAGAAGCACCAGCACTTTCATTCATTATTTCAAGAACAAAGAGATTTCCCTTACAAAAAGCTTTTCCCACATACCCCCCATTCTTAGTTATTACTAATTTACCAGCCTCAAGAGTTTGTTTAAACCCAGCAATCATCAACAAAGCACTAGAAATTAAATTCCTACGCATGTTTGGAACAAACAAAACCTTAGTCAAAGTTAAAACTCTTCCAGATGACAATTTCAAATTAACATCTCCAATTCCAGCAACTTGTAAAGCACTAGCATCACCCAAGAAGACATTATCACGTGGAGATTCATCAAGAGTTTTAAAGAGAGACTTCTGGCTGCAAATGTGACGTGTGGCACCTGAATCAATGATCCATTCCACCACGTCAATTGCAGCGTTTACCTCAGTGACGACATCAATTAGGTCTTCCGTAAGATGAGCTTTGTTTGACTCCTTTTGCTGGAGCTTTGACAAATCGGGCACTGCGGAGTTCTTCGGCATTCTGAATCGTGATAGGACCAACAAATAATAATTTTTCGCTCAAGATTGTTGGAAATACTGCTTAGAACCAGAATTGACAAAGAACGAAAATTGCAGAGCCGTAGAGAATCTACTGCACTTGAGCGAAAAACCGCCTAATCCCGGTGTGCAAGATAACCAAGACGGCTCACTCCAGGGTTTACTCTGCTCTCAATTGTGTTGTGCACTCAACCCAAAAGAGATGAAGCTCTCAAAATTCAAACTCAGAAATTTAGAAGAAAAAGAAGAAGAACAAGAGAGATCTTTTTTTTTCTTCGATGATTTAGAATGAAGGATATGATTCTCCTTTAAATAGGCACAAAATCGAACTTACCATCAAGGATTTCAGCCATGAAATCCGAGATCCAGTAACTCCATCTCTCCTCTCCGTTGCAAACAGACCCAGAGAAAAGTGGTCACGATTTTGACTTATTTTTTGAAGAAGATAAAGTTTTTGTCAAAACAAAATTTCCCAATTACGTAAAAACAAACTTGGGCAATGAGGCCCATTTGAATGTTCACAAAAGCCCAATTTACTAAACATATCCAACAGTATTTTCTTCTCGTCCACAAATGTTTTTTTTTTTAATGTTTTAGATATTAAAGTTTTGATTATCAAATAATCAAAACAAGTGGTATTCGTGCAATTATCCAAATTATTGGCTGTGCATAGATGTCGTATATTGAATAGTATGGCAGCCTTAATCTGTTGTCGACCAATCAAAGTAATAAATTACGTGTCGTGAGTAAATATATACTATCAAATTTTTCAATAAATGCTTGTTAGTCATAGCTATAGGGCAAATATTTATTACGATTGAAATTTCATTTATAGGACACAGTACATTTTCTGTTTATAGAACTTGAAAATTAGACCGACTGTTTTTTTGCTTAGAGGAATATTGCATGTTGAGTGGTTAGAGTAGAGAGACTGCAAAGTTTGAACCTCCAAAGATACGAGTCAAACTGTTGATGTAAGCAAAATTACCACAGGATCTTCATGACATCAAACAATTCTATACCAATTATTCGACTCACCACACACGCAAAATATGTAACTATTTGAAGATATACTTTGATATGAATCAGCCCAGATAAACAAATGAATCAAGAGAAATGATATATTTATAGAAGAATTTATCTTCAATAAAAGATATATATAGAAGTAAGTATTTTAAATAAACGAAATAAAATTGTTAGCATTAATCCACACCTAGCTATATTAATTGTCTGTGAACTAGAAGTAGTTTCAAAAATTTACCGTATAAATAGATTTATACTTTATTTTTGTGATTCATATCCATAATAAGATTGGATATAACTTGAAAGTGTGAATGACTCTACATGCTTAGCTATCACCTTTAAATATTTGGATTATGCTTTTAACTGAAAAATCAACGGAGTACATAAGATGACGCATTGAGATTATATCAGCTCGTATACTCAAGATTGTCTTCTTTTTTTTTTTTTTTTTCTTCTTTCAAAACTAATAATCTACTTGTTGCTTTGTTCGATCATAAACCAACTCCATTTTATATTTTGTTTATGTTATCGAAATCGATCTTCTACTTCTGGATATTCTTACAATTTAAACCGTTTACAATGGTGAAAAGCCAACAAAGGAAATTAGTAATTGGTAGGATTTAACCTATATCAACAAGAGAATATTTTGTGAGACCAACATCAGACAAACTGCTCTAAACATTTAGCTTAAGCAATGATTAATTTCTACATGTAGTATTTATTTAAACTAGGGATTCTTATAGTTCCAAGCAAATTAGAAATGGCAGAAATATTTAATGCGTTCACCTAATACATGCATAATACGAAATGAGTTTCGTTTGAAATTTTTGGCAACTAATTTGGTCAGACTACTTAGAGTTACAGGCCAATAGCCATATCGATCCATTGATTTTATAGTTTTTACTTGATATGGCTACTATAGCCTACGTTGACAAGTCTGAGTACGAAGAATCTTCTTCATTGATTCGTTTACTCTCTTTTCCTTGATAGTAAGAGCATGATTAACGGGCGTTTCTTAGCCAAATCTTAACAATAATATTGATTTAAATTAAATGATAAATCAGACTTAAAGCTAAGAAACGTCGATTAGCTAAGGAACGTTGTTTATGCTAAGAGGTGAGACACGTGGCTGTAGGTGTAAAACAAAAGAAGAGAAATTTTTTGTTGCCCATATTTCTTTCTTGCGTTTTCTCTCTCTCTCTCTTTCCGACGGCAAAAATCGAAGAGAAAATGCCTTCAAATCTTCGTCTCCGCTGTTGATTGTTACAGCCGGTGAATCGGAGGATGGCATCTTCATCAGCTCAACCGACGGCACCTCTGGTTCATCTAATCGGCGAAAGAAGGTTTTTAAATCGGAGAGTTTTATGAAGTTCTCCGAGTTTTCTTCAAGAAATCTGACAAAATCCGTAAGATTTCTCTTTCTCATAGTAGGAATCTCATTCTATAAATACTAATTGATGTAATTTGATTGGTATTTGAGTGTTTTGAAATTAGGGTTCATAGATTTGAGAAATTTAGGATTTTTCGTAGTTAGTGAAATTAGGGTTATTTGAAGCATCTATCAGTGTGTTTTGAGTTTTTCGATTGCTATTTCGTAATATTTGTAGTAAAATCCGTAAGATTTGATTGCTATTTCAGTTTTTAAAAAATTGGATATATTGATTTTCGTTTTACTCTTATTCTCTGTGAATATGAACTTAATTAGTTTCAGTATGATGTCTTGGTTTTCTGATAGTCATGACTCATGCAAATCTGAGAAGAAGCTCACGGAAGAAGCTTTGAGTGAAACTCAAAAAAGAGAGAAGGAGATGGAGTTGAAGAAGGACGAGTTGTTGAAGAAGGTTGATGAAGGTAATAAGACTGTTTTTGGGTTGAATGAGAAAACCATGAACATATATCCAAGACTTTGTCATACAAATCAACAGAACGAGGGGAACGATTCTTGCGTCATTTCCCTGAGAAAGGTAAAGGCTTGAATTGCTTGGTTCCGCATCCTAAAGGTTATTGCCAGCCAATTCCGTGGCCTAAAAGCCGTGACGAGGTACTCTTTGTTTGTGTATTTCTGTTGAGTTTTGCATTTTGGTTGGAGAATTTAGATAACATGTCTTGAGATTAGCTTAAGTAGTATTTGAAATTTACTTATGCATAGGTATGATTTAGCAACTTGCTCTGTGTTCTTGAATGAGTTTATGTTCTTTATCAATAGAGTATTGGATAATCGTATGGTTGCAGCTCAATACACTTGCCTCTACATAATCTTGTGGCTGCAGCTCGACACACCTCTCACCTTAAAGTTAATGTGCGAACTCTCTAGCTAAACAATCTCCACTTGTGAGTGTTACTCTTCTTGGATTTTCCCAAGGTAACTAACAGAATCAATATATGGCTTTGAGTTTCACTTTGACTCAGCTGACATGTTCTGAGTATCTTCAAGAAGACAACTCTGTTTTTAAGTATATGCCATGTTCTCAGTTTGTCTTTGATGTGTATTGAAATGAATACTTTGTCATATTTGCCATGTATATGCCATGTTTACTTTGTCATATTATTGTATTGCTAAACAATTATTAAGTTTTCTAACAATAAAATTGTTTATTTTATTTCTTTTTAAAATTAATTTTTTTTTTCTCTAAGAACCAAAACTTAAGAGTCTACCATTGGACAATTTTTTTTTTTTAAACCAATAAACAATCTCTTAACTCTAAATTTTACAAATTTAATATTAAACAAATGCTAAGAGCCAATATTAGCATACCACCAATAATGTTGCTCTAATAATATAATAATACTACTATAATCCATTTTTTTCTTAAAAAAAGAGATCAAATCAAGTACGAAACGAATCACATATTCCGATTTAAGGATAATGTATCAAACTAAAAAAAAATCTATCTATCTGTCAGTGATTGAGATCAATATCAAAACATCAATCCAATCATCCACATATCTTTTTCTTTTACAAAAATGAAAAGCCAAACATTACTTCTTCTATGTACATTTACATTAGTTAAAAAAATGTAAAAAAAAAACAAAAAAAAACCTCCATAGTAAAGCTTCTCATAATTTAAGCTCACTAGGGCTACATAAAGAAAACAAGATATAAACATTTCTCTATGTCATCTTTAATTGTCACAAATTTTACCATCCATTTGATTTTGAACGGCTTTCACAGCTGCAACTCTAGCAGCCGTCGCAGCTTTATTGGCCGCAGCCACAGCTCGTATCACATGCTCATCGACCTGTCTCTGATTCACTCCATTCTTCGCTCTCTCTCGAGCACTCTGCAAGTAATTAAACCATTACGTAACGTTTAATCCAAACAATGTTAAATTTTTCTAACTAAAAGTTTCATCCTTTTGGTATACCTGAACCGCTCTACGAACCGGGTGAGAATCTGGAGGAAGATGGTTTACAAGATTACCATCGTCCCATTCACCGGATTTGATATCACCGGTTCTGAATCTATACGTGCCATAGCCTTGTTTACGACCTTCATGCCAAGCCCCTTCGTAATAATGACCATTAGCGAAATGGTAAACACCAAATCCATGAATCTTGTCTCCAAAATACTCTCCTGCATACTTATCTCCATTCCTACAACACCAAATCCATAAATCAGAGCTCAGAAATAAAACAAAGAGATCTTTATATGTACGAGCAAGTTTTTGTTATTACCTGAAATGGTAAGAACCAAGTCCATGTTTGACACCAAATTTGAATTCTCCGACAAAAGAGCTACCATCAGCACAAGTTTGAACACCAAAGCCATGACTTTGACCGTTAAACCATTCACCAGAGTAAGAATCTCCGGTGTAAAACCAGTAAACTCCATAACCATGTCTAAGTCCTTGCTTGTACTGTCCTTTATATTTACTCCCTTTAGACCAACATTCGATTCCATAACCATCGTATCTTCCATTGATCCAATCTCCTTCATATCTTCCATTAACGAAATAATAGTAAACTCCACTTCCGTTACACTTCCCTCTGTTGAATTCACCTTCGTAGAAATCTCCATTGCTAAAATATTGAACTCCTTCTTTGACGACCAGTCTCTGTTCTTCTTCTTTGATCGGTTCCGGTTTTGTATCTCCGATATACCATTGAACCGGTTTCGGTTTGTGTTTGATTCGAGACCTTACACGAATCTGTTTGATTGCGATTACGGTTTGGTTAATAACCGCCATGTTTCTCGATGCGAAGAACAGAGCAAGAGCGACGAAAATCAAACCTAGTAAGAGATTCTCCGACGTGAAAATCTCATCAACGAAGAATAGTAAGAAAGATGAGAGACTAAGGAAAGAAAGACAAGCGAGTGTGAATGCGAGACCCGGTTTAATTCGGTTAATCGACCCGAATGATTTAACCGGTTTTCTCCTCCTCTGTTTCTCTTCTTTCTCACCGGCTTCTAGATCTTGTTCACGGCGGTGGTGAGAGATTTCGTTGAAGTCATCACATTCAGTGATTGAAGATAGGCTTTGAATCGACGATCGAATCGTCGGAGATGATCTGAGTAACGACGATTGAGTCCTCGTCAGTTTCTTTTGGCTCATCTCCACGGAATAAAAAAAAATTGTAAAACAGAACGAGAAACAAAAAAAATAATCAAAAAGCTTTGATTTTGAAGGCTTGAGAGTAGAATCACCACTTTCTTTCTCGATTTTTCCGGCCAAATCTTAAACGGTAATACGTTAACCACCACTGCACCACCGTGCCGAGCATCGCAAAACGGAGAAGAAGACGAGAGATCTCTCAACTCCAGCAAAATCTTGTTCTTGTTCGTCGTTTTTGTTTTCCGATACCGGGGAGTTTTCACGGCGAAGCTAAAAAAAGGAAGAGGAAGAAGAAGCTCACTTTGCTTCAGAGAGATCGAGAAAGAGAGAGAGAAAGCTTTGAAATGGGTTTGGGATTATTTTAAGAGACAAGAAAAAAGGAGTTAGATTCAATATTGACCGTTAGATGAAAATCTGACGGTTGATTAACGAAAGGAAATAACAATAGCCGTTAGATCTGAGTTAAGGAAGAAGAAGTCACGGTCTTGACGGGGAATATTAGGAGCCGGACGCTTTTTAGCTTTACTGTTGCAGGCCGGCACGTGCCGCTACACACACATCTATTGGTCACTATTTTTAATTTAAACTAATAAAAATAACTTTTCGTTTTTAAATTTAAAATTTGCTGAAAAAATCTCTGCTTTTTGGGGGAATTTTCTATATTGATATAACAGTTGAACTGGACTTTCAATAAAATATTTATAAAATTTTAATATATATTCATAGTAAGTATACTTTATTTTATTAATAGAAAAAGTGTAACTATAGACTAAAATAAAATCAACGATTCATATTGGGAAGAAGATAGTTGGTGAAAACTGTAAAGTGTAGGTAATCTACTAATCGGACGGTAGAGATTAATTACTTGATAAGGAAATAAAAATATCAGTAAAGAGAAGAAACACAAAAAATGGGTTTTGATCAAATTTGTGAATAAAAACATATTTACCAAACATCCTCGCATGGTGCACTCCGCATTACTAGGCCTTCCGATTTATTTACTTTTAAAATTCTCACATGGGACAATATTTTATATCAAATTTATTAATTTCGAATATTATGTCTTATATATTACAGATACTTAATTTTATGAATTATCTATATCAGAAACGTTATATCGGAGGCTAATGACATTTATATTTATATAATGCTCTTTTCAAAAAGTAGAAAACGACAACCTTAAGCTATAGAGTATATATAGACATTAGATTAAAAATGGTTTCCTTCTAGTATTTGATTAATTAAGCTAACATCGCTTTCACTGAGATCTAAAGTCTAAGTTCTTCTGATGCATTCATTTACTTCTTCTTTTTTTTAACTTTCGGCTTTAGAAAAGATAATCCGACCGCAAAATTATAATAGTTTCAGTCTTTCAGAGAATATTCAACCTTAATTTAATAATTTATATTAAACAAAAGAGTGAAAGACTCTATTGCATTTGATAACGTGAACTTTACTTTATTAATTTGCTTTGCTTAATCAAAAGTCTGGAACCGAAGAAGAAGGAACACAAGTTACACAACAACATAAAAATAAGGTATTTTCTAATTCAAACTTCAGACTTTTCTCTTTAGCTTCTGCTTCATCCTCTCAATTGCACCACGCAACGTCTCTTCGTCTTTACAGAACGCAAACCTAACCAAGTTCTTCCCTTCTTCTGGATTCAGATAAAAGACGCTAGTCGGGATCGCAACGACCCCAACTTCTTCAATAAGATACTCACAGAAGGCGACATCGTTCTCCAATCCAAATGGAGTGTGATCCGCAACCACAAAGTAAGTCCCGCTCGATGGGAACACTTTAAACCCGACTTCCTTCAAACCCTTTACCAGAATCTCCTTTTTCGCATTGTAATCTCTTTTCAGCTCTTTGAAGTAAGACTCTGGTGCCTTGAGAGCTGCAACGGCTGCCCATTGTGCTGGTGTTGATGTGGCGAATGTGAGGTAAGAGTGTGCTTGTCGAACTCCCCAAGTCAGATGAGGCGGTGCAATCGCCCAGCCGATCTTCCATCCCGTTAAAGAGAAAGTCTTTCCCAGGGAATTCATGGTCACGGTTCTTTCATACATACCGGGAAGAGAAGCTATGGAAATGTGATCCATTTCAAACGCAAGCTTATCGTATACTTCATCTGAGAACACAAGCACATCATTTTCAATGCAGAGAGATGCAATGGTTTCAAGCTCCTCTCTCGTGAACATCTTCCCGGTTGGGTTGTGCGGAGTGTTCATGAGGATGGCTCGGGTCTTGTTAGTTACCGCAGCTTTGAGCTCTTCCAAAGGGATAGAGAAGTCCGGTGGGCGTAAAGTGATTCCTTTTATTTTAGCACCAGCCATAGAGAGCGTCGCTTCATAAGAATCGTAGAATGGGGCAAAGAGAATGACTTCATCACCAGGGTTTATTAAACCCAACATAGCTGCAGCTATGGCTTCTGTGCAGCCAGACGTAACAGTAACTTCTTTCTCCGGATCAACAACAAGACCCGTATCTTCACCAAACCGCGCAGCTATAGCAGAATTGAGCTCAGGAATGCCGTATGCACGAGCATACTGGTTTTTACCATCTTTAATAGCTTGGATTGCAGCTTCTTTAACGAAATCAGGACCGTCGAAATTGGGAAAGCCTTGACCTAAATTTATCGCTCCGTGTTTAACAGCCAATATACTCATTTGAGTGAAAATCGTAGTCTTGAATTTCTCTAATCGTTTCGCCACCTAATACAATAGTCCGAAAATGATTAGGATAACACAGAGGAGTTTAATTTGGAGATGAGTAATGTATAGATAACCAAAATTTGAGGTTCTGACTGTTACTAACATCTCAATACTAGAGCCAAAAGTGCAAAATGTTTAACAGAACAAACTAGAAGAACCAGTTCTATGGTTTAAACTCTGGGATGGTAATGTGAACTGTGAAGTCTAAAGAGAAACTGGCAATTAAGCAAAGCCCATTTTGAGTCACCAAGCTAACAGATGAAACTGGGATTGATCGATAGTGTAAACTGTTAAAAGGTACAGTGGGACCAAACTGCATGAACTTAAGTGGAATCCAAATCGGACAATTTGGAAATCATTACGAACAGAGGAAAAAAACAAAACATCAAATTGACAGAACAGCAGCTTCCAATGTTACAAAAGCAGTGCCCAAACAAAATAGGACCCTTCAAAATTAGATCTTTCAAGAACACAAACACGAGAATCGAAGCAATGCCTTTTTCATCATTTAATTTATACAGACAAGAAACTATTCACCCATCAAGTAAAGATCACTAAAAGAGAATGGAAGATTACCTGGACGGGTTTCTGAGTTGACTCGTTCTGAGTCGAAAATGTGGTCATGGTGGCTCCGATAGGACGATGGAGTTTGGAAGAGCTTCGTCGGGAATGAGACGAAAATGGGAGAAGAGAGGATTTGAAGCTAAATTGTTTGAGCATCACACTATTTATGTCCAGGTACATTGACTCTGCAACCACAACAAAAATTCGGTAAGCTTTTTAGGGTTTTTGATTCGCTCGAAATTTAGGAATTTTCGACAAGTTGCAACTTTTGACAATTTTTTATGTTAAGTGGGCTTTTTACAACACGACTCATGATGCTTCATGGGCCATGCCGTCTTGAAGATGACGACTCCAAGTTTTGTTGTTACACCTCCTTTTTCTTTATCAACTTTCTAATAATATAACACAAAAAAGACGGCAAAAAATATTTAGAAAAAAAAAATAGTACCAATTTTATCTGTTTTGGTCAAAAAATTGTTTGATTTTTTTTTCCTAATTTATTTGCCTAAAAACTCAATTTTGTGTTGATTAGTCGAATTATACTATACCTAACGTTAGTTAAAGTTAACATTTTTGTGCTACAATGTTTAATTTGATTAACGTTGGAACATAATTCGACTAGACATAATTCGTTAGTTAATAATGTTGGAGATTTAGCTGTTTGATAAATTAAAATTATTTTAGATCACCAAGGATAAATTTTGAATTAACATTTTTCTTTTCAAAATGTTAATTAAATAAAAATAAAGATATGTCTCCCCCAGTGGCAAAGCCCACCAAAGCTGGCTTCGGACTCCACTTACTCTTGGTGGGTTAATGTAAGCCTTTTGTGTGGCCAAGTTTGAAAAGTAAAGCTTTTTGTTCTTTCTAATCATCGAAAAGGATATAGCTTTTAAGATGAATAGCTCGTGAATTGATAAGTGTTTCAAAATTGAAATGCTGATAATAAGAAATTATTATGTACTGTACCTAACAGTACTAGAAGATAAAAATTGAGTTGATGTATTATTGTATAGCCTAATTTATAAATGATATAACCGAACTTATACATGTTTTAACTGGGCTTCTTTATGCCATAACCGAGTTAGCCGATCAGGCCCAATACGACGGCCTGATTGGTCTAAATTTTCGGGTCGGTCAGTTTCCGGTTCCACAGATTTGACCCGACCCCATCGATTGGACCATTCAAAGCTCTCTCCTACAAGCTCCAGTTGCTTGGTAACGGAAAAATCGAGGAAGGTTATTTGCTCTAGTTTGGTGAGATCAAAGACAAACTTTTCTGCTTATTTTTGTAGATGCAATTATCTATTTCACGTTTATGTTCCGTAATTCGAAATGTATTCCAAGTGTTCGCTGAAATGTCAGATTCGCTTTGTGTAGTTTCTATCTCGGATGTTCTACTTAGTGTGATGTCGATTTTTATGTGTAACTTTAGCTCAACACAGTTTTGGTATTACGATTCTGCTCTCGTTTACTAAAAAGTTTCAGTTTTGTTACCATTTTGCAACAAAGAGTTCCTACCGAGTTTCATTGTTTTCAATTACTATCCTAGAGGGGATTTAAACGGAGTTTGGTTAACAGAGAGAAAATGGCAAGTCAGGAGAATGTGAAACACCTTGAGGATTGTTCTGTTTCCAAGTAAGTTGTTTTCTTTATCTTCTTGCATCTATACTGACTTCTTCTTGTCTTTTGTTTAGTATTTGCGATTATCTTGAATCGTTTCTTTATCATGGACCTCATTAGTTTTGTAGCGACATCCGATTCATTATTCATTCTTGTACTGAATTCATTCAGTTTTACAGCTGCCTGCTTGCTTAGTTTATTCCTAGTCTTCCATGTGTAGTACCGAATCTTCATGAGTCTAAAGACATTTGGTCCAATCTTGTCTTTCTTGAGAGTGACTTTAATTTTTCTTCTTTGCAGTGCACTAGGGACGTGGGTATTCTCAGTCTTAGGCGCCTTGGTTGCAATCCCTGTTGGCATAAAACGGAAATCTCTAGCTCCACTCGTCTTTTTTGGCACAACAGGCACTATGCTTGACATCATAACTGGAGTTAGTCAGTGCGAAAGAGAGCACGCAGAACATCAAATGAAATCACAAGAAGAAGCTCAGATTACAGCCACCAAATCAGAACCAGAGACCGAAAATCCCCCGTCATGATCTCTCTGACCTCAACCTTGTGCCCATATATCTTTTGATCCTGAAGCACTTTTTAACATGGAACCATTGCAATCAATGATATTATGTTGTAATGTTATCATTAGCAGAGGCTTGTTTTCGCACTGGAAACAATTACAAGTGAAAGCTTTTGATGGTTTTGGCCAACCCAAAACTAAAACATATTGGGAGAGCGAAAACCATGAAAACAAAGGAAATAGAAAGACATTTAACACAACTTCGAATCAAACCAATGGGGATTCCAGACCGAACCAAAAACAACGGCAAGTCCCCACATTGGTCTCTATGTATCTATATCATCCCAACTACGGAGCTGTTCTAGTCCGACATGATTTTCTTTTTTTAGCAACTGCAATCTGAAAAATATACAACAGTTGCTATAATCTACCTCTTCAGAGATCTTTCTTTTGCTTCAATCATCTAATAATAGTATGAACTCATGTAGAGTCTCGCTCCTATATCGAGCGGACCATCATCTCCACCAACAGCGTGAAGAACCACAGGAATGGTCGAGAAAAGTTGGATGGTCAAAGGGAAAACCGCGGGGGCAACCTTGTCTTTTGACACAGCTTCTGATGACTCGGTGTCATGGACGGACAATGTGCTGCATTTTGCAACACATAGATCACAAGGACTCACCAAATAGACAGCTTCCTTCAAGGGCTTGAAATAGCCTCTTCCACCTCTCTTGGAATATAGTATATCGAGGATTAAAGTTGATGTTGCATCTAACCAGTCTGCACACAAGCCTTCGATTTGGTCGTAGTATATTCTCCGTTCAATCTGTGACAGCATCAATAACAACAAGTGTTGAGCAGATTGTAAATAGGGATTTAGATGATTTAATAGATGGTAAATGAATCAGTAGAGACTTACGCCAAGCTTGCTAATGTAAACAGTCATAAATCTTGATCCCAAGTTCATTACTCTAGCTTCACACGGAAAAACCTGCAGATAGAGAAATAAATGAGATTTCTTAACATAAGCATAAGAAACAGCAGAATGATGCAAGATACCAATATACTTGCCTCTTTTTTCTTCAGCACAAACCAAGTGTAGAGCTTATCACATGCATCTCTGACTTTTCGAGCAGCCAGCTTCCTCTCATTGCAATAAGCAGCGACATCAGAAAGTATTTCAGTGGAGGGAACACCATGTTTCAAAGCAGCGACTGATAATGCTTCCTTTCCCTCCATAGATTCAGCAGCATCTTTATTGAAATGAATGCCGGTGAAACAGCTTCCCACTTCATCAATTGATGTTTGCTTCAGCTTTGAGTACAACTCCTCAGCCTCAAGAGCAGCAGCTATCGCACGATGAACAACTATGTCTGGGTACCGTCGAAGAGGAGATGTGAAGTGAGTATAAAGAGGAACAGCTAGTGCATAGTGTCCCCACTCAGCAACACTGTCCTTCAAATTCCCAGTGCAGAAGTAAGATGCAAACTGCATAGGTTTTATAGCATAATTGTTCAGAATATCTACAAAAACTGAGTCATCCTTGAGGTTTCCAGTGATTTTCTCCAATGACTCCTGGAGTTGGCCAGAAGAAGAAATGTCCAAATCCATACCATGCTTTGAACAAAAGCCTTCAAATTCTTTGAGCTTGCGCGTATTTGGTTCTGGATGCCTCCGGAGCAATGCTCTAGCAGGGTAAGCTTGAGAAATAACCTCAGCCGCTGTCATATTTGCTAAGAGCATAAACTCCTCAACAAGAAAATTTGAACCCTTTCTAGAAGACATCACAAAATCATATGGAACTCCATGTTCATCAAACAGAAAAACAGGCTTCGAATTTTCCAGCTGCAAAGCCCCATTTCTAAATCTTCTTTGCCTTAAAGTGGTAGAAATCTCACTAAGCTGTTTGACAGATCGAATTACATCACTCCACTCGAAAGATCCATGCAACGCAGGCCAGCCATTTTCTGCACCATCACTTTTCCCATCTATAATGTCTTGAGCATGGTCATATGAAAGCTTGCAGCACGACCGTATAACAGTACGACCAATCCAGCGATCTATCACATCCCCTTCTCTATTTAAATCCCAGAAGATAGAAAAAGTAAGTCTATCAGCTCCGGGAGTAAGTGAACCTATGTTCTCTGATAGTAATGGAGGCAACATTGATACTTTTCTCTGGAGCAAGTAAACACTTGTCGACCTAAACTGAGCTTCTGTGTCAAGAGCAGTCTCTGGTAAAACAAAGTAGGAAACATCAGCAATGTGAACACCGACTCTAAAAAAACCGCCGGGTAAACTTTGCACTGATAGAGCATCATCAAGATCTGTAGCCGTCGAGGGGTCGATAGTTAATACACACAGGTCTCTCAGATCTTTTCTACGTTGAACCTCTTCTTCTGGTACTTCCCAAGGCACATGTGGAAGACTAGTAAGCGAACCAGGAGAAAAGTCAGACTCGCAAACCGAGTTTTGATATAATATCGCATTGATCTGAGGCTCCAATTCACTGCCTCGGCCAAATAGATGTGTAATTTGGGCTACGGGAAATGGACTCCCTTCGCCCCAGTCTACAATTTGGGCAGCTACCAACTCTGCCTCGAGAGTTGGATCCAAATTCTCAAGTCTTGCTCTAATGCTTCCAGGTAAGACATGGAAGGGAACAATCAATTTAGGAAACCTAGGGTCTGCAGGCATCAGTTGGACATATTCATCATCAGAAAGAGACAGAGGAGACTTGCACCTTTTTTTATCACTTTCCTTGTAATGAATCCATCCCTTGACATCAAGCAAGCCAACGATAGAATCCCTTACAAGTGATTTTTCAACAACAGCAACTACTTGTCCCGTAGGTCGTTTGTGGGGGAAGGAACTTAGGATGCCGCATAGCTTTTCAACCACACTGCAATTTCCTTTCTGCTCACAAAAAGAACCCAAACATGAATCCAATAATTGTGAAGAACTGCGAGTAACACCGTTCTTAGTTCCTTGTCCTATAACTGAAGAGTTGTTTGCCAAGAACCCATCTTCAAAACCTTCCACCACATCAACAGCATTATTTTGTCGAGCATTTTTGTCATCTTTCTCTGGGGGACTGTTCGTTCCTTCAGGCTTAGCAACACTTTCAGTAACAAATCCTTTCATCTTGGGCCACAGTGAGAGCGGATCCAATTTAATAACAACGATATCACCTTCCACCTTCATAAAGAAACACAAGTCTGAACTTAAAAAACCAACCAATGAACTAAAATAAAACCTCTCCAACATGGGCCAAAAGGAAAAAAGATAGTAGATGGATTGCAGGAAAAAAATAAGTCAGGAAGCTTAGTGTACAACAATAAACCAAACTTACTGCTCTATTTTGGCCAACATTTCCATTGATTAGAATATCTGTAGGGACTCCATCGATCTTACAGTAAGCCTTCAAAGGGAAAAAAAAAAACGGATTAAAAGTGAACAGAAGAAACCAACGGTTAAGAAACTTAAATCTCTTGGAAAATCAGGTGTTGCCACTAACCTCATTGCGATTATGAGCATTCACCCGAAATAGCGCTTTAAAAGCTTCACCTTTCTGATAAAATGCATAAAAGTAAAGACAGGTATGAGGTCGAAAAGATATAACTTAAATAGAAGAAGAAGAAAAAGATAAAGAGAACATCTCAAAGAAACCTCTAAAGCTTGGCTCACAGCATCAAGAGACCAGTGTGAAGAGAAAATCTTTCGCTGAGAGGAACCTTCAATTTGCGGGAACAAGTCACCATCCATCCTAGGAGACTGCTCACAAGCCCTAGGATCAGGGCACGACTTCGATAACAATTGCTTACTAACTTCAGGAGAAGAAAGCAACGGACTTTCAGATCTCCCTGGACAACCAGTTTCTGCTCGCCCCTCAAAACGCATAGGCGGCATAGAATTGAAAGCAACATTAGACGCTCTCATAGCTTCAAGTTCATTAGAATGATCCGATATCTGCTGCTTCGATGAAGAAGTAGAATCTTTAGCTTTACTCCTACTACTAGTTCTACCATCTGATGACTCCTCCACATGTGTATCCTCTATCGGTACTGTTCCAAGACATTAAAGTTGTAAACTTGCAAGGTAAACGTAACAAACATTTTCTTAATTCTCAAGTTACATTGTGAGGCTACTAAAAGACAACTAACATTCAAACTAAAAACTGGGTTTAAGTCTAGCAAATCCAAGAACCTAATCAGTTTACTGATATTGTAAACCCTAATTATCAACTTCAAAGTTACCGGCGACATAGGAAAAACTCAAGCTATCATAAACAAAAGAAAAGATTTTTGAACCTGAGCTGTGTTTAGATCGACGCATATGTTTCTGAGGTCTGTTCCTCTTCTTCTTGTGACCGTTTTCGATTCTCTCAACTGATTGTTCCGTCGACGCACTCTTCATCGCTTAACACTATAAACTCTTAACGAGCTCTTCTGAGTAAAAAACTATCTCTAGAAGAAAAAAAAAAGCTAGAATCTTCCGATCAGATAAAAAACAGAAACGGAAGAAACACAATTGATAGTCTAATCGAAGAAGAAAAACAAAAAGAAATCGCGAGTTTCGCGACGATACGAAGAAAAAAAACAAGATCTTGGATCTTATTATCAGAGGAAGAAGAAGATGAAGAAATTAATTAAAAAGATAATTGGTTGGCGAAGAAAGAAAACGATGTGATGATGATTGGTCGGCGCAATCCGCCGACTGATGTGTTTGCCTTTTCCTTTTCCTTTTCCTTTTTTAATATTTTCTTTTTCTCTCACTTTTTTTATTTATTTGCTTCTCTCTAATTTCCTTTTTAATATACTAGCTTGAGTCGGTTGGTTCTTCGTATTACACGTGTAACTTAACACTTCATCGGACGGCCATTGTGCTACGCTTTCTTTTCTAAGATTTTATTTGCATTCACCCCCTTTATGTTTTTAGTATTATCATATTTACCCCAACTATCTCAAAATTATTTTTGCACCCTTCTCAGTGCCATCAACCAAACAAAATCGTCAATAATACGTTCATAACAAAACACACTCAACATTAGGATACAAGTCAGTATTGTGTCACATATTAAAACTCACCAAATCCAATTAAACAAAATAATAGATGTTGAGCTCATTAATTATTAATTTTAACACCATAGCTTGCAAAAAGCAGATCTTATAAACCCACCACCATTTGGATCTCGAGGAACGATATAGTAAGACTTGAAAGCAGGTCGGTTGCAATATTTGTGACATGCTTTCTCACACACGGTCAGATTATTAGCCTCGGGCATGCATTGTTCTGGAATACAAGCCTTGATGCAACTCTGTAGTTCTTCTGGACTAATTCCTAAATTTACAAAGCTTTTGCTCTTGACGCACCATGTCATGTTCATTACCATAGCCACCATTAGCATTGCTATTATCATCACTCTTCCATTTGCTGCCATTTTCTTTTTTAAAATATTCCACCAAAATTTGTGTTCGATTCTTGTAATTCGTATTGGTAAAAATTTCGAGAGATATGTACAGTTGTGGTATCTATTTTTAAGTTTTTTGTTTTAACTACTTTGTTGTGAAATGTAACTTTTTGTGTGACAAATAATGGCCAATGGGTACAAGTACAACTAACTCTCTTTTTTGTTTTATAATTCCAGGATAAAATTGTCACTAATTTCTGTTTTATTCAACTGTCAATAACTTATAGTTGTGATTTGTAACAGAAATAGTTTGCTGTTTTGACTTAATTAAATTTGTAATGGTTTTATTTAGTATTTTTTAATGTGTTGTTATAAGTAAGTTCCTAAATTAAGCTATGCATGTTCTTTCGAAGTTTGAGTTTCTCTTGAATCGGATTGTAATCGATAACGTTGCAAAATATTCGGTGCAACATTATCGAATGACGTTGTAGTTGTATATGTTCCGTTTCCTTTTTTTGTTAACGTCAAAAAGCTATAGATTATCGAATAACGAGAAGATGACCAAAGGATGCAATGGAATGTTGTATTATGTTTTTAGGATTTGGGTTGTTAGTTGTTACTACAAGCCAATGGCACTTACAAAACCACGTAGAACATCCAATTTATATTTTAACCAGGATCCAAACCACCACAAAACTGAAATCGAGTTGATTAAAAAAAGTAAAAACTACTAATCACAATGGACCTTAAAGAGGCACATGCATGTAGAAGGCTTAATTAGGCCTCTCTTGACATTTTTGGACATCAATATCATTTTGTAGCATGGGTTGACGTCTTTGTGAAGACCTGTTTACTTGATAGGCTGAAAGTCTGAAACTAGGCCATTTAGAATTTGGTATTGAAATGGACCCAAACTATTGCATATTTCATTTTGACGAAAACCCCTCTGTTGTAATATGCCAAACTAGGCCCACTAACAATATTTGAAATGTAACTTAAATTACACCAATAACTGAGAACTTACATATCTTTAATTTTGTTAAAATAATTTTTACGAGATAAGTAGTCAAAATAATTGTACTAATACTTTCTTTTGTTTGTATGAATGTTAAATTTATTCACAATTATACTAATAATTTCATTGGAAGACTTTTTATATACTAAAAATTTTTGAATTGATAATAATAATGTGAACGGCATTAGGTCAGGATAGAGATTGGCAACTGCAAGCAGACGCAGCATGTGTGGTTGATGAACATCGACATCATAATGTCATTTCGAGACAAATGTGTATCGAACATGACTTACAATGGACAAGGGACATATATTTTTGTATACATATTTTCAAGCATAAGCTTACAAATCTTCATGCACATTCATGAGAAACCCTCCAACGCATAAAATTACAAACCTGTCATGCATGTACCCATCATTTGTTATTTTATGTTTTTTAAAATCTACTTTTAAAATAAATTTCTAGCTAATGTTCTGGTTCGAACAACTCAAATGTTCATTACTCCAAAACAGGACTCGCGGTCAATTTACAGATTTTTTTTTTGGCTTTTTACGAATAATTATTGTTGAAACATATGAATAATCAACAACAACAGAAAATCAGAGCCGTCTGATATTTGCCATGTGAAATTTAGCCTTTTTCTCTGAAATCAAGGAGATGGAAGATTAAAAAGGTGAAGATATCGAAGATGATATTTTTCTTTCTTTTTTTCACCAAGACCCCACGCACGTGTGAGTCTTATCCACACGCTTTTTTGTCATTCTCTGATCTCCCTTTCTTTGCTTACTTGCAGAAAATTCACATCACTAAAAGATTTTCATTCTCTCTTTTGCAATCGAACACGAAGGCTGAGCACAACGTGAGAACGTGTTCATCTTGATTTTTGTGTCTTGTCGTTTTCTCGCAACTTTTCTAGATATTGATCCAAGACTCTTTTTTTTCTTTTCTTGTTTTTGAATTTATTGTAAAATCTATTTTAGTTGTCTATTGATGATTTAAAGTTTGATCTTGTCGGATTTTTAATATCATTTGAATAAATAATACATTTTCTTGCTTAGTATACAACTCTTAAATCTTAACACGTTTGAATTTTTATTTTATTGTATCCCAATCTTGATTTGGAATTCTATGTTCCAAATTAAATCATAAACTATACGTGCTTAATTAGTGTTCTTTTTTTTTTTTTTTTGTTGTTAAGAACTACGTACTTAGCTATACACAAGCAAAAATATCTATAGGACCTTATATATATATAGGATGTACAGTATCCGCCAATAAAACAGTGTTCACGTATTTGTTTATATAATATTGATAATCTAAAGTGAATAGTATTTACATCTTTATTTTTCATAACGCTTTTAATCAAAGGAATATTAGACTACACGTTTAATTATTTTTTCCAAAATTATCCTTAAATTCGTCCTTTTCCTACTTAACTTCTTCTTTTGTAATATCTCACCGCAACACACACAAAATTAGGTTAAATATATATTCAAGGATAGATTATGATAACGTTTTTGTATTATTCCAATTTGGCTACATTGATTTTGTATTATTTTGTCTATATCTTTAGCAGGTAAAGAAAATGGCAGAATAGTGATGACCCAACTTCCCATGAGATTGATTGGAGCATGGAAGTTATAAAGCTAGTCAAAAAACAGTTTATTAGATTGGCAAATCCATAAAAGCGCTTAAAATGTTTGTTCGAATATTAACTTTTGACACTCAGATTCCTGAATGTCTATTTATATATCTATCACAACTTATGTCTATTGAATTATTTAGTGTCCCGTCGGAATCAATTTTTTGGTAATAAGTCTAGTTGTTCCGGCAAAAGATGAAATGTTTCTATGAGTACTGATTTTCAATTTTTTTGGACTTTGACCCCAAAAAGGTTTCTTTTTTCCGATAGTACCTCTAATAATATGAAGTTGTTAGTCAAAAGTAACCATCTAGCAAAATCAACCCAAATGTCAGTTTTCTGGTAACCATGATAGTAAGTTTGTTCCAACTTAATTATTGCTAGCTAAATAGATATCTCGATATGTCGCTTTTGTTGTTCTTGTGATAACTTATTCCTTAATTACGTCATATGAAAAACTAGTTCAAATCATGAACCCTAACAAGAGCAGTGTATTGATTAGTGATCGATGCATCTTAGATTTCGGATAATTGTTCATCAGTTATATTTTAAATATCAACTTATTCTAGTTTCACCTAAATGATCTTTTAGAGTTTCTATGGCTTTTGCATTTTTAAGCCTTCTCTAATAAATGTTTACTTAAGTTATGGTTTTATTCAATGTTGATATCGATGAAGTACTATTTCATCTTTACTTTGTTTTGTTTTTGATACATCTATCAAAATTTGTAAGAAATTTTGGTTTTACTTAAAAATTATCAAACTAAACGAATAATCATATGCGATTATCAGTTATTTGACTTTACCAAGCACCAACCATTGAATCAATTGGTGTAAAAAGTCTGCCTAAGTACGTACTAACAACACTGACACAGAGCCTGCCATAGCCTTTTGCCTCTTTATAATCTTTCTGTTTTTTAAAGATACGCCTTTCCTTTTGTGATGTGATGCTAATTTGCCCATGATGGTTTCAGATCGTGATCACTCACGTTCAGAAAAAAAAAAAAAAAGTTTAGATCTATACTTGATTGCTTCAAAGATAATCCAATGTATTTTAAAATCAAACTCTCATAAAATTACCCACATAAATGTCTTTTACTACAGAGTATAGATCACGAGGTTGTACGGTTTTAAATCATACTGATCGCAGAATATCTAGTCAATTTTCATCAAAAACTCAGTGCTCATCAAAAGACGATGAAATTAATCTCAGTATAAAGAAAATAACGAGATCATTACACACAAACACACATGAAAATTACATGAGCTATAGATTAATAATAGGGTTGGCCTAAGATAGCCATCACACCTTAACTAAGGAACAAAAAAAAACCAATTTACCAAAAACAACTCAACATAACAAATTAAACAAACCCGAAGTAAAAGATTATTGTCATCAAACAATTACAAAGAGATGTGATTTTTAATAAATACTAAAAAATGGATATAATAACTTATATGTATTAGATCTCGAAAACAAAACCCCCTCAGATGAAACTCTCTTTCTAGAAGGTCTTGAATGGCAAATTTGTATATCATGGCTTGTGAGGAGGGCATTGGTAGCATTTAGTAAAGAGACCAAAAGTGTCGATCTGGCGAACAAAGTTGACCATACTTGCCCATCCTCCGAACCCGAACCCAACTACGAATACCCAAACCACCACGAATATGTTTATGCAATAAGTCCCAAGCCATCCTCCTACCACTCGCGGCGGTCTCTCCACCGCGTTCTGTTCACCATATATCAATATTAAACATTTAGATATACCAAAATATTATTCTAACAATTTTCAATTAGTTTTGTAAACTTTTTTTTTTTTTGGGCAAATTAGTTTTGTAAACTTAAACTAAAATTGTAACAAGCTTTTATGAAACAAAAATAATTTTAAAACGACATTTTGGAAGACAGAAAGAAATTTAACCTCTCTTGAAGGAGCAGGAGCAAAGGTAAGCATATGAGCCAATGCGGGGATGATGTAGACAGTGAAGCTAACTAAGAGAGATCCAACCGCGGAATTGATTGGTCCGAAAAAGGGGAAGATAATGGCTAAGAACCATATGGGTACAACCACGGGTAATCTAGCCATGGCTCTTTTGAACATGCTCTTCGTCTCATGCACACCTATCAATTTCTCCCACACAAAATATAACGGTGTAGACGCAAATCCGAATGTTATAAATTGATGAATGAGCATGAGGATCACTGCGGTATCTCTAAAACCAGTCTTAGGGAGAAGAGAGAGCGCATTGGAATGAGTTAGTAGCTTATCGCCAAACGCCCAATAAACCGCAGACGCGGATGGTAGCGTTAGCGTTAATACGTATATTGTCGCTAGTAGATATATCGCCTTGAACTTTTGTGGTTTCCACATAGCGTGCATTATCTCCCTATTATATTGTTTCAATACATATAGTTAATAAGACATTGAGCCATTTTATTTTTCCAAAGAAAACAAAATTAATGCTTACACTGTGACGGCGTGGCCACCGAATGTGTAGAGAATGTTGGTGGCTCCGGTGAAGTAAAGCACCATGGTGGTTGGACCCGAGTGTTTAACATCCTCAGCCTTTTTTTAATCAAAACGTTTAATTAAATTAACAACAATAACCAGGACTATATATTATACAAATCAATGAAGATCATTGTTAATCAAGTGACCTGTCCATGAAGGAGTGAAGCAATAGTGAGATACCAAGAAGTGTAAGTGGTCATAGCGAGTCCGAGGAATGACCAAATTCTATAATTGTGGAAGGAAGGAATAAAAACAGTTGTTGCACAACACGCCCCAAATATGTATGTCCATGTCCTCTTGTCCAATTTGTCATTAATATAATATATATTGCTGCAAATTATTTTTTATATTAATAAAGTTTCCCATATGAAAAAAACAAACATATAATAAAGAAAATGAACATTAATTAATAATTTACCTAGCACAAGCAATGAGCTGAATAACGGATCCAAAGAGAAGAAAAGTGCAGTTAAAGATCAATCCAAGGTTCCTCCAATGTTTCCCCAACAATCCATCTAACACCTCAAACCACTTTTTTTATTTAAAAAAAAAAACAAAATAGTTAGAATTCAACAATACCATAACCAAACATTAATTATAAGTATAACTAGTCACAAGAATTAGAGGTGGAATAAAAACCTGAATAACGTGATTACGGAAATCGAATTTTTCTCGTTCTTTACGAGTTCGATATTCAACATAAAGAACACTAATGAGATAAGCAGTCCAACTTCCCATTAGTCCATAAAAGAGTTGAAACAAAATTCCCGACACCATCCCAAGTTGTGAGAACGAGTACGGTAATGTCAACAGAACTTGTGCCACCTGCCATTTTTGTTACAATTTAGCTAGAGACGACGATACATACACATGTAACTATTTTGTATATGAATTTACCTGATTTGAAGCACAGCTGAACCAAGCATCGTAGACAGAACCTCCATGCCAGAAGAAGTTGGAAAGTTTTGTTTTAGCGGAAGATTTATTGTTACCACTCATGTTTTCTTCTTCTCTCTCCATTTCCAAGTAATTCCCTGCGACCACTGTCTCTATTTTCTCTGCCGCCATTTTTATCTTCTTCTCTGATCAGTTTCTTTAGCTTCTTTACTTCCACTCTTTAAATAGATTAATGAAGACCTTTTTTCATTTATTTATTTGTTTTATGGGTTTTTTCTTTCTTTCTTTTTCTCTGAGGGCAATTATTGAGTAACGAGTGTCGGGCGACGAAGTCTTTAGTCACCGCTGAAGAGTTGTCATGTGGATTTTGGTTTATGATTGGTTTGTGACGGAGTTATATCACCTACTTGTGAGTGTTACTGTTTTCGGCGAGCGTGGATTGTTTTTTTAATGGGCTTGATTTGATTGTTGGGCCTATAGGCCATATTTTGTAGCATAACACGAACGGGTAGGCCCGGTTTGAGATTGTTAATTATATATTGACCCCGATAATATGCGAAAAAAGAGGGTTCGCTAATTATAGATTTTGAAGTTTAAAGTAGTGAGAGTAGACTAATTGTAAATTGGAAAATAGAAGTGACGACAATGATGTTTTTTTTTTTTGAAAGAAAGGCTAAACTATTATTATCATTAACAATTATTTGAATCATGATGATTGTAACAACTAGAACAATGAATAAAACACATTGGTCCTTTTTCGTTCTTGTGATAAGGATGAAAACGATCTATATGTATAATAATCAATTATATTTCTAAGTTTTTATGTTTTGTCCGATTATATTAGATAGCTGTTAATTGGAACTTGAAAATACATATATCTATGCCCTTGTCTACCATATGACACCACACAATACAAATATCCAAACGCTCGATTTCGAAGTAGAAAAACTTAGTTAAAAGACAGGAAGAAATAGTGATTTGTGAGGGAATCGAGGTTTGGAGATGGATCCAATGGAAAGAATGATTGCTAATCAGGTGGGATTAGTGGTAAACATAATTACCACACGTGTCTAGCTGTCTAAGCTTTATTTAACTCACTAATTTCCCATATTTTCTTTTTAAAATTTCTCCTTTTTAGCCCCATACTTTTACAATGGATCGAATTATTAATGAGAAGGTATCATCATTTTAGATCTTTATAGCTTTTTAACCAGGCCAAAATGGATGGCAGCGGAAAGAAAACTGATCACCAATTTGCATTATAATATGCATTTTTTTTTTTTTTTTTTTTTATTGTTGTGATATGTCCTTTACTTATATAGGCTATTGAGATATCTCTAAAAGATATAAATATTGTCGTCCCTAAATAGAGCAGAGAAAAAAAAAAAAAAAAAAAAAAAAAAAAAAATAGAGCAGAGATTAAGATGTCATTGATTATAATATTGGAAATAATTGCAAGTCATTGTAGTTAAATAATTTGATAATCTTGAAATCAGGAATTCGATTCTACTGGATGGTAGATATAAATGATTCCCATAACGACAAAGAATGAGAAGTTTTGTTTTGAATTTCATCAATTTATCTTCGTTAGAAAATCTGCTTACGAAACAAAAATATCATGACTACAAATTTATTAATGGTGTAAAGTCAAAAAGCAGAATATAATAATGGGCCGAAAAGTGAGCCATTTGAGTTCGAACTGAATGGGCTATATGATTCGTTAATTAGGCCTACTATATCCGTAGATGAATTGACCCATGACATGAAGACTAAAATAATCGAAGATCAAGATGATTATCCAAATTTGCAAAAACAATAATAGGCAGATAAAAAGTCACATACATATAGATCCTATTCCTTATACAAATAAATATATTTTTATTATTTACTTAACTATATATATATATATATATATAAATAAATTTTATCTAAACATGTAAAGTACTCCCTCTGTTTTTTAAAAGTTGTCGTTTTAACTGTATTTGGACAAATTAAGAAAAGGTATACAATGACTATATTAACCTTATAAAAATGACAAGTAATTATTTACAAATAATTTGTGTTTAATTAAATGAGGGTAATTTGGGTAGTTATTGGCATAAGTTACATTATTACCTTAAAACGACAACTAATTTAAAACAAAAAAATGCTCTAAAACGACAACTATTCGAAAACGGAGGGAGTATATCCTAACCATTTGGACTTTGATTACCTTAACAGCATCCCAAAGAATACTTGCATGAAGCATCAGGAAAGGAATAACACTAACTCTTTCCCAAATTCCAAAACAAGGAACCTTTATTATTTGAAAACACACATACAGTATACTAAAACCGATTATTATAATTGGACCTATAGACTCTCCACGCAAGTTATTCTTTCTTCCTTCCTTAAAAAAGGCAATTTCACTTCAATAATTTTTGTAAACCGAACCATAGTCAGACCAGAAAATAAGATTACCTTGATCTTAAATCTTTTCTTGTGAAGATGCCAATTCGTTTCGGTTTGTCACCAAGGATCTTGTTACTCTTTCTCACGATGTTATCAGGTAAATAATTCAAACATTTTAGTATTTTCTACCGTAATTAAACGTCTCATTTGGGTAGATATTTTTTAAATTAGGGTTTGGATACCGATTAGAACTCGTGTGAATTATTTATTATATTCCACAGGAACAAAATGGTCAGAATCAGCTCGAGTATTCACGATCATTAACTCATGTGATCAAAAGATCTGGCCGGCGATAACTCCCGGAGAAAACTTCAACGGTGGAGGATTCGAGCTCAAACCGGGCCAATCCATCGTATTCAACGCACCAGTAGGCTGGTCAGGCCGAATATGGGGACGAACCGGTTGCAAATTTGACTCAACCGGAACCGGAACCTGCGAAACCGGTTCATGCGGGTCAACTCTAAAATGTGCAGCCTCCGGAAAACCACCAGCTTCACTAGCTGAATTCACATTAGCCGCATTGGATTTCTACGACGTGAGCCTTGTCGACGGATTTAACCTCCCGATGTCGGTGACTCCGATGAACGGAAAAGGAAACTGCAGCGTCGCCGGCTGCGTAGCTGATTTGAGGCCACATTGTCCGCAGGAGCTCGCAGTGAAATCAAACGGGAAAGTGATATCGTGTAGGAGTGCTTGTGATGTGTTTGATAGAGATGAGTATTGTTGCAGAGGAGTTTATGGGAATCCAGTGGTGTGTCAACCAACTTATTACTCAAAGATCTTCAAGCAAGCTTGTCCTACTGCTTATAGTTATGCTTATGATGATCCGACCAGTATTATGACTTGCACTGCCTCTGATTACGTCATCTCTTTCTGTTCCTCCAGGTTTGTCTTTTAACGTTTTTAACTACATGTCATGTTTCTAATCAAGTTTAATTCATTCATAACTCGTTTCTATTAGAGCATGATTTTTTTTTTTAAATGTGAAAATGACGTTTACATGTCATGACACTTAATTTCATATGCAAAATTAAAGAACTAATTAAGGTTATTTTTTTTTATGTGTATAGGAAGAAGCCGGTGTGCACGTACCATGATAACAAGTTAGTATGCAGCAATGGTTCTGGTGGGTTTAAGAAGATGATTGGGAGATTGTGGCTTGTGTTGATGTTGTCTCTTGTTGTGTTTAGCTAATTTCGTGATTCTTTTTTAGATAAACAAGTTTTTTTTTTTTCTTTTACTCTTGAGGAAAATATCTCATGTGTAAATAATTTTAGTTTCAAAGTCAATGTAAAGGTTGATTTGGGTGTAAAAAGAAAGATGAAGATACATTTTAAGAAAAAAGATAATTTCTATGGTTAAATTATTAAAAAAGATTAAATTACATATGGGCCAAAAATGGGCCTGAAGTGAAATACAACTTTAATGTTGGTATTTTCTCTGGTTTCAGACACAATTTTTTTTAAGAAACTCCTCTTGCCAAATATATTGATTTTATTGGTGGAGTTCAATTAATTATTATAAATTTAATTAAATAAGAAAATTATAATAAAATTATAATTTTTTGTTGATCAGAGAACCATTTTTAAAATATCACCGTTGAGGATGCTCTTAACCCTCTTTCTTGGTGTATGCGTCATTTCAACGCCAATTCCGCCGTGCTAATCTGATCTCCTCCGTCGCCGGGAAAAATGTCATCAAAAGTCTCCTTCAAAGTCACTCTGACTTCGGATCCTAAGCTTCCTTTCAGAGTGTATGCGGATCTAGGCTCTCTTTTTTTCGATTTACGCGTTTGATTCACCTGTGATTGATCTCTTGGTTGTTTCTTCTCCGATCAGTTTCAGCTTTCCAGAAGATGCTCCGTTCACGGCGGTTCTGAGAGCCGCAGCAGAAGAGTTCAAGGTTCCTGCAGCAACCAGCGCCATCATCACTAATGGTAATTGTTGACTTTCATTTTGAGATCGATTCTTCTTGGCCTTATATCGCATCATCAAGCTGAGTATCTCGAATTCGAATTTTGGCCTTTATTGATTGTTGATGTGATGAATAAGACATATGCAGGACAATTGTGGATCCTGAAAGGGATTTGTTTTGGATTAGTAGACTTTAGTTCTCACCTAACTAATCTTTGATGTTAGGGTTGTGGTTTAGTCACCTATTAATTAGTTTCGACTGATTTAATCCATCAATTCTCAAGAGTTCTGATGTGATGCATCTTTATTCATGTATGTGTGCAGATGGGATTGGGATCAATCCTCAACAGAGTGCAGGTAACTTTCGTAATGCTAAACATTTGACTTGGTTGATTGCTTTTACTCAATTCTATCTTTTATTTCTCTTTTGCATGGTTTTATTGTAATGTCTTTATAATCTTAGAAGATCACTTGTGTTGTCCTTAATATCCTATGGTTTTTTCTTTTTGCTTAACTCATCTCCATTAACTTGTAAGCTTATTAATCTTAGTCTCTAAGTGACTTCAGTGTCCATAGGAAAGCCGGATAACAACCTTTAGATTGTTTATACACACTCGGGTTTCGCTGTAATAATACTTCAGCTGTCCTTTCAATTGTGTTCACATTTCACAAGAACTTAAATCTCAACAACTAAACACAAGTATGGTCGAAATGAAGCTCCTTGATCTATGATTGTTTTTTTTCCCATCTATTTTCTTGAATGTTAATGAATATGGTGTTATGAATGATGTCAGGAAACGTTTTTCTTAAGCACGGGTCTGAAGTCAAACTGGTCCCGCGTGATCGAGTTGGAGCTGCGTTTGTGATGGATCCATGAATGTTATAAGCAAATGAGTATAACTCAGTTCCATGCCTTTTAAAAAATAAAATAACATTGAAATGCTCAATGTACAACTTCTTTGAATAAATATGTGTTGTTCACATACTTTTTACGGATTAAATGAATTGTATTTGGTCATGTTATATATATGTCTGGTATAATTCATATTCATATATGCTTAGATAATGTATGTGCACTAAAAAGAGCATATCTCAGTCAGTCTTTACATGTTCCATAGAATAGAAGAGAAAGGCTCCTTAGTCTGCCGCTATCTTTCACTGCTAGTGAATATCACGTAGGAGTGAAATTCCTATGAATAAGCCTTTTGTATCCACATAATGAGAAGCCCCCGGCGAACACTTTTTATGTTCGTGGTTGGATGCCAAATGATCTATGCGTTTTTTGTCAATTAATAATCTAAATGCATCAACGATCTATCGCGGAAGTATTAGATGTCGAACCACAAGGAATAAAGATTGCAACACTAAAGATCTGAGATTCAAACTAATTTAGAGGAAATGATTTTTATGTTTTTGTTTTGATGAAAAGATAAGAAATGCAAGAAGTAATATAATGAAGTGATTGATTCAAATGCAGAAATTTAGTTTTTTTTTTTTTTTTTTTTTTAAATGTGTATAGGAAGAAGCCGGTGTGCACGTACCAAGATAACAAGTTAGTACGCAGCGATGGTTCTGGTGGGTTTAAGAAGATGATTGAGAAATTGTGGCTCGTGTTGATGTTGTCTCTTGTTGTGTTTAGCTAATTTCGAGACTCTTTCTTTTAGATAAACAAGATTTTTTTTTTTTTTTTTGAGGAAAATTTCTCATTTGATATGTATATAGTACTTCTAAGTTCTCAATTGTAAATAATTTAGTTTCAAAGTAAATGTATGGTTGATTTGGGTGTAAAAAAGAAAGATGAAGTTACATTTTAAGAAAAAAGATAATCTCTATGGTTATATTGTCAAAAGCATAAAATTACAAATGGGCCGCGAATGGGCCTCAAGTGAAATACAAGTTTAATGTTGGTATTTTCTCTGGTTTCAGACACGATTCTTAACCCTCTTGGTGTCTGCGTCATTGAAACGCCATTTCCGCCGTGCTAATCTAATCTCCTCCGTCGTCGGGAAAAATGGCCACTGGTGGAGGAAAAGTCTCCTTCAAAGTCACTCTGACTTCGGATCCTAAGCTTCCTTTCAAAGTGTACGCGAATCCAGACTCTTTTCTCTTTTCGATTTACGCGTTTGATTCACCTGTGATTGATCTCTTGGTTGTTTTTTCTCCGATCAGTTTCAGCGTACCAGAAGGAGCTCCATTCACGGCGGTTCTGAAATTTGCAGCAGAAGAGTTCAAGGTTCCTCCACAAACCAGCGCCATCATCACTAATGGTAATTAAACCATTGTTGACATTCATTTTGAGATCGATTCTTCTTCGCCTTCAATCGCATCATCAAGCATTATTGCTATAGGGATTCTGAGTTTTTCGAATTCGAATTTTGACCTTTTTCCCTCTTGATTGTTTGTACGATGTATGACAATTGTGTTTCTATTAGATTTGAAACATATATATGCATGTAACTCTTTTCTCTCGGCATTTTCTGTGGCTACAAAGTTTAAAAGTTAAAGCTTTTCTAGTGCTGGAAGATCCTAGAAGGGATTTGTTTTGAATAGACTTTAGTGCTCACCTATTGATTAGTTTCGGATGATTTAATCCATAGTAATCAATACTCAAGATTGCTGATGTGATGCATCTGTATTCATGTGTGCAGATGGGATTGGGATCAATCCTCAACAGAGTGCAGGTAACTTTCATAATGTTAAACATGTGACTTGGTTGATTGCTTTTACTTAATTCTATCTTGCATGGTTTGATTGCATGTCTTTATAATCTTAGAAGATCACTTGTGTTGTCCTTAAAGTCGTGTGGTTTTTTCTATTTGTTTAACTCATCTCCATTAACTTGTAAGCTAAATTAATCTTAGTCTCTAAGTGACTTCAGTGTCCATAGGAAAGCCGAATAACATCCTTTAGACTATTTATACATAGTCGGGTTTCGCTGTAATATTTCAGCTGTTCACATTTCAAAAGAACTTAAATCTCAACTATGTATAAATCATGCTCAATATGTTTTTTTTTTCCCATCTATTTTCTCGAATGTTAATGAATGTGGTGTTATGAATGATGTCAGGAAACGTTTTTCTGAAGCACGGATCTGAACTCAGACTGATCCCGCGTGATAGAGTTGGAGCTGCGTTTGTGATGGATCCATAAATGTTGTAAGCATTGAGTAAAACTCAGTTCCCATACCTTCAAAAAAATAAAATAACATATTGAAATGCTTAAATGTACAACTTCTTTGAATAAATATGTGTTGTTCACATCCTTTTACGGATTAAATGAATTGGATTTGGTCATGTTATATGTGTGTCTGGTATAATTCATATTCATATATGCTTAGATAATGTATGTGCACTAACAAGAGTCAAGAGCATATCTCAGTCAGTCTTTACATGTTCCATAGAATAGAAGAGAAAGGCTCCTTAGTCTGCCGCTATCTTTCATTGCTAGTGAATACCACGTAGGAGTGAAATTCCTATGAAGAAGCCTTTCGTATCCACATAATGAGAAGCCCTCGGCGAACTCTTTTTATGTTCGTGGTTGGATGCCAAATACCTGTTTTTATGCTTCAAACAATCTCATCTCTTTCTGTGTTTTTTTTTTGTTGGAGAAATTAGGTGTATGTATTATTCTTTTAATAATTTGACAAAAAAAGAAGTGTTTTAGCCAATAATACTACAAATTGTACCCATTCTTATACTTGAATGGTCTCTTTCCTTCTCCAAGCTTCCGATCTGATTTAGCAAGAACTGCACAGAGCTTCTTCTAAGTACTAATCCAGGTAGTGAATGTGGGAGCTTAACAAGGAACTTAACAAATCTGTAAGAAAGTGTGGAGGACAGGATGCCTAAGTTCGGGTATTTTTCAACGTGGTTAAAATCTAACACTTATACTACTTTAATTTGAAAAAGTAAAACATTGTATTGATTTAAAATTTTTAGCGAAATTAGTTAAAAACCTTTAAAATTTAGTTTAAATGTCAAATCTATATATTATGTGAAAACATGTGAAACTTATAACATCTTACGGACCAAAAAAAAAGACAAGATGCCTAAGTTCGGGTAGTTTTCAACGTGTTTAAAATCTAAGACTTAAACTAATTTGAAAAACTAAAACATTTTATTTATTTAAAATTTTCAATGAAATTAACATTTTAATTCTTTTTAGTTATAAAAAGTAATTTTCTAAAAAAATAGTTTATTTGTTAAATTTCTTTTTACGTGGATTTATTTTAAAATTTAGTGAAACTAGAAGAATTTTAGTAAAAATAATTATTGTTTAAAAAAACCTTTAAAAATTGATTTAAGTGTTAAAACTGTATTACGTGAAAACATGTTGAATTTCAAACACCAAACCTTACGGACCAACTAAGGATAAGATGTCTAAGCCCGGTTTGTTTTCGACGTGTTAAAATTTAACACTTGAACTATTTAGTGAGATTTTAGTTAAAAATATTATTTTCCTACATTTTAGGTGTTAAATTTATTTTAAAAAGAATCTTAGTAAAAATCATTATTATATTTTAAAAATTAGTTTAACTTATTTTAACATTTAAACTAGTTTTTAAAATGTTTTAATAAAATTAACATGGTTAGATTGACAAAAATAGCACTAAATAAGTTTTTCTTCCAAAAATAGCACTACATTTGAAATGTTTCACAAATAGCACTATAAACTTTAATTAAATATTAAATATGAATAATAAGTTCAATTAAAATAAATAAATAAATAAAATTGAAAATTTCCCACCAAAATTTATTTTTCCCGTCAAAAAATTTCCGCAACGTAAAAATATTTTCCCGCTTTTATCAAAAATTTTCCCGCCAAAATTTTTTTTCACCCTATTTCCGCCAAAAAAATCCACGAAATTCAGGAAGGATATCAAGAAATTCAGGAAGGATTCCTTGTATTTATTTCAGGAAAGGATTCCTGATAAAATTGCACGAAATTTAGGAAGGATTCAACGAAATTCAGGAAAGATTCCACGTAATTTAGGAAGGATTTCATGAATTTCAGGAAAGATTCCACGTAATTAATCGTGAAACCCTTCCTAAATTACGTGAAATCTTTCCTAAATTCGTCATTCCTGAATTTCTTGGATTTTTTTTGGCAGGAAAAGTCGGACGGAATTTTTTTTGGCGAGAAAATTTTGTTTTGGTTAAAGTTTAAGTGTTAAAGTTTAAACATTTAAATAATTTTTTAAGTGATTTACATGGTTTTTAAATTTTTCTAAATAATTTATATTGTTTTGGTTAAAAATATTATTTTGGTTAAAGTTTAAGTGTTAAATTTGTTTAATTTTTTAGTGAAAATCATTATTAATTTTTCAAAATGAGTTTAAGTGTTAAATCTATATCACGTCAAAACATGCCTAGACGCGGTTAGTTTTCGACTGTTTTAAAATTTAACACTTAAATAATTTTTTAAGTGATTCACATGGTTTTTAAATTTTTTAAATAATTTACATTGTTTTGGTTAAAAATATTATTTTGGTTAAAGTTTAAGTGTTAAAATTTGCTTAAATTTTTACTGAAAATCATTATTAATTTTTTAAAATTAGTTTAAGTGTTAAATCTATATCACGTCAAAACATGCCTAGGCGCGGTTAGTTTTCGACGTTTTTAAAATTTAACACTTAAATAATTTTTTATGTGATTTACATGGTTTTTAAATTTTTCTAAATAATTTATATTATTTTGGTTAAAAATATTATTTTGGTTAAATTTTAATTGTTAAATTTGCTTTAAATTTTTAGTGAAAATCATTATTAAATTTTCAAAATGAGTTTTAAGTGTTAAATCTATATCACGTCAAAACATGCCTAGACGCGGTTAGTTTTCTACGTTTTTAAAATTTAACACTTAAATAATTTTTGAAGTGATTTACATGGTTTTTAAATTTTTCTAAATAATTTATATTGTTTTTGGTTAAAAATATTATTTTGGTTAAAGTTTAAGTGTTAAATTTGTTTAAATTTAAATTTTTAGTGAAAATCATTATTAAATTTTCAAAATGAGATTTAAGTGTTAAATCTATATCACGTCAGTCAAAACATGCCTAGACGCGGTTAGTTTTCGACGTTTTTAAAATTTAACACTTAAATAATTTTTTTAAGTGATTTACATGGTTTTTAAATTTTTCTAAATAATTTATATTGTTTTGGTTAAAAATATTATTTTGGTTAAAGTTTAAGTGTTAAATTTGTTTAAATTTTTAGTGAAAATCATTATTAAATTTTCAAAATGAGTTTTAAGTGTTAAATCTATATCACGTCAAAACATGCCTAGACGCGGTTAGTTTTCGACGTTTTTAAAATTTAACACTTAAATAATGTTTTTAGGTGATTTACATGGTTTTTAAAATTTTTTAATAATTTACATTGTTTTGGTTAAAAATATTATTTTGGTTAAAGTTTAAGTGTTAAATTTGTTTAAATTTTTAGCGAAAATTATTATTAATTTTTTTAAATGAGTTTAAGTGTTAAATCTATATCACGTCAAAACATGCTTAGACGCGGTTAGTTTTCGACGTTTTTAAAATTTAACAATTAAATAATTTTTTTAAGTGATTTACTTGGTTTTTAAAAATTTTTAAATAATTTACTTGGTTTTGGTTAAAAATATTATTTTAGTTAAAGTTTAAGTGTTAAATTTGTTTAAATATTTAGTGAAAATCATTATTAATTTTTTAAAATGAGTTTAAGTGTTAAATCTATATCACGTCAAAACATGCCCTAGAGGCGCTTAGTTTTCAATATTTTTAAAATTTAACACTTAAATAATTCTTTTAAGTGATTTACATGGTTTTTAAAATTTTCTAAATAATTTAGATTGTTTTGGTTAAAAATATTATTTTGGTTAAAGTTTAAGTGTTAAATTTGTTTAAATTTTTAGTATTAATTTTTCAAAATGAGTTTATGTGTTTATCACGTCCAAACATGCCTAGACGCGGTTAGTTTTCGATGCGTTTATTTAAGTGATTTTAATGGTTTTTAAATTTTTTTAAATAATTTACATTGTTTTGGTTAAAAATATTATTTTGGTTAAAGTTTAAGTGTTAAATTTGCTTAAATTTTTAGTGAAAATCATTATTAATTTTTCAAAATGAGTTTAAGTGTTAAATCTATATCACGTCAAAAACATGCCTAGGCGCGGTTAGTTTTCGACGCTTTTAAAATTTAACGCTTAAATATTTTTTTAAGTGAGTTACATGGTTTTTAAAAAATTTTAAATAATTTACATAATTTGGTTTAAAAATATTATTTTGGTTAAATTTGTTTAAATTTTTAGTGAAAATCATTATTAATTTTTCAAAATGAGTTTAAGTGTTAAATCTATATCACGTCAAAACATGCCTAGACGAGTTTAGTTTTCGACGTTTTTAAAATTAACATTTAAATAATTTTTTAAGTGATTTACATGGTTTTTAAATTTTTCTAAATAATTTATATTGTTTTGGTTAAATTATTCTTTTGGTTAAAGTTTAAAGTGTAAATTTGTTTAAATTTTTAGTGAAAATCATTATTAAATTTCAAAATGAGTTTTACGTGTTTAAATCTATATATCACGTCAAACATGCCTAGACGCGGTTAGTTTCGACGTTTTTTAAAATTTAACACTTAAATACTTTTTTTAATAATTTACATTGTTTTGGTTAAAACTATTATTTTGGTTAAAGTTTAAGTGTTAATTTTTTTTAAATTTTTAGTAAAAATCATTATTAATTTTTTCAAAATGAGTTTTAAGTGTTTAAATCTATATCACGTCAAAACATGCCCTAGACGCGGTTAGTTTTTTAAGTGATTTACATGGTTTTTAAATAATTAGAGATTGTTTTGGTTAAAATTATTATTTTGGTTAAAGTTTAAGTGTTAAATTTGTTTAAATTTTTAGTGAAATCATTATTAAATTTTCAAAATGAGTTTTAAGTGTTAAATCTATATATCACGTCAAAACATGCCTAGACGCGGTTAGTTTTCGACGTTTTTAAAATTTAACACTTAAATAATTTTTTTAAGTGATTTACATGGTTTTTAAATTTTTTTTAATAATTTACATTGTTTTGGTTAAAAATATTGTTTTGGTTAAAGTTTAAGTGTTAATTTTTTTAAATTTTTAGTAAAAATCATTATTAATTTTTCAAAATGAGTTTTAAGTGTTAAATCTATATCACGTCAAAACATGCCCTAGACGCGGTTAGTTTTTTAAGTGATTTACATGGTTTTTAAATAATTAGAGATTGTTTTGGTTAAAATTATTATTTTGGTTAAAGTTTAAGTGTTAAATTTCTTTAAATTTTTAGTGAAAATCATTATTAAATTTTCAAAATGAGTTTTAAGTGTTAAATCTATATATCACGTCAAAACATGCCTAGACGCGGTTAGTTTTCGACGTTTTTAAAATTTAACACTTAAATAATTTTTTTAAGTGATTTACATGGTTTTTAATTTTTTTTTAATAATTTACATTGTTTTGGTTAAAAATATTATTTTGGTTAAAGTTTAAGTGTTAATTTTTTTAAATTTTTAGTAAAAAATCATTATTAATTTTTCAAAATATGTTTAAGTGTTAAATCTATATCACGTCAAAACAAGCCTAAGCGCGGTTAGTTTTCGACATTTTTAAATTTAACACTTAAATAAAATTTTTAAGTGATTTACATTGTTTTTAAAATAATTTACATTGTTTTGGTTAAAAATATTATTTTGGTTAAAGTTTAAGTGTTAAAGTTGTTTAAATTTTTAGAGAAAATTATTATTAATTTTTTTAAATGAGTTTAAGTGTTAAATCTATATCACGTCAAAACATGCCTTGACGCGGTTAGTTTTCGACGTTTTTAAAATTTAACAATTTAAAATTTTTTAAATAATTTACTTGGTTTTGGTTAAAAATATTATTTTGGTTAAAGTTTAAATTTGTTTAAATATTTAGTGAAAATCATTATTAATTTTTAAAAATGAGTTTAAGTGTTAAATCTATTTCACGTCAAAACATGCCCTAGAGGCGCTTAGTTTTCAACATTTTTAAAATTTAACACTTAAATAATTCTTTTAAGTGATTTACATGGTTTTTAAAATTTTTCTAAATAATTTAGATTGTTTTGGTTAAAAACATTATTTTGGTTAAAGTTTAAGTGTTAAATTTGTTTAAATTTTTAGTGAAAATGATTTTCTAAAATGAATTTAAGTGTTTATCCGTCCAAACATGCCTAGACGCGGTAGTTTTCGATGCGTTTATTTAAGTGTTTTACATGGTTTTTAAAAAATTTTAAATAATTTACATTGTTTTGGTTAAAAATATTATTTTGGTTAAAAGTTTAAGTGTTAAATTTGCTTAAATTTTTAGCGAAAATCATTATTAATTTTTCAAAATGAGTTTAAGTGTTAAATCTATATATCACGTCAAAACATGCCTAGGCGCGGTTAGTTTTCGACGCTTTTAAAATTTAACGCTTAAATATTTTTTTAAGTGATTTACATGGTTTTTAAAAAAATTTAAATAATTTACATAATTTTGGTTAAAAATATTATTTTGGTTAAAGTTTTAAATTTTTAGTGAAAATCATTATTAATTTTTCAAAATGAGTTTTAAGTGTTAAATCTATATCACGTCAAAACATGCCGAACTTCGAACACCAAAAAGCTTACGGACCAACTAAGGACAGGATGCCTAGGCGCGGTTAGTTTTTGACGTTTTTAAAATTTAACATTTAAACTAATTTTTAAAAGTAATAATAAAATTCACATGGTTTTGGTTAAAAATATTATATTAGTTTAAATTTTAGTGAAAATTATTTATTAATTTTTTAAAATTAATTAGTTTTAGTTTTATTTAAAATAATTTTAAAAGAAAAGAAAAAATATATAAGAATGAATAAAAAGTACCTTATTGGATTTGATAGCAAAGCCCCATACAAAAATGCCCATTTCCAAGCCCACCGTGTAATTGTGTCGTAGTTGGAAAATCTGAAAAGCCTCGTTGTGTTGGAAAATCATCTCCCGCAGATTCTGACCTTTCCGGCGGTGAATCTATGCGAATTGATCTCCATTAAAAAAGTTCTGTTTTTTCAAAACCAACAAAAAAAAAAAAAGGAAATTCATCAGCACAAAAAGGAAATTTCCTTTTCTTAAGAATTTAAAGTCATTCATTATTGATACCCAAAACAAATTCAAGTATGTAGTCACATGCCGAGATAGTGTAAAAATATACAATGTATCTAATCATTTTTAAATACGATAATGGTTGTTATTATCCCGAGAAAATATGCACCTACACACAACCTACACGACTTTAACTCCACGATTGCAAATGAATGACTTCCCAAGAAACAGAGAGTTTGCATTACCTGGATTTATATCAGTATAATCCTCGTAAGTCGCAAGTCTCTTCGCTGTATTGATTATCAAAATTCTCCTATAATCAAAAATCAAATTGCACATGTTAATAACATAATTTTCACATACTTTTTTTTGTTCATACGTTGAAGAAAGTGGGTAAATTTTAAACAAAAAAAAAGAAACTGAAATCACAAATCACAAATCACAAACTGAAATCACAAATCTAAAACTGAAACTGAGAATCACTAACGGAAACATGAAGATTATAACAAGACAAAAGAGATGGGAACAGGTCATACAGAGTTCGGTTTGTGATTCAGAGTAGGATCGCCGTTTTCTGAAACAGAATCTCCAGTGCTCCGGGAAAAATAACTGCAAAAGAGACAAAGCGATTCATCATTAGCTGAAACTAAGAAACCTTAAAAAAGATCAAAGTTTTGCTAATTCAGCGGTGCTTTACCTGATTGATGGTTCGAGCAGAGCATGGTCGTGACTTATCGTAGTGAACGAAGAAGGAGAGAAACGTGGACGGATGATGTCTCTCTCTCTGACTCTCATTCTCTGAGCAAAAGAATAATTGAAATCTGAAAGAGAAGGAAGAGATGAATTGTTGTTGTTACTGAAATTGATAGGGTTTAAGGGAGTATTTATAGCAATCTTCACCAACGGCTATAAAATCTTCTTAGGCTTCACTAACGGCTATAAACAACAACGTTCGACTGTCTTCTCATTATTGATTTGACAATTAGCCGTTGCATTAGTATTACTGATTTATCATTATTCCACCATTTATTTGCCTTATTGTTGAAAGAAAACAAACTAAACCAGGCCAAGAAAAGAGCATTATTAGCCCAACCATTTCACCGCTTAACAGGCGAATAAGGCCCAATGGACCTTAAATCTAATCATCTCGGATTGAATTTTTAAGAGAGAAGGAGAAGCGGCAATAAGGAGTTCGAATCTCAAACCTTTTCTGTTTTTTTTTTTTTTTTCTCCTTTCCTCCAAAAATTTCAAACCAATTCTGTGATTTCTACTTCGACGGCGATGGCGATGGCGAGAATTGGAGCTATACCCAGAAATTGAGAATTTTGAATTCTGCTGCTGCGTCTCTGTGGTTTCTCGTTTCAGAAAATCAACGGTGTAGCAAGTCGGAGATGCAGTTGAGATTTAGCCATGGACAGGGAGGCTAACCTTCCGGTTCAACCGGATAAACCTCCGAAGAGTCTGGTTCGTCCCATCTTAAACCTGGAAACTACTTCGTCTTCTTCCTCCTCCTCTCCGGAACTTCTACGGCATTTGCAAGCCGCTTTCAAACGCCATCGCCCACTCAGTACTCTCTCCCTCTCTCTCTCTTTCTGGGTCGAAATCTCTAGTTCTGGAAGTTCAATTTGACTAATTTAGGGTTTTTTTGGGTTTTAGCATTTCTCTCATCTCTTTTGACGATTTAGGGCTTTTTTTGGGAAAGTTAAGTTCCGTCTACGCTTTTTATAATGCTTTACTGAGTTTGTGGGATTTGTGGTGTGAGTGATAAGATAAGCTTGTTAAACCTTTTGATTATGAAGACGAACTCACAATTGTGAAGACGCTAATTGTTCTTAATTTTAGCTGTTTTTTTCTGGAGTGATTTGCAATGGATCTCTTATTGCTCTTTTTCTTCAGGTAAAATGCAGACGACCACTATCGGGCCTCGACGGAGTGTTGCTCCACAACGACAAGCTTCAAGAAGTTCACGTTTGGTTACAGCTGAAGGGCAGAGATCTCAGGATGTTGTTACGCTGAGTCAGAGTCTTGCTGCTAATACTTTGACACAGGATACAAGCAACTTAGCAACTTCTGTTGCTGGAGAATCTATTGAGAATGCATCCGTTACGCCACCTTCAGTTTCAGGAACTGTTAATAATTTGTTTGGTCAGAATTTCAAGCCATCAGACAGACAGATGGATTTTGGAAAATCTGCTGTTGCTAGTCTAGAAAGCAATCTTGATATTGGATCTCAGAATGAAAATGACCAGAGAAAGTTCCAATCTCTCATTGGTAGCACCCTCACATCTCAAGGTAATGCCCAAATTAGTTTGCTTTGTTTTTTGCCATACTGGAAAATTGTCCAAAAGCTGAACCAGGGGGATATTAAATACTACTCGGCACTACTAACCACTGTCATATATTTTCCCCTTGGCTCAATTCAGTTTACACAGGCATGGTTACGGTTGGTTTGTTGAGCTATTAATCTTACTTTGAACTCACTTGTCCTGGCAGATATGGAATGGGATGCAACAAATCAGGCTGAAGCATCACATCTTGGTGCTTGTTTTGAATCAAAACGTCAGAATCTCCAATCTGTTGATTCTGAGATCAGTTTGAAATCTGAATACAAGGTTTCATCTTCATTGGCAAAGAACCAGGGCCAGTTGGGAGAATTTCGCAACTTCTTGAACCAGCCTAAAACTCAGTGTTCTGCTGTGGGGTCATCATGTGCCACAACTACGCTAATCCATTCGTCTTCAGCTCCTATGCTAAATGCTACTACCCATGTCTCTCGTTCTTATGCTGAGGCTGATTCAAATGCAAATCCCCGTGCTTATCAAAGTCAAGGGAACTTGCCTTCTTGCTATCCTTCTTCCAAGGACAGCAACATACTACATGCCAATAAGGATGCCCCTCCATCAGCGATACCAGCCTCAACTAATGATCCAGAAGTAAGAGTCAAAGAGACAGATAAGTCCAAGCAGCAACAGTGCACCACAGAACTTGAAGCTCCAGTGGGATCTTCCAGTCATGGGGGTGACGGACAAGCGAATGCTCGTCTACCTGATGAGTTGCTTACCAGTGTTAGCTCACAGCCACAGAAATCAGATAAGCAGGAAAAGGTTGCAAGTAGCAAAGGGCCATCAGCGCCTCGTAAAAGAAATTATGATCCAGACTTGTTCTTTAAAGTCAATGGGAAGCTTTATCAGAGGCTTGGCAAGATAGGAAGTGGAGGAAGCAGTGAAGTCCACAAGGTTATTTCTTCAGATTGTACCATATATGCGCTAAAAAAGATCAAGCTCAAGGGTCGTGACTATGCTACAGCATATGGATTTTGCCAGGAAATTGGATATCTAAAGAAGCTGAAAGGGAAAACCAACATCATTCAGCTAATAGACTATGAGGTACTTCCTTTAAGTTCGTGTTCTGATCCATGGGACACTTATATTCCCTATTAGTTTTAAAGTGCATGGTTGACAATTTCCATCTCAGCCATAACAGTATTTTTGCAATTAGGTCACGGATAAGACTTTACTCCAGGAGGTTTTGAATGGCACAATGAGTAACAAAGATGGAAGAGTTAAGGACGATGGATTTATATATATGGTACTAGAATATGGAGAAATCGATCTGGCTCACATGTTATCCCAAAAATGGAGGGAAATCGAAGGATCTGACCGGACAATTGATGAAAATTGGCTTCGGTTCTACTGGCAGGTTCTTACACAATCCCATCAAGTTATTTTTGTGATGAAACTAAACTATATCTTTCCTTTTGCATTGGAGGTCTTTCAGTTTGTTAATATTATTTATTCACTGAAGAGCCTTTTTGCTCAAAAATCACTGATTCTCATATGAATTGAAAAACAATTGCAGCAAATACTTCAAGCTGTGAACACCATACATGATGAGCGCATTGTGCACTCTGATTTGAAACCTGCAAATTTCCTTCTTGTCCGAGGCTTTCTAAAACTTATTGATTTTGGTATCGCTAAGGCCATCAATAGCGACACTACGAATATTCAACGAGATTCACAGGTGATGCTCCTCCCATGTTTCTGTTTTTGTCATCATCCTCCTCTTGAATACAAAGAGTTGTTTTGTTTTTAGTTTTCAAGCTGCTGATATTAATGGGGGTATGTATGTATCGTGACAGGTGGGGACTTTGAGTTATATGTCGCCAGAAGCATTCATGTGTAACGAAAGCGATGAGAATGGAAACACTATAAAATGTGGAAGACCATCAGATATTTGGTCACTTGGGTGCATACTATACCAAATGGTATATGGAAGAACACCTTTTGCAGATTATAAGACCTTCTGGGCAAAGTTCAAAGTCATAACCGATCCAAACCACGAGATTACTTACAATCAACTCTCAAACCCGTGGCTTATCGACCTAATGAAGAAATGTCTAGCTTGGGACCGTAACCAAAGATGGAGAATCCCTGAGCTTCTCCAACATCCTTTCCTTGCCCCGCCCATTCCACCTGAGCCTCAAGTCAAAACCATTAAACTGCTCAGACTCATAGCTGAATCTTGTGTTCGTGATGACGATAAAGCCAATTCCATGATCTCTCAGCTTGAACAACTGCTTACAAATCCTGCTCCTCTTCCAAGAAATGATCACTTAGATTCAAGAGATCAAAATCAGCAACTTCTCTCTCGGGTTTCAGAACTTTGTATTCAACTCAAGGATCGGTTATGAGGTCTGGAAGGAGAAAAATAGTAAGCAGTACTGATCTGATTCTACGGCTTTTGAATCTTGTAAATTGGTATGTTAATTGTTAGAAGAAGACGTTTGCTTATAATGTCCTGTTTGATTTCTTGTATTTGGAATGTATCATTTTGGGTGCTCTTCTTTTTTCATGTTTTAGCAGATCAAACCTTAAATAGTGTTTCTCTATTCTGTCAAATTACTCTCTTCAGCAAACATCATGCCAAAATGGTGTCGTTTTTCTATCATTCTCTAGACGGCATCGTTTCTTCGATACTCTCAACGGCCGCGTTTCACAGACTACCCGCTTCGTTTCCCGGAAACGACTAAACGGCATCGGTTTTCCACTGATTTCTTTGAAACGACGTCGTTGAGATGTCTTCATTAGCCAAGTTTTTTTTTATTGGTATGACTCATTTGACAAGTTCACACATCATTTCAGTTCCTTCTTTATTTTCTAACATTTTTTTTAGTGTTTCTATTACATAATTTCACACCAAACTAATTTTTAAATCCTAGAAAGCAAAATTCTCACCATGCGCAAATTTTCTTCCATTTTCTAATCATTTTTTTTGTCCCACAAACAGAGCACCTCAAGCAATCTTGCGTCCCACGTAACCTTCGCACTTTCCAAATTTATTTCCCCTTTATTTCTCACCTTCTCCTTTCAACCACCGGTTAAATTCCTTAACCTAATTTCTCCAATCGTTCTCAAACAATGTCTTCATCTCCACTCGCCGCAAAATCTAACCTAACCACGACTCGATCCGCTTCGTTAAACATCCCTCATTCTACTCGTACCAACCACAACCACGATCTCCGGTATAGTCTCTCCGCTGGTCCTCGTACGAACGAAGATCGACCACCTTCGGGGAACGGCGTCGCCGGAATCCTCTACAAATGGGTAAATTACGGCCAAGGATGGAAACGACGGTGGTTCGTTCTCCAGGACGGTGTTTTGTCGTATTATAGAATCCATGGTCCCGATAAAATATCTCTCTCCGTTGAAATGGACCGGAGATCTAAATTGATCGGCGGAGAATCTTTACGGTTTATTTGCCGACATAGCAAACGTGGTGATGTTCATAGCCCCGGGAAACCTCTCGGCCAAATTCACCTCAAGGTTTCGATTTATTTCAGAACGCCCCAGTATTTTACATACGTTTCAAATACAACCCATACATTTTAAAACTGTGAGATACACCTTACTTTTGGGTCACTTCACCTAAACGTTTCGGTTTATTTAAGTACACCCTCTGTATTTTACAATGTTTTCACATGTACCCCCAAAACATTTAAATTGATCTAAAAGACCCAATTGCATATGATTTGTCAGTTCATCAGTTTTTAATACTTTATGTGACCCCAGAGATTTTAAAATTATCAGCCACACACCCGTTGTTGCATAAGTGCTCCATTATTTTTCAAAATAATTTAAATGTACTCAAAACATTTTCAATTGATCAAATACAAACCAAGATTATATATGTAATTTTCGGATTTGTTGGTGTTTTATAGGTCTCATCGATTGGACAAAGCATATCAGACGGGAAGAGATTTACTGTATTCACTGGCACGAAGAGTCTGCATTTACGCGCAGCAACGAGCGAGGATCGTATCGCTTGGATCGAAGCTTTGAAAGCTGGTAAAGACACGTTTCCAAGAATGTCAAACGAAGAACTAATGGCATCGACGACTAATGTCTCAGTCTCGACCGATAAGCTAAGACAAAGATTAATGAAAGAAGAGGTTAACGAGACAATCATCAAAGATTGCGAAGAAATAATGAAGAACAATTTCGTTGCATTGCATAATGAGGTTATGTCGCTCAAACAGTACCAATATCATCTCATAGATTCTCTCAAGAACGTAAATAAGTCACTTAAGACCCACTAACCAAAGTTTTTCCCATGTATGATTTATGGGCCATTTAGTGAAAGCCTATGTATAATTTGTTTAAAAGGTATCGGCCCATTTAATTTTTCAAAATCAGTGACATTACTTTTGATTATTTTGCAATTTTTATCTTTGGTTTAATATAATGATGAAGTCAATGTTTAGGCTAATTTAATTTGTGGACAGACAAAGTAATCTTACGAAGTTTTAAAAACGTTTTCAATAGATACATTATATACGCAATAATATAACGTAGTTGTTAAATCTATAGGCACCGCCAACAATTAATCTAATGCATGAAAACGCTACGTAATGGACATGAAGTCACGACTATGAATAAAAATATTTGAAAATCCTCGAATCATCTAGTGTACTTCGGTACTTAGCAGACTCTAATTTTCTAAGTTGGTATTTAATTAAAAACCAGAAACAAAAAAAAGGTAAGCTTTTAACCAAAGATAATAATAATATAATCTAAAATCAAAATCAGTTGGGTTCATTTCTGCCAACGATGAAGACGTATGACTGTTAAATCTGATAATAAAGCATTACTTTTCAGTTTTATATTCTTTATTTCAACATAAAAATAAACTTTTTTGTATATCGAAAAATTAATGAAGCAGAAAAATACGAAAGAAAAGAGTAAAACTAAGAAGAGCATGGGCTTTCCCTTTCAAGCTTACACGACAAAGAGACGTATTCGTAATTTTGAAACCCATTAATACGTAAGTCCAATAAATTGTATAATCATTTCTTTTTACAATTGGAGTACGTACGTTACTAGTATTAATTACGGAATTTAACGACCTAGAACAAAATACAGATACAACAAGAAAACAAAACAATTACTTTAGTTTTAAATCACTCCTCGCACATAATTAACCACGAGATTTTGCCGCGGTCCTGACATCGAATCAAAAGAAATATCCCGCACGTTGGAGCTAGTAACATTGTAATAACCTACAAAATCAAAATAAATTGTCCTAGATTATGAATTAAATGAATAATATTTTAAATCTAACTTTTTTTTCAGGGTCAGCTTTGAATTAATCAATGGTAAGAAGGATGAGTTTGGTAAAACCTGGAGTGATAAGACGTTGGTGTAAGGCTTATTGAGGAATGGGCTTTTGATTCTTCTTCGCCAGAACAAAGGAAATATTGTTACATCAATATCTGTGAGCTTCTCTTCTCTATGACCATGCTTTAGTTAGCTAGTTGCATACGTCACCAACCCCTCATAAATATTTGTATTGCACTATTCATATTGTGGTGTTGTGACCAAAAGTTAATAGTTTCTTCAGGATTTTCATTGGACAATAACCAGGTTGAAATGTCAAAAGTACACTACAGCCACAACTCTTGGTTACACAAATATATTTCCAGTTTTAACCATAGTTGTACACTTTTGTTTTTTTATCCCGAGGCAAATTTGAATATTTTTGGTTTTTAATATATATATTTTTTTTGTACCAATTTAGAGTGACGCATAAGAATGCTTATTTTCACAGGTATTTATTAGATGCACACAAGATTATTGGATGAATTATCTCGACTTGTTAAAATGAAGTGACTAGTTTTGTTTTAAAAGTAAAGTTGTATACAAATACTATTAAATCTCGTTGAACTTGATAAATGTGTGAAGACTAGCTTATCTTTGTTTTTGTAATCTTAAAACATCATTCTATTATCAAATCATAAATTTTTTGAAAAAATATTTGTTCTTTTGTGTGATTTGGATTTGGGAAGATAGGACTTATGAGTCTTCTGCTTTGATGCGTACGTAATAGGTCGGCGGACGGCTACCTGACTTATCCGGTCATCCATCTTCTTTGTCTTTTCTCTTCTTATTGCTTTCACATAATTTTATCATTAATATTCGATTAACAACAAAGTTCGTCATGTCAAATTCCTTAAGTGTAATTAAATATAGCATTATCTTCTGTTATACTCTTGTAAGAATATAGTATTCTAGAATGTTTTGTGTTCATATTTCAGTTGTAAATCAGGATATTAGAAAGTTTTCCAATTTCTCAAACTCCAAATTGTCCAGTTTGGATTAATCTATTATTCTATTTTAAATCCAGAAAACAATATTTTGAGTGTATTTTATTTCGATACCATTCTCTGCAAGTACATTTACACATTAATAAAGAGTGTTACAACACTTTTTATAGTTGATTTTTTTCTGTCGGACAAATAAAAACAGTCAGTAAATTCCTCAAAATTTAACAAGTTCAAATACTAATGTTTTTGACTGTCGCACGTGTGCAACAAGGCCGTTGCACGTGATTAGTCAGATAAAACATAATCTTCGTTAGGATCTTGACGCCAGGCCGCCCCGAGACAGGTGGTTCGCTCTAGATTTTGATGACGTGGTTTTCATCTTGACCGCTAAAGTGTTCCACACGTGGCACCGGCTATGTCGTTGGATTCTTCGTAGACGACGGTATTAGGTGGGCCGTGACAGCCCAATGGCTCAATGGTGGTTCCCATATATGTGCCAGCTCAGCTTGATCATTCCAACTGTAGAAAGATGTTTATAAATTATAATGACGCGTAATTAGATTTAATTATCCGCAATTAGAGAGTCATTTGTCTATCTTGTCATATCTGTCTTTAATTTCTTGTTCCCGGATCATGGCGAATCAAAATCTACGCGATAAATTATTATAAAATGAACAACGTCGCTTGGTCATGCGATAATATCGATATAATTTAAGTATATAGTTTCCTGAATTATTAAGATGTGTATTATTTATTACTCGAATTAAAAACACAATCATTTGAATCTACTAACCAATAACAAACAGGCTATTGAAATATTAAATTAAATAGATCTATCTGACAACGTGATATCATAATCTTACTATTTGTTAATTGTTGAGACCGATGCATTGAACTACTATAAGGATCTTCAACGATCTCTTTGTTAATTATTCTATACATATGCATTTTAAAACTTCGTATTTTATAAAATGAATTCAAAAGTAAAAAGATTTAGACCACATTAAGCCCCAAAAAAAAGACGATATAACACTACAGTAATCCTAGAAGAAGTAGTTATCCTCATACTCAAAACACTGTTTTTGCATAATCATTACCTCGTGCTCTTCAATTCAATGACAGCGTCTTATATGATTAGATCGATTACAAAAGAAGTCAATAACTTTCCATTAGATTAGTTGAGATTCAACTACTAATTGATTCCCTATAAATACATAAAATATCATATATACTGTATGAAAAAAGTATAAACTTTGCGTTAATCAAAACAGTATCAAAATAAATCAGTAACACCTCGAGTTAACCAAGGATAGATTGAACGTAAAAGTCAAATTAAACTGAAATTAACGATAGAAGAACTAAAACTCAGAATACCAAACGACGAACGTGAATACGTGATATATTAAAAGCCACACAGTAGAACAAAATTAAGAAAAATATATCGTCATTTGGTTGAAAAACATTATCACCTGGTCCATTACTTTATTCCATTCGCGATGACGATTAGTTGATGATCGATCACAGTTTATTTACAAATACAATTAGTTTTGATTAGTACAACTGTACAAGTATTTTATAAAAAAGAAAGGAGATAAACATAACTAATCATTTGGTCTTTTACGTGGGTATCACATTAAATCCATACAACGTAGTGCACGCCGGTACACTTTTTAAAAAAATATTATAAATATCTTTAAGAATTACTATAGGCTCAATCAAAGGTGTCGAGCTTGAGTAGTAGTTTTTTTTTTTTTTTTTTTTTTTGTGTGTATGACTAATTTACCGTTATTAATAGTAGTACTAGCTAGTAGTAAATTCACTCTTACAAAACCGTTAGGTGAATTTACCTTTATTCTAACAATAACTACAGTTTAAACAAATTCAATGATGTAAAACGGTCGACGAAGTTTCTAACTGCAATTTGCTTCTGAAAAAATCAGAGTAACCAAAACAAAATTCGTTAATTATTTACACACACGCTTAAATGTGTGTCGACGAGTGAGCGAGCACGTATACATCAAATTTGCCGGATTCTTTGGGTTGTGAATGAGTTCACATGTAAATGATAGTGACATTTTTAATACCGAAATAGATCATAGACGAATTCTCATTGCTAAAATGGCTAATGGTAGCCAATATGTCACATTGCTAGGTATCTTATGTTTAGCTTTCCAAACGCAGTTAACATATTCATATTTTGTGTTATCAACAACGCAATATGCGCCAATAAACATGTTTGATTCCATTTTCTATATGTGGCTAATCTGGTTACTTTTTTTTGCTCTAGATTTTATATATATGAAGATTTCAAGTTGAATGAAACTATTGGCTTTGACAGGTTGTTTATGATAGAGTAAGTTTTTATTTCCTTTAAATTTAATTTCCTCTATTTCTTTCACAAAAAAAAATGAGAAGTAAAAAAATTTCAGCAGAAAAAAGGAAAACAAAATAGAGAAACAAATGATTCATTTCCATCTACAACCCACAAGGAAAAAGAAAATTTCCCTAAAATAAGTTTCCTTTCTAATTACTCTGATTACAGATATTTAAATTAATACTGGAAAGGACACATATAGTAAACCAGTCAGGTGATTACTGTCTTTTTTCAATTATTTCGGAAGTTTTATCCATTTAAACAGCGTATTTTTTGTTTTCTGCTACTTTTAAAGAGAAAAATCTGAATGCTTTTGTAGTATTTTATTTTTATTAGATTCTATTAATGTATCTGTTTAACATAACTCGGTAAATTAGTGAAGTCAAAACATTGGTCATAACAATGTGATTTTTTTCCTTTTTTATTCGGGCTGGTGGTGGGCTTTTTGTGTCCACTTCCCGATGGTTACTGCAACTTTAATTGAATTTTACTATTTTACCCTAACCAATATTTAATTTTCCATATTCTCAAAACATTTTTATTTATTTATTTCTCTCTTCTCTCTTTCTCTGTCTCTTTATCCTTTTTCTTTTGATGCTTCATTCTCTCTTTTCTTTTTTCCTCTGTAGCGTTTTGTAGGAATCTCTCACCAACGTTAGGTTTCTTCTCAGATCTAGAAAGTTTCTCTATCTGATTATTTTCCATTTCACTTTATCGTTGTGAGAACAAATCGAATGCCATTTCGAAGATTGTGTTGATTTCGAGAGGAAGAAGAAGAAGAAGAAGAAGAAGCTAGGGTTTATCTGATGAGTAGATGATGCGTGAACCGCTTGTCATCGAAGAAGAAGAAGAAGCTACTGAAGTTTTACTTGTGGAGAAGAAGAAGGTTTTAGAAGAGTTGTGTAAGAGACGTGTTAGAGAAGGTGGAGACGAAGAAGAGAGAAGAGACGATTTGTTGTTACTAGCTTTAACGCCGATGGTACGATCGAAATCTCAAGGAACTACACGGCGCGTCACTCCCACGCCACCTCCGTTAGACGTGGAGAAGCCGTTACCAAACGGAGATCTCTATATGGGAACGTTTTCCGGCGGGTTTCCCAACGGATCCGGTAAGTATTTGTGGAAGGATGGTTGTATGTACGAAGGCGAGTGGAAACGTGGGAAAGCGAGTGGTAAAGGCAAGTTTTCATGGCCGAGTGGTGCGACTTACGAAGGAGAGTTCAAATCTGGGAGAATGGAAGGATTTGGGACTTTTGTTGGAGTTGATGGTGATACTTATCGAGGCTCTTGGGTTGCTGATCGGAAACATGGTCATGGTCAGAAGAGATATGCCAACGGAGATTACTATGAAGGTACATGGCGGCGGAATCTACAGGATGGGAGAGGAAGATATGTTTGGATGAATGGGAATCAGTATACTGGAGAATGGAGGAATGGTGTGATTTGTGGTAAAGGTGTGCTTGCTTGGCCTAATGGGAATAGATTTGAAGGTCAATGGGAAAATGGAGTTCCTAAAGGGAGTGGTGTGTTTACTTGGCCTGATGGGAGTTCTTGGATCGGTTCTTGGAATGAGAGTAGTAATCTCATGAGGAATTTTTTTGATGGGATTGAGAAGAATGAGTTGATTGTTGCCACGAGGAAGAGATCTTCTGTTGATAGTGGAGCTGGGAGTTTGACTGGGGAGAAGATTTTTCCTAGAATCTGTATTTGGGAATCTGATGGTGAAGCTGGGGATATTACTTGTGATATTGTTGATAATGTGGAAGCTTCTGTGATTTACAGAGATAGGATTTCTATTGATCGTGATGGGTTTCGTCAGTTTAGGAAGAATCCTTGTTGTTTCAGTGGCGAGGCTAAGAAACCTGGAGAGACCATATCTAAAGGGCATAAGAAATACGATTTGATGCTCAACTTGCAACATGGAATCAGGTAATTTTTCAGAATCCCAATGAATGGTGTGCGGTTCTGGATCTGTGTTTTTTCTAACCAAAGTGTGATTGTTTAGGTATTCTGTCGGCAAACATGCTTCCGTTGTTCGAGATCTCAAACAGAGCGATTTTGACCCAAGTGAAAAGTTCTGGACAAGGTTCCCACCTGAGGGTTCTAAGACCACACCACCGCATCTGTCTGTTGATTTCCGCTGGAAGGACTATTGCCCTTTGGTGTTTAGGTATTCAATCTTTTGCATTTATATAATGATATAATGTATATCTCTCCCAATGTGTTAATCTTATTGTGCATAGTTTGGTGATGCATGTTCTCTATTTGGGTTTATGACTAATGTGTTTCCTTTGGTCAATTATTTTGTTAGACGGCTGAGGGAGTTATTCACGGTGGATCCTGCCGATTACATGCTAGCTATCTGTGGAAACGATGCTCTTAGGGAACTATCTTCGCCTGGAAAGAGTGGAAGCTTTTTTTACTTAACTCAAGATGACAGATTTATGATCAAGACGGTGAAGAAATCAGAAGTCAAGGTTAGCTCTTGTCTTGACTTCTTCTCTCTTCTTTGATTCCCTTTGTATTATTGTTTCTTAGCTTTCACTTTACATTCTTAATCATATTGTCCACTAAGTGTGGTTACCTAAATAATTTTGACCTGAAGTTTTTGTTTTCTTTATCCAGGTGCTTCTACGAATGCTTCCAAGTTACTACAAACATGTCTGCCAGTATGAAAATACACTTGTGACTCGGTTCTACGGTGTGCACTGTATCAAACCTGTTGGTGGCCAGAAGGTTTGTGTTGTTCATCTACATTTCATAAGACTCTTTGTTTCCAGTGGTCAATTTTCTCATGTTGTTTGTCATCTGACCAGACTCGGTTTATCGTCATGGGGAACTTATTCTGCTCCGAATATAGAATCCAGAGACGGTTTGACCTGAAAGGGTCTTCCCATGGACGGTATACCTCCAAACCCGAAGGGGAAATTGATGAGACTACTACCCTCAAGGATCTTGATCTCAATTTTGCTTTCCGTCTTCAGAGAAATTGGTATCAAGAGCTTATGACGTAAGCTGCTTAAATTGCTTCTAGTGTTATTCTTTATTTTATTTGGCTGTTTGAAAGTGCAAACGCTTTATTAAGCTGACGGGATTTCATTTACCAGGCAAATTAAGCGCGACTGTGAGTTCTTAGAAGCTGAGAGAATAATGGATTATAGCCTTTTGGTTGGCGTTCACTTCCGTGATGACACCACAGGAGACAAAATGGGGCTATCTCCATTCGTTTTGAGATCTGGTCAGTTAAACTTCTCGTTCTTCCTCAAAACTCTCTGTTTACCTCGCCCATTGTGATGATATTCTTCATGTATTGTGCAGGTAAGATAGAGTCGTACCAAAACGAGAAATTTATGCGTGGTTGTCGCTTCTTGGAAGCGGAACTTCAAGACATGGACCGCATTTTAGCTGGCAGGTACGTTATTCTGACCAATCATTACCCAGGTTTAATCTCTAGCACAAGAAGTTGACCTAACAACTCATAGTCATTGGTAATTGCGGTGACAGAGAGAGTGGTTCAATTTCCGATTAGGAGTGATTTCATATGAGAACTACCTTACATCTCTACGCATTATTGTATTAAAAAGTTGCTTGGCAATTTTGTGGGGGCTGTTCAATTGAATAGAAAAACACAATGATATTGTGGGGGCAAGACAGATCATGTGGTCCTTTTTTTTGTGCTGCTTAAACTAGTTGTTAAAGATCAATCAACTCTTTATCCAGAGTTACATTTTCAACATGTTGCTGAAAATTTGATTGCTTTTGCAGGAAACCATTGATTCGATTAGGCGCAAACATGCCTGCAAGAGCAGAACGAATGGCGAGAAGAAGCGACTATGATCAGTATTCCTCTGGAGGGACCAACTATCTATCTCACGGAGAGGTCTACGAAGTGGTTCTATATTTTGGAATCATTGACATATTACAAGATTACGACATAAGCAAGAAGATCGAGCATGCTTACAAGTCTCTACAAGCTGACCCGGCTTCGATCTCAGCCGTTGATCCTAAACTATACTCAAGAAGGTTTAGAGATTTCATCAGCAGAATCTTCATCGAAGACGGCTAATGGAGGTCTAATGGCCCCATCATTGAAAGGTCAAACCTAAGCTCCTCGCTTTTTACCTCAGATAACGAGGCTTAAAGACCCTGCGGCATGAGAGGGCAAAAGGGTAATTGCACTCTGGGAGAAGCTCGAAGAAGGAAAGAAATCGATTTGGAATTCTTTCATTTTTATATTTGAGAATGAAGTGATCAAACAAATTTTGGGTGTGGGATTTTTTATTTTTATTTTGGAGGGTGAGAGGAAGATATATGTGAATATAGATTTGTGAATGGAAATCAAGAGTACATAGGCTTAGAGAGGGAAAAAATGGGTTTGGGGAGATTTGGAAATGCATTGAGAATAAGATAAGTGTACAAGTTTAATGAAAAGGATGGGTGTTTTATTTTAATCCCATTTGCTATTATTCCCACATTGTTTGATTTGTTTTGTGTTTATTTTGTGATGAAAGAAGTAGTTAAAAAAAAATAAAAAATTGAGACAAAAGAAAAAGTTAAAGATTTATTAAAATCTTCAAAAGAGGTCCCATATTCCCATGGGATCCCTCTTCTTCTTCACCATCCTTTTCATGTCTAAAGATACTTTGCCAAATTTTATTCAAACTCTGTTTCGAGTCACATATTGGTATGTAATATAAAACTTCTCAAAATGTACATGGAAAATATTCAGGTATTTTTGATGATAATAAATCGACCAATGATATGCCTATACATAAATATATAGAAGAAAAAAAAGACAAGTAGTATTGTTAGATATATAGGATTTGATATGATGTTACTATGATTCATTAACAAAAAAGTGCATAAACATATACTATGGTCAAAAAAGTAGAGAGAGGTTTGGAATGGAGGTTGTGTTTCCCATGAAAAGGAGAGAAAGCAAACAGAGAAGACCACATGTCTTCTTCTTTTATAAACTCTGAATAAACATCTCACATTACTCTTTCTTTTTCATATGTAATTCATCTTAATTTAGAGTATGGGTTTTGATGAGCAAGTAAAATAATAATGTGTATGTTGACTTATTTATTTCTTCTAATCAGTAAACAAAATTGAAATCACAGTATGACGAATTCAATCGTAAATCTCTACCACAACATGTATCTTTCAACAAGGACTAAGTTGGGTTGTCTGGTCTTTTTGTAGTTTGATCTTTCTTTCTTTTTTGTCGATTGAATTAATAACACGCATTCATATAACATTCAAAGTTATTTTCTTCTTGAAGAGCTTGTCTTTATAGACGAGTACACATTAATAATAGTCAAAATAGTTTTCTTACAAGTTTTTTTTTTTTTTATAACTCAGGGTAAATCCCTAGACCTATGGAGGGGTGTAGGACTAATCTCTGGGGAGAGGGTGTCCCATGGGTAGGGTTCCCCCAGGTTTTCAAATGGGCCGTAAACAATGGGCCCATACCCATGTGGCCAAAGGGATAAAGCTAAGCAATTCTGCGTCTGGGGAGAATCGATCCCTGACCTAGACCAACAGGGCCACTCTTCCACCAGACTAGAACCACTAGCCCACCACCTCTGGTTAAATTCTTACCAGTTACATGCTTAGTTTTCTATGAGCAATGCATGCGAAAGACTCTAGTCCGAATAGTTAATCTGTTTCGTCACATTGGGACATAATCCAAAGATTAAACTCAATTTTTTGTTTGTATACGGATTTAAAATAGTGGCACTACTATAAATATGACCCACTATAAATAACTCGATAACAGTACAAATAAAATAAATAAAAACTATCTACTTGGGTGGGAGTTGAGATTGTAATAAAAAGGGATGAAATCCGACAACCAATGGAGGGAGTGTAACAAAGTCAAATTTCCTCATAAAAAAAAATATGTAAATAATTTTTATTAACAAATATGTGTAACGTGCCCATTTCTTCAGATCCTAGAGTCCAAATTCCCAAGAGGAACATTCTATTTAAAAATATAATCTGAAAAAATGAATAATTATGAACTGTTTCATTTCTGGACTACAGATCTTAATTAAATAAACGAGCACTGAATATCGACCTAACATCAATTTTTCTTGTGGAACAAGTTTTTACTCCATTTGCTTTTTTCACATAAATCGACGAGGCTTTTTGAGTTTTTTTTCTGCTAGATTATTAACTAACGAACCCGCTCCCACAGGCAGGTGACAAGTCACAAATTCATTTATCTCTTTTTCAAAGCAAAGTATCATTTATTTTATTATTACAAAAAGCTAATAAACCAAAGTTTTCATTATAAACTATACAAATCTTCAAATTCTCAATTAACAAAACCAAAATATATACTACTCTTTTTTTCATTAAATATATACTACCCTTCACTACAGTTTTCTCGAAACGGAGAGACAAAAAAAGAAGAGCATATCATAAGTGAATACTGTACTTACTGTCTGCATGAATGAATTAATTATGAATGTAAAGAAAATAAAAGAAGAAATGGTTCTTTAAACGAGAAAATAGGAAAAAGACTGAGCTTTAAACAGTAGCTAGGTCTGCCAATCACTTGCATGCCTAAAAAGTCCTTTAATTAAATGTCACAAATATCAACAAAATTTTCTTACTCGTAGTTTATTACTACTATTAATATTGTTTTCTTTCTCTCGTTATTTTTTTTTAATAATATAAATAGACAATCTGATTTACTGATTTGGGAAATAAACTTGCGAAGATACGGTAAGATCTGATTTTATGAGTGGTCTATCGATCTGTCTTGTTTTCTTTTGTCATGTATCTCTGATCTTGAAATTATTTTAGTATTTCTTACATCTTCTTTTTTTTTTTTGTACGTCATTTAGAAATATGACATCCATCATAGCTCAAACTTCTCAATGGTAGACAATAATAAGTGATAGAGAAAAAAAATCTGGTTTCTGTTTCAACGGATAACTGTAACTAGATTCTGAAAATATGCACGTTCTTTGTTTTTTTTCTTACTAAGTCTGCACCTAGAATTTTGACGATAAATGGTGTATATGGATGGACCACTAGACAATTATATTTTAGCATATTAAAATTAGAAACATTTAATTGGCATTCTAGTTAACCTAATAAGATGTTTAACCTGATACAAAAGAATTAATGCATCTATTGGAAGATTAGTCTTATCGTTCATGAATTATGTAATACACATTCATATATATATGAACGTGTGTGTGTTAAGTACATATACAGGTCGATATATGACAGATGTAATCTGCAGACAAACGTTTTGTCTAATTGTCTTCCAACAAAATATTTTATCCTCCTCTACGGTAATACATACAAAATCCGAATCCAGATGAATCTTCTTCACCACGCCTTTGCCACTTTGGTTATCCCGTTCCCAAGTCCCAACTATGGAGTATATTAAAAAACTCTGTTTTAGTTCATTATTTTATCTAAGTCTAATTCCAAGTATAGTCGAAGTTGAAGACCAGCCAGCCAAGTTATTCAACGAAGGTAGACCAATGAATTTAATACTACAAAGCACACCAAATGAAAAATAGCTAGCTAATCGTTTAAAGCTTAAGGTAATTGTTTATAACAACTTATTTTGACATTATTATATTGAATATATATAGATAAAATAAATTTCCAGTTACACGTAGTCGACAACATATTTGAATTATGAAATTTGGAATGAGGGTGGAGGAAACTTTTTGGAGTCTATTATCGGAAAACGGATCAACGTGAAAGTCAAGCCTACTTACTGACCTATTAGCACACTTAAAAAACACCAAACAATTCTTAATTTATTAGCCACCTTTCTTGTTGAATTATTTGAGCTATAAATTATAGGCTTTATTCTCACTTTATTAGTCTCCTCAAAAGGCAATATATAACGTTTAAAATTTTGTTTTTCTTTTTCTTTCAAATATCTTAAACCATAACCAAAATTAAATCCTAACTAAAAATTTATTGCTATATAAATTCTACAACGGCCAAGCATGAGATCTCAAATTTGACACATTTGAGGCAAAAATAAAAAGAAGACAAAGAAATATGGGAATTTTAGTGGTCTCAGTTTAGGGACTAAGTTGGTCTGAAATTGAAAAGCCATAAGATGTGGCCATTGGTATTTTAAATAGGCACATTACTTCACATTCCAACATAAGGTTCCACCACAAGGGGACACCTTCTCTTAACCATCCCTTTCTTATCATTCTTGTTTACTTCTATTTTTCGCCCAAAAAAAACAGCTTAATTAGTTCTTTTACCATACATTAGACTAACAAATATGATTAATCTTTTTTTTTTCTACGATTACATATTTAATGCATTGTTAAATGAAAAACTATACTAATAATGATTATATACTCATATTAGTGTTAGTATATTTTCAATTTTATAAAATTGTGGAAGTATATATATACAATTTGAGCAAAAAAAATCAATAAATGAAATCAGCCAGCTAGATAGAAAAATAGAGATATTAACCTAACGCTAATGATGGTGTCTTCTCTTATTGAAGAAAACATCGTGATACATGTTGGCGCGTATCGTTCTTTGTTTCCAACCACCAAAAATAGAAACTTAATGTTGTTTTATGTGTGTTTTTTCTTTTCTAATTAGGATAGCTGCATTTAACTAAATTGACGGACCGGACCATGTTCAGACCAATCTTGTTATCAAAACGAACTCTGGATAACGGCTAAAAGGACCAACAAAATAAACGAAACTTAATGTTGTCTTATCTGTGTTTTCTCTATTTAGGATACTAGCAAACGTGTCAAGATGGACGAACCAATCTTATTACTAAGTTAAAACAAATCGAGCTCTCTGGATAACATCTTCATAAGACAATATGCAAATTGACCACCATGAGCAACACAAAGCTTGCCGGAGTGGACAACTGTTTGGATGTAATGAAAATCGACATCAACGTACGTAGTCCATGTAACTCTTATCAACTTTGCAAGTTCCATGTATAATACCAAATTTGACCATGACCGTTTCCATGTTGTTTGCTTTTTGGAAAATTTGTTGTTTTAACTTTTAAATATCTTGCACCAATATTTAAAATTATTATACAAATTTGAAAAAGGAAAAAAATTACGACTGTTTGTCGCTTAAAACTTCTAATATCAGAATATAGTAGATAAGATTCGATCTCTATCAACGATCAATATGACGAATTTTCACTCCTATAACGACAGCCATTTTGGTTATTAATTTTATTATATAATACACATGGTTGAAATTATTTTTTGATGGAAGATTATCTTGAGTGGATATTATAAGGATGATATTTTATTTGAAGAGATTGTACATATTTGGGTTTGAGGCAACTTCTTAATTGGCGGTGGTTTGGTGGGGTATCTTCCATGTTACCCCCAAATGCTTTGATATTTCACGCTTCTTTTATTTTATTTGTCTACACAAAAGCTCGTGATCATGGGACTCTATATACTTTTCATATTTACAATAGACAATTAATAAATATACGCAATAAAAAAAATATGAGATTTTATTTTGTTTCTGTTTCTCTCTTTTTGTTCCATCTGTGGTAGTTATCCAAGTTTGGCATTTTCTGTTTCTTAACCACTTTATACCTCATATTTCTTTTGTATATATACAAATTCAAAACAATATCTAAAACACTTGCCACATATTTCATCTATATTTGTCGACTATTGTTCATGGGTATTTCTAGGAAAGAAAGATATCTTGGTCTTCCTTTTCCTTTTTATATGAAAGGTCTTGTAAGGGCATATATCTTGTCAAGTAGTAGTAAGTAGAGTATAATATCACAAGTGCAACTACAAAATAAAATTAGAAGGAAATATAAAAGGAAAGATAAAATCACATGGTTGTGGGTCACTCAAAATAGGCCCATATAATTCGAAAGGCCCACATAAGTTATTGCTCAAAAAGCTAGAAAATGAAGTAAGATTACGTGGAGAATCATTTAGACAAACAAATGAGTGGAGAGGAAAGGCGATCATTAGTAAATAAATGTGATCGGGTCTAGTAGGGCTTCGATTAGTCTATTTCCCAAATTTATCTCTGAATCTCTGATATATCAATTTCAAGTCACTTGGTCTCATTTCTTGTGATTCCAATTCGATTTCATTATTTTGTTCCCCATGATTCGTGTCCCAACCCGTATCATATCTTTGTTGTAATTTTTGTATCATTGCAAAAATATATAAAAAGAATAATGAAGTTGTCTATTTTGTTGATATATAATTTTATTTGTTGACGTTATATTTGAATGCACTGAATTCGTGTGACGTTAGGACACGAATTGTTAATGGGCTACATAATAATTATATGGGCTTTGTACGATGGGCCACTAACGAGTGATGAGAATAGTAACTACCCAATAAGCTGAAGACAAATTTGGAATTAGGCTTGCTGACAAAACAAAAATTTGAAACTGGGCTCAATTTCAATTAGGCTAGATAACAAATCACACAAAGAGACTACAGAAGTCAGAAGCTATAGAGTATTGCTATTGCAGAACAGTTGTGAAACATTCTTATTCCCCTGCAATGGCAATGACAATTACAAAAAAGACTACAGAAAAAAACCAAGTTTACTTATTTGATCAGTTTCATCCCAAAAGCAACATAAAGCCATGTCTGTAAACAATGAGACATGGATTACAACTTATGAATCCGAGAGAATAGACTGAAAGACAGGTTTACTTGCGAGGAGCTTTCTTCTTTCCCGCAATCGCAACGGCTTTGCCCTTTTTCGTGCGAGCGTTAGTTTTGGTTCTCTGTCCTCTGCAAGGCATTCCATGTCTATGTCTACTACCTCTGTAGCAATCTACTTCGACCAGTCTCTGTATTTCCGATCCAACACGCCTCCTCTTTAAAATCAAAACAAACAAAAAAACGGTTTTGAGAGACAGAAAGATAGAAGAGTAGCTTTAAGACCATAATAAGAAAGTTGGATGTGATTGGAAAAAACGATTATACCAATTCATCACCATGCTGGTGCTGGCCAACTTCTTCACGGAGGTCAATGAGTTCTTTTCCAGTTAAGTCTCTGGCAAGTTTGTTAGTGATTCCAAGATGACAGAGAACCTGGTGAGACTTACGGCGGCCAATCCCATAAACTGCTTGAAGACCGGTTTTGAGTGGCATATTGTTTGGAACCTCTGCGTTCCCCACACGAATTCCTTGGACTCGTAAGCCATGAAACTGCAGAGAAGTAAGATACATAAATTGATGTATAATCCAAAGAGGGTATCAAATAAGGTAATGTGTTTGCTAAAACTTTGCTTCACACAGATCTAGCAGCTTTGATTCTAACAAAAATTCAATATCTGAGCAGAAGAAACAACATAGTATGCAATTGCAAAACATTCCTCTGTTTTCACCTGAGACCAAAACTAGCCAACATTTGAGATTTTTTCCTTAAGAATAATCATTCCTAGAACTTATTTTCATAGAACTAACAAAGATTGTTCCACAAAAGCGAACGCTGTAGGATAATCAATTGACTATATAATATCTTGGCAATGTCATAATTTAGACATTGAGCTAAACATTAGACCTTTCGATTTCAAAGATTTGTTCTTTCTTCTACAGTAGCACTGTTGCTTATCACTATCTGAAAATGGGCAAGAAGCCAAAGTCCCAGCCCAAAAAGACGATTTTGAAACAAACCCAGAAATGATACATACCGAAAGAGAAATATTTAGGTCACCATTGATTTTAATTTGTTGAAATCAAATACCATAAGAGATGAATCGATTCGATCTATTGAAACCCTAATCGTAAAACCCGATGTGGCGCTGAAATGTTTGACTGAAAACTCACCGTGACATTACGAAGCAGAGATTGGCTGATGTCGAACAAGGTCGTCGCAGATCTTCGTAAACCCAACATCGTCGAAGCTCAGTTTCAGAGATTTGACGGTGAAGATGATGGTGAAGGGTTTAAGATTCAGTTTCCAACCGCCCGCCGCGTTTTCAATCATAACGCAAACGCGACCACGGTCTCTTTCTCCTCTTGACTTATTGGGCTTTGAAAAGAAAAGCTATTATTGGGCTTTTAATTTCTTGAGAGAGGCCTTGGGTCAAGTAACTCGAATACTAACTCGAATATTATTCAATGTCTTGGGATAAAACGAAATATAATATAATTTGTTAGAAAAACATATAAAGTTATGGATATAAAGTAATTCAAGACTTCAAGTTACTCAATCTTGAAAACTACAGTTTTGTAATTTTATTTATTTATTTATTTAGTTTTCATCACTTCAATTTAATTTTTTTTTTTAAATAAATTCACTCTCTAATTTTCAAATTTTTATATATTTGACACAAAATTTTGTTTACTTTAACTATTTTGTATCCATTACCACATAATTTGGTTAAGGGTAGAATTTGGCATTTTGCGAATATTATATGCATGCAACAATCATATGTCAATTTAAAACGTGTAGTCATTTTCACGAAAGAAACTTGAAAAAGTTGGCAAAAGGGTACGACAATGACTCGGACGTGTTAAGCACGGGACATATATTTGTATCTGTGGTCTATATTATTTACATTCCCTTTCCCATTCTATATTTAAGAAGATATTTTCAAATTCACGTCAAATAGAAAATAACTCTTAGTTAAGTTTTTACTTTAAATGGTGAAAATTAAATTAAAAATTTATTGAAAGATGCTTCTCAAATTTGTGATCGGAACCAACTCTTAGGTCAGACGTATTAGATGTTACGTCTCACAATAAGACAAAATGACAACTTGGAAAATTTAGTAGTTAATTAACCCTATTAGTTATTTAAGTGGGTCGTGCCAAACTTCATTTACAGCGATGTCAACAAGTGAAATGTAGTAGTAGATATTTTAGTGGCAACTGGCAATAAATACATTGAGATATACTTTATTTCAAAGTATAATAAGAATTAAGAAGAGAGTGCATGAACAGTGCTGCTTATTCCACTGGTTAAATATTTTAATTTTATGAAATATCTTAGTATAATTAATATAACTAATTGCTCACACTAATTGTTTTAATTTTAAAGTCAAAGCCTATATTGATATGTTTAGTACTCGTATAATTCTATAGTAGATTTCCGTACATTTATAAACTATTTTAGTATTTTTACTATGATTTGTTTTCCAACTAGTAGGATTTAGAAAATCCGCTGACAATTTTAATTGATTCTCCCACTTGAACAAATAAAAAAATAACTCCAACGACTGTGGCAAATGGGAATGGAGATTTAAATAATATATTTCCCAATGTAGTTGGAGCCATTCCCTATGCTTTTGGAAGCCCACAAATCTTTGAATAATCCAAAAATCATCCTTTGCCTGTTGGCTGAGAGCTACTTAATCAATACATTATCGTATACTAATAAACAAATTAATCTGATTAATTAGCAATTAGTGGAGTAATGGTTTGAATATAAGACGCCTTAATGACCCTGGTCATCTTTGCGTCTGACTCTTAATTAGCCATAAGAGACGTCTTTGGTGAACTTAATCATCATTTTGATTCCTAATTATTAAAGTAATGAGAGATCAAATGTAGGTTGGTAATGATTCCACAAAACGACAAAACTAAGACTCAGAATCATCGAGCTTAACCGGACAACTGGATCAAATGTAGGTTGGTAATGATTCCACAAAACGACAAAACTAAGACTCAGAATCATCGAGCTTAACCGGACAACTGGACCGGTGGTTCCGTAAAATATTATGTTTATCTTCTTTCGAAAAGAAAAAAAAATCGTCAATGAGTTAAACATAATATTTATAATGAGCAAACCAATCATAATGCCAGTAAATTAAATACTCCCTCCGTATTTTAATAATTGTCGTTTTAGAATTTTTATTTTTTTGAATTAGATGTCGTTTTCAAATTTCAATGCAAAATTTCTTACTTTTTAATGTTTTATGATGTCATTAATCAATTTATTTAATCCTAAATGTTGGAGTTTAAGACGAAAAGTTCAAGAATTATTGCATGCATAATGTGGATTATTAACATCATGGCTCGTTTGCAATTCTTGTAAAAGGAGGTGGTCTCAACAAAACGTCGATGTTAAAAACCAGAAATGGACACACTCGTAGGAAGTTAGAAATCTTCGCGAGCCATCTAAAAAAAAGATTATGGATTTGGAAGCTCGAATCAAACAACTTATTTGTGGATGACAGAACGCTCGATTTAGACAGGACAAATGACGACTTTAGTGCCCTACTAAAATTTTCAAAGACGATATTTTTTGTTGTGGCAAAGAGGAATCTGATGACGAAGAAGGTGACGATAGCTACATATATAGAACTGTGGTTATGAAAAAGACTATGAATTACACCAAATTTTCCTTAAATTATTTGGAGTTTTCTTCATAGGAGGATGAGGAAAAAGGACTACGCAACAAAAAGAAGTAACTACAAAAGGACAACATCTACATCGACATATACACACACACTAACATCCATAAAATTAATTCATACAACAATCCATGTAAATCGAAAGAGGTAAAGGAACATTTTAACTAAACGTCGTCTATCAAGTTTTATGTAAGTGCAACTGGCATATTTATTACGAGAGTGCCAACATTCAATATTTAACATAGCTCAAGCTAACGGTTAGTTGCAGGAAGAACAACTCTTCCAAATTTGGACGTCATTTTCACAAATGTCCATATAGCTATAACTAGGGACTGAGATCAGCAGAGACATAGGTAGGACATATATATTTTAGAACCAATTTAAGTTAGATTAATTATATATCACGAATAAAGACAAAGCACAAGAGGGGACTTTTAGTTATATAATAATAGGTAGAGAGATTGGATATGGTTTTGACCCTTGTGAGCACGAAACAACGTTCTTTAGGAAAACAAAAGAGAAAATATCAGTCAGCGTCTCGCCGTCTCCGCAGTGGTCGGGACGTCCCTTGTTACGAGTCGCGGCCATACGTTTTCTTCTGCCTACCTTCTTTGTCTTTTTTTTTTATCCATTTTATTAAATTGTTCTTTTAGGAAGTTTGCTTTTCTATTAATATATATATTTAATGGTTTTAAAGGTAACTACGTGCCCTATGCATGTCCCTGTGGCTTCGACGAATTTTCTATAGGATTCTTGATTAGAGAAATTTAGGCACTTTCGAAATTTAAGCGAGACATCGAAGTGTTTAAAGTACAGTGTATATTTATAAGAATAAAGGAAAATCAAAGAGAAACCTATTCTCCATTTCTCCTATATACAGTATTGTTGAGGCCATTCGAGACCGTGATATATATATTCTCGACTTTGAGATATACAGATATTTAAAGGGGGAAGTAATGACATTCTAATGGCTGCATATATATATTAATCTAGATGAGACTTTACATTATGAGATTAATCAGGGGCAGTATGTTGTGAATAAAAAGAAAAGCACAAGACTAAGCTTTAAATTTACATTTGTGCGCTTTGATAGATCTTAAACTTTCATCGTTTATTTTTTTTTTCTAAATATATATATGGACTAAGTTATTTGTTTTTGAGATTGATTACAATTGCTCACAATTCGACTGAAGAACTATATGATTGAATATATATCTTGATACCGAGCGATGATTCAGAATATTCGATTTCATGATGAAATTGCAATAATCACTGACGTCGTTCTTGATATTTATTTACTGTGGATCTTGAATTCTTTTCATAATGAATATGGAATTACGAATACCTTCATTATTAATTATTTTTAGTCACTGTAAAACGTCTTGTGTGACAACATTTTTTTTTGCCTTTTTTACAAACCGATGGATTATACACACTAAATTTACTAATACTTGCAAAATGCGTATGAACCACGAATCTTGTGGGGCCGAAACGAAAATCCATTTTAGATCTTTTTCCATTTTTTGTATCGAATACACACTGTAGCATTATTCGTCTCCCTTTGACGATAATGATATGTATTTTTTTTTTTTTTTTTTAATGATATGTATATTTTAAGTTGCATTAAACTTTTTTTTTTGGTATGTTTGTCTTTTTTTTGTTGTCACTGACGATCGAAAAGCAACACGACCACAAGTGGTAACTAAAACTTTAAATATTATTCTTAAACGACAAAACGTTTACCAGGCGTGATTAAATGAACAACACTAATTGATGTGAACTATAACAAACTTATTAGACGACTAGTCGACGACCATTAGAACAACACGACACATTATGGAAGCATGTTTTTTTTTGTTCAAAGCATTATGGAAGCATGATAACTCAAATTAAAGATAAAAAATTACGTGACAACTAGACACAAGAAGTTTGAGTTACAAGCTTAAGTTCATCATTTATCATCATCATCAACAACAACATAGATCAAAATTAAACACAATTTTATACAATATACATTTGGAGCTCTTATAAACAACAACTCTAACAAAAGTACCCAAATAACCATGTATTTACATAAGCGATACTTGTTATCGACTTTCGAATTTCCAATAGCATATACAACTTGAGCAAATCTAGAAGATCAAGAGATCCTCCTTCACGTTGTAACCCATCTTCTCTAGATTCGGCTGCAACGCGAACTGAATCATAGGCGGTGGTCCGCAAGCGAGTGCGAGCGATTCGCCTTCCAAACCTTCAGGGATATGTTCCCTAAGCACAGCTTCGGATATAAACCCGGTACTGTAACTCCAACCTTCCTTTGCGATTTCAACGACGTACCAAATCTTTAGCCTCTCCTTATGTTTACTAGCCCATCCATCTAGCTCTTCCCTCACAAGTATGTCATCCTCGGTTCTGTTTGCGTAAACCACATACATCTCGGTTTCGTCCTCTGGATCACTCAATATAGATTGAATGATCTGGTATATCGGAGTAATGCCTGTTCCTCCGGCGAGCATGGCTAGTTTCTTAGCAAACTTGGGTTTGCCGCTGACCAAGAAGTTGCCTCTACCTTTGTACTCGATGTGTCCTAATGGACCTTTGATGTCTATCATTGACCCGATTGGTAACGAGTCTAAGTGTTGTGACATGAGTCCTCCATTGGGAAACCTTGGATGGACGTCTTTGAAGTAAACTTTGACGACTAGGTCGATATGACCAATGGCGTCGATGGCACTGGTTGGCGTATAAGCTCTGAGACAGAGTTTGTCGTTTATATTGGCGCAGACGAAAACGTGCTTCCCCACAGGTAAACCAAGCTGTTGATCTTCTACCGGTAATGCAAATCGGAAGATACGAACGTCATGAGAGATCGAAGTCTTCTCGATGAGTCTAACCGGAATTTTCTCACGTGGGTTAACCAAAGCAATGTTCTTTTGAGGAGCTAGCTCTTTGATTGGAGCTAACAAAGGACCTAAGTTTGAGGCACCATGGACAGAGACGTTGGGGGAAGAGTCGTAGCCAGTGGTGATGAGCTCACCGATACGGTAATCTTCTAAAAGCTTCTTGGCTTTGTCAGAGTGAATGGCTTCAAACTCTTCGGTGCAATCCGTACCAGCGTTGATGAGGATAGAATCTGTGCCTCCTGGATGATCTTTCAAGAAACGTGTACAGTCATAGATGTGACCGTGGACGATGATCCATGCAGAGTCAGCAGAGTTGTGTTTTCTAACTTCGGACATTGAATACATCTTTGAGGCAGTGTTCATGAAAGGAGATGAGACAGATTTCTTCAAGGTTTGGTTGGATTCAGAGGAAATCTCAAGCTGACGTTCCTTTGCCATCCACCCACCCGATTGGTTTCCAGGTCGGGTCGGGTGTTCGAAAACTATCCCTATCTCTCCTCTATGAGGCTTGCACACGTTGGTCCTAATCCTGAACCAGCAATTGTTCATCATCCCCTGTTTAACACAAGTCAACGTCATTATTGCTTTAGTCAACCATCATAAAAAAGACAGTCTTATAATGAATTGTAAAATCATAAAAATAATTATTATTCAGAAAGCATAAACAATTAGCTGGAGACCCTAGACTTAGACTTCTCTAATTTTTATATATTTTCGATTTAAATCTACATAATTGCCCGCATGAAGGGAGATTATAATACTTAAACCACTACTAAAATGAACTGTACAACAGAGACAATTAAAGAACTGGTCTTTGGTTCCATGTTGGTTAGTGCGCTATTAAAAGATTCTCTTAAAGTGAAGATGGTATTGGTAGGTAACACGTTCAAGAAAAAAATATCATCAGTAGTTCCAACTTTGTAGGACGAATACAAAAATATAAAAAATCGAATAGTTTACTCAAAAACAAGATTAAAGTATTTTAATCATACTACTAAAGAATAAAGTAAACTAATTAATTCTATAACTAAAAAAATTTAAGAGAGAGGATTACCATGAGGTTCCAGATGAGTTTATCAGGCTGGGTGTTCAAAGACTCGTCCCAGGCTCGAACCGCGAAGTCTTTAGCACTGAGCAGATCAAGAACCTCAACGTCTAGTGACCAGAAACACCAGCACCAGAACTTGCCGTACTTGTTCGGTTTCTCTTGGTGGTCAAGCTCACAAACACTCCACGTGTCTCCTCCATCTAGAGTCACCTCAACTCTCGTTACCTTCTTACCTCCTCCTGTTTATTTCATCAACACACCAATCAGGATTTAGTTACATCTTAACTAGTCGTTTTAGTTAAATCAAAGATTAAAAAATTAGTTACCAGAGTAAGCGTAGCCTTTTAATGTGTACGGCTTCTGAGTAGTGAATGCATTAATCGGTAAAATCTCTTCGTGACCAGGTGTTGTAATCACCGAGTTTACATTAAGCTCGTTGATTATGTATTCAGGCTTATACCACCAAGCTGTAAAAAAGAACAAGTAAATATTAACACCGATGAAAAAAAAAGTAAAAGAAGACAAAGGTAAGTTAATAATTTACCGTCGGAATTTGCCAGCTCAGCATCAACAAGAGAAGGAAGGACTCGATTGTCTTTGTAGTGATAGTAATTGTCAGATTCTTGAGGCGTGACGATGATTCGCCTTAACCATTTAACCATCCGGCCACCGATAAAACCGGGTACAATGACCCGAACCGGAAACCCATGATCCGGCGTTAAAAGCTCACCGTTTTGCATATAAGCTAATATAATATCTCTAGCAGGATCCATCGCCATCTCTTTCTTAATACTTGTTCCGTATTTAGATCCGCCGCCGCCGGGAAGATCCTCCGCTCCTTCAAAGCAAACGTTTAACGCGCCGCCTCTCCGGCTATAGATCCCACATCGACGGAGGATTTCGCTTAACGGAACTCCTTTCCAGAGAGAAGTTGATACTCCGGCGGATCCCCAATTGAATCCGATCGTTTGCTTCACCATGTTCTGTTCCTTGCGGCGGTTACCGGCGCAGACGAGTGTTACCGGGAATTCGCGGCTGGGGAACTCGGAGATTAGCTCTTCCATGGTGAATTTCGCCGGACGTTTGACGAGTCCGGTGATTTCGATTGACCAATCGGACCAATTCGCTTTTGGAACTGCGCCGTGGTTACGGACGTAATGGAGTGGGACAGGAGTGATGAATCCATGGTGCATAAGACGAGGAAGAGGTGCTTCGGCGTTGAATGGATGTTTTCCGGTGAGACGGATCATGGAGGAGTTACGTTGGATCCAACTATCAGCAGTTGATTCATCTCTCGGATCTAAAATCGACGGTTCTAAATCGCTGTTGGATTTATTAACCAGCTCTTTGTAGTAAGGGACGTTACGGTTATGGCTCTCGTCTTCGTCGTCGCTGGAAGAGTCGTCGTAACTGTCTACGACGGTGGTGGTGAGGACTTCGGTTTCTTTGACGATTTTTTCGGTGAGGACGACGTCGAGAGACTGGTTTTGGTGACGGTGGCGGTCGAATGAGCGAGGAGATGGAACGAGAGGAGGTTTGAAAGCGTGAACGACGCCGTTCATGGCGGTGTTGAGGCGGGGATAATGGCGGTTATCGACGGAGGTCGCCATGGTTTAGTGATTGAACCGGTGAGAAGAGAGAGAGAAGCTATTTTTTTTTGTTTTGGTTTGGTTTGTGAATTTTTTGGTTTCTGACTGAATAATGAGGGTTGTATTTATAGGGCGTTACAGAGATGAATAAATGAAATAAAAATAAATAAAATAAGAGAGAGGAGAAATTGACAAATGTGAGTTTGTGACTTTGTGTGGCGCTGAGTAGAGGGACCCACCTACCTAGATCCTAAGGTTTGGCCTTTAAGGCGGGAAGATTTTTATTTCGTAAGATATATATATATATTTTTTCTTTTAAATAATGCGAATTAAGGTAAAACAATATGCGGATTCAAGGATTCGATCCGTGGGCAGTATCGTGGGAGGGTACTATGATATTGATACCTCACTCAACACAACTTTGAAACAAAGAAAAGTTTTTTTGTGTGTGTGACAAACATGCATTTAAATAGTTCATTGTTAACCTGGTCTTGATCATAATTCATTGTCGAGAACTTAGTTTTGTTAGAAATTTCACTTTTATGTTTGTGGCCATTTAACAAGAACATACATATACTAATACCATAATGATTTATATTAGCGTACAAAGTTTTTTTTTTAGAAAAAAAAATCATATATAGATTGCAAAATATATCTAGAAAATGAAAAAGCATGTTCATGCATGATTAGACGTAGCTTTTATAGAAGCTTATTTGTTTAGAGTTAGTGTACTCCGATATTGAAATTGGAAAAGTCAAAGGTTCTCTAATTTGGAGTCTATATGAAACTTCCAGGAAGTAGTTTATGTAATAAAACATGCATTGCACTTAAAAAGAAGAAACACATGCCTTCCCTTGAAGCTAAAAATTTAATAAATAGAATACGAACAAGGAATAACAATCGAGTAACCACGGGCAAGATAAACCTTTTCCCTAAAAAAAAGCTGAGATAAACCTTCCCTTGGAGCCACAAGCATGGACTGTTGTATAACATTGCTAAGTTCTTTTTCTCTTTCTCACTCTCTAGCTACTTCTTGCTAGGGAATGTTCTAGCTAACTTACGATATATAAGAATACCAATTTTTAAAAAATTATACTGTCATGCCATTCTATATGCAATACTAGATATTTTTTTACCATAGTCAAGTGTCAAGTGTGGATGCAGCGAAAATCAAATTTTGGAGACACTTGAATTTACAATGTAACCAGTATAGAATGTTTTCTTTTTTATCAATGCATGTGTCACAACGACAAAATAGTTTACTAACATGAATAAGTTGTATGTAACAAGAATATATAATATTAGCTAGTTATAAGTTATGTCCATAAATATATGATATGGCAACGAACTTTTCGTTTATATTAAATGATGATTAAAGACAAAAGTTACACGTAAACTTGCTCATAGTTTTGGTATTTCACTATTTTGTATGTTAATGGATGCAAAATATCATAGATATGTATGACTCAAGATTAAATTGCATCATCACGTGTACATACATATTACAGAAAAGGGTATTAATCAGCATATTCACAGATAGATTTTGTTTATATTGACTTCAATTTCTTTAAATCAACGTCAAATTAGACGTCAGTGTAATTATAAGAAAATAAAGCATTAGAATCCGGTGGGCAGCTAAAAACATATATGTATGATATGATATTGGGCATATTGTTGACTAGTTTAATATAGAAAAAATGTATTCATTAGTTAAGTCGAGAAAGTAAATATCTCGAAGATTTTTATGGATTACATGACGATTAAGAAGATAAAGCGTAATTAAGTATAAACTAAACAGAGATTATGGTATAAAAAAGGAGATTAGAGAGAAGACTTTGGAGGCTAAGTGGCGCATGGGAATACCAATAGCCAAGCAAATACACGAACGGGGCAACCAAACAAAGGGACGGGTCGTAATATTATTTTGTCACTTGTTTGGATTCTCAGTTTTTTTTTTTTTTTTTTTTTGATAAAATGGATTTTCAATTATATTATAACTATAAATGATACATGTGTAAGAGCGTATGGACCCGCTTACTATTATCTTTACATCCGTGTAATAAAATAAATTCAAGAGTAAATATTGGCTAAAGCTCTAAACTAGTAATAAAAAACTTTCCCAGCTTAAATTACATGAAGAAGTTGAGTTTTTTTTAATGAAAATGTTGCATGTGGAAAATGCTATATATTACAGATCCCTATTCAGAGCTAGACAATTTTCTTCTCTCTCTATATAAATCTCTAAGTATCTTTAAGTAATTATTCAAAAAATAATAAGTAACATCTTAGTTGGGACCTTGAGATATCCAAAATCAGCAACATGTATTGTCTCCTATATAGATATGCAAGTCATTTAAAAGCAATCGCTAAGTTTGCGATATTATTTGAAAAAAAGACATTGTTCTAACATTTATATAACGTTAACTAAAACATGATATATCGCAAAAAAAACAATAAAACTTTTATATAAATCAATCATCGAAACTAATCTAATCTTGCAAATGAAAAAGCGTTTAATCCGTATATTTTATATGGACCATGTTGGTGTTGAATCACACACTTGAATCCAGTCCAAACGACGTTAATCATCACCATAGCGACATTTTCAGTTGCCATTTGCCAAGGCTCGAGTTCGACCTAAGGGTCATCGTGCAAGTCATATGTTAAAGTGAGCTTACCGAACTACCAAAGTGAACCCACAAAAAATCCAAGAAAAATGGATAAAACGCCGAAGTCAATACCAAAATTGTGACCTCAAAATTTCTGAAGTCGACGGCCATGTGTCGCCAAATGAAAGTGTGAGCTCACAGAAAAGCCGGAAACTAAGAAGTAAGCTGCATGTGCTTATGGAAAGGGCAAGGCTCATTTATAACCGTTTGGCTTCTAATAAGCAAATGGGAAAGTGAATAGAAATGGGATTTGTGATGCGTCAACATGTTCATCAAATACAAGAAATTTCTCATATATTTACTTTTCGGTCAAAAGGCTTGTCTACGAAGATCTAGGACCTTTTTTGATATAGAAGATCCGAAAAAACTCTTTTCATGTATCACAATATAATATCCGTTTTCTGATTTCTTAACACAACTAAATTGACAACATAGCTTATTTTCTTTTTGACGTCGGCAACATATATGTATAAGCTTGTCCCCATTTAGCTAGAGTAATGACGACCACTGAATTTGATATGGAGATTTGGCAATTGGTACACGTAACCTCTAAATGGATCTTTTACGACAAATTTTTTACTTTCCAGTGTTTCCACGATCATGAATGGTGAACCACTGAATCTCCGATAAAATTTAATTCTAAAAAGAAAAAAAAAAAATACGTTTTACCATTTTAGATTTGTTTTTGAAATTAATTTTACTACAGACAAAAATAAGAAAATGTACCGTATATTTTAATTATGGGAATATAAAATGGAGACAACTGGGGGAGCTTGATGCGGTTAGGGAAACAACGACGACCCTTTCGTGACCCTTTGAGCCACTTTCAGTACATTTACATTTATTCCTTTTTCCTTACAATATATATATAATCGTTTTTAACATGTACTATACATAAACAAACCATGTCGATCGTACTATATAAAAATTTACATTGACGACAAAAAAAATAAGTATATAAATTTTAGTATGTATTTATCTTGAAATATATGGAAAACAACCATGTCGTCGTACTGCATAAAATAAATTGATGGAAAAATAAGTATGTAAATTTAGTACGTGTACTGTATCTGGAGATTAATTAAGCTTTCTACTATTTTTTTTTTTAATCGTATCCAATAGTGTTATCGATCGGTACAAAGTAATGGACAGAATATCCCAAATGTGTGTTTTATTTGACTCACCGTCAATTCAAACACAATTATCCTGGCGATAATCATAATTCTAATCCCTCTTGTTGTTTTTGTCTTAAAGCAGCACTTTTGATTTCATATAAACATATTTAAGCAGCACTTTTCATTTCATATAACGAAATAATATACCACTTGACACATGCGGCTATATTTTTTTAACCATTTGATATTTGCCGTATTGGTATAGTGTTGGACACTTTTACTGTTTATAGTCCAAGTCTTGTATAAAAAAATATGACACTTGGAAAGTTGGACGCTATGGAATTGAATTTTACCATGAACTATTTTCAATTGAAACTAAGTTAAAAACCCTAATACAAAAATAAGTAAATACATACTAGATGTTATATAATATAGTAGTCGTATCAAATGAAAAGAAAAATGCAAAACCAATAAGTTTGATTGAATCCTATACTAATATTTGGGAAGTACATCCTAAGGATCATAACTTGATTTTGTAAGAAATTACAATATATGCCATTAGAGAATTCTAATCATAAAATTTTATTTCATGTCACTAATATATATTAACGGGTCAACGGGTTTAAAGATATTAAAAGATTTTGTTTATATAATTCATATAAATATAATTCATATAATTCATATATTTTTCGATAATAACTATATTACACAGTTAATATAATTCGAAATTGTTATATACTAATCAATTCGAAAATGTAACACAATTAGTAAAAATGTTGTATACTAATATATAATTCGAAAATGTGACACAAAAATGTTATTGAAAATGTTAATGAAAATGATATATCATTGAAAACATTTTATATCAATTGACTTTATAAAAAATGCTATTTTGAATTATAATACTCATATAGTTCGAAAATGTTATTGAAAATGTTATATACTAATCAATTATCCTATACTATTATTTGGGAAGTATATCTTATAAGTCGTAACGTTGATTTTGTAAGAAATTACAATATATGCCATTAGATATCTCTAATCATAATCATTTTAATTCTATGTCACTAATATTCACCAATTCATTAAAAACGGGTCAATGGGTCAAACGGATTTAAAGATATTATTGAGATTACCTAATATATAGGAGGTCAATCACGAATATAACAAACATGAATTTTGTTTAGATACAAATAATTTTTAATCATACAACGAAATTTAGTTTAGATTTTAAAATATTTCCTTGACTAAACTATACTAATTAATTATGATTAATATATGAAAGAAAAAACGAAATTATATTTATGTAAAATAATTAAATTTGATAATATATTAATAGATATTTCCATAATCCTTAAATCGGGACTGTCTCAAAAATTTTGTCTATGTGTATTTCGCAGATTGGCAAAGATAAATACATATAGAAATGATATTTTTAATTTACTAAATCAGAAATAAATATAGCATCCTAAATCTTAGTACTTGCCATAACAATTGTATATTTATTCGAATAGATTCAAAACGAAAATTCAAATCCCCTGTATTAAGCAACTACAACAAACACCAATAAAAAAATCAACAAAATATTCGAATTTTCCTAAAATATAGTTATAATCTAAAATCTTTCAAAAATTGTTAACCACGTAGAGATTTTGTAGTTAAGGAAACAAAAATTTATTTTTGAACATAATTTTCAAAACAGTTAATACAATCTTCAAAACGGATCTCATATATATTCAATTTGCATTAAATCTTAAATTTAAAAAAGATATGATCATATCAAACCTAAATTGTGATAATGATTAGCCGACTCTCTTCTTAGCTTATAAATAGATAATATATGATCAGGCTAAATCATTCACAAATCACAAAATTTATTCTAGCAGCCATTTTTGAAATCTTTCACGGTTTTTTTTTCGAATGTTCTTTATCTTAGAAATTGTTTTTGACAATAGTCTACCTTGTGATTGTAGGATTTCAAAATTCAGAATGGAGTGAAGAAAGAATATGTCGAACACTAACAGAGGTTTGTGATAAAAGCAAATTTGAAAATCAAGAAAAATTATGTTTCTGATTTACAAGTGTTTTTTTATTACAGATTGAAGAGGCATCGACATCTGCTATCAAAAACTTAGTTGGGAAGAATTTTTCAATCATTTCTTTTTCTTGAAAAGGATAAAATCTGCAGTGGGCATCAGTTGCTTAAGCAAGAGTTGAATATTTTTGTTGTATATACTTTATCCTTAAACGTGAATATTTTGTAGTATACTTTTTTTGTAATAAATCAGTTTACTTTTTTAAATTCAGAAAATCATACTCTAATTATGTTAATAAATCATATTACTTTTTTTAAAATTCAGAAAAACATCTCATTAAAATTGTTGACAATTTGGTTTCACTTACCTTATAGATGTGAAGATTTTCAAAACCGGCTGGTGCATCCGATTCAAGACTTATTCATTCTAGAAGTCATATACTGCTAAATTAGGAGAGCATGCAAATGATCTGAGAAGATGAACAGTGAGTTTTTTTTATTATCATACTTTTAAACAAATAATGAGATTTTTTTTTTTTTTTGAGAGATCGAGTTTATAACTAGCAAATTCTTATTCAATATTTAATCTCATTATTTAATCTAATTATTTACATCCTATACTATTATTTGGGAAATACATCCTATAAATCGTAACGTTGATTTTGTAAGAAATTATAATATTTGCCATTATAGATCTCTAATCATAATCATTTTAATTCCATGTCACTAATAATAACCAATTCATTAAAAAAACGGGTCAATGGGTCAAACGGTTAAAGTATTTATGATATTTAAATTCTATAAAAAGTATAATATTAATAATATTTGAACTATATAAAACTTAAATATATATATATATATATATATATATATATATATATTATAGAAATCATTTGAAATCAAACTTTTAAATTGACTCAAATTATATGTATTTTAAATAAAAGTATTATTAAAAAGAAAAATAACAAAATGATGTTTAATTTCACGGAACGGAGTTATATGGTGGGATGGGTTTGTGTCAATATTAATACGGAACGGTATATATATGACGGGTGAAATCCTAAAATTAATAATCAAAATAATCTTAAATACTTAACAAACTAAATAATATTAAAAAATACAAATAAAAATTTAATTTTTAAGTTAAATAAATCAACCCGCGGGATACCGCAAAGTAAAATCTGGTGATACTGAGCCAAATACAGTTAGAACTGAGCAAACAAATCCCAATAGAGCCCACGTAAAAACTTCAACACAATACAAATATTTTTTTTCGTTCTCAATGACACAATTCAATTTTGAATACCTAATTGAACCAAATAAATTGTTAATCTCATATAAACAAAACTAAAATTCTAATGCAGCTAAATATATTTTATATACAATACAATATTCTCTCTTTCTTTATTACCAAGTCATGTTTTTCAACCAAATTAGATTAAAACAACATTTAATTCCTATAATAAAATAGTCCAATATGATATGGAATATAAATTTAAAATTTATTATCTATATTATTATTTAGTTCTACAAATAAAATATACAACCATCGTCAAATGAAATATACAACATGATATCCAAATAGTAATAAAAATAAAACATTAGGATATATTCCCTTTTATACTATACTATTATATTATATTATTATTTAATTCTTCAAACAAAATATACAATTTGATTTATATAAAATATTAAATCCCGTGCTGTATAGCACGGGTCATGATCTAGTTATATATAAGAAACAATGTTGCTACTGGCAATTGTAACAAACTAACATTGTGGATAATGTGATTAGTAAATTTGTAGCTATATTTCACCACATGCAGTCAAAATGTTGGGTAATCATATATTAAAATCATAGAATAACATTTTTCAGTAGCCTAAGACGATAAAATTGTTAAGATGACGGCTAGGGTTTTCGATTTCTCCATTTTGTGAATGTTTTCGATTTGTAAAGCACATGACTTATCTGGGCTTGGGCCCATTTTTAATAAAATGATTTAACTTAAAAAAAAAAAAAAATTGTTAAGATAATCAATTTACACACAGCTTTTTTTATAACCAAAACTATGCAATCGCCCACTGAAAAAAGGTTAAATATATTCAGGTCAATATACCGCCCTGAATGACTTGACGACGCAAATGGTAATACACCTGCATTCTGGTATTTTCAGAAAAGTAAAACACTAGAGATGCATCAAAAGAACGTTTTAAAATATTGTAATATCGTCAAAAAACAATAAATTCTGCATGAAAATCAGAGCAGAGATCCGAGAAAAGCTTAGCTATATAACATTTTCGCAATAGCAAAGGTCATATTAACGCATATAGCCTCCCCTAGGTGTTCCCTTTCGTATCTGCTCACTGTTTTTTTACTTATATTATATATTATTTTTGCAATAAATCTTGTTATTTTCCTTTGTTATTTTGAATCCTGAAGACAGTGAAGTGAAGTGGAAAGTTGCCACACAGACACTAATTATGATTTTCTATTTAATTAATCTATTAAAGCACTTTTAATTTATAGTGTTTTAGTTTGATGGAAAATAATTGGAGTTAACCCTTCCTTGCTGGTCAAAAAAACATATCATAGACACAAAGCAGTGGTGGTCCAAGGGATTACAATTTGTTTTCTTATTTATTTAACAACAAAGATGCAAATTCTTTAATAATAATACAGTTTTGGAACATTGTTGTTGTTAAGTCAAATTATTTTAATGTTTTCCTTCTTTATAAAGGATAATTGTGAGATTCTTGTCAGCATTTTAATATCATTTAAGCTCTTTATTTGAATAGTACATATATCGAAAACTATAGTAAATCAAACAAACAGCAAAACTTTGTCATTAGTAGTTGATTTAGTTTCGTAAGTGTATTATTGCTTGGCAGTTGGCAACAACAAACAAAATGAGTATCTATTTCGGGCCCAAAATAGTCAAGACTTGTTATCATAAGCCTACAGGCCCATTAGACTCATTTTTGATAAATTGTAAATGGGGAAGTCAGCATTTTGATCGTTGACTGTGGAGTTAAGACTTACGAATGAAAAAGCCGCATGAGATGATGACACGTGTCATTCCGATTAAGTAAGAAATCGTCTCTTGCTTGTTTCCTCCTAATTAACATTAAAATCTTGATTCGAGTTTGAAGAAGCCAAACTCCAAAAATCTTAGAAATGCAAATGGGATATGAAAATCCAAGGATTATGTACGGTGTGATCATCACCGTGTACGTTGATCGTCAAACGACGACCGTCCGATCATCTCAAGGGAGACGGAAGAATGATGAAGGGCGGAGATTCATTGAACGGACGTGGAAGCGTGGGATCGGAAAGATACGTGGTTATGATCGGAGAGCGAATCTGTTAGCTTATATTCGTCAGATGAGGGCCGAGAGTCTCACCGGAGACTCGAAATGCGACGTCGTAGAGAGTGACAACAAGCCTGAACGGCTGAGTCCGAGTCCGAAGGTAACGTTTCTCTGATTTTCTTGATAAGTTATTACAATTTAATTGGGCCGGATATGGGCCATGACTTCTGGTTCATCTTGACTTGCGTTTATTGTTTACGCAAAGATTAAAGAGCAAGTAAGCAGTTGCGTCTGAATAATCTGATTAGTGATGTTGAGTGTTGACTATGCTATGAGTAGCTTAAGTAAAATGGAATGTCGAGTTTAAATCTCTTACGACTAAACCTTATCTTTTTTAATAAGCAGAGTGTTTTTCTTTGTAATAAAATAAGTAAATAATGTTTTAAACCAACTATTTTCGGATGCTAAGTAAGTTTACACTTTTTTCGTGTTGATTAAAATGGCAGAAGAAGAAAAGAAGGTGGATAAGAAAAATGATGAGTAAGTTCCGGTTACCGTTTCTTCGGCCCTTTCGACGAAAAAATAGAACGTGGAGATACCGCCATTTTGTTCCAGATGAAGAAGAAAGAGAAGCAAGTAGCAAAACTAAACACAACTCAGATCTTTGGGTACTTCCGCTTTTTCTTCTCTGTTTTTTTCTTGCTACTAGTTCTAATTAAGACTTTTCTTACTTAATCCTGTTCTATGTTTTCTGAATGAAGAATAAGCTTAAACATATGGTTGGAGGATTGTCACGCGGCTGCGTACGGAGTAGAAGAGATTCGTGATGGACTAAACAAGAATCAAGAAACGGATTATTGTTGATGAAAAAAAAAAAAAACGGATTATTGTCTGAAGTTGGCTACGATGAAGTGAGAAAAGTTTTTTTTTTCTTTTTCTTTTCACATAACCTTTTTATTGTTCTTCCAGAACTTGAGGAAGATGAAGATCAAATCAGTACAGAGAAAAAAAGGGAAATAAAAGAGAAATTTTGAAATGAGGCATAAGAGATAATGCCTCATTAGAGTACAACAATGCAGAAACAATAATACAATTACACAGAATACATAATTTACATGAAAATAAATAAAAGAAAGGGACGACTGCGAGTTTTTTTTTTTCAAATCCCTGTGTATGGCTAATTGGCTAGTCATGTTAGCCTTTTTATACTGCTCCTGCAATTTTTAAGTCAAATTGTAATCGTGGAGAGAGGTTGAGAAATATGCAGAGGACATTGATCATGAATTTGCTTTGGTTAATATTAAAGTTACCGACCTCTATTGCCACCTCTCTGGTTCCTTGGAAAGAGCAAGCGGTGAAGCGAACGGCTAGGAGAAGCAGGGGAGCTGGAAGAGGATGCGAAATCACTTGATTCCATATCGAGAAACCGAATATGATGGCTTTGTCCTTGCCATGATGATTCTAGATCCAATATCCCGTTGCTCAGAGAGTCATCTGAGCTGTAATCTTCTTCTTCGTCTTCTTCATCATAAACAGCTCGGTTATGGGGCTCTATCACATAATCTCCCAACACAACAGCACCTGGTGTCGATGACATTATCGTGCTTATCACGTCTCTTCTGTCTCTTTCCCTCTCAAGCCTCTTCCATTTGGTTTCCAGAGCTGGATCAATGGCTCTCGGGCAAGCATGTGGGTGTTTTTCCTTCATGTGTTTCTTGAGCTTTCGGAAATTTCCTAAAAAGGAACAGTTATCCTGCATACAAGTCCTTCTCTTGGAGTTAAAATGCATCCGAGCATCTTTCACAACAGTCCAACCTTTCACTTGACCTCTACACAGTGGACACAAGAGCTCGGGTTGTCCTGAGTTCTCGTTACTGTATGATTTCCTGTATTGGTCGAGGCAGTTGGCAAAACGGCTGCTTGTTGCACACATGTAAGGACGACATCCTTTGTGATAAGACGAACACAGTAGAAGAACCGCATTGTGTGGAGACTCCAAGCATACTGGGCAGGTTGAGCCAGCCCATTCTTTCTTGCAACATGGTGATGGATAAGGTGTAGCAATGTGACCCCTTTGATTCGCTTTCTTGATTTTCCCCATTCGATCGACCAAAAATCTATTCAAAAGAACTCAATTGTAAGATTCATCCAAAGTAGTAGCCAACAAGCAAAATTCAAACGAGTCATCACTAATATAGCACTCTCAAAGAGCAGTTTGACCACAGTTTGGAAAAAATGTCAATTCATAAAATCAAACAAAAGCAAATGCTCTTTGATGTCCATTGACCTTGGATCTAAATCTCCGACTCAGGAAACTATGCATAAGCTACCAAATCTCTGATCCAAATCTCCGATTGAGGAAACTATCCATAAGCTATCAGATAACTACTACACTATAGTTGTAAAACTTCTAATTATAACCAATAGAGTGAGCATTAACCGGATCCGCAAATGGCAATCACAAGCAAATTCACAATTAGATCCAAAGACAATGCAAAATTCCAGATCTGTAGAAGAAATTCTGGTAAATTAAATCCAAAATTCATGCAAAAAAGTAAGCAACACATCAATAGTAAACCAGATTTTATCGATCCACATATAAGATCGAGACGAATCATACAATTCAATGTTTGATAACACACAAACAATGACCTGAGATCTCGCTTAAACGGAAACCTAATCGAGAATCTAAGATAGATCTCTCTACCGAAACTAGAAGATCGGAGACCTTTAGCGAATCTCACCTAAACAAATTTGGAGAAAGAGATGACGAAGGATAACAGATTAAACGATGCGGAAGAAGGCGCGGGAAACAGTACCGGAGTTAAACGGAGGAGATCGCCGGCGGGAAGAGAGAGCTCCGAGCTTGAAGGATGATGTTGTACAGAGAAAAAGGAGAAAAAGCGAGATTGCTTCTAAGAATTGACGTACGCAAACAAAGCCAAAGAACTCTTTTCTTTTTGATTTTAAACTTGCGGTTGGATTCCTATATGTCGTCATTTTGACGCAACCGTTTTTCTCATCCAAATTCTCGTATCGATGGGAGTATCTCGCGCATACGATATGACCGCTGTGCTTCTTATAATGGGCCTCATAAGCCCATTGTATTTGTTGTTATTACGAGGTCCAGATTTTGGAGATAGGCGAAATAATATAATTAACCATCTATATTTGAATTAACACATTATCTTTTTTTTTTTTTTTTTTTTTTTTTTTTTGTCGACCAAAGTTTAGATTTATAAAGCCCAGAGGGCAGTTACAGAAGGGATAAAGCCCATTAAAGTACAAACGAAATTGACGGCCCAACATAAAACATAATTAAAAAATACATAAAATTAAATGCAAATTATGTTTTATGTGACGACACGTGTAGAGGACGATAATCACCAATTTTAAAAATAATTGCACATTAAATAAAATAAAATAAAAACAAACTAGTTATTATGAACATAGTCCAAATAACCCAACTATAGCCTTCCTTGTTGTAGCTAGAAACATTTATATTCCACATATCGTAGACAGGAGCCATATCAGGATTGAAGAATCCGAAGCTTTTTTCTACATCGCCTTCTTTCAAATCCTCATTGAACATTTCAAAGAAAAAAGTCATCACTGGAACATTGGGCCGCCTCGGAGTACCCTTATTACCTGTAGTGAGTTTCTTGAGCAATCCTTGGTTATAGGCACGAGCGTTCTCCACGCTCGTGTATGGAACGTTTCCTCTAGTAGGCCAACCGGTCTCCGCTACGTACACCTTCACGCTTCCGTGGTTGATTTTCTCTAACGCCGCATTAAAAGCATCCAACGATGCATCGAATATGTTCGTGTATTGGTATTTTCCGTCGGTCACTACTGGTGAAGTCGAACGGAACGTTGCGTATTCCAATGTCACGTGGCTAGGGTCTGATGCATAAGCGAAATAAGGGTAAACGTTGACCATGAGTGGTGAATCGGTAGAGCTAAGAATCGATACGATTTCGGTTATAAGTTCGGTTATCGTCGGTTTAAATACTCCGGCTGATGGTGGGTAAGAGTTAGCGAGTGAGGCTGTGGATATGACGGTGGTGACGTGGGTCTTTGAGTTTCCGATTTCGGTCAATGCAGCTTTTATATTCTTCATGGCTTGTGGCACGTAACGTCCGATCTCTCCTTCGATCACTTCGTTTCCCACAGTGATCCAACTGAAAGCTACGTTTTTGTATGGTGCTATAAACGTTTTAACCCAATTTAAGGCAAATTCGTAATGTTCGGCTAATGTTTTGATTTCTTCGTTTCTTGGTCCGATGGCTACGAGAAGACCAGTTCCTTGTAATGAGACGATGAGGTCGGGGACAGGCTCGTATAGTCTTATCCCAGCGACGTTTATTTTCTTGTATAGAGATACTATTTGTGCCGGAGGTGGGAGATTGTCTCCGTTTCTTCCATCACAGACTCCGACAAACGGATTCATGTTTCCGGCGGCGGTTAATCTGGCTAAAATAAAAAGAAGAGTAATTACAAAGAACACTGTCGAGTTGCTCATGATTTAGCTCCGTAAGCATATGTTAGTGTTTGTCTCTCTATATATATTTAGGTTTTGTGTTTGATCATGTGGACATATTTTCACTCTTGCATTATTTATGTTTGGTGCTGCTTAAATGGATAATAATGAAGTAATACACTTAGGAAAGTTTGTGTTGCTCAATCTTCTGTCAATTAATGATAAATTTAAGTGGCTTAATACATGTATTAAAGCTGTTATTACTTTGGGAATTTTTTAGCACATCTTATCTTATAGCTATGAACAAATTTTATAATGTTATCATCAGTAAAAAGCTTAGTTGCACACTTGCAATGACCTTATGAAATCTTGCGAAAGTTTATTATAAATTTCATACTTTTCTTTTACTTATTGTTCTTCTAAAAAGATTAAAATTAATTATTTTGGAAAATATCTTTAAAATCTCCACAATGTTAAAGATATGTTAAAGATATAATCTGCAAATTTTTATTTTCTGAAATAATATGCAACATATAATTGTCATGTTTTGGTTTTAAGCTCACGTAGTCACGTCATGTTTTATAACATTAACATTAATATCTTTGTCCAGCTACTGACATCTAATTTAGTGTACCATATCTTGAACTTTATGCTTTCAATTAGTTGATTTGATTCTCTCTTTCTCTCTTGTCCATGTGCTAATTTGATTAACTTTAATTATTTTCACTGATCTAGTTTTACTATCCTACTTACCAAATGAAATCTTCTAGGAAGTAAATGCATAAATAAATTTAATTATTGCATGTATCTGTTTTTATACCTTAAAATTAACACTTTAAGTAAATGCACAAAAGTATTTTTTTAAAAATGGTCGCGGGAAACTTAATTAACTCTAATAACAAAAGAGATCGTAGACTGGAGTCATATCAGGTGCAAAGATTCCAAAGCTCTGCTCCACCGGACCATCCTTCTGATTCTCCCTAAACATCGCGAATAGAAACACGTCCACCGGCGTCTCCGGCCGGCGAGGCGTCCGCTTCCGTTCAGATCCTCCACATGTCCTAATCCCCAAATTGTAGGCCTTGGCGTTATCAACACTCGTATACGGTGGATTTCCCTCCGTCGGCCATCCAGACTCCGCCACCATCACCACCACATTTCCGGCATTGATCTTCTCCAGCGCCGCATTGAATCCATCAACCATCGCCTCGAACATGTTGTTGTACTTCAAATCACCGTCGATAACTACCGGTGTATCGGATTTGAAACTAGCGTAATCGAGTGAGATGTGATAAGGATCTGACGCGTATGCGAAGTAGGGGTAGATATTCGTCATGAGAGGCGAATTCGTCTCCGAGAGTATCGATGAAATCTCCGTCATGATCTCGGTTAGATCTGGTAGGAATGTTGCAGCTGAAGGTGGATATGAATTGGTCAACGCGTTCATAGCTAAAACCGTCGTGACGGAGATTCCTGTGACGCCGAAATTCGTTAGCGCGGCGTTGACGTTTCTGATCGCGGCGGCGACAAATGGAGCGATGTCTCCGGGGAAGACTTCGTTACCGATTGTGATCCATTTGATTGCGACGTCGTTTTGATAAGGCATGATCCAGGTGGCGACGAAATTTGTTGCGGCGGCTGGATCTTGGGCTAGGGATTGAATTTCTTCGTTTCGTGGACCAAAAGCGACTGAGAGACCTGAGCCACGGAGAGCTTCGAGCATGTCAGCGAAGGGCTCGTACATACGGATTGCGTCGATATTGTTGGTTTTGTATAAAGCTACTGTATCTGCCGGCGTTGGGAGATTGTTGCCGTTCCGGCCGTAACAAACTCCGGTGATGTCCCCTGCCACACCTAGAAGAAGCAGAAACGAACGTAAATTTCAGTTTACGGGATAAACCAATCCGGTTTACGAATTAAATCGATTGGAGCAAAAAGGACAGAAATTTAATAACCGAACCGTGCTCGGTTATTGTTATGGTTTAAAATAAGTGAGTTAATCGTTTCCAAAAAAGCGGAGGTAGACTGAACCGGAGTACATCGAAAGAAAATCAAACCGGGAGGGATATAATTGCTTTCTTAATTTAAACATAATTTGATTGAAAAAAGTTGAATTTTTTTATTTGGTGAGGTTGTGATAAAAAATAATAATCAAGAATCAGTTTTTACCAGCTGGGCAAAAGATTTGGATGGACAGGAGCATAAAGATCACAACAGCTAAACCGGTTGGATTGGAGTCCATTGATGTATATTGTGTGTAAAAGAACTGTTTAGGAGAGAATTGATATGATTCTTCTAATGTGTTTGTGTATGTTTGAAGATGTTCATGTTGGTGACTGTGGGATGTATAATGTATTTAAGGGTGATTTGTAGGAAGCATGCGTAGTTAATACTTAAATGACAATTGATGGTGGATATCTCTAATATAATCAAGGCACTCAGACTCAAGCATGAATTGTTTATTTATCCATTAAATGAAAGATTAAGTATCGTAGTTGCACCTAGTTTCGCAACTGATAAAACTATACAAATTCGTGCTATAGCTTTGCCATTTAATGGATGATCAACTATTTTTTTTTTCTTCACTAAAACATCACAATATTATGGTCACTTGGGCTGGGGTCGAGCGTTTTATATCATAGGACTTACTCATCATTTTTTATATCAAGTGCCAGCCAAGTTCTAATCTCAGTAAATCTAGTTTGGCCATCAATTCAGTAGTTCGTTTTTTTTTTTTGCTACTCAATAAATTTGAAAGCCAAAGCATTGTAAATAACGGGTTCTAGTTTAATTGGTGGGCACAAAGAGTCATTTTCATATTAACATAGAACATGTACATCACATGTAATTAATACATACATTCTCTTTCTGCCAAATCAATCATAATCAAAGTATACATATAAAATAAAATAAAATAGAGTAAATCTAACAAGAAACAAAAAAAATAGAGTGATATCATCATCATAAACAATACGAAGGCTCCAAAAACAGAAAGTTAAAAACTAAAATAAAAGAAAATCTAAAAAAGAATCTAATTTGGATCTAATTGAACATCTGAAAAAGGTAAATGACCTAAATCTCCATTTACTATAAAAAGAAGGACCAAATAATAATTAAAGAATTGGAGAGGTAAAAAAAGCATATCCGTACGAATGAATCAACGTGGTCGTATCTCGTGAGTCATCTAACGAGTAAAAATCAAACACGTGTCGTAACAAAAGAGGTGCACGAGTGCTACCCTACGCCTCACACCTCTCTATCATATTCTCTGAATAAAAAGCTGAAAAAATAATAAAAAAAATTCTGCCAAAAATGAACCGTTCCTCTGTTGCCTGCAAATAACGCGAAAATCTCTCTGAGAAAAAAAAAAAAAAATTAAAAGAAAAAAAGAACCGAACCAGTCGTGGGAAGGATCCGAAAGAACATGAACCAGAGAAATTTGAAGAAGAAACCCTAATCTTAGCCTCGCTTTTATTCTATCTTCATCTTCTTCTTCTTCCTTCTTTCTTAGATTGGTACGGGGGAGCTAGGCTAGGGCTAGGTTTTAGGCTCGGGAAATTAGGGTTAGGGTTTTGATTAATTGGTTGTTTCTTTCTCCCGTTCTTTGGGAGGTGAAATTGAAGGCGGAGTCGTATCGGAGGATTTGGGATTTAGGGTTAGGGTTAAGTGTTTTCTCGTTTCATGGGCGGTGTGGGAGTTTATGGTGGTGGTTTGTGTCGGTTATGAACGTTGACCAATGCCAGTGGCGGAAGAAGATGATGGGTAGGGGAGTGGACGGAGGTTGTGGTGCTGAAGAGAAGCCTTATCGCCCATTTCGTAGGGCTGCGTTAGATAAGGAGAATGGGAACAAGGGCTTTGAGGATATGGGTTCGTTGGAAATCGATTTCTTAGCTCAAGCTAGCAAAAATCTTTCTGAGAGGTCTCCATATGATGTTCCTGAAGATGGTTCTACTTCTGGGTTAAGTGTTCCTACTCTACCCATTGCTTTAGCTAATTTGCTGAAGAACCATTCGGATAACAAGAAACGGCATAAGAAGTCTCATTCTGGCGCGGATAAGAAGAAGAAGAAGTCTTCTAGGCAAGGGGATAAGTTGAGAAGTGGGAGTATCTGGCTTGAACATGAGGACTACTTTAGGCGCTTAGATTTTCCTGATTTAGAAACTTTGTCAGATTTAGCATCTCTACGATCTTTATCTTCTAGAAATTGCTTTTCAATTCCATCTGTTGAATACGAGTCTATTAGTATTCAACAGAGGGAAACCGATGCGAGTGCCAAGAATGAGGATGTTGTTTGTGGAGATGGCGTTGTTCTGCAACAAATTAAGAACCTTCTCAGTAAAGAGATATCTGAAGGCACAGTAAGAAAAGAAGAGGATGTTGTTCAGCCAATGGGTGTTGACAATGTGGGGAATGGAATCTCCTCTGGATCTGACTATTCTGGTAGTTTAGAATGGGTTTTAGGTAATAGAAATAGGATTTTGTTGACATCAGAAAGGCCCTCCAAAAAGCGGAAGCTTCTTGGTGGTGATGCAGGTTTGGGGAAATTAATGGTTGCGGCTCCTTGTGAAGGGAATGCATTGTTATGTGATTTTTGCTGCACTGGTGATGCCAAGGAATATCATCACCAGTTGATTGTTTGCACTTCCTGCAAAGCTACAGTTCATAAAAAATGCTATGGCCTGCTTGAAGATTCAGATAAATCTTGGTTGTGCTCTTGGTGTGAGCTGGAGAATGGTCGTAATGATTCTGGAAGACCATGCTTGCTTTGTCCAAAAAAGGGTGGCATTCTTAAACCTGTTCTCTCAAAAACTGAGAATGGTGGGCCGGCGGAGTTTGCTCATCTGTTTTGTTCTCTGTGGATGCCTGAGGTGTATATAGAAGACTTGAAAAAAATGGAGCCCATCTTAAATTTGCCTGGAATAAAGGAAACCCGGAGGAAGTTATTGTGTAACTTGTGCAAGGTGAAATCTGGTGCTTGCATTCGCTGTTGTAATGGTATGTATTGTTGCTTTCTGTGCATCCAGTCTACTTCTAAGCATGGGTAGCATTGATATTGTTAATGACATGTTCTATTGTATAGTTTGGGTATTTCACTTAATATGCTTCTTCCTTGGAACAACTTAACAAATGTGCAAAAAACCTACGCATACGATAAAAGAATGGCGAGTACTGGTTGCTCATAATCCGAGTCCGTTATAAAAAGCCTATTTGTCACCTCAAATTGGGGTTCATTTGGCTTAACTGCTGTGCTCACAGTCGTTGTCCTTACTTTGCCTATGCCGGATAAGCCTATTATCTGGATCATTTTCACTGGAAAATGCTTTGAGTGTTTTCATTTTCTTATTTACTTGTCACACTTCTCTTTGATTCAATTTATTTTGTCTCCATTTGTTGGTGAATATCAGATTAGTAATTGATACGTTATTACAATCTCTTGATCATAGGAACATGCCGAACATCTTTCCATCCTATATGTGCAAGGGAGGCAGGGAATAGGCTAGAGGTCTGGGGAAAACATGGGTGTGATACTGTAAGTTTCATCTACAGAATGGAATTGTAGTGAGTGCTGTTTTTTCTATAATGATATAAGAAAAAATTGTAGGTTGAACTGCGAGCTTTCTGCTCGAAGCATTCAGATATTCAAGAATGTGGAAAGTCCGTAGAGGGAGGAGAAAGTAATGCAGCTGAAAGTCGTTCTCCTATATGTCATCTTCCATCAGAATCTGTTAGAGAAGGTCACCTAAGTAATGATGAGATGGGAGTTGACGTAGGAACACCGGGTACAGGTTCTGATATTTCGAGAAACAGTGAGTTACAAGAGCTAGAATCACCACACTCAAAATTTAACTGGTCTGCAACAGACAATGTAGAATCAGGGATGACTGGGAGAAGCAATGAAGATGAAAGAACTCTGTCCAAGTCTCTTAGTTTTGGATTGATTCTGAAAAAGGTTTGTATATTCTTATTAGCTGGATTGTCTATACCTGTTGAATCTCTTGCTCACTGGTTCACATTTTTTAGTTGATCGACCTGGGTAAAGTGGATGTAAAGGATGTGGCTGCAGAGATTGGGATTAATCCTGATGCTTTGAGTGCCAAACTTAAGGTAACGCGTAAAACTTCTCATATACCTGCTTCAAACCTCTATGCTCTCATTGTGAGTTTCTGTGTATTGATTTCAAAAATTTCCTTTGCAGGACGGAGACTTGTTACCTGATTTACTAGGCAAAGTAGTTAAATGGCTTAGCCAGCATGCACACATGGGTTCTTCGGATAAAGGCAAAAATTTAAAACGTAAGACCACTACTAAATCTGAGCGTCGGACAGCTATCTGTACTGAAGGCATAGTGATACTAGATTCTGACATCTTAGATCCTGCTGTAGCAAAGGCTTTTTCTTTAGAGCGAACACATGAAAGCAACATTTGTAATAATACGACAAATAATACAACATGTACGTTAACTGAAAATTGTACTGGTAATGGTATTGTGGTTGTTGAAGCTAAAGCTAATGGATCAGTTTTGAAGAAAGAAGGAAGTGTGAGTTTGGCACCTGATCATTCTCCCGAAGAACCGGTAATCACCAAATCTTAACTGTTATGTTCTGATTATTTTTCTTAAAATCTAGATGCTTTCCCATGATCTGCATCACAAATAGTTGTTACTTGTTAGATCTGTCATCAAATTTGGCCAAACGCAAGCGTGGTCGTAGTCTTTTATGCACAAGGACCTCTGGATTAGATATTTGATGTTGTGTCTTGTTTCTCATGTACAGAATTCAAAAGTGCTTGATCAGGAAGTTCATCATGGGAAAAGTTCAGTTCTTCCTTCTGGTATGTTTTAACTTTTCACTATTTTTTCTTCCATATCCCATATAGTTATATTCCAAGCTTGTAGGTCAGCATTTTTTTTTTGTTTTGTAAGTTGGTAGTTTCTATTGAGGATGTCTCTTCATCGTCCAATGTTTATTAGACTTAATAATTTTTTATCCTTTCTTAGTTGATGGTAGCTGCTGCTGATCTTGTTTCTAATCTTTTGAGTAGATGATCATGGAGAACAATCAAACTCCAGTTCTTCTGGAGTCATGCTGGAGAATGCCTTTTCCTTGGGGCCAAATAGTTCTCAGAATCATGGAAATTTGAACTGTCCAAACCCCATTATCTTGGATCTCTTGTAAGCTCCAGAAACACAATTGGGCGACAGTTTCTGTTGTTCTCTCGGATAACATAAACATCCTGTCTTCTAAATCATTTTTTTTAATATATGATCTGCAGCGATCATGAAGCATATCCTGGTTTCAAACCTCATCCTTATATCCACAAAGAATTGTCAGAACTGGGCAAGGGACAGACCCTGAAAAGCAGCACGGATTCTGATGTGGCTAGGATGACAACCAAATTTGATGGTATAGACTTTATGATTACTGCCACAGCTTTTAGGACATTTGGTAACATTAAATCATTTGGCAGGCTCTGAAGAAGGAAACAAACATCTGCAGGGTGCTGGCGATCACTCTATCTTTCGTAATCACCAAAATCAGAGTGCAGAGACATTTCGTCAGTTATCTAAAGCTAGGAAATTGGGCATATTGGATCTGTCTCCTGAAGATGAAGTGGAAGGAGAACTTCTATATTATCAGCTTCAGTTACTTGGCACTGCAGTTTCAAGAAAGCAACTATCTGGTGAGTTGATTATCCATTTTTAATTGCATGGTCCCAATACTTCATGTTTTCTGCACTATATCTGTTATAGTATTCTAAAATTGGTCCTTTTCAGACAATTTAGTCTATGAAGTTGCTAAAAAGCTGCCTCTGGAAATTGATGAACAACATGGACGAAGATGGGATGATGTTCTGGTCAACAAATATTTCCATGATGTCAGGGAAGCAAGAAAGCAAGGTAGGAAAGAGAAAAGACACAAACAAGCCCAGGCTGTTCTAGCTGCTGCTACTGCTGCAGCGGCGACATCTTCTAGGAATACATCGCTTAGGAAAGATATGTCAGAAGAACCTGCACAACAAGAGGTTGTTGCTACATTTAGATTTTTTTATTTATTTTAGTTGTGCCATATTTCTTATCCATTATTCTTACTGGTTATAAATCGGACAGATGAGCACTTCTAGACGTAAAGTTGCTGGCAGCTCTCACCTAGTGCCACAGACAAAGGAAACACTTTCAAAGATGACTGTTTCTGGACCACCTTCCGAGAAGCGGTCTGATCATCGCACACCAGACTTTTCAGTAGAAAATCCACGAACTTGTGACATCTGCAGGCGCTCCGAAAATATATGGAACCTGATTGTAGTGTGCTCTAGTTGCAAGGTGATAGACATTTCCTGTGATTTATTTATAATGTTTAATTAAGGCATGATTATCTCTTCTAGGGACCGCTTTTATGCACTGTATGGTATCTGATAAGGCTCCAATTACAGGTTGCTGTTCACATGGATTGCTACAAATGTGCTAAAGAATCTACTGGTCCCTGGTACTGTGAGCTATGTGCGGAGTCATCTTCAGAACCTTCTTTCAATTTTGGGGAAAAACAGAATTCTTCTACAGAATGTACTCTGTGTGGTGGCACAACTGGGGCTTTTAGGAAAACTACAAATGGGCAATGGGTACATGCTTTTTGTGCTGAGGTGAAGTTTCCTTTTACAGCAGCAGTTATTAGCAGGGTCTGGAGTACTATATTCAGTATTGAACATTGCAAATAACTTGGGTGTATAATTTCTCTCAGTGGTCCTTGGAGTCAACGTTCAGAAGGGGACAAATAAACCCTGTGCAGGGATTGGTGGGTTTATATAATTATAATACCGAATCACTGTGATGTTTAAGCTGTTTAAAAATACTAAAGCTCAATGTATGGTGCCTTATTAGGAGTCTCTGGCCAAGAACACGGACACTTGTTGTGTATGCCAACGGATATATGGTGCATGCATTAAGGTAGCCACCCTTTCTTACTTTTTTATCTGAATACATCTATTTCAAGTATTGGGTAAAGATTGAACAAAAAGCTTATGTTGTCATTTTACAGTGTAGTTATGGTAACTGCCAGACGACATTCCACCCCTCCTGTGCCAGAAGCGCGGGTTTTCATATGACTGGAGGTGGTAAACATCCGCATAAGGCGTACTGTGAGAAGCATAGCATAGAGCAGAAGGCAAAGGTCCTATGTCTTATCTCTTTCGCCATCTTGATTATGGCCTACTTGCATCATAAGCTTGCTTATATCTGTCTGACTATGTTTGCAGGCCGAATCTCAGAAACATGGGGCAGAGGAGCTGAAAAGTCTCAAACATTATAGGGTAGGAGTTCTTAGCGAAGTCAGAATGAATTTGTCATTACTTTGATAAGCTTATTCCTTCCTATCTCTTATCAAGTTATTTATAATTCTTGGAATTTTGCTAAATCTCCTCCAGGTTGAACTTGAGAGGTTACGCCTTCTGTGCGAGCGGATAGTCAAGAGGGAGAAATTAAAGGTATGTTACACTACAGCATAAACCCAAAATCTTCCTTACATTGAAACAAAACTCATGGAGGCTTGACCTGTTACTGGTTTGATTTATTTGCAGCGAGAGTTGGCTATTTCCTCACATGAAATACTTGCTGCCAAAAGGGATCATGCTGCACGTTCATTACATGCCCGCAATCCATTTTCTCCTCCAGAAGTATCGTCGGACTCAGCGACAACATCAATAAAAGGTCATCCTGATAGTAATATATCTGGCAGTGAAGCAATACAGAGGTCAGATGATATCACCATTGACAGCACAGTCACTGATAAGCGCCGAGGCAAAGGTCCCATACTAATGGACACGGATCAGAAAACCGATGACAGTGCTACTTCCAAGAGTCGGTTTTCCCGTAAGCCAACAGAAAGACAGATCTTATCTGGGAAAACTGTTCCCCGCAAACATTGTATAGTGTCACCTAGTGTTTCAGAGGATGGAGATAACGGGTCAAAGCCCAAGAAGGTGAGAAGATTAACTTTGTCGTAAGTTGCGTGGATTGTTAAGTTCGACTCTTTCTGCCCAACTCAGCACATTCATAGGATCTTACACTTGTTTGTCTTGATAACTGATAATAGCAGCATGTAGAAACATTTGCAAAAGAGCTGGTGATGACATCAGATGAAGCTTCTTTCAAGAACCGGCGGCTTCCAAAGGGATACTTCTATGTTCCTGTTGATCATCTTCAGGAAGACAAACCGGGAAACCAGAAGCTGGCTTCATCTGACAAGCCAGCGGACCAGAAGACATCTTCAGGTGATCAGTCAGGTAAAGACGACGGGTAAAAGCTGAGAACAGACATTTTGGGCTCATTGCTCCTACCTTAATTAGATACTGGCCATGGTGGACATTGCCTTCTGCGCCCTAACCAGGATTCACCAACTGGCTTAAAGAAAAAAGAACAGATGGTATTGCTACAAAAGAGCTGTGGCTGCAACTGAGAATCAGCTAAAAAAGCTATTGTGAAGCTTTTGGGTACTCAATACAAACTGTGCCTATTGGTAATGTTTGAGATTTGAGGGTAACATGTCATCTCTATAGAAAAAAAAGGCTTCAGATTGGATTCAGGGAAGTGAGAAAAAAAGCTCCCTCTTACCATATAAAGAAGGACCGGTCACGTGTAATTCTGTTTGTATAAAGAAGCGGGAAAAAAAAAGGTTGCATAAATGTAAATATTCATCAATTGTGTCTAAAATCTGACCAAGGGAATAATAGTGGTTGTCTGAAAATTCTTTAGTTATGCTTTTTTAGCTCAGTTGGCCTATTTTCCAAGATTACACACTAACATGATCTAACTCAAGTAGAAGAAACAACAAAGCCAATCACTTAAGCAACACGCTTGTTTTACAACAACAACTAAGCAATATATTCTCAAGTATGTGATTTGTATACCTTTGGTTCTTCTTTACAAAATTTGCTATCTCCTCTCTTGCTCTCTCTTTCCCTTTCTTATAGTCGTTTATCAAAGTTATGAGTGTATGTTTAGTATTGGCTCCACTTAGCTGATTGGGAACTGAAATATCTTTTAGAGAAGTGTATTCCAAACTGCTCCTTCTCCTTCACTACATACTTCATGCACTATCTTCATTCTCTCTACCGACTTGCAAATCCCACTACAGCTCCATTCGAATGAGGCCACACACACATCGCCCGCCTCTGCCTTCCATCTACAATCTGTGAGGATTGAAGCCAATGGAACATATCCATTAGTAACAAGAGAGATAGAGGAAGATTGCTTAAATCTGTTTGTTTGATGTAATTGAGCTTGACCTGGAGGAGTCCCACAACAGAAGTTGCGATCATCAATATGTTCAACCTCAAGACCGATAAACCATGACCCCAAAGACACATCTTCATTTGCATACTTATGCAAAATTGGCCTGCATACAAAGTTTTAAACCTTTTAGGACAAACATTTGATGTTATACAGAAATACAGGTGGAAGGCTCTTTATGAAAAGGATGCAGAATTACGTACTGGTTGATGGATATGTATTTAGCAAGATCCTTCGAGATGGCATAGATCTGTCCCGTAGCATGTCGAAAGTATTTGTTACCATCCTCTCCAAATTTCCAATACTCAGGTTCATGGTACTTTACTGTCCTGAATACAGTTCAATAAACTAACTCAACAATACTCTAACCAGTAACACCAGAAAAATTTGAAGCTGGACTCAGGCAAATAGAATTACTTTTGAGCAAGAACAGGCCCTGATTTCATACACCCAATATAGACTCTCGGCTTTGAGCGGTGACGTGCAAGTGTGGAAGCCAGCATACCTGAATGGCAAAGTTTTAAAAACTTTTTGATTGCTCCCATTGAAGGAGATAGAGGCAAAAAAAAGAGAGTAGAAGCAGGGTTTCTTACCGAGATTGACGTGAACATCATCATCGACCTTGATATAGAACTCTGCATCCCATTTCGCTACTGCAGTGGAAAAGAATATCTTGGTTTTTGCTGAGAGTTCGTGATATCCTTCAACATGCTCCTGCAGCCAATAAGAATCTTAAAAAGGAAAAAAATTGAAAAATTGTATCCTGTCTTAGAAATATAGAATTGTCTCACCAGCCTAAGGAAGTCTTTGTGTTGAGCATCTTCTGAATCAATAGCTCTATCTAATATACTATTTGACGTCGCACTGCCAACATATTTGTATACACTAGTCAATCTCAATCTAAGATACATGAAATTCCTAGAATATATGAACCTCTGAGAGAAAGAGAAGCAGCTTCACCTGTGTCCAATCATGAACTTGATGACAATTCCCTTCTCTTGTTCTAGTTTTTCAAGCTTCTCACCTGTGAAAAATCCACAGTTATTAACTAGATCCATGAAGCGGTAAATATATATAAGATCTTTAAGTTTACAACAAAACCTTGAGGCATCCAGGTTTCTCTAACTGAATCACGCCGTTTTCTACTGCTAAATGCGGTATTGATTCCCATTACCATAAACACTTTCTTCCTCTGGTTTGTTTCCGAGACATCAATAGTCTCTTGAGAGCTCCTTGTAGAAGACAACTGCATTTGATGTGTAGAAACCGACTTATCCAACGACCTGTCACCCCTCCAAAGACATAGAGAAAAAACTATATAACATAAAGAGAGAAAGCAAGTTGATTTACTAATTTAAGATTTTCTCACTCACTGTATTGCTTCATGAGTTCTCAAAACTTGGTCAATTACATCTTTTTCTTGTGTAGCTTTCTGCATTTGAGGGAAATCAGAAGAAGAACCATAAGTCTAAAACCTAAATCTCTTTGAAACAAAGTCTTCAAAATCTTGGTTTTAACGAACACTAAAAAACACATATTCTTGAAATTCTACTAAATTGATTAAAGAAGCGTACTTTATTATGAGCACAATCGTCTGATACAATCTGAAGTTCATGATCACGACGGAGCTGTGAAATTAGCTGACTTCCGGAATCTGACGACGGCTCCCATGACCTGACATCCACAAATTCCCACCAAATTGCAACATAAGCAAGAAACCCATTAAGAAAAATCAAAAAGCAACAAAAAGGCAGAACAAGAAGAAGGGTTAAAGTCAGAAGATTATAGTAGAGGAGAAACAAAAAAGATAAAGAAGAAACTTTGAGAGACCTGGAGGTGAAGATTGCTCCAAGAGCGAAGAAAGAGATGCAGAGAAATGGAACCCATTTGAGAGATATTACTCTTTTGGAGACTTTGTGCTTCATCGTCGTGGAGATGTTGAAGGAAGAGAGAGAGAGTGAGATCAGAAGATGTCCAGATTTAAAGGGAAGAGAGACACAACACAATCAACAACATTTCATCATGGGATGAGACCAAATTAAAATTAGTAAGTTTCCGAACAAAACTTTTCATTACACTTTCTTGACTTTATTTATGCAAACTTTAATGTTATTCACACCGTCGAATATGCCACGTCATTAATTTTACATAGAAACAAATTAATGGGAAAAAACCAACAACAACAACATAGAAACAGATGATTTGGCATTCGAATATGTGTGAAAATTCTAAGCTTTTCGGAGTACAAAATTATTTTTCATATCATATCCCACTAATTAGTCTATGACATTAATATTCACTTAATTTTGTTTGTTTTGTAAATAAAATAAATAGAACAATAACGCGAAAGATCATGTGTAGATCAATGATGGTATAAACTATAGTTTAATCTTTTCTTACTTTCTATTTTTTTAGCAACAACAAGATCTAAACGAATGTCTTAATTAGAGACGAATTGTCAAAAAAGGCATTTTGAGTTGAAAAGTAATTAGAGACCGTCAAAGATGGTTAGGCGGAAGAATGCGTGTCGTTTCGTCGATCGTGTCACTCACGTCGCACGCCGTGATGTGTGGTTTCTAGGATTTTTCAGACCTTTATTCGATCTAATTAGGCCCAAATTCAACACAATTTAACGTTTGAATTGTTTATGTTTTAATTTTGGCGCAAACTTGTGGATATGACACATGTCTGAAAACAACTAAATTGAATTGTTTATGTTTAGTACATATTTAATGATGTTCGTTTATTTATGGAAATTGAGTTGCCGGAAAGAATAACAACATGAAAAAATCAAAACTTTATTAATATCATCACTAAGTCTGTGTCACAAACCTTGTAAACTCATAAGCTATATCTTAAGAGTCTTTATAATTTAGTTAAGACCATCTTTATAATTTAATATTTTTAAGCATATAGTATTATTACATTTTCTTGTATAATTAATAATTAAGATTTTTTTAAAAAAATTGAATATTGTTTTGAATTTTAAATATCTATTTTTATTGATTTTGTTTTTATTGTTACTTTTGTTTTGCATATGTTTTGATTATTTATTTGTCAATTTATTTTCTTTTCTCTTACTTCAAAATTTTAAATAATTATGATGAGAAGTATTGTATGAAAATAAATTTATCAGTAAATGGATTTAAAAACTTAACTAGATGTTTTAGAAAATATATGATATTATATTGATTTTCTAGATTTAATAGCATTAGCATTTTGTATTTGCATGCATCTAATATAATGTACCATTCATGGGGACTAAATCAGTACGTAGCTCTTTCCTTCTTCACGTGAAAAAGGTCTGTGTGATTTTCGATTTTTCATTACAAGATTGCTGCATGCGTTATTAAGTCTGTGCGATAACAAATAAATACTCATTCTTTTCCACTATTTAAAAATATAAACAAATAAAACCTTCTCTATCCATCTTCTTAATATTTCGTCCTATCTCTCTGTACGAATTAAAGCTTAATTAATACAAGTGTTGCTATAATGTGCTTCTTGTTATATTAACTAATGAGTTTCTAATAGATTTTAAAACATAGCTTATGTGGAATTTCGAACTAATTAACTCCTGGTGCAGATGGAATTGAACCTACGAGAATCATGACCTATGAGATCATCATAGATTCATAATCTACGAGACCAACGTGACAAACAAAAGTCAAGAGCAAGGGTAAAAGACTTACGAAAACTTCAGGAACGATCAAGCCCTAGAAAACTAGTATTCATAGATCGATTAGCCATGTTTTGATTCTATACTTTGATTAATAATCGAAATATTGTTCAATGTTATATTCAAATTCGTATTTTTTGTAGGCTCTAAATGAATCAGCTAATTTTTGCCAAAACATTCTCTTTCACCTGATCATTGCAAGTAAACAATAAAAAAAAAAAATTAAGGATTAATTTGATTGGATACCCAAATCTTATAAGAAATTTGAAATTTATACTAATTTTTTTAAATATATAAATTTATACTTATATCAAGAACCTGATCTTAGCTCTCAAGATCATCATACATAATACATTGAGTGATTCCGGCCATAATGGAGAGCGAGGTTCAACCTATCTTAGCAATTAACCAGATCAACACAATTAAAACTATTAAGAGTTCTCCAAATTTAAACATTTTAATTTAGTACAATCTTCGCTAAATATGTATTGAACTGTTAGATCATCGATCGTAAATGGTTTTAAGAAATAGATTAGTACTAATTAATAAACAAGAAAACTATCTGTAAAGTTATGGAGTTGTTTTTTTCTTTCACCATATTAGTCGTCATTTCTCAAATAATATACCAAACTATAAGCTATTAGTGTTATATATATATATATATATATATGGTTGGGAAATTATTTTCTTAAGAGAAAAAGTTAGCTGTCAAGTTTTCTCTCATGCATGTACTGGTACATTTTTCTTGCTAAGAAGTATAGCTTGTTAAGAAATGAAGTTATGAAACATATTTTGGCATTCTTCCTCCAATTTGACACTTTTAACTTTATTATTGATGAGCCTAAATTGTTTTCAGAAAAGATTCAAACTAAAACTGAAAAATCAACGTAAAATATATATCACGATTTTTACATATTTTTGAATTAGAAAAGCGAGGTTCCATTCAATGACTCAGCATTCTTTTTAATTTTAAAAAATCATCTAATTAATAACTTCAGTTTCATCATAGTTTGGACCAAAATTTTGAAGACTAGTATGATCAGAGCAGCATTGTGATATGTATATATTATATATCACCTGCATCTTTTGAGAAAAAATGGTTATAAATAATAAATATGTGCTTTAATCTTTTATCAAGAAAAAAAAAATTTGCATGTCTTATGCTGCTTTGTTTGTAATCGAGAACGTGTAACTGAAATGCCATAATCCTTTTATGATTAATTACCTCTGTATTTGTTTTTACTTATTTTAATCACCAAAAGAACAAGACAATTAATTACCTCCTTTAGTCACTTGAGTCGCAAGAAAATTTTAAAGATTACAAAACTCATTCTCTCTTCGCACCTTCTCTCACCATCGTCTTCTCCACTTTCGCCATCGCTCTCTCCCCACCATCTCTCACCATCTCTCACCATCTCTCACCGTCTCTCACCGTTGTCTTCTCCACTCTCGCCATCGCTCTCTCCTCACCATCTCTCACCGTCTGTCACCATCTTTCACCATCTCTCACCGTCTCTCACCATCTCTCACCATCTCTCACCGTCTCTCACCGTCTCTCACCGTCGTCTTCTCCACTCTCGCCCGGCTCTCTCCCTTTTCTTCTCTCGGTAGCAACATTTCTTTCTTGTTCTTGGTTATAACACTATCCGTTGCATGATATATCTAGTTTTGTTTATCCGCAGATGGCAAATATTGCTAGAGATTTGTTCAACAGTCATGTTATATTACGTCAGCCTGTTGTTGCCGGTGGAGAACTAATGTCGCTCGATATCTTCCAGCATACTCCAGTTGCCCTTGAGGAGATTCATCCCCATCTCTGTTTTCTAACTCCTGTACATAACAAGAAAAGGACGGCCATGAATGGGCAGTGGAAGAGGACTGGAACTCAGAGAGCAGTCTACAACAACAACAATATAAAAATAGGCATTCAGATGCGTTACGAGTTTAAATGGGAACAAGGATTACAGCCACGACCTGTGTACAGAATGACCGAATATGTCAAATCTATGTATGGGAAGAAAGGAATCTGTATAATTCAAAGAGAACAAGCGGAAAATGTTGAACAGGAACAACAAGAAGGACAACAACAAGAAGGACAACAACAACAACAACAAGAAGGACAACAACAAGGACAGTGAAGCAGAAGAATCAGAAGAGAGGGAATGGAGTTTACCAGGATTAGAGCAAATGAAAGGAGAAAGAATCTGTTTCCGAGTTCTTCTGATTCCCTGAAAACTGAACAATAACATCAGCTTTATGTCAATAGCACTCTGGTTTCTAATAGTGTATCATGATCATCAGCTTTATGTCAATAGCAGTATAGCACTCTGGTTTCTAATAGTGTCTCATGATCATTGGGCATATTAAGTATTAACATTAGACAAGAAACAAGGAGTTTTTTTTTCTTATAACAAGCTTTTCAAGAATGTTGCAGAAAGAAAAGTATCTCATCAATTCCGAGAACCAAAAGATAATGTCTCCTTTCCCAAATATTCCTGACTATCAAAGGCCAAACATAAATGATACACTGTTGTACTGGTGCCAAGTTCATATGAGGTTCCAAGATCTTAGCACTTTAATCATGAATTATACATGAGAACATTCCATTTAACTGCTGCCCCAAGAATTCATGGCTCAGGGTCTCTCAGCTCTCACCTTCCAAGCAAACCAATTCAGCATCCCCATTATCAAAAGCAATCTGCAACAAAAGCATAAACAGAAACTCGTGGCATTTAGTGCAGGAGGGAAAAAGGCAGAGAAGGGGCCAAAGGAAAAGCCACGCAAAGATTTATTTTATTCTAGTTATATAACAATAGAATTTGCAACAACATTTTTAGTCAGGAGAGAAATTAGGTAAAGACAGTGTAAGACTGATGATAGAAGTTTGTTGTAGGATAATCTCAGAGCTCATTTCAAGACTAGCGATTGTAACCAAGCCGAAGAAGAATCAGAGAAGAGTGAGAAACACAAAGAGTCCTTGGAACATACAGAAACCAGAGTGCAAGGTGAGAGGACACATTCTAACAAAGCCCATACAAAACACAGCGAGAATGAGGCAGTGGAGAGCCAGAATCAGAGAAACTCATCAGACTCTTGCCATTGTTAAATCAGAGATACATGAAAATTTTGATTGAAATGCAGCACATACTGTAATTCTGTGCCTCCAAACGACCAAGACTTCAAGATGACCTTTTGTATCATATCAAAAAACAACAATTTCTTCAGGTTGCATCTGATAGCCCAAAGGAGAAGATGTATATATGTTCAGCAAATGGACTTTAGCAAGATATGTCACATCCTTACAAAAAGCTTGGAAGCTCCTTTGTTGCGACTCCAACTCTGCAACCATTTCAAAAGCACAACTGTTGCAGTTCCCCAAGTTGCCAAGTTCATAAATTGCACACTTCTTTCTGTCTCTTTGTTTTTGAACGTTGAACCTCATAAACTTTAACCTCTTCACCCTTTGGCGAAAGCCCCTTCAATATGCTGGTCCCTTGTTGACTCCTCCTGAAAATGTAAAGTTGCATATGTCCATTCGTTTGCCAGCTTCTGAAACACTCGTTTTTTGTTGATATTGGCGTAGTTTAAGAGAGATAATTGAACCAACTGAAAACAGTATGTATCATCTTGTTTGAACAGCATTCTTCTTCATGTTCTGTTGAACTGAACCAAGAGACTGTCTCTTCGTTAAGCAAAATTCCCACTTCTCTCCTGTTTCTAACTTGAGCAGTGTTGGTAGCTCCACAAACACAGAGTAGTTGTGATCCAAGCTGTTGAAACTATGTTTTTGGGACAGCAGCTTCCCTTTGTCCAGTTGCAACAGCCCTGAAATTGTGAGCACAACCAAATTCCAACCCTGAAATTGTTTGTAGTTTATTTGTGCCACATTTGGGAGTTGAAATCTTGTATATGTGGTTGTCTCTTCTTGGATCAAAACCTCTTGTCTGCTTTTTACTTTAGTGCTTCTCTCTCCTTCTTTTGATAAGCATTTTATCAAACAGTTGGTATGCACAACATTTGGTCTTCACAGCAACTTCTTCGACATGTAAAACATGTGTTTCCAAACATCAACGCCAATATCAGATCGTAAAGCATCCAAATTGTGACTGCGATCTGTTGTGTTCTTCACGAACGCAAGTGTGAAATCCTCAAGAAGTTACTGCCCCGGAGTTTTTGGCAGGTGTAAAACGTTATTGCTTACCCTTTCCAATAGAACTTTGTTCCAAAGCATTTCGGGTATCATAAAATTAGAATGATGTTGACACAATGCAGGACTTGCCTGGTCATCTGACATGCGCTAGTGAGTGAGGCTTAATTTGTACAACGATGAATGATGGCAGCAAAATTTCAATTACAAATGAAAAGTGAAGGAAAATAATAAACCATCGGGTGGAAATCGCAAGTAAAAGAGGCTCTTCATATATCACACTTGTCTCCATCAATAACAAGAAACAGTGAAATCAAAACTTGGATAGACGAATTCAATCAAATATTGTCTTTGACATAGTATAAATTTGTTTCAGGAGAAGAGAATAGTTCGGATGTCGGCAGGTGGTAACTCAACGGAGCAAACAGGGCATCGAGGAGTGTGCAACAAGTAACGTGAGATACAAGTTGCGTGAAACATGTGATTGCATTTTGTTTTATGAACAATCTCGTCTTCTTTCGGATACCCTTTTTCACAGAGACAACAGAATTCCGAATTACTTTGGTAACAATCTACTATCTCTGTTGTTGGTGGAGCAATTGGTACGAGTCTGGTTCTTGCATCTTCAACACTCAGAACAGAGTCTCTGGTTCTCAATGTGGACAAAACAAGACTTGTGATGTCAATCTCAGGGACATGATCTTGACCAAACCCTCTAACTTGAAAGTGAAAGACGAGGACATGACACGCGGGAGGTACGATATCAAGATCCTTGAATGAAAAGTTGGAGACAATGTAGTCGAAGATCTGATTACTTATGTTGGACTCTTGTTGCGACATGAAGGACCAATCGACCAAATCTACGAATGATTTGGACAATCCAGCTTTTGAGCCTCTTCCTCGTCTTCTTCCTGTGTATCGCGTCAATCGAAACCGTTGACACACGTGTCCATCTTCATAACTTATTACCATAACTCCGACATCAGACTCAGAAGGCACATCAAACTTGTAAAGCCTGAGATTACCGAGACGTGATTTCATAATTACGCTGCTAATAGCTTCCAAAGGTAAGTCTAATTAAATTAAGTTGTGCCCTTTTTATAATAGCCAAGGTCTGTCTACTCATATTCATCTCCGAAGAGGTGTAACTATTTTCCAAATTCCCTACAAATCGGATCACAAACAAGTTTGATAATTACTACGTACTTCAATCATTATCTTATAGATTTTATTTATCTATAAATTTTTTTTCTCTCTAATAGTAACACAGCTTCAAACTTAATCTTGATTTGATTTGTTTATGTGTCTATTTAATTTTCTAAAATTATATTTTAAGATTCACATAACAGATCATATAAATACTAATCTTGATACACACGATAGTAGCATTTTTAATTTATAATATTATATTACATAATTAATACACATAATAAATCATTGTAATTATTATTTTTATTTAACATTATTTCAAAGAAAATATCTACAATTATACTGTAATATATTTATTAATTTTGTTTCTCATCTATTTACTTTTAATTCAATTAGATTAATCTCAAAAATTAAAACTAAAAAGTGCTCATAGAGTAATGATATGATTTTTCCAAAATTTGGGTACCCAAAAGAAAATTATATCAACTAAATTAAGACCAGCATATAATATACCAATCTAAGAAAAAAAAATTAGTTCTTATTTATTGAATATAAATTTTCAGAAATTGTGATTTTATTTGTGTTTATAATTATTTAATTGTCTTATCTTATCTTACAATTAATAAATCAATAACACGGTCTATAATAAATATGACAAGGCACGTTTCATGGATTTTTGTTTGTTTTCCCATAAATTATTTGCGGAGAAGGAAATACACTTTGAAACGGAAAATAGAAAAAGTAAAAAGGAAATAACAAAAAAGAAATTAATATTTTGGGTATTTTCCTAAATTCATTCATAAGTTAAACCTAATTTCTCCTCTTATTTAAACCAAACGCCTCTCTTAAGAAATCTCCAATTCCTTCGATTCAACAAAGAGGTATTCTTATTTCTCCAGATCTTTTTATTCTTCGAGATTTGTTCTTGTTGTTGTTTATGTATTGCTTTGTTAGAGCGATTTCGTTTGATTTTTGTTATTTTGAGCTAACGATTGAAAATTTCGTGATGATTGATAATCGCAAGTCTGGGTTTCGTTTAGGATTGATTCATGAATCTTATAGATTGATTAGGGTTTGACACAGAATCCGAAATTTGTGCCTTTGCGTCTTGATTATTGTAATGTTAATGGTGATTGAATCAGATTTTATTGCTCCGTATCGTTTCTAAATTCTTTGGTTGATTGTTTGTTTCTGCAGCACCTGCAAGTGGAAGAGACGAATCGAATTTTGAAGCTTTCTTTTATGTCTGACAAGATATCTCCGTTTTGTTGTCAATCTGGTTGCTTGGTAAACACTATCCTACATCCAGAATTAAGGACTACTACTAGTTCCTCCATCACTTTAGGTTCTCGCATCTTCAAACCGGAGATCCCTCCTATTTCTGTCCAGTTTTTGAGCTAAGAAGAAAAACACTTCAACAATGGCGCTGCAGAACATTGGTGCTTCCAACCGTAACGATGCCTTCTACAGGTACAAGATGCCTAAGATGGTTACCAAGACTGAAGGCAAAGGTAACGGCATTAAGACCAACATTATCAATAATGTTGAGATTGCCAAAGCCTTGGCGAGACCTCCTTCTTATACCACAAAGTACTTTGGTTGCGAGCTTGGGGCGCAGTCCAAATTTGACGAGAAGACTGGGACTTCGCTTGTGAATGGGGCTCACAACACGTCTAAGCTTGCTGGGCTGTTGGAGAATTTTATCAAGAAGTATGTCCAGTGCTATGGATGTAGTAACCCTGAGACTGAGATCATCATCACAAAGACGCAGATGGTGAATCTCAAGTGTGCTGCTTGCGGGTTTATCTCTGAGGTTGACATGAGGGACAAGTTGACTAATTTCATTCTTAAGAACCCACCTGAGCAGAAGAAGGTGTCAAAGGACAAGAAAGCAATGAGAAAAGCTGAGAAGGAGAGGCTTAAAGAAGGCGAGCTAGCTGATGAGGAGCAGAGAAAGCTGAAGAAGGAAGCTAAGAAGAAAGCATTGTCTAACGGGAAGGATGCTTCTTCTAAGACTTCCAAGAACCATTCTTCTGATGAGGATTCAAGCCCGAAGCACGATGAGAATGCGCATGAGGTGGATGAGGATGAAGACGATGATGATGGTGTCCAGTGGCAAACTGATACTTCCCGAGAAGCTGCTGAGAAAAGAATGAAAGAACAGTTGAGTCCTGCAACTGCTGACATGGTGATGCTCTCTTCAATGGAAGCAGAAGAGAAAAAGGCTCCCAAAAGCAAGTCGAACGGGAATGTTGTGAAAACTGAGAATCCTCCGCAAGAGAAGAATCTCGTGCAGGATATGAAAGAGTATCTGAAGAAAGGGTCACCAATAAGCGAGTTCAAGAGTTTCATCTCCTCTCTCTCTGATCCTCCACAAGACATCATAGACGCACTCTTCAATGCTCTCTTTGACGGCGTGGGCAAAGGATTCTCCAAAGAAGTGATGAAGAAGAAGAATTACTTAGCGGCTGCTGCAACAACGCAAGAGGATGGATCACAGATGCATCTGCTCAATTCGATCCGGACATTCTGTGGAAAGAATGGAAACGAAGAAGCGTTGAAAGAGGTGGCTTTGGTTCTTAAAGCATTGTACGACCAAGACATCATTGAGGAAGAGGTTGTGTTGGATTGGTACGAAAAGGGTCTCACCGGAGTTGACAAAAGCTCCCCGGTTTGGAAGAATGTTAAGCCTTTTGCTGAGTGGCTCCAGAGCGCTGAGTCTGAGTCCGAAGAGGAAGATTGAGACATTTTTTCTTTCCTCTTTACTGTTTTTTCACTTTTTTTGCGGGATTTCTTATAATCTATTCGTCAGTTTTCAGAACTCTTAAATCTTTTTGCAGTGTTCTTATAAAGAAACATATAATCTATTAAATTTGAAAAAATGCTATATTGCTCAAAGTTGTCGTTGAGGACTTAATGCTTTGTTTGTGATTGGTTTTGACGACTTTGGGATATATTTATGTTTAAGAAGGTTTCATTGGTCATTGACTTTATTTATTAAAACGTAACCATGATGTGATAGTGGGCCTTATATCAATAAAAATTCGAAACATGCGAAAAACAGAAGCAGAGGCCCGTTTCAACGGGAGCATAATAAATTGCATTCTCTGTCTTTTGTTTTTTATGTTTTTTGTTTAAATTAATTTATATGTGCCGTCGAAAATAATATATATTAAATAAAAACTAATTGATATATACAAATCACAACAAACATTCCTAACTGACCACCCATCTATCTGCTTTCCCCACGCGCCAAGGATGTCCACTTTGCAAAAATATTATGACGAAAGGGATTTTTATATTTTTATACCACTTTTTTATTGAGAGATAATTTTTGAAATTATTGTATTGTTAACATTAAAAGATTTAAGGGATTAAAGTGAAAAAGGTAGACTAAAGACAACTTGCCATTTAATACAATCCAAATTACAAAATAAATGGTCAGGGTTGTCACTTTAATTTATAGAAATATTGGGTAAAACATAATGGACAAAAAAAATATATTTGTATAGGGATTGTGACAAACAAAAAAGATGTTTTCACTAAACAAACAAAAACAAAAAAGATGTAAAGCTTTTCTTACATCTGTACAAAATAAAAGCAGACGAAATTGTACTTTATTTTCCTTAATAAATTGTCGGTATGTTTTTATGTGTTGTGAAAAAGTAGTATGGATAACCAAATAAAAAACTACTGTAATCTAAATAAAGTTGGTTCAACCGGTTTAAATAGTATTTTTCAGTTAGGAATGTTTGAAATTTGTTTCTTGCAATTGGATAATCATAAAACACTTACAAAATTAAAAGCATATAACTCGAATTTGAGTTAGTTAACAATGAAAAATACTATTTAAAAAAAAGTAAAAAAAAAAACTCGTTTCAAATCTTTTATTTAACTATAATTTATGGTTAAAAAAATATTGTTAAAAAAAAAGTATTACAACAGACATTTTTAATGGGCCACCGTATGATTTTTTCACGCGCAGAGGATATCCACGCGCTATTTTCCAAATATATAAACAGAAAAAAGGAATCAGGGATCTATTTTAATATCCTGTTTTTTTCTTCCATTTGGATATTCAGATCTTTTTCTGAAATTATCTTGTTCTTAAATTAAAAAAGATTAAAGTAAGACAACTAGCTAATTGCAACCGCACAAAACAAGATAATTTCTAAACTGATCCACTTGGATTTTCTTTGATTTTGTAGAAAAATTGATAATTTTGCTTTTGTATAAGAACAAAAATATACCGTAAGAAAAAAAAAACCACATTTTAAAAAATAAACAAAAAATATTGACAACAAACAAAGTGAAGCGACATTGTAAATTTTAATACACCTATTTCCTCAAAACATGAAAATGGTCTTATTATAACACAAATTATGATTTTTTTCTTTCAATTATATACTCAATAATTCATCCCAAATTGCACAAAATTATTTTAACTTTTTTGTCTTAATAAAGATAAGTTCATTGAAATTTTTATGTTGTAACAAAAATCTTGATTCAAAGTGCTAGCTAAAAAAAACCCTACTTCTAACGTAGGCATAGCAACCCTTAATTAATCTACCATATAAATTTACTTAATTTTTCTCTAATCATTCTAAAAATCTACAGAAATATTCCCTTTTTCAGTTTTAAATCTACAAAAATCTACTTAAATGCATTTCTTAGTTCATCAGTGAAAAAAAAAGAACATCATTAATTGAACCTAAAAAATAGGGAAAAAAATAAATGAGAAACCAAAAAGATAGAGAGTAAGATTCACGCGCTAAGATCGGACGGTTAAAAAGAGCAGGTTAGTGAGAGAGATATTAAAAGTTTGTTGTCGTGTGGCAAAAACTGTAATATTTGACAGAAACAAAATCAAAAACAAAATCCCGTAGCACCGTAACAGTAATTCTCTATTATCTCTCTCCTCTCCCTCCGCTTTCGCTTCCGTTCTATGCCCGTTTCAATTCTCTCTTTCTCAGACACCACGGTCTCTCTCTATCTCTCTAACAGTACCTACCTCTTCTTCTTGCTTCTTCTTTCGCTGACTTTGTTTACAGTGAAAACAGATACCTATGTCACCGCCGTCGGCAACCGCCGGTGACATCAACCACCGTCAAGTCGACCCAAGGATCTGGCGCGCTTGTGCTGGTGCCTCCGTTCAGATCCCTCTCCTTTACTCTAGGGTTTACTACTTCCCTCAAGGTCATGTGGAGCACTGTTGCCCTCTCATCTCCACTCTTCCTTCGTCTACCTCTCCGGTGCCATGTCTCATCACTTCCATCCAGTTGCTCGCCGATCCGATCACTGACGAGGTTTTTGCTCACCTTGTTCTTCAACCGATGACGCAGGAGCAGTTTACTCCGACTAATTATTCAAGATTCGGTAGATACGATGGCGATGTTGATGATAACAACAAGGTGACTACCTTCGCCAAGATTCTCACGCCTTCTGATGCTAACAATGGAGGTGGATTTTCGGTTCCTCGTTTCTGTGCTGATTCCGTCTTTCCTCCGCTTGATTTTCAAATCGATCCACCGGTTCAGAAGCTTTACATCACCGATATCCATGGAGCTGTTTGGGATTTCAGGCATATCTATCGCGGTACACCGAGGCGTCACTTGTTAACCACCGGATGGAGCAAGTTCGTGAATAGCAAGAAGCTAATCGCTGGCGATTCGGTGGTGTTTATGAAGAAATCTGCAGATGAGATGTTTATGGGTGTTAGGCGAACACCGATCTCAAGCAGCGGTGGAGGAAGTAGCTACTACGGCGGGGATGAGTACAACGGCTATTACAGCCAGAGTAGCGTTGCTAAGGAAGATGACGGGAGTGCGAAGAAGACGTTTAGGAGGTCTGGGAAAGGTAAATTGACCGCTGAGGCTGTGACGGAGGCGATCAATAGAGCAGCTAAGGGATTGCCATTTGAGGTGGTGTATTATCCGACTGCTGGATGGTCAGAATTTGTGGTGAGAGCTGAAGATGTTGAGTCCTCTATGTCTATGTTTTGGACTCCTGGGACTCGAGTCAAGATGGCTATGGAGACTGAGGATTCCTCTCGGATAACTTGGTTTCAAGGCATTGTTTCCTCTACTTATCAAGAAACTGGTCCATGGCGTGGATCTCCTTGGAAACCGCTTCAGGTATATGATGATTTTTGAATGCTCTTTGCTCTTTTTATCTCTCTGATGTTGAGTTGATGGAACAATTTAGAATCGATCTTATATAGATTATTGTGTGCAAGCCTTTCAGGAGTAGTTTTAAGTCTCATTCTGGTTATTCAAATGCCAATTGGGTTTTTGATGTTATTTTGATTGCTGTGTTGTTTTGAAGCTACATATTTTGATAATGAATGTTCTGTCTCAGATTCATCTTCTATAAAGATGAGATGGAATTGAAACTGGAAGATTTGGTTTGGCATTGTTTGTGTTGAGCTTCCGTGATGTAGAGTTGCTTTTCATTATCCTTCTTTGGCCACGCATTGTACATTGTGTTTGTTAAACTAGAGTTAGTCTTAAGATACTCCTTTTTTTTGGCCAATACATTCTGCTTCCTCTGATTAGTTACTTTGTTTTGAACTTGCATAGATCACATGGGATGAACCTGAGATTCTGCAAAACGTGAAGAGGGTGAATCCTTGGCAAGTGGAAATTGTTGCAAATGCAACTCAACTTCATGCCACCTTCCCTCCAGCAAAGAGGTTGAAGTATCCACAACCCGGAGGGTTCTTGAGTGGAGATGACGGAGATATCCTCTATTCTCAAAGGGGACTGTCTAGTGCAGCAGCACCTGATCCAAGTCCTTATATGTTCCCGTATTCTACATTTCCTGCTGGCATGCAGGGAGCCAGGCAATATGATTTTGGGTCTTTCAATCCAACCGGATTCATTGGAGAGAATCCTCCCCAGTCATGCACCAATAACTTCTTCAGTCCGCTTCCAACCGGGTTGGGAAAAGTGTCGACTGAGATGAATTTTGGCAGTCCGCCATCAGATAACTTATCGCCTAATAGCAACACCACTAATCTGTCCTCTGGAAACGACCTGGTTGGAAACCGAGCCCCCATTTCAGCAAAAGCTAACTCGATTCGGTTATTTGGCAAGACCATTACCGTGCAGGAGCGTTCTGAGAGCGGTCTTGCAGAGTCTGGCTTGTGTGAAGAGGATGGCAGCAAAGAGTCCAGCGACAATGAGACACAATTGTCCTTGACACGTGGTCGTGGTCCTCCAAGCGTGTGAAGATTCTCTAGGTGCCTAAACATTCCAACAGCTACGCAGGTTATCGCTGCCAAGGTATATTCTGATCTATCGCAAGTACAATAATCTATTGAATCAGTTGCTAAAGCTTTTATTACTGTTTTGATCAAGCCAATTATGTAGACTAGGAAACACATTTATGATTTTCTGATATGACCAATGATACTTGTGAAAACTATCTCTATCTCTTCAGTAATCGCCTTGAGTTAATTGGAATTTGGGACTTAAACATTACTTGGAGTTAGCTTTTCAAAGCATAAGCTTTCCTGATTCATCATATATGTATTAAGATAGTTCTTCATATCATTACAATCCATTCTCTTTCACTGTACTTGGTTTGCTTTGATTTACCGCTGCTATTTACAATTTCTACTGTTTTGTTTCTCTTTTTTTAGTCTCATTTACATTGTATGAGGACACAGAATTGGCTCCTTTATGCATCTGAACAATGAAGAAATTGTGTGGTTTCGTTACAATTTTGATTTGCAGAAAGCTTGAAGCTGCTTATATGCGAATATAATGATGCACATCCTCAACCTCAAGCTTGGATTGATTTGTACTTTTCTTTTGTTGGTGTGTTTTCACAGGTTAACAAGTGAAAGAAGTGGTGCTGTAGGAATCTCCCATATGTCCCAGCCCAAGTAGTAGTAGTAGTAGTAGTACTATTATATCTATCTGGTGTTTCTGCATTTGACTTTTCTCTGGTTTTTTCTTTGCCACGCGTGACAATCAGTTTTTACTTTCTTTTTTACCAATTTCTCAGACACATTTGATGAACATCTCGCTCCTCTCCTAATCGTTAACTATTTTATTGGGGTAAATGTCTGGATTTTTTTTACCTAAACATGTCTTAAGAGGTAAGAAGACTGCTGTTGTTTATGCAGAGTGAAAAACAGTAAATAATTCAATGCTTTATTCAATCCCTATGCTATGGGCTTTTCTGCCTATTGATGGATCTAAGTTAACGGCGCCAACCAGAGAGAGTAATAACTGTTTTTCGCTTTTAATTAATATTCCTAATAAATAAAAGAGACTGCAAATAATGACGTACCATTTTTTATTCCCTAACAGTAATAAATAAAGTAAGCTCTCAAGAGAGGTCCCTCCTACATTTTTCTGACTCCTTTATGTTGTGTTCTCTGTGACTCGTTAAATCTTGTAACGGATCATCTATAGCATCGCCAATTTGTCAGTAAGTTAGGGTTGGTTTGATTAGCAATCAATGAGACAAAAATATATTAGGTTGGTTTGATTAGCAGCAATTAAGACGGCTTGGAGAATGCAAAGACATTGAACCAAGTGGAGGCTAACAACATTTTATGAATTTGGTGAAACTAGATCAACATCTGGATGTTCAATGTTTATGTGTACTAGGGAGAGTGGACCAGGTCTTAATTTAAGTTTCCTGAAATGGTAATAGCATGATAAAGATAGAAGAACCTGTTCTGGAGCAAATTAGCTGTAAGTTACAGCCTGTAACGCAAAGTTGAGAGTGTAAGGACAACAACAAAAAAAAAAAAAAAAAGTAAATAGTAATAAAATATCAGAAATATGGTTATGTGTTGGGGAAACACAAATCATTCCTGGTTCTGACTTCAATCATACTCTCTCTGATGAAAGAAGTATTACATAAGGACAAAAATCCAAAAAAATGTAATTACTCGATATCAAAATGCTATTTCAAAATGAAAATAAATAGCAAGTGGTTGAAGTTTTTGCATGGTAAAAAGTGTGAAAGAAGAACATCAGGAGAGGAGTGGTGTCCTCTGCGGAAGAGGCAAAGCCTGACTGAAGTTTTCTAGTAAAAAACACTTTCCAAATAGCTTTTTTTCATACTTTTGTTTTTCTGTTTACTGATGTTTGATGATGCTGACCTCTCTCCCTCTTCTTATAGTTTAGAGTTTGAATAGTAATTAGTTGGTAACAACGAAATAAAATATGTGTAACAAACGGATTGAACAAAACAAATGAATCAAAACGCATCAAACTGACCAAATACTACTATATAAACATGATAAATATTGGAGAAAAAAACAAGAACTTGCTAATTAAAAAAGAAAAAAACTCATCATAAAAAAGAAGAGCACGAGATGCTTTCTTTCTCTCTCAGTCTGTCTTGCATCTAAGCCAAATCAAGTCCAATCCTCAGGTTTTAATCATTTGCTGTTTTTCATTTTATTACCTTTTTCTTTTTCTTTTGGTCTTGACCACATTCATTTTATTACCTTCCCCTGCAACACTTTTCCGTATAGACAAGACAACTGTCACACTACTACTCTCTTTTGCAGTCAATTTTTATTCAAAAGCAACCCACAACGGCCAAAATAAAGTGTAATAGAAGATTCAAATGGAATATTTTCCTTAGAAAGCTTTTTAACTTTCACATTTTAACTTGTACAAAGAGTATTTGTAAGCAGGCACCATATTAACTCTCTGTTCCGAATTTCAAGATTAAAGAACAACAACAACAATAGTAAAAAACATATATTATGAATTAGATAGATAATTTTAAAAGTAAAAACAGAGGAGATTAATTAATAATCTGATTCATCTAAAAAAGCCTAATAAACCCCAATTATTATTCATCACCTGTGACTACAATAATCCAAAAGCATTTTCCTACCATCAACAATATCATCAAAGAAATCATCAATCTGAGCAACAATACTCTCTGTTCCATTCCTCAAATTCCCAACACTTCCTTTCAAATTCTCAACTCTCTCCCTCAACCCCTTCTCCGCCGCCTCCTCCTCTCCTCCTCCTCCGCACCACCGCCGTTCCAACTCCGCCTTAAGCTCCTCCATCGCCGTCTTGCTTCTCCTATACTCATACATCATCATTCCTTTCCTCATCCCTATCCTCTCCATTTCCGCCGCCACTCTCTGCTTCAACCTCACCATCGTTCCCGGCTGCACCGTCGCTGCCGTCGTGTCTCCGGGGATATAATAAACAAGACCTTGCATCAAGATCACGAGAAGTAACGAGTTTATGTTCTTCATCGTGTTCATGACTCCTCGGAAACCGCTGAATCCGTTTTGTATCTTGGAAGACTCCATCGCCGTCGTAGTAACTTGCTCCGACCAAAAAGGAAACCTTTGAATACGATTCTCCATTAATGCTCTGTTTTCTTCTTCTATCCCCACCGCTTCTCTCCTACATCCAGATATTGCTCGTATCACCTGTCCCATATACAAAGTTTTCAAGAATAAGCAAAACAAAACTCAAAAAACATATTTAATATATATAAAATCAACTTGAATTATCTTAATTCTTTTAATAAATCAAAATAATGTTGAATATAATGTTTTATTTTGTTTGTTAATGAGTATTTTAATATAAATTTTGCACTAGGACCTACAAATAATTTGTGACAGTCCAAAAAAAAACATTTACATACCTGCCGGGAAATTTGAGGGGAGAGGAGACGACGGTGGTGGTAGTGGCCGTCAAGGGTGGAGGTAATGGAAATCGCGGAGGAGCAAAAGCTTTCGATGGAGGAGATAGCGGATTTGATGACGTGGCAGACGTCCCAAAGCTTAGAAGTTTCGTCCATGTAGTCGTCGAGCCACTTGTCACCGACAGGGAGGTTAAGTTTCTGGACAAGAAGTGTGAGATGAGAGTGAGAGGTTCTTAGAAGACAGATGACTCTCTGTAGAAACTGTAAGGACATGAAGTTGTTGGATAGATAAACCCTTTCGAGATCTTCCATTGATCTGTTTAGAAACGAGTAGAATCCATTTACTGAGTTTGTACAAGACTGATCCATTGTTGACCCTTCAAAAAAATATTTGGTGTTTGTTTGTTTGTTTGGGTGATTATAGGGAGAGAGATTTGGGAAGGAGAGAATTAAAAGGTTATATAGAGATTTTGGATGTGTGTGTATAGATGAAAAAGAGAGTGAGAGAGAAAGAGAATAAGAAGAAGAAGAAGAAGCAGAGAGATTATGTAAGGATGAAAGTGATTGTTTGGAGCAATGATGGTTGTTTCCTATAGAGGAGGAAATTGATCATTGGTAATACTAATATCTCAATTTTTCATATTTTTAACTTAAATTTCTTATGGAAAGAAATTGTATTCAGCAAAAAAAAAAAAAAAAAAGAGTTGAAATTTGGAAAAGTACAAAAACAAAGGCATACACAAGAGGGTTTTTGAACTAAAAAAGAAAGACAATAACTAATAGATTATTTTTTCATGGAGTCCATATATATTTGTCATCTATTTTCTGATACATTGGAGACATAAATAAAATTAGAATATTAGTAATTTTATTTTCTAGAAGTTGCTCATATCTTTCTTTTTTCTCTTTGGGATTATTAGGATGATTCTTTGTCCGAATAAAATCTCTATTAATTGATGATTAGTAGAAAGAATATCGATCATGCTTTCAATACATAAATAATCGAATATCTCTAGTAATTTAGTATACGACTTTTGCATTTTCTACGAAGGCATCTAATACCATTTCATGCTTTACTAGTTATGACTCACTGCATATAACTCCTTGACACACAAAAAAAGAAAACAAAGAAATTGAATTACAATTATCATTTGGTTTAGAACTTCTGCACCTTGTTTTATATTTTTTTTAGTATAGCTTTTTGTAAGAATAGTTTGAATCACAACAAAAGTTGAATGTGTAAATGTGTACATCAGTAAGTTACAGATATTCTGTAACCATTACGTAATTTAGTCTAACAAATGAAATCAACAAGCAAACTTGATTGTGTGATGATTTGTATTAATAGGTCAATAACTCAATACTAATGGGTCAATGGATGGAGATAGATAATGTTGAATAACAATTAGATTCGTTCATATAAAATATTATAATATTGTAACTAAAGTATACAAGGAATGAAAAAACAATCAAGTTCATACCTCCAAAGTGGTATTTCGGACCCATTCGACGGCGGATAAGTAGTACTATTTTAAAAATTCTTTATATGACGCAGTGGAATATCAATAAAACTAATTAAAACTAGTTACGATAAGTAAATCGGATAAAATTATTTTATTGCAAAAGAGTTGCTTTATTCCCGTTATCAAGCCGGCGCGTATTCTATACTCAACTCATTTTTTAATTTTTTTATTCCATTCCTAAACCACCAATAATTATCATTATATTCATCACTAAACAAATTTGGTTCTTCGATTGGGATGATCAGAAATAAATACGTTATATCGGGAAAAACAACCACGGGGCCAAATCCTAAAATAGTTTTGGACAAAAACAATTTTGAATGTATATGTATCCCTTATAAGACAAAAGAAAATGTTTCTATTCGAATCAATGAAACAAGAATCCAAAATTATTTGGTCAACAATTAGTGACTCCATATTAATTACGCATGTGTTTCTTTGTGGATGTGTGTGTGTGTATATATTAGTGTGTGAAAAATTGAGTGGTGAAGTGTGAGAGAGAGGGGGCCATCAAATCTAATGGAAGCGTCGGGCGACTCAATAATTTTGGCTTCGTCATTAATTACCCTTGTTTATTTTATTCTTTATACATCTCTTTTTGGGTCACATTTTTAATAGTATGTGTTTGTCGACAAATCAAACAGACATATGAATTGATATAGCAAAAGAATCTGAAAAACCAATAAATCGAAAATATATTTTTTTAAATGCTGATGAAACGTCTAGAATATTGTATTATTGGTAGGAATATTTATATTAAAAAAGTAAAGCACAAAATATCGACATGTTTTTGGTCAAATGATGTATATTACATGTACGTATAATATTGCTATCAATCCAGCAAAAGAGAAGAGTAGATAGTAGATTTGTGAGAATGTTTCGTTTTCTGAGTAATGGCTTGAGATAAGGAAACAACTGTTTTTGGTCCATACCCTCTTCTCTTTCCGTCAACCGTTTTGAAATTGATCTTCCTATTTTCATTTCCCATTTAATTCCCCTTGGGAATGTTTATATTTTTTGTGCTTTTTGTGGTTTTAGTCTTTAAAATATATTTATAGATTTATTGCTACTTGCTAGTGTTTAAGACTTTGAACTCTCAGATAAATTATTTTGAAAAGAGAATAATATGTACGACTGAAGTTTTTTTACAGAGTCGCCTACGACTTTGTTGAAACTCGATTGAGAAAACAAAATTACAACAACGGTAAAAAGTTTTGTAACTTTATTTGTATTATACCCGTTTTACCTAACCATAACCTATGGGCTCTACACTAGTAATCAAGTTTATAAGGTCAAAAGAACCTTTAAAGGGTGAAAAGAAAAGGTGATAAGTTAATAACTGATAAGCACTCCACTAATCCTCTAATCGGACGGTGGAGATAGATGGAAGAGTTGATTATTTAGAAGGTCAAGAACCTCAACTTATGATAAGTTTGATTTATAAATCTAAAAGTTAAAAGTGTTGAGCCGAAATTGGGATGCAAAGGTATATGCCATTTCAACGTTAAATGGTAGAGATTTGTGGTTGTAATATTCCACTTTCGTGTATATCATTGATGCACATGAAATTGTAGTTTTTTTTAATAACTTGTTGATGTGGTCCAATTCCAAATTTTCGATCTTAATGATATAGTATGAACTAAATGAAAGGATGATTGGAGAGAGTGTTGTGTTATACATTGAACATAACTAATAAGTTTTTTATATACATATTGGAAATAAATAACTTTAGAAATTTGTTTCAACAATGGAAGAATTTTGATAAATTTACTCTGTATCATTGTATGCAAATGCTAAAAAATTTGAAGAAGAAGAATTCCAAAATCCAAACATGTGTTGGTTTGTGGGTAATTTCCAAAATACAAAAACACTTTAGATAAAGCTGCCAAAACCAATTTTCCCCAACTACCATCCGCTCCAATTCTGGCTTCACATCCTTGTTAACCGGATAAAGTTATAAAGTCAACTGATTACAAAAACAGAGTAGGTCCTGCGCTTTTTATACACCAGAGAGACCACTTAATTGAAATTAAATCGAGTTCTGGAAGAAATCTAGACTAATTCTTAGTTATTGTAATTCTTATGCGAAATTACATATTAAAATGGCTAATTAAAGAAAACATCTGACAGAAATTGAGTGACTTGAATATGTAGCAACATAAAAGGAATATTAGTATAGAAAAAAAAAAAAAAACATGAGTAAAATGCACATTAAGAGTAATGAAACCAATAGAGATGTCGTAGGCAGTTGAGTAGCTTAATGAGATTTAGGTCCACAGTATGGGCTTCTTCTGATATATATTTTAATATGATATGACCACATTTCTCAATTCTATTTATTCAAAATTCCCTTAAATAATAATAGTAATCAATTTTAGTGACCCTATCTATATATATCTCTGTGTCAAGGCCGGCCCTTTTCTTCGCAATCTACTACACTCACAAAGCCACACCTATTTATCATCATCATCACTCTTCCTAAAGCAAATAAATGAAAGAACAAAAAAAAAAGAAGCTAAATATTTTACTTATTGGTTGGTGTGTCATATGTGCGTAGATATGATGTGGATTGTGTAAAGTTTGTGTAAGAAGCTAATGTGGCTACTGGGTCCTCATATGGGACCAAACTTAGTAGACTTTTAGTATTCAGATTCACAGAATCAAGAACCAAGACAATCGTCTCATTACAAGTCCTACTACCTCTTATCCACCATGGCTAGGCTACAAAAGTTATCAGAATTGAACAAAGGATTACAATTGTGGAAATCTTGACAGATTTGTGATTTCAGGTGAGAGTTTTGGTATATGCAGTTATCTAAGTGTGGGAGTGAGTATAGTAAATGTGTAAAGGAGTTGAAACCTTGGTCATGTCTAAGTGCAGACGAGTGTGCAGAGGTCTTGTGTCCTGGCTTGTGAGATATTGGTGAAAGGAAATATTCGGGACTTTTCACTGGCCATGCACGTTAGTGTTAGCTGAGCATCACTCACCATTGCCTATTTGCCTGTCATATTCACATATAGTTTTTACAATGTTGTAATCGATTAGGCATATAAGAGTAATAAGAACTAAATCGCTAAACCGCTAAAAACTAAATCGATTAGAAAAAGAAAACCGGAGCCTGAATAATTTAGAATCTTTGACCCAAACCCTAGCTAATATCTCCACGGGCCCAAACCCGGCCCATAAAAATGTGGGTATATAAGTTACAAGGAGGCGACGAGCGATCGATATTGAAAGATGGGAGCAGCTAAATGGATACCACTAATAGCTGCCTTGTCGAAGAAGAAAGGGAAAAGATGTCAGACGACGCACGAGAAACTCAGGCACCGGAAGAAGATGGAGATGAGGAAGATGATGATAAGGCTAGCTACAGAGGAGGAGGAGGAGGAGGAGCCAGAGAGGAAGATCTGCCGGGAGCTTATGGATCTCAATAAGAACGACGTAGGTTTTAATTGTATGAATGATCCTCTGTTTTCCTTGGAATCGCTTATTACAATTTGTACTTGGCTCTCGCGAGTTTTTGCAGATTTGGGGAGAATTTGATTCGGTGGAAATTGATGGCATCCTTAGCGGCGGAACTAAACCCAAGATCTTGATCACTACTTGTGTGCCTTGTATTGCCAAAGAGCTTCTCTCAGTGTTCCCGAATTCTAAATCCTATGAGACCCAATTTCTCAAGGAGAAATTTCTCTCACCGTACCCGAGTTCTACACTCACTGACACCCAATTACACGAGGTTATATAGCGTAAAAACTCAATACTGTTGCAAAGTTATGTATGTATATAAACATGTTTGTTTATGGATTTGCGCAGATCATAGAGTATGCAAAGGCAAATTGTTTTACAGCTCTCATTATCACTGATACAACCCGTCATGCAAAAAATTTCACACATGGTCTCTGTTTATATATATATATATATGAATATACTCACTCCTCTTCTTGAATAAGCTGTTGTCATGATGTGTTGTCTTGTTTGGTTTGCAGGTATAATCTGTATCATGAGCTTGCTGAATGGGGCTGCCGCTTATTTCGAACTTGCAGATTTCATCCCACGGATGTTACTGCGGGTATTAGCCTTTTCTTTTCTATACTTGAATTTCTATCTCTTACAGTGAGAGTTGGTGTTGAAAGAGACTTTCTTGCAGGATCTTGTAGATCCCCCAAGCAAGTTCTATCCGCAGCTTGTTACGACGCAGTTTACATCTCCTTTGGATGTTGGTACTGAGAGGTAACACTGGTGCTTTTTCGTTGGCAACACCTCGTATAAGAGTCTTCATCTTAATATTCTTGTCTGCTTTTTTAATTTTCAGATTCATTCGATCCCTCTTCCCCAAGGTTTCTTTCTCAGCTGCAAAGAGGAGTACTGTGGCCTTCGTTAACTATCCGGATGATCTTATACTTTTTCGTCATGATTGGTACGTAATTGCTTCACACGCTTCTTCTCTTAAACTTTTGCCTGGCTAGAAGATAAAAAAAATATCTCAACTTGTGTATGTTTCCATCGTGTTCAGTTTCTGCTATGTGAAAGCCCCTGACGGTAAAAGTGCAAGACTTGTTAGCTCGCAGGTCAGGGTCCTTTGCTTTTGCTGACCTTACTAATGTTACCTTTGCATCAACGAAATTCTTGTGTTGATTGCTGCTAACTTTTTTATTTTATTTTTGTTTGTGTGTGTGGCAGGAGTGTGGACCTCGTTTCTTACTCAAGTTACTGGCGTTAGAGAAGATAACAATTTGACACAAGGTAATCACCGCAACACTGATTTGTCTGATAATGAGTTTCTTTTCTCGAGAAGCCCTGACTTAAGACATTGTTTTTTCTTTTGTTGCCTTGCCAAGTCGCTGCCGGCTAGATGTTGGAGGGCTATATTATGAAATCAGCTTTGCTTCTTGCAATGGTAAACCAGTGTGTGCGTATTTCGTCTAATTTTATGTTTCTTTCCTCTTTTTTTTTTTTTTTTTTTTTTTCACAACAAAAACAATCGGTTATTTGTCTTGTTGTAGAATAATTTATGTTTATGTTTGCCAACATTAGTACACTAGTAGTGTGTTCTCCTCTTGGATGGATCCTTTTTCCTCGTATTTTAAGAAGCTAATGTGGCTACTGAGTCCTCATATGGGACCGAAATTTAGTAGACTTTTAGTATTCAGATTCATAGAATCAATAACCAAGACAATTCGTCTCATTACCCCTTATCCATGGCTAGGCTACAAAAGTTATCAGAATTGAACAAAGGATTACAAGTGTGGAAATCTTGACAGATTTGTGATTTCAGGTGAGAGTTTTGGTATATGCAATTATCTAAGTGTGGGAGTGAGTATAGTAAATGTGTAAAGGAGTTAAACCTTGGTCACGTTTATGAGCAGACGAGTGTGCAGAGGTCTTGTGTCCTGGCTTGTGAGATATTGGTGAAAGGAAATATCCGGAACTTTCCATTGGCCATGCACGTTAGTGTAAGCATCACTCACCATTGCCTGTCATATTCACATATAGTTTTTACAATGTTGTAATCACTAATCGAACTATGATTTGCATATTATGTAAGGTTAGCGATATAGTAGGCAGTTGAGTAGCTTGATGGAATTTAGGTCCACAGTATGGGCTTCTTCTGATTTATATTTTAATATGATGACCACATTTCTCAATTCTATTTTCTTTCAAAATTTCCTTAAAAATAATAGTAATCAATTTTAGTGACCCTATCTATATTTATATATGAGCCAAGGTCGGCCCTTTTCTTCTCATTTTAATACACACCCACAAAGCCACACCTATTTATCACCATCAACATCCCTCTTCCTAAAGCAAATAAATGAAACGGGAAAAAAAAACGAAGCTGAATATTATACTTACTTGTTGGTGTGTCATGTGTGCGTAGATATGATGTGGATTGTGTAAGAAACTAATGTGGCTACTGGGTCCTCTCTCATATGGGACCAAACTTCGTATACTTTAGTATTCACATTTATAGAACCAAAACATTATTCTCATTACAAAACCCAAGACAAAAGTTAACCTCACTTTTACCAGCCTAATTACATATCCATGTAGGTCGCTGGATTTTTTTCACCATCTCTATCGATTGGAACAGCAAAATCTCCATCATCATACTTTAAAGTCTCAGCAACTGTATGTGTAATAAGTTGATGCTCATCATTCCAGCGCAACGTTGCCTCCAAACTGTACAAAAAATAATATGACTTTTTTAGTACAAAAAATAATAATTTTCATAGCTTGAAAAAAATAGAAACTATGTAAATACAAGAAAGTCTCACGATAGAAAAGAGTCTATGAATCCAGTAGATCTAATTAGATCGAGAGTGGCAAGACATTTAAAGTCTTGTAAGATTAGAAAATATGAATAAGATTTGTACCTAAAAAACTTTTACATAATATGAGAATCAAGCATAATACCTTGATAATTATGGCCAAGTCAGAATCTAAAATTTTGATTTTACCAAGGGTTAAAGACTCTATTCGTCCACAGTTAGCTGTAATCACATACATATTTCAGCCATAAACGCTCTACTCTGCTGGATTTTGTAATGAATTGTGGACAAATAGAGTCTTTAACCCTTGGTGGAATTAAAATTTCAGATTCTGACTTATAATTCTCAACGTATTATGCTTGATTCTCATATTGTGTAAAAGTTTTTCTAGGTACAAATCTTATTCATATTTTGTAATCTTACAAGACTTTAAATGTTTTATCACTTTCGATCTAAGTAGATCTACTGGATTCATGGGCTCTTTTCTATCGTGAGACTTTCTTGTATTTACATAGTCTCTACTTTTTTTAAGCTATGGAAATTATTTTTCTGATTTTTGTTGATGTTTTATATTAACAGCAATGTAGAGGCTCATGCACCCTTGTCATTCTAGTATTCCGAGAATGCACAAGTATCTCCCATCATGGACTTGTCCACTTTCTCATTCATCTACGTGAAGAAGATAACAACTATCCCAATTTTAAGAAAATAGTAAACAACTTTCTCTTAGTGCTTATCTTTCTTTGTTATTGGCTATTAACTTTTTGATTTTCGTACGAAAAATAATAATGTTTTCACTAAAATAATAATGCTTTCACTAAAATATAAAACAAATTTAGTACTTAAATTTTAAGAAAATAATATTTTTGACTAAAACCATGTGAATTTCACTAAATTTTTTTTAAAATTAGTTTAAGTTTTAAATTTTAAACACGTCAAAAACTAACCGACCCTACGCATCTTGTCTTTAGTTGGTCCGTAAGCTTTGGTGTTCGAAGTTCGACATGTTTTTACGATATATAAGATTTAAAACTTAAACTCATTTTTAAAAATAATATTAATTTTCATTAAAATTTAAAACAAATTTAACATATAAACTTTAAGAAAATAATTTTTTTAACTAAAACCATGTGAATTTCACTAAAACATTTTAAAAATTAGTTTAAGTGTTAAATTTCACTAGGCTTAATATCTTGTTTAAGCTAATGTACTATTGTATGTTTTTAGTATTCTTTTTAAAAAATTGATTTTTTGTTAGAGTTCATCTCTAACTTTTATTGTAGAGAAATTCCTAAAAATGGCCCTAAAACAAGTTTTATTGACAATAATAGCACACACTCCATAAACTTCCAAAAATAGCATTAGTTAACTTACTATTAGTGTTTTTGTTTTAAAAATTTTATCACTAGTTTTTTTTTCAATAATACCACAACTTTTATATAAAAGCTATTCAACAAAATAAATTAGAAATAAATTTAAAATATTATATTTGGGTTCTCTATTTCCAATTTAGGGTATATATTTCTACCATTTAAAAGAGATTTTGATTCATTTTAATATTAGTTTATGGTATTATATTTGGGTTCTCTATTTCCAATTTAGGGTATATATTTTCACTATCTAAAAGAGATTTTTATTTTAATATTAGTTTGTGGTATTATATTTGGGTTCCCTATTTCCAAATTAGGGTATATATTTCCACTATTTAAAAACAATTTTGATTCAATTTAATATTAGATTAGTGTTTGCTCTCTTTTTTATTTTCTATCTTATATTTTCATTAAGTTTAATTGAAGTTTATGGTGCTATTTGTGGAACTTTTCAAATGAGGTGCTATTTTTGGAAAAAACAACTTTTTTGGGGCTATTTGTGTCAATCTCCCTTTATTGTATACTATATAGTCTTTTAGTATACTATATAACTATGTCATAAAAATAGCTAAAATTTTGGTAAGTTTTCAATTTTTGAATATTCTCATTTTTATTTTGATAGTCTTATAGCTGTTAAAATACGATCGAGGAGGTCATTTCATTAATTTGAATTTACGTATATAAGTTGTATAAGTGAATTTATCTATAATTTTTGTAATTCATTGTTTATTTTATTCTTGAAAGAGTTTTTTAGTCTAAATCTTAAAATTTCAAGTCTAAAATTTATAATATCCAAAACATTACTTTTATTTAGATAAAATTGTCTCAATTTATCTTTTTCTAAACTTTAAAAAATTGAAGCAGGTCCCTTTATTAATTAATTTATGTTATAAAATAATATATATTAGTGTAAAGATAAATTAATATCATTGTAAATTAATAAAATATTATGGTCCTAAAATTATTAATTTATAGAGTTTTACTTACATAGTCTTGATTTTTTTCTAGTTATGAAGATTTTGTTTCTGATTTTTGTTGATCTTTAGATATTAACAACCAAGGTACCATTTGGCCCCGATATCAAAGTTCAGCTGTTACTACTAAGCGAATGCAAAACTATCTCTGAGGATGGACTTGGTGGCTTTTTCTCGAGGCTATGTGAACAAGTTGACTACTACTCCAACTAGAAGAACATAGTAAGCAGCAACTCTTTCTTGGTGTTTATCATTACAAGATTGTGTGTGTGTGTTTTTAACTCTGTTTTTCGTTTTTTTCTCTAGTTTTCAGGTAGTACCTGAAGAAATTGGAGGCTGGCATATATAGTCTTGATTTGCTGAAGAGGGGAAGAAATGTGGACTTCAGAATCTCACTCAAAAGGTAAGTCGTGATTATCCTCCTCCTCCTCGATTCACTCTGCATTTTCATCCTTTCGTAGATGTCTTCCCAGTTGCTAACACCATCTCAACATCTTTTCTTTTAGTAAGAAACCTGAGACAGTTCTTGCAAGACCTCTTAACATTAGCCTGAAATCTTTCTGAGTCCTCTTAAGATTTTAACATTCTGCCTGCAATGTATCTTGCTCCATAATAACTCCTCATCTGCAAGTTTCTAACATCCGAACCACAAACCTTAACCATTCCACTGCGAGCCACTTAGCCATAGAATTCTGACTCCTAAGGCGTCCCCTAGATTCCCTTCTAATAGCTCTCTTTTCTAAATTGTGCTTGAAAACCAAACTAACATATTCCTTCACCAAACAGATTTAACAGAATCAGACATAAGAAGGAGGTACTACAATCTGCAAATTGTTTTTCAGACGTGAGAAGAAGACTGTGGCTACTGGGTCCTCTCATATGGGACCAAACTTTGTAGACTTTAGTATTCAGATTCACAGAATCAAGAACCAAGACAATCGTCTCATTACAAGTCCTACTACCCCTTATCCAAGGCTAGGCTACAAAAGTTATCAGAATTGATCAAAGAATCTTCAGAGATTTGTGATTTTAGGTGAGAGTGTTTGGTATATGCAATTATCCAATTGTGGGAGTGAGTATATTAGACGTATAAAGGAGTTGAAGCCTTGGTCATGTTTAAGTGCAGACGAGTGTGCAGAGGTCTTGTGTCCTGGCTTGTGAGATATTGGTGTAAGGAAATATCCGGAACTTTCCATTGGCCATGCACGTTAGTGTTAGCTGAGCATCACTCACCATTGCCTGTCATATGCACATATAGTTTTTAATGTTGTATCACTTAAGACTCGAATTCTAGAATCAGGGTCATAACAAAGGTTATGGTTTAGATGAATATACCTCGCAGGAAGTAGTCATGTCACTGCAGCTCCATCTTTTGGTTGGAACACAGTCAACATAGCGACACCAATGGCAATGACGGTTAAGATTGACGCCCCAGCACGCTGCTAATAGAACCCCAGCAAGCCTAATGAACAGAGATGGATAAGCTTTTACATGTCATGCGAGCGCAGAGAGAACAAAAAGCTAGACCAAAAAGAGATTTAAGAGAAATTCTCACATTCCACAAAACACGACCAGGCATATAATCCTTAACACCGGTCTATCAAACTGATCTTTAAGCCTTGTGGATCTGTTCATATCATCTTCAAACAATTTTCCCTTATGAGATGGAGGCATCTGTCTCAGTTGTGGTTTGAACAATAGCACAAATCCAAGGAGGAATCCTGATATGAAACCACCAATATTTGCAAAATTGTCTATGAAAGGGAGAAAGCCTATCAGGATATTCACAGTGAAGATAGTGAATATTATCACCAAGGCTGAAATCTGTAGCAGTAAACAAAAAACAAACACAATCAGCAAAAGGAATGAAAAGAAGATAATGAAGGACAAAATAGAACAAAAGAAATCCTTGACCTTGCCGGTATATAGATTCCAGTTCTTTGCGAGTGCAGAAAGCATGGCTCCAATCAACCCAAAGAAAGCAGCACCAGAAGAGATTGATGAGATGTTTCGAACAAACAACACAGCAGACAGACTACCCATAATGCCAGAGAGTAGGTATATGACTGCAATCCTCACTACAAGACCAAAGCAAAAGCAAAAGAAAGGTGGATTATAAAGGTAATAGATTCCATCCAAAACAGATTAGGTGAAGTAACCAAAAGTCAAGCAGTCTCATTTACATGGTCCAAATTGTTGCTCCATGTATATCCCTACGAAAATCAAACTCCCAAGATTTATGAATAGATGAAACAATCCACTGTGCAGCCACGGAGATGTCAAAATACGCCAAATCTCATGATTCTCCGTCAGAGTATTCCAAGAAAGACCTCCCATATGCTCTAACCTGCACACTCACAAGAAAATAAGTAGTCCATAGCTTATAATCAATCATTTGGTAACTCAAATTCGGCCTGTTTCCCTCAATTTTCGGAAACTTAGAGCTCTCATAAGAACCAGCACTTCATCTATAACTTGAATTTGATAGCTTCATCTACAGAATGTAGCACCAAGATCCACACAAATAAACACACTCTAGAACAACACAGAGTTGGAAACAAGAACTTGCCACTGTAATCAAAGTTTAGACACTATGAATCAGCTGAAACTCATCGATCGTGGAAACTAGTATCATCCAAATCAACAAACTCCATTAACCTATCGACTGATACTAAAGATGAGCACAATGAAACATCCAAAATTCATCTCTAAAGGAACAAACAAATTCAATTAGAGATCGATTCCACAAAGAGGTACTAGCAGAGACCGAAAGCGAAATCCGCCGGAGAGAGCTACTTACGTTGAGGCGGAGGGACCGAGCATAGGATTCTCGGAGAGAGGCTGGAAAGAGAATCGGCCAAGGAGTTTAGCGGCGCAGTGACCGTGAGAGTTTCTGGAGCAATCGTTGACGCCCATAGTTACAGCGAAGAGGACGATCTGAAGAAGAACGAAGACGGAGACAAGCCAAGTGTCTCGTTTGATTTGCCGTGAACGGTGACGGAAGAAGGAGATTTTGTCCCAGCTAGAATCGCCGGCGTTAGAAGTGGAAAACGAGAGATTGTGAGAGATTTCATCGATCTGCGTCGTCTTTGGCTCTGTAGGAACCTCCATTGTTGAAGTGAGCGAGAAATTAGGGATTGATGACGAATGGGTTGTTTTATACTTTTGTAGAAAGTGGCGGGAAAATGTAATTGGAGAGCAAACCGAACGATAACCGTTTTAAGATCCGGTTCGGAATTGATTTTGGAGCACGTGTACCAATTGCTATACACGTCATTACTTATTTTTCTTCTCACAATTATTTTCTCATATTACTTGTTATCTCACAATTATTTTCTCACAATTATTTTCTCTTTGATTGTCGGGAATTAAACTCAAATCGAATTAAACAAGGTATAGCTGGATTATTTTTTCAACGCATTTGATTCTGTAATTTATTTTTATTTAAAAAGATTCAGTGAACTGTCTCGTCTTGGCTGCTTTTCTTGGTAAGAATCAGAACATATAAAAATTAGTATCATTAAGCCAATAATTAATATATTCAAGCAAAGAATGTATAGTGTTTGTGGAATGCACGCAACGAATGATTCGTGTATTAATTTAATTTCTACTCTTATATATTTGGCGACGGTTAGTTTGGTTTGTGTCTAATATGACAAGTGATCACAAAGCTAATGTTAATAATTCTCTTTTAGTATTATTTTTTTTGTTAAACAAATGCTATATAATATCATCGTATCTCCATGGTCGTTTCGATTTATAATGTTAAATGGATTAAGAAGTGGTCTGAGGTTAATATTTGTCTTCACATCAACCCTGAAAAATAAGTTCATACTTCATAGTTATATCCAAATTATTCGTAGTAGTTAATATACGATGCAAATTTATCTTATAGACAACCAAAAAGGTAAATTCAGATTGTTTAGGGGCATAAATGTAAATATAGAGGACTGTAACTTTGAGATTAATGGTAGTTATCATAAGCTGAGAAAGAGAGCCAATTGTTATTTTCTAACATTGCTCTGCTCAAAGACAACGGATCTCTCTTCTTCTTCTTCTTCGAATCTTTCTTTTTTTCGATTTTTAAATCTTCTCAAAACATTCTTTCCTCGAAATTATTAGAAGATTTTCTATAGACTTTTTGAGCTTTTCTTGAGGAAATAACTTAAAGATATGGGAGATGAAGATTGGATAGAATTGAAGTTCAGACTCGCAGATGGCACTGACATTGGTCCAAGCAAATATAGTCAACTCATGACTGTTGCATCTCTTAAGGAGAAAATCATTGCACAATGGCCTAAAGGTAAAATCCTTTTCTATGTTTCTTCTCAAAGGTTTTGCATTTTGTTTAAAGGTGAAGTTGAAAATCTTGTTGTGGACAGACAAAGAAAACGCACCAAAGTTGATAAATGAGGTTAAGCTCATCAATGGTGGGAAGATACTAGAGAACAACACAACACTTTCTGATGCAAGGTCATTACCTATTTGTGAACTTCCTGGAATTGTAACTACAATGCATGTTGTTCTTCGTCCTCCTCTCTTTGAGAAGAAAAAAGGTAATTTTAATACATTTTCTCTTCAATTCTTGAGTATTTTTTGTATATCTTAAAGTTTTGGTTTTGTGTGTTTTGTTTGTTTGTTTAGAGAAACTGCAGATTGATCCTCCAATGAAGAGTCACTGTGTATGCTGCATTTTGTAGCTCCATTAGAAATTTTTTATCCTTTACATAATTTAATTATTCCATTGGAAAAAAACTTTCCATAACTTCAAGTCTTCAACATGGATCTTCATTACCAGAACGATTTTGGTTTTCTCTTTTCTTTTTCTTCTTCATTGTTTATCAAAAATGGCTGAAAAATTACTGTCTCGTTAAAGATTGAGGTATTATGTATAAATTTGTATATCCATCGACAGAGTAACAACTACTCCAACTTTTATCTGTTGTGATCACTTATCTTCACACAAGCTTGAGCATTTCCTCAATTAGATTGTTTATGGCTCTATGCTTCATCATCACCATGTTTGCTTCAAGAGTTTCAGAAACGGATGATTAAATTACTACTACTGTGTATGTGTTTTTCTTTAAGCATATTTATCTGGAAGCTTGCTCTGACTATACACATCTAGTAAATCAGCACATGCATTGTGGAAGGTTGTAGGGTAAGTTTTGATTATAAAGGGACACCATTTTATGGCCTTGAGATGGACAGTAGGTCCACTTTCAGTTAATGGGTGACGAAAATGATGGTATGACATGACAATGTGACATAACATGAGTTGCTTTCAATCGACCTATATAGTACACTAAGATTATTATGGATGACTATTTCTGAAAATCGACCTTTTTTTTTTTTGCTTTTGTCTTTCAAATGCCTACTTCTCTGTTTTTTCCAGCCTAGTTAAAACTAGTAACCACAACTCAGTAAATCAACATGGTGTAATCAAGAATTGGCAATGGCAAGTTCTAGAAACGATTGCTTGCTCTCACAACGTCATATGCATTATGCTTTAAGCCGTAGTAGACATTCCTTCATCATATAGAAAACAAAATGATATATGATCATGACCAAACAATGGCTCAAACAGTGGTAACAAGATATATAGTACTTGAGACAAATTGAATCGGGGAATGTATGCACAACATGACACCACTCAACTTTCCCATAAACCTCATGTTCGTTGCGCCTTTCAATCATAATCTCAAGACACCAAATCTTCACCTTCCCCTCGGTAGAACCACGGACATGCTCCTCCCAAAAAAAGCAAAATATATCCACCATAATATTTCAAAGTAAAATAACGATCATGTAGATCGTCTGGGAGAACGCGATCGATCAATCGCCAAGATTACCTTTTAGGTTTTTTGAAAAAGAAAAAAAAAAAACCTCTCTTCTCTCTCTTCCGCCAAAAGACCTCGCCGACGCTTCCTCCTTCAAATTGGCGTTGCTCCGGCGCGTCGCACATCACGAGCTCCGGTCTCGGACTCGTATCATCTCTGGCAAGCCACCATACCAACTCCCCTCTGCTAATTTTGAATCATGGACATGGATTTCGGACCCAAAATTGTTTCCGGCGTTTCTCCTCCACCGTCAAATTCCAGTGACAAGCACTCTCCGGTGCCTCTCATTATCGTCGGTATTGAATCACCAAGACCAGATCCACGATGGCCAAGTAAATTTCGATGGTCGGAAAAATCTGATCCTCCATCCACGACGGTGGTGAAGACGCAACTCGTCGCTGCTTCCGACGCATCTCCATCACCGGCTAGCTTCGTTGAGCCTCCTACTCTGTCTGATTCTCCCAATCAACCTGCAACCCAAGCTGAGCCATCACTGGATGATATCACTTCTGAACTCGTCTCACCGGTAGCTTCAGCTTCTCTAACAAGCCCTGTTGAGATGCCACTGGATGATGTTTTTTTGAACATCGTCTCACCTATGATTTCAACCAAAACTATCCTTACGAATCCACTAGAAGCACCAATAGAGCCGTTGGTTGATGCTAATCTCTCTAAGTCTTCTCGTCAAGGTGCTTGGGCAAAACCTTTGTCGATCCTTGCAACTAGGCAGTTAGGGAAAGAGGTTGTTCGGGAAAGCCTCACGGCTTCTCAAAAACAGATGGATAGAATGGAAGATAATCTCCGGTTCCCTTGGGCGGCTAAGATGGATCCAGCTTCCAGAAATCTCTACAGAGCATTGGAGCCTGAGTATTTACCTGATGGAACTCCTAAGGTAACTATTCCCCAACATGTTCTGTTACAAGGGTTAGAGAATCAGAAAGAATACATTTTAGGACAGTTCTATAGGTGCTTGCCGCCTCCTGGTGGTCTAATTTTTGCTGTCTTCAATAAGTTATGGGGACGGAAATGTAGAATCACCATTAGGAAGTTAGGTGAATCAAGCTATCTTTTCCATATCCCTGATGAATCAACTAGGTCATGGGTTATACAAAGGGGTCTCTGGCATGTTGATGATTGTCTTATGTTTGTAGCTTCATGGACTCCTGAAGCAACTTTAGCTATCCCCGAGATCAAAACTATTCCAGTTTGGGTAAATTTAAAAAATATACCCAACAGTTTATATTCAATTGCGGGCATAAGCCATATAGCTTCGGGTTTAGGTGCTCCTATGGCAACTCATAAACCTAGGCTAGATCCTATTCTTATGGGTGAGGCCAAGATTCTAGTTGAGGTTGAGTTAAGCAAAGCCTTTCCAACCAAGATCGCTGCTAGTGATATAACTGGTTTTATCTCTATTGTGGATGTAGAATATGCATGGTTGCCTACTATATGTAGTACTTGTGGTCAGTTGGGTCACAAGAACAAGCGTTGCTTACGTGAAGTAATGGTTTCACAAGTGAATGCTGCTACTATCACTGAGGTTACCATTGGAAAGGATGTAGAGGTTGGCAATGGCAGTGCACCTAGCTCAGCCCAAGTTGCTACTTTCCATTCCACCACTCCTATTCCGGTTTCAAGCATGAAGGTACCTATTGCTAGCACCTATCTCGTACCAGCCAAAGAGTCATTATCATCTGATCAAACAACTTCTACTATGGTAGAAGAGCATACTATCTCAGCAAATGTCTCAACCATTGAGAAAGTACCAACTTCAACAACTTTTGTATCTATTGAGTCTCCTCTTCAGAGAACTGCACAAATTTCATCAGTCACAGCTCATGCTCATGCAAATGCTACTGTCCACAGGGAGAGGGCTAAATCTGCTGATCATAATCTTGGTTCTAATCAGTTTGCGTCATTGGTTTCTTCGGATGAGGAAGAAGATTTGTCCGATTCAGACAACGAATCTGATTCAATGGATCTTATGACTCCTTCGGGTAAAAGAATCCTACGAGAGAGGCCGGTTAAACCTTCAACAAAGGCTAAGGAGATGCATGGACAAACCACATGTCGTGGAAGGGGCAGAGGCCGTGGAAAACGAGGTGGTCGTGGCTAATTGTCTCCTATAGCCTAGCGACTAAGTCAATCGAAGTGGATGTTTCGATTGTAGTTGTGCATTGAATGTACCCTTTCTTTATACTTCTTGTAGCTTTTGAAAAACTGCATGACTTTATTGTCATGGCCTTAACTGGTTTCTTAATAAAAAAAAAAAAAAAAAAAAAAAAAAAAAAAAAAAAAAAAAATTGTGTCGAACGTTGAGAAGAAGAAAATAGATCGTATTGATTCTAATGGGTCTTAATGGGCCTTTTAACTTAACAAGCCCACGGCTCTGCATTAGCCCACTTTCTTAACTCACGGAAGGAGTTTTATTAAACTTAAATGTACTGTATTTTACTAAATGTTGTTATTTAAAATAAAATAAAAACTTAAAATATTACATTTTTAACTATTAAAGAAGCAAATGTTATGCTGCTGAAAAAAGAGGTGCAAATTATTTTTTGTTATACGGTTTTCTAATGCAAATTTTTAAAATATTTTTAAGAAAACAGTAAAAAAAACGTCTTAACAAACTTTTTAACCCACTTGGTAGATATTTCTGTTTTTTTTTTCTCATTAGCCATGTCCATACTGTTGTATGATGGCGATATTCATTTTTCGTCCAAAAAATATGATAAAAGTTTATTTAAAATCCGACCACTTTGCGAATGGGGTATACGTACGTACGAACGATGAGATAAGGATTCTCTTCTATTGCTCCTATAATCTCCTATAGTTAATTTTCCCTTTTCTTTTATTTTTTCGTAGTTGCCTTACGTGTTTAAACACCCGCATTATATACCCTAAAATCAAAGGTCTACTATAATATAATCACTCACTTTGTATACTAAACTAGTCTAGTTCACGAATAATTGCATTAAACTGGCTATACCCCATTCGAAGGTGGGATTTGGAAACTAATAAACAAATTAAAAAGAAATGTAATTAGTTAAACATCCATTTGACAGAAACTAAAATCTTAAATTAAATAAATAACCACCCACAATCGATCCATACGGCAATGATGTTTCCCATTTTCTAATACCAAGTGGTTTTAATTAACGTATATGAATCTTGTGGTTTTACATTCATTATATCTGGGCCATGTTTGTTATTAAAGTTGTTCTGCAAAACTATATCAAAATTAAAAGTTGATCTGAAAAAACAGTGCGTAGTCCCCCCTACTAATAAACATTTGTTTTCTGTCGTTAAATTTTATATCACATAATATTGTTAGTCTAGCTAACTTAAACTTCTGACGTAAATGATGACATAACCAAAACTAGTTAGATGACTATTATTAACTCTATAAACACTGAGGATTAGTACTATTCAACTCAAAACCTTATATAACTAAAGTAGATTAGCACTATGATTAGAAGTGACCCCATGTTAGATATTTTCAATTTAAGCATATACATGTACTATGCATGTTAGAATTTAACTGTTGATGCATTAACGATAACAATACAAACTACTAAACTACTTTTTTGTCCCTTTAATGTTATGATATAAATGCAAGTTGCTTAGTGTGTTGTTGCCTGATTCACTTGGACGATTATTTTTGACTTAAAAAACGATTCTCTTCTAATAGAATAAAACGTTGTAATTGTTATTTATAGATCTTGGCGCAGCCAGGCAGCCTCCTCGTGTTATTCCACACTTAACTTTTATAGGTCCCCAATATTCCCTCACCCTTTAACTTATGTTTGTATATACAGTTAAGGAAGCTTCAGAGTACCTTCTATGTTAATATAAACTAAGTTAGAATTTGCAATCAATTTTCAAAGATGCAAAATTAATTCAAAAAGCTTTATAATAATATTTCTGTTACAAAGAATGTTGTTTCTTATTTTCATGCTGATTTCAGTTTTTGTTTGAAAATTTTAGTTTTTAATTTCAGTTTCCTTTAACAACGTATTTTCCTACATCTACAGAAATATTTGCTTTATTTTGTTGTTATCGATAACAACATTTTTTGTTCCACATGATTTTTTCACAAAATTTCATCGTATTTTCGATGTGGAATTTTTGACACCAACAAAATTATGTGGAAGTGTTTTGTGTTTTATTTTCAGCGTCAAAATGATTATGAAATTTGTTTGTTCGTCGAGACTTTCGACTTGATCAATCATTGACACTTCGAAGTTGACACACGTGGTGAATACAACTGAAAATGTCGAATACTGTTGTATATTGCTCTTTTGCCGAAAGACATAACTGGAGGGAGTTAGTATCGGATCATTGACATTTTCAAAAGAAAAAAAAAACGAATAAAGAATATATCGAACAATATCTGATGTCACCGCTCAAATAATTAGATTGTGCGACGACAAAATTGTCTGAATTATCCAGAAATGGAACCACATTATAAGAAACGTGACTAAAACACAAACAAATCTCAGACAATTTTTTTTTAAAACAAAACAAAACAAAAAGTGAGAAATGCTATTTATATTAGATGAGTGTGAAGTCCACTACCAGCAACCGGAAATATGATAGATATAAAATAGAATAAAGATTTGGCATATATTAGGTTTACCGTATACACTTAATTAAATTAAAACTATATGTTCCTGGCTTCTTAATCTGGACACGTTTATGGATATTGTGGTCGATTCGATTATCATTTGGAAGCTAAATTGGCGGCCGAGTCAGATTCCTCTTAGGCCATCTCTAATACATTCTTGGATTATCACTCGAATCTTGAGACTTTTTGTTTATTAATTGTTTTCATACTTTCTAATAGCCATCATACTTTACCACGATCAACATATTTTTTAGTTACCGTTATGAATCCAAAGCGTTTTTTAAATTATAAAAATAAATTTGTATTTTTCTTTTATATTATTGAACCAAAATCTAAAATCAAATGTGTATGCGCTTTCATAATTTTTTTTTTTGATAACATAACGCTTTCATAATCTCTAAGACAACGTGTAGTTGCTAAATATTGTAATATATAACAAAATAATTTTGTTTGATCAACAAAAAATAGTATTTCCATGACAGCAGATATCCATATCCAATTCAGATATATAGATTAAGTTATAAATTCAGTAGCTAGTGATTTTCTACTCTGTCCTGACCAAATATAATAGTGGGCTGTTCGAGTCATCATTTTGCCAACGCAGACTATATTTGTCATCGCCAATTCGCCATAAACCATGTTTAACTTATACTAGATAACAACCCGCACGATGTGCGGGATGAAGTGATTCAAGTAAAATTATTATGATTAAAATTATTATCCGGGATCCAAGATCCGTTTGTGTAAAACGAAACATGTTACAAAATTTTTTTTTGTTTTATTCAAATTTGGGACTATTTCATATAAGAATATGTTTTACCCGTGAAATATTTGAACCTTGAATAAAGCTTCAACGTGATAAAAAAAAGTATTGACGAAATGTTACCATTTATGGCAATATATCTTTCCGTATGTTTTAAAGATTTCGAGATTTTGTAGTATAAAAAGATTTTTTTTTTTTTTAATAAGTATAAGAAATCCAAAATTTAGCAAAGATGAGATTAGATAGTTTCCAAGCTAAGATTTTGTAGTGTTCCAAATCTAAGATTCTTAGATTATGAATGGATTATTTACGAAATGGTTATAATGTGGCCAGATTTTGGTTTATATACAAATGTGGTTATAATGTTTTTCTTCGAAAAGTTAGAACTCCTCCAAAAAATAGGATTTTAAGTATTCGTAACATATATAGAAAAGAGATTATCTTATTTATTTAAGTAAAAAATTTATGAAAGATGTAAAGATTTTGTAGTTTTGAATTCGAGATTTTTGAACCAAATGTATATATTTTATCATTTAAATATAAACATAAATATAAATATAAATATAAATATAAATAAAAAGATTATATAAATGTATATAAAGAAAAATATAAATATAAAATGTATTAATATAAGATAAACAAAAAGTGTATGTTTTTTATTATTAATGGGATATATGAGACTAATGGCAAATTCTGTAAATAGTCTAATAAATCTTGGATAATTATCTAAATAGAAACCAAATCGTTGTGAGAGCGACACATCAGCGTGGCAATCTTGTTAATAACACATGATGGTAAGGTTTTTTTAAAAAAATGTTTCTCTATTAATATATAGGGGATTGTATCTTAGTTACAATTTCTACATTTTGTTTTTTTTGACGTATGCATCTAGATTCAGAACGATCCTTGATATTACATACATATAATACTTATTTACAAAACCTATATGATTTTTAGTAGATAATTTTGGATTGATTTGTAGTCGAAAGGAAATACTGACGGGTCCATTAAAAAGATAAAAAACTTAGAGAAGTCATAACAACTACAGCATTCGAGCATAAGATACAGTAAAAAAAGACTGAAGTATAATGAAAATTTTAATCTGTCATCATTAAATTTTCTGTCGTTTAGTATGTGAATATTTTGTTTTCACTTTTTAATAATTTGAAGGATACTGAGAATTTCAATTTCTAATTAGTAAACTATAAAGTAGATGGTAATTAAATTCATGTCATATCCATGAACGAATGTCAAAATTTTGTCTTGCAAGTAAATTCGTTGGAGTTCGTTTCTTCTTTTGTTCTTACTTCTTACACAATCAAAGATTTTTCTTTCATTTTTTTTTTTACTTAACATTAACCTATATTTCTCATATCTTCAATTGTTTTTCATATCTTCAATACACATTTAACAAATATAATAACAAAATATATTTATATTTATGAAAAAGAGATGTATCGTAAATGAGGTGGCAAACAAACCCACTAAATTCAGTAAAATGGAACCCACGAAATTTATCTATAAATAAGTCCCCAAACCTCTCCCCCAAAAATGCAACAACACTCATCTTTCCCAATATAAGTTTTTACTACCTAACAGCAACTTTTGTTTCTCAAAACATAATTTTGTCTTATTTACTAAATTGGTAAAATATGTCGCTAGCTATCGCAGAGGTTTACACGGTGAGGAAGTTTCACAGAGAGAGTATGAAGAAACCGGCCAAACCGACGGTTACCGGCGAGGGAGATGAAAAGATTGCCGGAGGAAGTTTCAAGGAGGCGCCGGTGAAATCTGGTGGTAGTAGAAGATTCGGACGGTGGTTTGTTGGAAAGCCAGGAATGAAGAAAAGCTCTGCTAAAGTTTCAGATCCCATGGCGATTGAGTGATAAAGATTAAAGAAGAAACAAAAACTTTTCTTCTTCTTTGCCTTTTTTTTTTCTTTCTTTATTTTCATTGGTCTTTTTTTTTATGGCTTTTTCTAGTGTCTTCTCTTTTTCTTTATTGGGTGATTTTATAAATAGTCGGTAAACGTTGTAGAATATGAACTTCAAAATATATGAGAAATCTATATATGTATGTAGAGTGGATGTATATATTCCCTAAATACCACAGCTAGTTTGATAATTAAGTTTTATGCCAAACCAACTAAAAATGTATGCGACGATATTTCATATTTCAGAAAATGGAATATTGATTGGTGTTGTTTGAACCAAATTACACACACACATATATACCAAACAAACCTATGAAAGAAACATATCTAGATTTAGTTTTTCATTGGTTAACCATTTGAAACTTTTGACATAGTTTTATAGTTTAAGAATTTATCAGAACGGTACTACCCTTCTTCTTTTTTTTTACTATAAGTCTGCAACTCACAACAAAATATCTAGATTTAAACCATGATATTTTGTATAAACCATTAAATTATAAATTTCAATTGTTAACAATATTTATTAATCAAATACGAATTCGGCGCTATACAAACATAAAAACAAACTATTTTGGCACTCTTCTTATATGTCACGACAAATCACACACATTATATATACAAAGACACAAAAATAAAATAAAAAAGATATAGGAAAACACTTTTAAAAGGAAAAGTAGTGGGGTTTAAGAAGATAAAGAACATTAGTGGATGTTCAAATTAAAAGTATTGAGTAGTGAAGAATAAAAAAAAAAATCTACGAGGGTGATTAGGAAAAGGTTCTGCTCGTAACGATTTGTTTCTTCAGCCAATCAGATAGTTTTCAAAATAATATACAAATACAGCCAAAACACTAGCTCTCACTAGATTTCATAGCATACACTAACGTTAAAGTCAGGCAAAAAATTCAATGTTTAAAAATTTGCAAACTCTTAACAAAATTTGCTTATTAATGAAAACTCTTTAGCAAAAAAAAAACCAAGGCATGTCAATAAGGGGTGATTTAGCAATTTAAAGAGTTAAGACTATTAACGAAAAAGATAAAGAGTTTAGGACCAAAAAAGAAAGAAAGTAAAAACAAAAGGTCAAAAGTGAAAAAAAGAGAGGAAGGTTCTGTGCACGTAACTTGAATTCGTAAAAGTCCATTGCTCCTTGCTTAAGCTCTCTCTCCTAAATCTTCACGCAATGACTCTCTCCTTCAAATTCATTCCTCCTTCTTCCCTTCTCTTCTCTTCCCGCTTCATCCTCCTCCTACGTACACCGGACGCTACGTTTCTCCGGCGCCGGCGGATTCTACCGGTTTGTTCTCCAACTTTTATGCTCAATGTCTCTTGGAATTTCAACGATTCTTTGTTTCGCTATGTACACGAACTTAAGGATTGGTTTAGATTGGTGTTCTGATGGGAGAATATTGTTGAATTGACAGATTGATTGCGTTAGATTTGTTGCTTAGCCCTAAGAATTTGGGGGATTTTGGTCTGCTTCAGCGAAGGATCGATGGAGAAATCTAACAAATGTGCTGTTTGTCACAATTCGTTTCGTCCCTCAATCTGTGTAGCTTGTGTTAATCGCGGGTATAATCAGTTTCCGATAATCTGATATGATCTTGGAGTAGAATCTTTCAATTCTTACGAGTTCCGATTTTTTTTTGCTAAGCGACGAGTTCCGATTTGATGGCACTTTTGTGCAGGTTAAACGAATACAAAGTTACGTTGGACTCGTTGAAGAGCCGTCGGGAGGTTTCGTATTTCAGATTAAGTGGCTTGCTTGTCACAAAGGTTCATTGTTGAATTGAAGTTTGATCTGAAATTCATTTGCTTTTCTTGTGTTAAATGATGTCTGATGCTTTTGCTCTTCACTATTGACTAGGAGAAAGCAATTAGTCAACATTGTTGGAAGGAGCTTCAGAATGAGAAGCTTGCTAAGTTGCGGGAGAAGCTCCAGTTACAAGTGGAGAAATTGCAGCAAAGTCTGAAGATACTCCTTAAGTAATTCATTTTGTTTTTGGCATCGCCTTCAAAATACAAGTCTGAATATACCTACTTTATGATGCAGGCAAAAACACATTTCGGAGTTTATCTCGCAATCTGAAAGAGAGATATGGCATTATCGAATCAACTAACGTTGCTGTAATGTGACACTTTCTTTTTCCATTTGTTGCCTTTTCTATTAAAAGGGATTTATATGATGCTGATTTTGCCATGAATAATGTAAACAGTCTCATTTCTGCAGTTGGAGAAGAGCCGTGTTCGCCAACTGGAGAACCACTATTCTGATACTATAGGCAATCACTACTTGGTATATGTAAGATCTACATCTCATTATACTTCAATTCTATGCTTAAACTAGACCTTCTGTTAGGACTCACAGTCATTTTCTGTGTCTCACTTTTCTTTTTTAACCCAATCTCACATGTACAGATCGAGCTTACTTCGGAACGCCTTTATAAACAGGCTTTGGTTATGAAACAGATATGCAAATTATTCCCTTTATCCAGGGTAAGGACATCAAATTTAGGTTCTTATCTTTTAAGTTGTTAAAATACAGGTTTCATAGAATATATAGAGTTCTTTGCCAAAAAGAAGTTGGTAAAACACATCTTGTTTCTTCTAGAGGCAATCTTGGACTCTCTTCAGACTGCTGTGTTATCGAACACATTTTTAGGATGGGTTTACTGAATTTAACTCTGTTCAGGTGACACTAGATGGGCAGAACAAAGATGGCTGTAGCGGACAGTATGATCAAATCTGCAATGCTCTCTTACCACAAGGTCTCAACCCATTCTCTGTTCCGCCAAAAGAGCTCGCAGCCTCTTTAGGGTAACATGTCCTCGTCTTTAAACTGTCATTTTGCTGCACAGAAATAATTTAAGATATATGTAGATTGTAGATCCATCTCCTAAGTGCATCTTATACTCCTGCAGACCATTTTACTCATAATCATCTATTATATTTGATTTGGTAGTGTGATGAATTAACATTCCCATGGTTGGTGGTTGGATCAGGTACATGGTGCAGCTTCTGAATCTTGTTGTCCATAAGCTCTCAGTGCCTGCACTTCATAACTTGGGTTTCGCGGTATATGCCAACACATTCTTCACTCAATTTTATTCCTCAGTAACTAAGTCTTGGAAAATCACACATACATTACACACACTCACTGCATGCAATCTTTGCATAGGAAATAAAATTGAGAGATAATTCGTTAATATTGATAATATATTACTTTCATCTGGAAATTGATTGATTGACTACCTTAAAGAATCTGTATTATTTTGTCTCAGGGGTCTTGTTCAAGAATATGGCAACGAGATTCTTATTGGAACTCTCATCCGTTTTCACCAAGGTAAACCATATTTGACTGATAAGCACTTATAATGGAATAAATAGAGAGGAGGGATAAGAAATTAGAGGTAAACCATATTTGACTGACCATTTTGTAGTGGAGATTTGGTAGCCTTTTGTCTCAGGGGGCGAGATTAGGGACTCTATTACAAACCCTCGATTGTTTTTGTACTTTGTTCATTGAGTAATAAAGAGACGTAGGGTCATTGATCTTAAACATTGACATGGCAGGAATTGTTTGTGTCTCCATTAGAGTTAGAGATTTAAACAATCTTTTCGTTCTGTTTTTTTTTGGCAGTGATAGGTATCCCCTTTTTGTACCATCCCATGATCACTACTCATTTGAAGGGAAAAGTTCATGGACGAGTAAAAATACAACCAATTTTGGTGTCACTTCATTGAAATCAGATGGAAGTGTAGAAGAAGATTATCATGACCTTGAACTTGACGTTGTTAGCCTTTCTTCTGCCTCTCCTCATTCCGTTGAAACATTCAGAAATCTGCAGCAAGGAATTGCACATCTCAAGCAAAGCGTGGCTCACTTGACTGTGTATGGATACAGGTCCCTGTCTCTGGAAGTTCCTTCTGGAACCTCGACTTTTGAAACATTTGCAAAGTTGCTGGCCACATTATCTTCACTCAAGGAAGTTCAGTCTGCCTTTTCCCTTGGATTGTCAAGGTAAAGCGGCAAATGCTCACGTATAATTACATTGTTTCATATGACTATACGAGCTTGAGACTGACATATACAGAAGAAAAGTTTACCTGCCCCTTTATAGCTTTGTATCCGAATTTTGACACTTCATACTTACACCTGACGTTTACAGTTCCAACAAGCAAAGACACGAGCCAAACAAATCTGTGTGGAATTTGAACTCCTCAAGTTCCAGCACCTTGCTGAACAGTTCTCATACTCAGCCAACAACGGTATGACTTTTGGTTTCTAAGTTCTCATTAGAGTTATGGATTCGTCTCAAGGACTAAAACATTAGCTTGTTATGGATGTGTATGAAGTCCTGATCTTAACTCAACTGGATTGCAGTGGAACAGTAGCTATTATAATGTTCCGAATCGAGATCCCAGCTACATGGTGGAGTTTCCTGATGTTAAAAAGGATAAAAACTCTATTGGTGAATGGAATTTGGTTGAGTATCCTTATTCTTCACATCAACCTAATCATCCCAACAAGAATTGATCATCTCAAGGTAAACAAGATCTACTTTTTTAAAATTCATATTGATACATTTATTTTTATACCCGAGATTCACGAAAAAGGACGATACATTTTGGCAGGAACCCAGATTGTCGATATGTTCATACCCAAAGCATCCTCAGTTCTTGGGATACCCTAAAAAACCATAAATGGAGCTTATTATTTAAATCTTTGATACCTTCTTCTGTAATTATGAAACACAGATAATTATGTAACTTAGCAATGTCTTCATTCTTTTTTTTTGTTTGAGAGCTAATCCAGTGGAGAGTAAGTATGGTGAAAGAGTCACTAATCTACCTAATGGAGTTTGATGATACAACAATGAGTACCTGTGTTGTGGCGTGAGAATATCCTCCGGCTTGTTTGGGCTTTAAAAGGAAAGGGCACCACATTAACAATTATCAATTAAAAAACAAAAATACTCCTTTTTTCTTAGTCACCAAACAAATAATATAAGCTCCTTTTTTCATACCACACAATGGGAACAAAAGCAATGATAAGAGAAGCCCATCACCTTCCTTTGCTTTTAAATAATTCATGATTATGAAAACCAAAAAAAATCTTTATCACATTTTTATGTTCATTAATTTGAAGATATATTATAGAGATAATATCAAGATTTTAGATATTAATCGTATAAATTTGTGTTAATCTTAAGATTTTTAGTATAAGTTTATTATTAATCATGTGGTTTGTCTGTATGTTTAACCAACATAAAAGAATCTGTTTTCATTTTTTAGGAATGCGAAATAAGAGAATCAATCTCAGTTCAGTTCAAGTTCGAATCTTTGAACGACATGCGGTTTATATAAAAGGAACTATAGTTAGGCTGTTCGTTTCGTCGCCGCAACTACTTGCGGCAGCGGCAGCCGCAGAGATTCATGTTCGTTTGGTTGACGCAAGTAGCTGCGGCGAAACGCTGCGGCAAACGCAAGTAGTTGCGGCTAAAAATTACGGACGCCACTTTAATTCAGCGTTAAATTGCGTTCTACGTAGAAAATGACCAAAATATCCTCAATATGTTTGAGAAATCACAAAACTCCTAACCCTAAATGCCGACAACTTCTTCTTCTCTCGATCTCGACAACTTCATCTTCTCTCGGCGATTTCGATCTGTTGGCGATTTCCAGCTTGTTCTCCAACGAAGTTCCTCCGTTCATCGAGCTTCCTCTGTTCATCAAGCTTCTCTGTTCATCAAGCTTAAACATCGACGGCCTCAGGTTTGTTCTTATGAGATTGATTTGCGAGTTGGGTTCTTTCTCTTAGATTTTCTTCTCTTGAATTCTCTTCTGTTTTGATCTTATGTTTCTGGGTTTTTGTTAAAGTTCTCTGCTTAGCTCAAATCGAAGTTGTTCTTATATGTTTTGCTCTTTCATGTAGGAAGCACTCTTGAGAATCATTACTTTAGTCTATTGCTTTATCTTTATGTTTGACATTTGTTGTCTAATACTGTGTAATTGCTTCTTGTTAATTATGACTTCTTTTGTGAACGACGAGATCATGTGAATTCTCTTGCAAGTGTTGGAATTTTGAAATAATTCTTTTGTGTGTGTTTGAATAATTATTCGTTGGAGTGTTTATTCAATCTACTGTTTTAAAAATTATTCAATCTACTGATCATTTTCATTTGAAATGTGGAATTGTGTCTTTGTTTATGTGCTTGATAAGAGGGCTGAAACTGAAGTTCCTATAATTGTTATTTATCTCTGATCCTTTTTTACAGTATTGTAGTTCATGCTTGTCATTTGCTTTTGAAGAAGTTTTATTTGTCTTGTCATTTGATTTCTCAGTAATGTCTTAATGTTTGGCTTTTGATGATTTCTCAGGTTACAAGCTTTGAGAAAGAAGATGTCTAAAAATGATGTAAGTGTTTTGGTTTTTATTTTAGTGTTTTGGTTTTGATCTCAGTGGTTTAGGATTTCAGAGTTTTTTATGCATCGTTTTTAGAATTGGTCCGAGGAGGAAACTCGGTATTTCTTTCAACTTTACGCGGATGAGAGAAAAAAAGGAAATAGAACGAGTATAGGAATGAACAAAACTGGAAAAGCTTACATCATAAAGAAGTTCGAAGAGAGATTTCAGAGAGGGTATAACCAATGGAACCCTTTTAAGAATAGGTATGATGCGTGTAAAAAAAAATCATCGGGATTCACATCGGGAAGATCATGATTTTTTACAGTGGCAAAGCACAGAAGAATATCATGTTGATGAAGAAGAAGAAGAAGAAGAAGAAGGAGAAGGAGAAGGCGAAGAAGGAGAAGAAGGAGAAGAAGAAGAAGAACATGTTGCATATGAGCCGACCGGTGATAGAGCGATGGAAGCTTTGCGTGACAACATCACGAATGAATGTAATAAAGGTCGTTTACCGTATTAAATATTTTTAGTTTTTTGTTTATGACTTGGTTTATTATTTTAGTTAATAACTTTGTCAATCTTTTTTCGTTTATGACTTTGTGTATTACGTTTTAGTTAAATGTTTTAGTTTACTATTTTTGTTTTAATTTAGTTCATGATTTATCACAAAAAAATCATATTGATATATTTATATATTTTACTAAAATTAATTTATTACCCAAAAAAAACTAAAACTTATTACAAGCTAAACAAATATTTCTTATGGATATAAATATATTTAAATTATATTTTTCTTGATTCAAAATATAATTATACAAATTTATAAAAATAAATTAAGAATTAATTAAAAATTATCGCAGCGGCGACGAAACGAACAAAGAAGCTGCGGCTGCGGCTGCGGAGATTGCGGCATCTAAACGAACACAAACCCTGCGGCAGCGGCAGCGGTTGCCGCAGTATCGGCGGCGACGAAACGAACAGAAACCTGCGGTAGTGTTCGCCGCCGCCGCTGCCGCGGCCGCAGCCGCTGCCGCCTGCGGTGACGAAACGAACAGACTAAGTATATAAAAATAAATGCCTCCTTTAATAGATTTTCTTATATTCCTTCTTTGTTTTGTAATATATGGAGAATATTTCCTCTGTAGTATTCTTCGTGAAGCAATTTTACAAATATTCGAATTCTAATTTTTCCTTTTTTTGAACGTCTGATGATCATTCGTGCACAAGAATCTCATCAGGGCATGATAGGTACGATATTTTTTTTTTTTTTTTTTTTTTTTTTTTTTTTTTTTTTTTTTTTTTTTTTTAGGTACGATATTTTGATTTGCTCAGTATACGATATTTCTATGATTATTCTTCCTTCAATTGTTTTCAAGTGTATTTTCTAACCACTATTTTTTTCAAGAAACAAGCAACAAACAGAAACTATTTCTGGTGCAAAATATAGTAGAATGCAATTCATAATAATCTTGAAAGATAGATTTTTTAAAGTGTATTTGAGAAGAACGTAAGAAATAAGAGATTAAAAAAAGGTACGGAGAAGATAACGGGAAAAGCAATAAAATGCATAACTTTTGCAGTCATAACCAAAAAAAGAGAAAGAAGATAATGAAAATAGTGGAAGATCGGTGTCTTCGTGATGAATTAAAGTAGAATTGTGTGTACGTAACTTTTGTAATCATACTATCTTTTTTCTTCCTCAACTATAACACATTAACACGTAACAATGATATCTCTATAATGCATGCATATAGATACATTATAGTCTATATATGAATAACGGGTATTTTCTGAAATTTTCAAATGATATATATACTACTGCTAATCTAAAATTAAAGTTACCTCAGTTATTGATCAGGAATTATGTTATATCGGTAAGTTTTTAAAAACTTCGATTTACCAATAAATCAAGCCGAGCTATATACAGTAAAACCTCTATAAATTAATACTCTATAAATTAATAACCTCTCTAAATTAATAAATTCTTCCGGTCCCGAGTTGGGACCAGTGTAAAATATGACATAAATCGATAAATTAATAAGATAATAATTTTTTTGAAAATCCTATGTAAACATATGGTCCCATCTTTACTATAAATTAATAATTATATAAGATTATCTATATATATATATATATATATATGTATATTTAACCTAATATATATGATATAAATTTATATATGTCATATATGAATTACTATGATATATATTAAAAAATATTATATGTAAATTTTTTAATAAAATATGACTCTATTATTCGAAAAAAGTTTGTGTTGTTTTTTAAACTTAATAATTGCTTCTCTACTTGCAATTGGTTTTAAAAAGATATTGCTTATAAAGAAAATTTTTATTTTAGAAAGAAATGTTTTAAGAAATTACCAAATTAGGAAAATCTCTCTATAAATTAATAATTATTAATTTATCGATAAATTAATACCTCTCTAAATTAATAAAATTTTATGGTCCCAACATTATTAATTTATAGAGGTTTTACTGTATGTATGATCTTTCGCGATGCCAATTGATATTCTGACATGATCATACAATATTGTTTCTTTTCTTAGTATTTATTTATTTGCGTATCACCGCACCGATTCATATTTATCATATTATATGGGGAAAACAATATAGAGGGACTCTTTATTAAAGTAAAACCAAGAGAGGAAATAAAGCTTAATAGAAAAATAAACAGACATGCTTGTCTTTGTCGAACACAGATTTTATTACACAAGTGGTTCCAAACTAATTAAGATTCCTAATTTAAAAATAAATGAGAGATTTTAAAATGTTATCTTTTGTGTTTGGTAGGCCATTAAAGCTCCAATTATTTGTCACTAAGTCAGGGAAGGAGACTAAGCATAAAGACGCCACTGCATAACCCTTATGGTCCCCTCTAAATAAACCTAAAGTTGCAAACGAAAGAAAATAAAACATAACATTAATAAAATAAACTTTGAAGAAAGAAAATCATTTTTTTTTTTTTATTATTTTTTTTTTTAATTTTTAAATCATACATCTTTGTACCACCTATATGAACATAACTTATAGGGAAAAAGACATTGATCCTTTTGCAGACCCATCAGCATGCATGTAGAAAAAGATGTGAAAATGGGTTCGAAAATAATGGATTGGTCATGATCAATTAGTCGATCATTCGGGATATGATTATGAACATTTAAAAGGAGGAATCTTTTCAACTTGTTATTAGCATTTTTATTTCATTTATCATTTCATACATCTTCATGAAAAAAATATTCTAATTATATTTAAAATTCTGATTTTATCATTCACGACATGTTTAAATCGCGGTAACATTTATAAAAACATATCAAACGGTTTCACAAACTATTTTACATATGACAATTCTATTTATAACACTACAAGACGATTCTATATACACTAGGTTCTTGATAAAACTTTATTCTTGATACGTATAACTGGTGTTGCTACCGTCAAAAGCACTAAATCTTTGATCAAGAAATAAAATCAAAAGTTTCCCACGATACCAAAATTTAAAGAATTGGAGGAAAAGTATATTTGTTCTCTCAAATTAAAACTAATTATTATTTGATCCCTAAAACATAAGACTTTCCAATTCTGGAATGCAAAAAGAAACAGTGCAACACCACCGGTATAATCGACTGATCTTGCCACGTGTCGACATCGGAAGGTATTTCAGCTCTTGGTAGATGACATCATGTCGTGCGTACCTCAGAAATACAATCGCACGATAAGGTCACCTTCTCGGCTTTGCCAAACACTCATCTTTCTAGCGTTTTGTCGTTAAACGTTTCGTTCCTTTAATTTTAAATTGTTTATGATTAGTATTTCTTAATTATTATTTCCATAGCTTAAATATTATTCTAATGGTGATGCCGTGATGGTCACAAATAAATGAAAAGGAAAAGGCAGAAAAAATAAAATTAAAATCCTTTTTTTACTCTCTTTACATGATGGGAACTCTTGACCTTTAAGTTTTTTTGTGTGACAGTAAGTGTTCAAAGGGACTCGAAACACTTCTCCTTCCATTTGAGTTTTTGTGTGTGGTCCGAATGAAAAATATCTCTGTTTGATCTAGAGGTTAACCAGAAATGTGTTTCGAAAACATTTTTAACTCTTCATCTCTCAACTTCTTCATGAATATTTCTGCTTATCTATCAAGGTTTGTTAAATTTTCCCTCCCTCTCTGTTTTGATCTTGAAAAGGTTTGGATCTTGGAGAATTTGGAGTTCCTCGAGTTTTTGTTTAAGTTCCAAACATTTTATGTAAGTTTAAAGAATTTGTTCTGTTTATGGTTTGTATCAGTGAGAGCAAATTAATGTAAATTTTAAGAGTAAGCTATTGGATCTATAACTGAAGGTGAGACAAAACAAAAGTTTCTTTCTTTCTCTTTTGATTTATTCTTGTGGTTTTTTGAGAGATTCTAATTTAACAAATATGATTGGTTTAATATGTTAGAGGATAATAGAGATGATGAGTTCTACTTCTCCAACACAACTTGCATCTTTAAGAGACATGGGAATCTATGAGCCATTTCAACAAATTGTCGGTTGGGGAAATGTTTTCAAATCTGATATCAATGATCATAGTCCCAATACTGCTACTTCCTCAATTATTCAGGTTGATCCTAGAATTGATGATCACAACAACCTCAAGGTTAACTAATTTTTTTCTTTCAAGATTCATTGGTTTTGAAGGTTGTTGTTACTTGTGTTTTTGCTAATGGTTTTTAAATTACTTGCAGATGAATTATGATTCTTCGCATAATCAGAACGAAGCAGAACAACCTTCTAGTAATGACAATCAAGATGATGATGGCAGGATTCATGATAAGGTTTAGAACAAACAAATTAAAGCTACTTATGTTTTTCTTTTGTACATACATTAAAGTTAAGAAATGGTGGTTTTTGTGATATTGATTGATATTCTTTTGTCATATGCCAATAGATGAAACGGCGTTTAGCACAGAACCGTGAAGCTGCTCGCAAAAGTCGTTTGAGAAAGAAGGTAAAAGCAAGTCCCTTCATTGAATCTCATATAGTTAAGTTAGTTACTACTAAGTCTTTTTTTGTTTCTTTAGGCTTATGTTCAGCAGTTAGAAGAAAGCCGGTTAAAGTTATCGCAGTTAGAGCAAGAACTCGAAAAGGCTAAACAGCAGGTGAGCTAGGTGAAAAGATTGTTTCAAGTGTTCTGTTTTGAGTCTCTATCAAGAAAATCAGTTTTGGTTTTCGTAATTGACTCAATACTATTTGTTTTCTTTTCAAGGGATTATGCGTTCGCAACTCGTCAGATTCAAGCTACTTAGGACCATCTGGGAGTATTAACACAGGGATTGCTTCATTTGAGATGGAATATTCACACTGGCTTCAAGAACAAAGCAGGAGAGTTAGCGAACTACGAACAGCGCTTCAATCTCATATAAGCGACATAGAACTCAAGATGCTAGTAGAGAGTTGCTTGAACCATTACGCGAATCTGTTTCGAATGAAATCTGATGCAGCAAAAGCCGATGTTTTCTACTTGATATCGGGAATGTGGCGAACTTCAACTGAAAGGTTCTTTCAATGGATTGGAGGATTTCGTCCATCCGAGCTTTTAAACGTAAAAATTACAAACATTATATTCTCTTACAAAAACACTTATCAAACATTTTCAAAATGTAATGTCTTTATTTCTTTTTCTTGCAGGTTGTGATGCCTTATCTTCAACCATTAACCGATCAACAAGTCTTGGAAGTGCGAAACCTCCAACAATCATCACAACAGGCAGAGGATGCTCTGTCTCAAGGGATTGATAAACTTCAACAGAGTTTAGCTGATAGCATTGTGAGTGATGCGGTTATCGAGTCCACGGATTATCCCGCTCACATGGCTGCAGCAATAGAGAATCTTCAAGCATTAGAGGGATTTGTGAATCAAGTAAGTAAACAATAACTCAAAACAAAGTTAAGGAAAGTTTGTGTCTTTCTATTTAAAGATTTCAAACATCTCTGTTCTGATTAACAGGCAGATCATCTGAGGCAACAAACTTTGCAGCAAATGGCGAAAATCTTGACGACAAGACAATCGGCTCGAGGTCTACTTGCTTTAGGAGAGTATCTTCATAGACTTCGTGCTCTTAGTTCTCTTTGGGCAGCTCGTCCACGAGAACCCACTTAAACAAGAAACAACAGAATCAAAGTGATAAAGAAGCATAGTCATCACAAAGCTTGGAATGATGTTTAAAATGGATCTTTGTTAAGTAGAGTGAGATTCTCTTGATTAGAACTTTATGGTTTTTTCATTATGAAGTATCTCTCCAGAGAAGATGTATATTTGGGTTGAAACTTTGTAATATATTTAGATACAACAAGAAATAATGATTATATTATGAAATATGAACAATATGATAATATGTGTAGTGAATGTAAAATATATGTATTATTCAGGGACTAATGTGAAACTTAATAAAAACTAAGGGTATTATTGTAATAATACCATCGTTGCGCTTCAATCGTCCACAAAAAATTTCCCGGGAATTGATATTTTTCTTTGTAATTTTCTGAGGAAAATGAGAAAATTCATATGAAGAAAGAGTAAAGAAGTCTCTTCTTGTTCGGTTTGGACTTTTCAGGAATTTCATTTTCGTGAGCTTTACTTGTTCGTTCATGTTAAGAGGTGGAATTTGATTTATATGAATTTTGATTTCTGGGTTTGCGAAATTGATCGGTTTCTGTGTCGGAAATTGAAGTTATGAGCAATCTTCGAGCTATTTGTAGACCACACACTGTTTTCTCTTCGATCGTGTGTTGTAGTAGACACCAAAGTCGATCACTTTTTAGGGTTTCGATGAAAAACGCCGCCTTTAGAAACCGAGTATCGAATTCGTCTTGGTTTAGGTCTAAAGAAGATTCGAATCTTTGGTTTCGTTTGAATCAGAGGAAGACTCTAGTTAGGGCATCGAATTGGAGCGAAGAGAAATCTCCGTACGATACTCTTGGTAAGCTTGTTTTACCAATTGGGGATTTTGTTGGTAGGAGCTTTGTGGCAATGAGTGGTTCTGTTGTTTTGGCTACTGGACAAAGTCCTTTGTGTTGTGTTTCCTGTTTCTGATTATGGTTTTATGATTCTGAGTAACAGAGTTGGATCGAGATGCAGAGGAAGAGCAGATTAAGGTAGCATACAGAAGATTAGCCAAATTCTATCATCCTGATGGTACTTTTCTGGATCTTTAGAGCCAAATCAAAAGTCAAGATTTGTGATCAAGGATTCACTTTGTCATCACAAAAGTTGTAACTAAGTTTCTGATTCTGTTTTTGTTGGATTAATTGTGTAGTTTATGATGGAAAGGGGACTCTTGAAGAAGGAGAGACAGCAGAAGCAAGATTCATCAAGATTCAGGCGGCATACGAGCTGCTCATGGACTCAGAAAAGAAAAGACAATATGATATGGATAACCGAGTGAATCCGATGAAGGTAGATATATTATAGTCATAAACTTGAAGTTTTCTTTTTCCCTCTGAAATTGCTAAATGTTGGGTTTGTGTAGGCATCTCAAGCTTGGATGGAATGGTTGATGAAAAAGCGTAAAGCGTTTGATCAGAGAGGCGACATGGCTATTGCAGCTTGGGCTGAGCAACAACAGCTTGAGATAAACCTTCGTGCTCGTCGCCTTTCACGTTCTAAGGTAAGAAATAATGTGTCTTTTTGAGCTTGTTCTTCCAACTTAGTAATTTTCTTCTGCTCTGTTTTGAATCTGGAAACTTATGTAAGGTGGATCCGGAAGAAGAAAGGAAGATATTGGAGAAGGAGAAGAAAGCATCGAGAGAGTTATATAACAGCACTTTAAAGCGACACACGCTAGTGTTGAAGAAAAGAGATCTAATGCGAAAGAAAACAGAGGAAGATAAGAAAAAGCTCATCACTCAGCTACTAGCAGCAGAAGGTCTCGAGCTTGCTTCTGAAGAAGATGAGGAAGAAGCAGCCAAGTAAGATCCCAAACATTTTGGAAGCGTCATCTTCGATATCTACTTCAAGTAATTAAGCACTTGGTACTTGCTCCCTCTCTCTCATTCTCTTGTAGTATAAACATACATGTAAATATCATATTTTGATAATTACCATATCTTCACTTCACGCTTCATCATTAAAAATAAGACAAGTACCAATTCATACATCCTGAGAAACAAACAGAACAAAGAAGCATCAATTGCAATGACCAAGGCCTAAGCAGGATCGTTATGATCATCAACACCATCCTTAACATCTGGAGCATGATGATGATAATCATCATCAAGAGAGACTAGCTGGAGCGTGAGACGACCGTTGGATCTGTGAGCTTGAAAGTACTCGTGACGACGCGCTTTCTCTTCCTTAAGTAAAAGCCGACCATCACTCGTGTACTCTCGCTTCAGCACCAACGGCACGTGCGATGACAACGTTGGAGGTGACAGTACCTCACACGCCACTGTTTTTGTATCCTCTCTTCTCTCACATGGTAACCCGACATCACCGGTCTTGTCCGAGAAACCGTTGAAGCAGCTCTCTGTTCCAATGTAGACTCCGTTGTCGGAGAGAGATGACATCACGAGGGTAGAGGTTTCTTGGTAGTGAGAATTAAGAGCCATGTTATGGAATCTCGAAGGCTATCTCTCTCTCACTCTGTCTATTGATCGAGTTAGTGAGGTTGAGTTAAATAGGAGTTAGATTCATCCATTCTTTTACTTACATTTTGGAAGTTTTCTTTATAAGAGACTAAACTATGTATACTGAGAAAGAAATACATACAAAAAAAAGAGAGAGAGGAAAGAAATACATGTATCTATCCATTAATTAAATGGATAAAATGACCAAAACAGGAATAATTTTGTTTCACCAAATAAATACTACACACCTTGACAACAACAATGGAAAAGAATACATTAGGGTTATTTTTCTCCATTTTTGTAAGATATGTGTTTATCCTAACTTTTGACACATGCCACTTTTATTAGATGATCATATCAGTACTAAACTACTAATCAATACTATAAAACATGACACACATGTCTCGTCCCTATGTTACTGTCCAGATTCAAACTCATATGATTGTGACCAACAAAAATAAATTAATCCTTAATTCCATACAATAACAATTGAACTATGCGTAAATCTAGTAGTTATATTAACTATTCAAACACTCAGCATTTGGTAATCAAACCAATATTGGGTTTAGAAAAAAGAGTACACTGATTTGAATTTGATCGTTTTCTGTAGTGACCTTTGGTTAAACCAACTTATTGGCTAATTTTCAAGAATCATGATGCGAAAATGCGTATATTGTGTTGTTTGCAGCTTTGATAGAATTTTCTTTTCTAGTCCTTAATATAAGAAAACTTGACCAAGAAGAAACACAATGTCTATTGCTCATAAAATTTTGAGAGGCTCGAATACAAAAATGGATAAAAGTCCGGGAAGAAATAAAATCTGAAAACTGTATCACTGATCACCAGGAATTGACTTGATAATGTCAGAATCACCTGAAACCAGTCGAAAGACAAAATCATTAGTAGATAGAACAATGAAGAACCAGCAGCAATATATAAGCAAGTAGCTAGTTCTTTTACCAGGATCAACAATGCTCAGACACGAAACACGGAAGTACTTCCCGCAAGCTGTTCCCAAATCAACGTTATCTGAAACCCATTAAGGAGAGAAGAAAAACACAGCTAAGCCAACATTATACAAGAGAAATAACCGATGAATGAGCCTTGAAACATGAAACTAAGTTCAATAGAATAAACATTCATCTACTTTCAAGATGATGAGTTAAATGCTCTTTCAGGTTATATCAAAGAGCAAGATAAAGTTTTGTACAAGAGTAAAACTCTAGCAATCCGAAATCATAGACCAACGGAACAATCAATTTGAAACACATACAGAGACAACAAAAGCAATTCAAGCAGTTCCTGATCTTGCGAAAGATCAACACCTTATGTCAATTAAACATAACAGTCTACTCTACTAAGGATCATACTTTCATCATCAGCTTAATGGTCCAAAGAGGTAGAATATTACACTTTCATCTACTTAGGATTATACATTCTCAGTTACTATACCCAATGAAACTTAAATACAAACAAGGGGACAATGAATCTTTTAAAACTACACGAGCTAAAGAAGAAAGGAACTTACTTCCATTGTAATGGTGGACACCAACTTTAGCGAGCATTGCGTAGTACTCAATCTCTGATCTTCTCAACGGTGGGCAATTGGTGGAGATTAGAATTAGCTTCCCTGTGAACATAAAGCAAAACCAGAATAAACAACAAACAACAAAAAGCTAAAACATTTAGGTATGCACACCAAGTGTTCGACGAAATTACCTTTAGAGCCACGAAGGGATTTGAGAACAGACTTGTAACCAAGAGTGTATTTACCACTCTTCATTACAAGAGCCAACCTACTGTTGATACCCTCATGAGACTTCTTCTGCAATTAAGCATAAACCCAGAAGAAAAATTAGTCATCGTTGGGTTGAGATCGAAAACGATACTTAGATTAGGAGAAAGAATAACACTTTGGTTAGAGAGATAGCGACGAACCGTTTTCTTGGCCGTCACCATTTTTCGCCGGCGATGAAGTGGAATCAAAATGTCTTGGATCTGTGCGGCGGAGGAGAAGCCGAGAGGAAGAGGAGCACGATGACCTAAAATCGAAAAAGCGCCGCTTCGTCACATTTTATATGCTGTGTCAATTTTTCTAGGGTTTTTGCTTTTTAGTTTGTATGAAAGTTCACTTATACCCTTAATGTTTCTATAGTTTTATAATTTTCTCAATTAACAAATTAATCACTCGATTTATTCGTTTTAGTGAATTTGACAGAGCGATTAAATTAGCATAAACCAGTTGTACATGTCTTTTTTTTTTTTTTTTTTTTTGAATTAAATGTTAAATTAAATTCAAAAGAAAAAATGTCTTTTGTACAACAAGTGCAACTTTAGCTTAGAACAAGAGCTGAAATAAGTTTGAGATTGAGAACTATGAGTCTAACTTCTTGCTTGAAACCAGATTTGGAGACTGTTATCGTATCGTCTGTCTCCCATTTTTCGAATGGAGGAGAGTCTGTTCCTCACTTGTCTATCGATCCAAGTGGTTAGAAGAGGAGCTGGGTTTGGTTTCTCACCATGTTTGCGTCCATTTCTTTCCCGCCAGATGGTGTAGAGAGTGGCGTGAAGTACATATCGAGCGACAAAGCTCTTTGTTCTGTCATGCCATCCCACAGTGATTGTGTTGAGAAGAGAGTACCAGTTAGTAGAGTATCGGGCTTGGTAGAGCTGTTTGGCTAGAGCTTTCCAGATTTGTGATGTGTAGCTGCAGGCAAAAAACAAGTGGTCTCGAGATTCTGTTGCATTGTTACAAAAACTGCAGGTTACCGAAGCTCCTCTGTTCCATTGAAGCATTCTATCACCAGTTGATAATCGATTTTGAGCTGCAAGCCAAACACAGAACGAAAACTTTGGAGTTCCATGTTTGATCCAAACCCCTTTGTGCCAACTGACCATGGTGCCCTCAGCACGAGTGAGATTCCATGTGTCTCTTGTTGAGAAGCTTGGTTTGTATACATTGTTCTTTCCTCTCCACAAAACTATGTCCTCTGTTTCATTTCTATTCTGTTTTTTTGGCTGCTAACTCTTCCTCCATTTGATTTAGCAGACCTGACCGGTGTCGACGGCGACGACGACCCTCCCAAGCTTCAGCCACCGTCTGGTGTCTACTTATGCCCATATCAATCATGCCTCGATCCCCAACTTCCCCCAGCAGCCGACCCATGCTTGACCAGTCGTCATACCAGAATGATGTGCGTGAACCATTATTCACTTCCACCTTGCAAAAAGTTTCTGCCACATCTCTGAATTTTAGGAGTTTCTTCCACATCCAAGATCCCATTGTTGTGTTCTTCTTGACAGACCAAAAAGTATCCTTCTTTAGCAAAAACTTCTCTATCCACTTAACCCATAGTGAGTTTCCATGAGAGATAATTTTCCATATAAGCTTCAGGCAACAAACATCATTCGCTTCTTTTAAAGATCGCAGACCAAGACCTCCTTCTGACTTAGGTTTGCATATAACGTCCCAAGCTACCTTTGCTTTTCGTGAGTTTAACTCTGGTCCAGACCAGAGAAAGGATGAGCAGATTTTATCTATCTCTCGAATGCATTCTCTAGGTAGCCGAAATGCGGATAACCAGAAATTGCAGAGACTCCAAATAACCGAGCTTATTAAGTTAAGTCGCCCTGCGAATGATAAGTACCTTGCTGTCCAAGAACTGATTTTTCTCTTGATTTGTTCGATAAGCGGACTGTAATCTGTTGCCGTGAGTCGCTTAGTGAGTAAGGGAAGGCCTAGGTATCTTACCGGAAGACTACCAACCTCAAAATGGAACTGATCCTGAATTACTTGATGAGTTGTATTCAATTGTCCAGCCATGTAAATAGTGGACTTCTCCATGCTTATTCGCAAACCAGATTTTTTAGCAAACTCATCAAATACCGACACTATTCCTTCTATGGACCTTACTTTCCCGTCAGAGAGGACCATAATGTCATCCGCAAAGCTAAGATGTGTTAGACCAAGTGTCTTGCATTTTGGGTGATAACCAAACTGTCTAGCCGCAGCAGCTTTATCCAACATTCGAGAAAGAACCTCCATACTGATAACAAAAAGATAAGGGGAGAGAGAACAGCCTTGTCGCAACCCTCTAGAACTCCGAAAAAATCCTGCGAGTTCACCATTAACTTGAACCGAGAAAGAGGCTGTGGTGATGCAGAGCATAATCCAGTGCACAAATTCCGGGGGAAAATCCATGACTGATAGCACATTCTGAAGGAAAGACCATTGAACCGAATCAAAAGCTTTCGAAATATCTATTTTTATTGCACATCGTCCCGAAATTGAGTCTTTGTGGTAGTCCTTGACCAGCTCTGTTGCAAGAAGTAGATTCTCTATCAAAAGTCTATCTTGTACAAACGCCGATTGATTTCCCGCTATGAAATATGGCAGCAACTTTTTGAGTCTATTGGCCAAGATTTTCGAAATAACTTTGTATATCACATTGCAACATGATATTGGCCTGTAGTCCTTCATTTCTTTTACCTCCAGCTTTTTTGGTATAAGTGCCAGAATTGTAGAATTTACTCCCTTTGGCAAGAAACCCTTCTCAAAAAAAGATTTGATCGCTAAAACAAATTCTGCTCCTAGAACATCCCATGTGGCCTTGTAGAATTCAGTTGTGTATCCGTCTGGACCCGGTGATTCAGTTGTACATGTCTTGGTCAACATTTTGTCGACATGAAACATATCTGAGTTACATTTTCATTATAAAAGAAATAGTATGTAGAAATAAATAGGATAAGGTAAACACAGATTTTTGGATTTTGTTTAGCGTACATTGGATTGGTTTATATTTAAAGTTTCAACAATTTTTGTTTGTGGCCTGTGGGTGCAGGAATAAACGTATGAGTTGAATTCTATAAGAATGGGACGAACTGATCAATCTCAGTACTTAAGAGTGCGACAAAAGACAAGGTTTTTGGTACCTTGTACGAGGCTTTGTTCCTGAGAGCATCTCTTTCACTCCACTTCTAACAATCTAGCTTTTATATATATAATGTAATATGATCCAATCTGATTTAGGTTATGTGGTTTTCTAAGTCGTTTGAGTTTTTTTTTATAGGGTTTTGATCAAGCATGGTCGTCTTATAGTCATAATTAACCCGCTGTTACATACAGTCCAATGATACAAAATTACACATTAGTACCTTGAACCTTATGCCTAATAAACGTTACCCTTAAATTACAAAAATTATTTCATGAGAAAAAATATTTTTTCGAAAATCTTGTAGATCTACCATTTTTACAAAGTGCTAAACTACTACTTTTTGGTAATCTATCGAAATTTGTCCATTGTATATATAACTTTATCATACTTTATCCATTTATCGAGCACTTTTCAAGCTTCCAAGTCGTAATCCAAGATAATTAACACTTGTCCATCAAAAAGCTAGAACCTAAACTTATCCATGATTGATTTCTTTATAAAATGCTAGTTTTAACTTAGCTAATTAAAATCTATATCATGGATAGTTTGTCCCCAGAAAGTGTTTATATGTACACTAACTTTTTAAGTGTTTAGTTAAGATACACCAAATTACTTACTAATTTTAAGTGTTAATATTCATAGATAAATATTATGGAAAAAAATTAAGAAACAAGTAACCAAAAGTTGTTTAGTTTTTAGTATGATTTTGTTAAAGTGGTAGTTCCAGAGAGAGAAGAAGAAAAATTGCAAATAGAATGAGTGAATATTCGAAGACTACAGTCTCTAAACCGGCATATATAAGTAGATTAATGAGAAAGGTTATATACACATGTAGAGCAAACTTCGCTTTGAAGATCTCTCTCTCTTTCTCCCCTATGTGTTCATATCCTTTCCCTGTCGGCGCGTAACAACAACAACCGAGACAACACAAACAGACAAATCCTCCACGTGTCGTGAACTGAGACCAGGTGGTCGTCATGTAAAATATTACTATAAAACATATAGTAACATCCAAGAATATGCCATATGAACCCTAGCCCTTTGCCTTCCTTTTGAAGCTCCTTCATCGAGAGGCACCTTCGTTATAAGCTTTAATTTCACTCATTATATCCCTCTCATACACCATGTAAACGTTGTCATAGTTTTGTTGCTATGGCACCATTTAGACTCAAAGTCACATACATGTTATTGATAAAAAGAGAAAAGGATACAAGACTTGAGTCTTTTATTACTCCCATGTTTCACAGCAGATACACAAAGTGATCACATTAGCTAGAACAAGGTATTATTTAGATGTGTATATTAAACATATTATTATACACAAATACCTATAGCCACGCCCACGTATATATATGAGCCTTTAGGCAAATGCCAAGAAACCAATAATGTTAAATATGAGCATTGAATAAAATACATTTTTTGGGTTATAATGTTTTGAGTAACAACACTTGGTTATATAATAAGAGTAAAAAATAAATTTTTACAAATATTATATAAAATGTATATAAATGTAAGTGATGTACCTAGCCATATGACAGATTCGTCTAAATTAAGAACAAATATTCAATCCGCTCACCATTTGTAACTCTTTCTCTCTCTTTCTCTTAAAAACACAAACCTAAAAAACTCTCCTTTCGTCGACTCATTTACCTTAAATATACAATTTTCCACTCAATCAAATTCTCTCTCGTACAACTAATAATAATAGAGTGCGTCTTGATTATTTTGCAGCGATCATTGGACATGGGTCGGGTGAAATTGGAGTTAAAGCGGATAGAGAAGAGCACGAACCAACAAATTACGTTCTCAAAACGTAAAAAAGGTTTAATAAAAAAAGCTTATGAATTGTCAACACTTTGTGATATCGATCTTGCCCTCCTCATGTTCTCTCCTTCCGATCGACTATGTCTCTTTTCCGGTCAAACAAGGTATTTCCATTTCTTATTTCTTGAACATTCCATATCCTTCTAGAATCTTCTCATGAGGATTTTTCAACTTAGTTAAAGTGTAACCACGTTTTGCATATACATGTACTGCCTATATCATTTGATTAAGGACAAAATGACAAGCCGTATATTCTTTTTATCAAAAAAATTTGTTGGTGGAAGCCACCGAATAGTGGATCTTTATTTTTTGGTACTAGTAATTTTGATTTATTTTCCACTGATTTGTTATTCAATATTAGAGGTGCAACTTGAGGGTTGACACGTTTTTACATATTACTGAAGATTTTTAGTATATAGCAACATTTTCAAAAATAGTAAAAGTTTCGGGCTTTTTGTGTAAGTATAAAAGAGTTCTGCTGTGCTTTTCTATAAATAGCAAAAGTTCCGTGCATTTTGGTAAACAACAGAGTTCACTGTTCAGGGTAAATTAGTAAATACTTAAAGTATCGGATGTTTTTGGTAACTAAAGAAAGTTCCGAAATACTTTCGAATAGCCCCGGAACTTTAAAAAATAAGAAAACAGTCCTCAAAAAGTCTTTAATTTGTTGTCAATTTATATTCAAGTTGTTGTCATTTTATTACATAAAAATCATTAGAAACACCACAAAATCAAGTGTTATATTAGTTTCCAATTGATTCAATATAGAAATTTCTGGTTGTTTAGGATTTTTTGATAAGTTTTCACCATTTGCAAATTACAATAGTAGATAGTTTTTATTCCGATATAGCCATCTCTACTCTCTAGTAAATAATTGAGAAAGCTCGTAGTATATGTGGCACTCAGTGACACGTCACGTTTCAGTGACATCAGTGCATGCAATGTGACTGTGACCCTCATCAAATAAAAATGTTTTTTCAGAAATTAAAAGTTGAAAAACAATTTCCTCATTAAATGTAAAATAAGAAAACAGAATCCTGATAAGAACAAACCGATTATTCTTGTTACTGCATAGTGCAGAGCTTCTTCTCTCCTTCATTTGCCGGTTTGCTCCTACCTTTTTCTCTATACAACTCGGTTTGTTCTCTGTCTTTTTTAACGATCATAACATCTATGGATATACATGTAAATTAACACATGCATGGTGTTGTGTATCTCCATAATCTTAATTTTGAGTTAATTTTAGGATCGAGGACGTTTTGGCGAGGTATATCAATCTTCCTGATCAAGAAAGAGAAAAGTATGTGTCTAATCATCTCATTAGTCTACTTGGTTTATTATTTCTATATTCACATGTATTTTTTGGTGTATTTTTGTAAAAAATCTTCAGCGCCATAGTTTTCCCTGATCAGAGCAAACGCCAGTGAGTATATATCATATATTTCCATTTAATATATTAGTATATACTTTATTTCATATATGTAATTTGTTACACAACTTTTCTTCTCTGTTTTGCAGAGCTATCCAAAACAAAGAGGTGAGACTAATCATATGGTTATATTCTAATCACATATGAATATTTTAGTATTTAATCAGCATTTTTTTGTGACAGTATTTGTTAAGAACTCTGGAAAAACTCAAAATTGAAGATGACATGACTCTCCAAATCAACGAACCTCGGTTTCTTTCTCTTTAATCCTTATAATTAATCTTGTTTATATATGTTGATATGTTTAGCTAATCTTTTACCTCATGACTCAGGAAAAGCCCTGAAGCTATCAACACCGATGTCGAGGTTATTAATTTACCAATCCTCAATCACATGTACATAAATAATTTTCAAAATAATTTTTCTAATTATATTTTACAATTTTAAAGGAACTTGAGCAAGAAGTTTGTAGATTACAACAACAGCTTCAGATATCAGAGGAAGAACTAAGGTATTTTTCTTTAATTAGTCATGTGATCCTATCTAATCAATAAGATTATAAAATTTACATTGGGTGATGTAACATAAATAGGAAATTCGAACCAGATCCAGTGAGGTTTACATCAATGGAGGAGATTGAAGCATGTGAAACTCATCTCATCAATACATTGACACGTGTCGTACAGAGAAGGGTGACACATATAACACAAACATTTTCTCTACTCTTTAATTTCATTGTAAGTAAGAAGAGGGGGAAAATTGATTCGAGTGATTGGTAATCGCAGGAACATTTGTTGAGGAAGTCCTGCGAAGCACCAAGTAACCAACAAAGCATGCAAGGGATCCTTCTAAATGACATCGTCGAGGATTGGGGGCCTGAGGCTGAGCCCAAACAAGCCCATATGATAGCTAATTCGGCCCATCAGTCAAATCAGCTAAGGTCTATCCAGTTCAACCTTGTTTTTTTTTTCTTTCATATATGATTTAATTATTTTAAATTATAATTGATTTTTTTTGTCTGTCAGCTATGATTTGCTCTTACGAGGGAGTAATTCGAGTTCGAACCAAAATCCAAAATGATATTAGGTGAATCGCAATGCGCCGAGCACTAATGGCGAGAGAATGCATATTGTAAGACAAAAATAAACGAGATACAAATGGGTCTATGGGTAAGCTTCTCTATGGTTTCTCTTTCAAATTAAGGTTTTCGTATACAATAATGTTAAAAAAAAACTTTGAACTCTAATTCAATAAATTTCTGAGAATATTTTTAGAACCATAATCGATTCGTTTTTTTTCAACCAGTAATTAAAATATACATCAACATTGTAATTAGGCAAACCATAGTGAGATCAGAAATGTTGATTTTATTTGGATTTGAAAACCTGTTTGAGTAGCTAGAGTTTTAAAGCTAATTTCTTTTACAAAGCTCAATTTATTTTCTGCTTACAAACTCATTATTATAGCAAACATTTCACATGGTGCAGTTTGTAACTTCCAGAGATGATTCAAATGCAAAAAATGAAAACAAGAATATGAGTTTCTATGTAGTACATAGGCTCAAAAATGTTAAAAAAGCAATGGAGGAATAAAAAAAGAAAAGTACAAGATAACCTGTAAAACTAGGTGTACACATAACGTTGCCACAAGAGAAATCCAGGTACCATAGAGAGAAAACATGAAAGGAAGATAGAGCATCATGCACCATTAAACATCATATGCTCACTTATTCAAGGTTTGAGGATAGATCAGCAACCTGTAGTCGAAAAATAACAAATCACGAATTAATATTATAGTCAATAAAATCAACTAAAACTCAACTAATTTATCAATAAAATAAATTTTGTTTTTTACAGGAATGAATTACCTGTTATGTCATTCGAGAATACTTTCTTAAGTGTGGATCAATATGTAAACCGAGACTTTCGTATCTTGGGTTGTAGATATTATTTACGTGCCTGAAAAATGTATGTTTTTGTTATGTTCCTAAGAATATTTTGTGTCTAGATAACCTATGATTAATATTAAAAGACAAGAGTATATATGAAACAAATATTTGAAAAAGGTGTGATTAGTCAATGGAAAAGAAATGGAGAAAAATAAACCTTATTTCAGGATGATTGATTCCAGTTGATGGGCCAAGATTTTCTGCTTCTGACACAATTCTCTGCATTATTTGATTAACTCACATTAATTTTCATTTTCATGAATATTACTTCTACGTTAAATAATAAATTTTATGAGACTCTTAAGACTGTGTACCCTGCGTTGAGCTGGAGATGATGATGATTGTCCAATTTCAAACCGAGTTGGGTAACTTCTCCGTCGACATCCTAAAATTTCACCCTGTAACATTGATGTTATATATCGATAAGGCTTTTTTAGTGCATATGTATTCGTTTGTGAAATATTGATGAAAACTTCACATACATACATTATTCATTGCATGAAAGAAATTGTACCTGTGGAGGTATGATTGCGTTTGCGTTTGGACTTATAGGCATCTGACGATTGTTAATGTTGGGTAACCTAAACATCCATGGAGACTGATTCACCGATGTTTGCATACCGCCATGTTGCCTATAAAATGAGGTGTCAAAGAGTTTTAAAATGTAGCAATCAAAAACATATATAAGAACTTGTGCTAAGTCGATCAGATTATAACTTGTTACCTGGTAATAAATCTCGAAGGCATTTGAGGTCTGGGTATGGTGGATGGAATGTTACGTTGGGGAACAGCATTAAAGGTAGGGATCATATTTGTTTGATTTTGTAAAGGATGTGTCCTCATCCTGCATGAATCCAAAAGATTTTTACTTGTAAAAATATACTATTTTGTTTTGTAAATCAAATTTAGAAGAAAAAAATGGAGTCATAGGAATATTTGATCTTACATAGCTAAATTGTTAACCATCCTTAAATTGGGAGGTACATTTTGCCTAAAGGCAAAAACTGGTGGGGGCGGTTGGTGAGGATACATGCCAAAAGAAGAAGCGACATGTTGATGAGGCGTCTGATATGGCATATAGTTTTGCAACCTATATTTCATGAAAATGATACTCTTATGAAAACTCTATAGATCAATGTTATAAGTATACAAAGTGTTACATTTGATTTGAGTAGTAGTACTAGTATCAGTTTGGAGTGAGATTGTCGGAGACTATATGGTACATAAATGCTCTGATTCGCCATCATAAAATTAGATTCACAATCACAAGCATTAAAGTATTTGATAAACAGAGGTTCTCTAAACCATTCCAGATATATAGTGACTAGTACATTTAGCTGATATATTAACATGGAACAAATTTTAGATAATGTACCTATTTGATGAATTAGCATGAGGAAAAGGTGATCCAAATGCATTAGAACGGCCTTGAGGGATCCTGCGTCAATTAATCACTTTTTATATTAGTAAGAAATTAGAGTTTTCTATTATATGATAGAAGTGTTTGTAAATCAATTAATCTCATACAAAGGTACTGGAAGAAAACGGTTTTGAAGTTGAATTGGAGAATTAGTCACAGTTGGATGTGCAAACCCATTATTTTCTTGCATCACTTGTTGACCAATCTCTGTTTGGTTCTGAAAAAAGTAAATAACAAAAAAACTTAAAATATAATGTAGTAAAAAATAATTTAAACCACTCCAAAGAACTTTTTCTACCCTTGTAAAAACACTCGACTGATGAATAGTATTCAACATGTTTGATAAATTATCCTGTAACCATGTCTCATGCGAAATGCTTAATTGATGTTGTTGCGGTTGTTGTACAACTTGGTGCTGGTGCTGGTGCTGGTGCTGGTGCTGGTGTTGATAGTATTGCTGATGCTGGTGCTGGTTCTGGTGTTGATAATATTGCTGGTTCTGGTGCTGGTGGTGCTCCTGGTGCTGGTGCTGGTGCTGGTTCTGGTGTTGATAATATTGTTGGTTCTGGTGCTGGTGGTGCTCCTGACAACATAAAATACAAAATATTATATCATTAGTATACTATAAGTAGTTGGTTTAGATTTCTTGCTCAATGTCAAAGTGTAAGTAATATACCATTTCAAGTGGATTTGGTATTAGAGTTGATGTCTCTTGATATGTGATTAGATTTGATTGTTGAGAGGATAATAAACAGGTAGTTTCATCTATTGTGGAGACAGGGATCAATCCAAAAGAGTCGTCATGTGGATTTTCAGTTTCCGCTGTCGGATTCGGCAGGCAATCCTGTATATTGTACAAATCTAACAGTTTTATCATTAATAAATTAAAATGAAAATCATGAGAGATAAAAAGAGAAGCATACCAATAACGGAATATACGGTTCCGGTGATTCAAGAAAACACAAAGGACTCAACAGCGAAGATTCGTCATCGAACATATCGCCAGACGCCATGTTTGCTAAATATCCTGAACATAAGGTTGTCCTTACCAGAAGATTGACATCGCTTATATATGAAAAGATGAGGTGGAAAAACCTAAAACATAAAATGCTGATGTGGCACACTACAGAGAATAAAAGAAATTATCTAATAAAAATATGAAAATAGCCTATATGTTACAATATATTACAATTATACCATTAATATAATTGGTCATATATATATATATATATATTAAATATAATATAATATATATATATTGACCGCACACATATATAATATCGAGTAAATTTCTAATATTCATAAATACTTGTTTACATCTTATTTTTCGCTAAGCTCAGTTTCAAATTTGTTTTCTAAATTTATATTGCGAGGATGAAAAATACATTTTTAATTTATAGAATTTTTAAACAAAATATTTTATAATATACATATATTGATTTTTTAAAACAATATTTTAGTTTTTAACTATTTAAGTTTGTTTGTTAAAAAAAAAAACTATTTAAGTTTATTTGAGTACTTTTCACATCCAAAAATTTTGAAATAGCTAATCAAACAAATATGTTAAAAATAAAAAAATATAATCATCATTTTAACACTTAATTTAGACTTTATATAAAAAAGACTTAAATAGACAGTCCAAAAATGGAATAAAAACATTTTTAATTTAGATATAAAAACATTGTTTGCCCAAAAAGAATAAAAACAAATAAAAAGATATAAGAACATTGTTTTGTATTTCACAGGTCATTATTAAGGTGTATTCTAAATTTTCCTTCAATATACTGAGATTTAATGTGATATATGAGGAAAGAAATATGGAGATAATGATTGGTACATTGTTCTGATTGGATTCTACCAAAATAAGTCATCACTGATTTGTGAAAATTCCAAATGTCATAGCTTCTATTGCTTTCTCTAGATTGTGTGGATGTCTTTCTTTAAAAGGCTTATGCCACGTTTCTACATCACACCTAACTTTTAAAAAATAATAAAATTTGGAAATAAGACAACTTTTTCTCAAGATATCGCTTTCAATGCAAAAATAATTGGATCCAAATCTGAGGAGCTCCTTACTCCTCACTTGTCAATCTATTTCGTTTCATCGTTTTGACGGTTTTTCGTTAAGCTATAACAGATTCAAACTCAAACTACATTTTTCGAAAGCAAAATCTATTTTTTAGTCATTGAGAATAATACATTTGAAACACTAAAACACATTGTTAAAGTTCTTTGAATTTGTTTAGCACATACAATTCAAATTCTACATACTAACCTTTCTTTCTTTCATATTTAAATATATATAGAGGATATTTTTTACGTCATATCACTTCATCGTGTATGTAAGGTTATACAATTGGTCATTTGGTCTATATAAGTATATATAAGATTGTCTCACAAAATTTTTGATTGGTCCATTATTTATAGAATATATATTGACTTAGTAGATACTACCTTTTTGTCAATGCATCTTAATTAGTGGAAAACGCATTTGAGTTTTAAGTTCTTAGAATTTTTTAACTAAAAATAGTCATTGGTATTAATAAAAGAAAAGAAATCCTAAATTACTACTTTATGTTTTTTTCCCTAATATCACACAAATTTATGCAAACCAATCTTTTTTTCTTAAAGAAGAATACATATGTTAACATTAGATTAATATAGGGGTAGATGCATGTATTACAATTTACAAGTATTGAGCAACTGCACCCACTAAAATTCGATAGGTCAATATAATTTTCTAAATACTAACCATAGTGTCTCCACTTTAAAGACGTTTAAACTCCCGTTAGTGATGTCAGAACAATAATTATTTTTTAAAATCACTCCCTTTTTCTTTGCTTTTTATTTAATTTTCTCTTTAAACTGTTTTATACTTAAATAAGTCCAAATAAAATTATGAGTATTTTCACTCAATGACCAAAAGATGAAGAGCGATCTTTAAAAAATTAAGACAAGCAAAATTGACATAATCTTCAGAGCAAAACATGGTTTTCCATTTATTTATTTTTGTTTCATTTGTATATACATAACATATACATTGTTTAAGAGTAAAAATGGTTTTTTTTTTGTATAATAGAAACGTTATGTACAATATACAAGTCAATAATTGGTTAATTAAGACCTTAAGGATGGAAGTTGTGTTTTATATAAATGTATAGTTATAACTTATCATAAATAAATAAAACCGTATCAATATTGTAAACCTTTATAAAATAATTTTTAAAAACGTATAAATAATATATGGTAAAATTGAAATTCTTGAGATTATTGGCTACTGAGCTGAGGCATTCTTATATCATAGTCAGAGACCTCGTGGTCTGCTTGTGCCTCCTTCTTCATAACCGGGATTTCAATTTCTTCCATATTAGGATCAACCAATACATGCTAACATATTTAAAAACAAAAAATAAAATTAATAGGATTGTAAAATAAATTAATTATTTTTAAAAGAAGAAAATTTAGAACCTGATGCTGCATAGGAGGAAATAGGGTTGTAGGATTATGGGCCGTAGTAGAATTATATGCCTGGGCCCATTCTTGGAACATGTCACCGTTATGATTTGACACATTGGATTCACCCATTATGTTGTTTTGGTTCGAGCTTGAGCTACTTCCTTGCAACAACGTTTCATACATTGCTGAATGGGCTGATGCGTCGAATAAATGGGCTTGGTTAGGCCCATTTTCAGTCAGCCAACCCCCAACGACGTCGTTTACAAAAGGTCCACCCATGTTTTGCTGTTGTTGTATAGCAGATGCTTCGTATGAAGATAACTGGTCATGACTCAATATATGTTCCTGCGTCTCAAGAAATTATTTAGTTGCTAATAAATATTGTTGAATACATTATGCTTAGATAAATAAAGAGAAGTTTAAATTATTGACCCGTCGTTGATTGACACGTGTTAAGGTATCCATTAGCTGCTTCTCACAAGTTTCGTACTCTTCCATTGTTGTAAACCTGATTGGATCTGGTTCGTATTTCCTAATTGTATTTGGATATAACAATTAGTTACATAAATTTTTATTTATCACATTGTGTTTTTGGTTATAAAAAGAAGACCTTAGTTCTTCCTCTGCCATGTGAAGCTGTTGTTGTAACTTATAAACTTCATGCTCAAGTTCCTAAAATCGATGATTATTAGAGAGTAAATAACAGAAAATATAGTTATTCTCTAGAGAAACAAAAAAAGATTAGGAGAATCACCTCGACGTCGGAGTTGATAGCTGTAGGGCTTTTCAAAATCATCAAATAAGAAAAAAAATAAAGAAAATCAACTTCCGAATTATTGAAAAATAATGTAGTTTTATAATAATAAAGGACAAGAGAAAGAATTTGAGACTTGGTAAGTTGAAGAGCAATATCATTCTCAGTCTTGAGTTGCTGCAAAGTCCGGAGTAGATACTGTCACGTGACAAGAAAATTTCGTGATCAATAATTAATCTAAAATGTATCATTGAATTCAATATATGTAATCCTTTTTCCTATATCAAAAAGGGGCACATTATGCTTAGTCTAATTACGTACCTCTTTGCTTTGGAAATCTCTGCAAGACAAAGTTGTCAAAATATGAAAACCCCTATTAGATTTGGATTTTAAGCATATATATGGTTATATATGTTAAAAGTATTTATAAGAATAAGAGTAAAATACGTACGGGCGTCGGCTTTGATCGGGGAATACTAGAGCACTGAAATAAATAAAAGAGAAATATATTAGTAAAATAAAAAGGAGTGGAATATATATCTTGAGAGAATCTATTAAAGCCTTGAAAGGTGAGAGATTGCTCAGCTTACTTCTCTCGTTCTTGATCAGAAAGATTGATGTATCTTGAGAAAACGTCTTCGATCCTTACCAGAGTTTAACGAATAAATATAGGTCAAATGAATGTTTTCGTATTTGTACAATTAACCAAAAGGTAATGTAAAAAGACAAAAGACAAAATACAAAAAATAAACCTTGTTTTGCCGGAAAAGAGGCTAAGGCGATCGGAGGGAGAGAACATGAGGAGAGCAATGTCGATGTCACAAAGAATGGACAATTCATAAGCTTTCTTTATCAGACCATTACGTCTTTTCGAGAACGTAACTTGTCGATTCGTTGTGTTTTCTATTCGTTTTATCTCCAATTTCACTCGACCCATGTCTCTTTAATCCGATCAATGCAACACCAAAAAACTCAAAGATTCTTCTTTATTTTTGTTTAGGGAATGCGAAAATCTCATCATTGGAGGCAAAAGTGCCTATATATATATGAGAAATGCATGGCCGAGAGAAAAGAGAACCATGAAAGAAGGAGAGGTTAGGTATAAGAGCGATTTGGTTAGAAATGTATGGAAGAGATTAAGAGAGATTAAAGGGTTTTGTTCTTTGAACGAATTAAGAATGATCTTATATTTTGCCACAAAAAAATCATATAGGAGTATATGAGATGGAATTATATAATAATTTGGTCAAACTGGTGACAATGCACAATATCAGAAATTACCCTTCGTTTCTACTACATCTCGACATCAAAATTGCTTGCTGATGAGATTTCAGGTATAGGAAAAATTAATAACCGGTATAAAACAATCAATTACTAACATTCAGATTAACCAGTATGTCTTTTATTTTGTCAATAATTGGAAATCTACTTAATGGCAACTAGTACTCTTTAATTCAGCAATATCTACTTAATGGTCAAACATTTGATTTTTCTTCAACGGCTATAATTTCCGACCGTTAAACACTATCTCAAGGTGGTTGTGCTTATATATAATCTCTGCACATTGCTATACGTTTGTATTAAGCGTTTATTGCATGTTTAGTTTCACGTAATTAGGAGTTGGGAGTGAAAATCATTATATATATAAAAAATAACAAAACGAAAGAAAAGATGTGTATTAGAGCCAAAACAAAAGATGTAAAATCTTGTTAGGACGGTTTGTAAATGCACCATGACAGCAACCGTTGCGGAACTCTTGATGTTTTTTTTACATGGCCATAAAAGATGTTGATTTCATAGGCAGATAGGCTTATTCCAAAAACAATAGTGGCCGATTTGAGCATCTAACGATTAAAATGTTTATCAAAAAATTTTGAATTAGTAATTAGTAGCTGAAATGTTATTGTTCTCAATGACTACAAAACATATATAAATTTCGTTGATTTAGTATATTGTTGCCGCTACATTTCGTGGTTGTCATTGTCGACAACAAAACAAACATGATCATATATATCGTAATTGTCACTAATAACTATGCTAATTGAGAAAGCATCTATGTGGTTTATCTTGAATTTAAGGCAAAGTAATATAAAAATTAGTGTGAACATACCTTTTTATAAAAGAAAGTTGAATACACCTGAATTATAATAGAAATGAAGTATTAAAAAAAGAAACCGTCTTCTCTCCCAAGCGTCTCCATCAACGATCGAAGACAACTTCTCAAATCTCATTTGTTTTGGCCGGCGTCGGTCTCACCAGCGTCGGCCACCGTTGTTCTCTATTATTTTCTTTCATTGATACTTGCAAAGTTCTAGTTTTATTGGTAAAATGGTGGTGATCAATGTTTTCGGTCCAACGCTCCCAGATCAGATTCTAATCTTGCTTTTGCTACAATTTCCGATTTGGCTGGCGAATCAATTCAACATGATTCCACCGATAGTTTTGACAGATTCATCTCATGGATGTCTCTCGTCCCGTGTTATGTCGACTCGCTCGAATCGTAATGTATCATCATATTTAGAGTTTGTTTCCGGTGGCATGTCTCACCGGCGTCATCTCCGGTTTTCAACCGATGATTTTTCTCTTGTCATATGGCTTGGAGAAGTCATTTGGGTATTTGATCCGGGAATCAATAGACAAACTTTCTCGATTGAAGGAATTGGCTGTTGCGACAACTTCCTCTTTCTAAGGACACGATCTGATGATGATGATGTTCTCGTTGTCCCTCGATCGAATTATTCAGGTTTTATGAAAAAGGAAATCATGGTCACTAACCGGCAAGGATGGGTAGAAAGTTATAAAAGACATGATGCGAAATCATTTCAAACAACATATCAGCGTGTTCGGTTAATCATAGTGATGCGGAAAGCATTTTGGAGTTTCATCTATAAGATGATAGCCTTTTACGAGTATATGAAGAAGGGACTTAACAGATTTCATCTGTTGCCTGTAAGGCTTCCGTTTGGAAAGCAGGATTACTTCCACTTCTTCATCGAAATTGTGTTCAATTTCCTATATTTAGTTCAATGGTTGTATTTGAATGATTTTATGTATCATGTATCATGTAACACATTTATGATATAATATAATTGATTTGCTGTTAAAAAAAAAAAAAAAGAAAGTTGAATCTTTGATTTCATGTTTAATCGGTGGGCTGAAATTACTACATAAGCTATAATTTAAATTTTTATCATAGCTTCTTGTGGCCTGGGTTTTGGTCAATTTAAATTTTTATCATAGCAATTTGAATTGAAAATTGCTATTAGTTTTCACAACAACAACAAACTTAGTTTTCTCAACAACAACAAACCAAGGTGGTTGATAAAATTTGCCAATGAGTTGGTGTTTTTAGCCCAATAAAAATATTGTTTACATAATAAAAAAAAATTCTGTGTTAAATTTTTTTAAAAAAAAATCATAAAAATTAGTTTAAATGTTAAATTTACAATACATGAAAATCAGTTGAACTAATAACATCTCTTACGGACCCGTAAGATGGGACGGGATGCTTAACCCAGTTTGTTTTCGTTGAATTTAATTATATAATAAAAACTTTAATTAAAAACAAAAAACATTCAAAAAGAAACACTAAGCGTGAAAGCCAATTTTTACAAATTAGTTTACATAATTTAAAAATTTAACACTTATAAAAAAAAAACATTATAGGTGGTTTGGATGTTGTATCCAATTACTTTACACAAAAATTTAATACTTATAAATAAATAAATTAAAAAAACATTTAAAAAAACTAAGTGTTAAAGATTTAATTATGTGTAAACCATATTGAACCTAGAACACCTCTTAGGGGTTTGGATGATGTATCCAATTAGTTTACACAAAATTTAAAAATTTAACACTTATCAAAAAACAAAAAACAAAAACATTAAAAGAAAAAACAAGAGTTAAAAACAAAAACATTAGAAAAGAAACACAAAACGTGGAAAACCATTTTTACAACAAGACTCGAAAAAATCAATGAGAAAAAAAAAACTTGGGCCTAACCCTTAAGTGGGCGGCCGCCGACTTATGTTGGAATTCATTTAAATCCCAAAGGGCTCATACACAGAATGGGCCGTGTCTTTTAAAGCCCAGATGATATATCAAGTTAAGGAAGCAGGTGCATTAATTTATAGGACAAGTTCTAAGGAACTCTCTCCCACTAAACGATGTGGGATGTGCATAGTCCTTTATTTTTACGCCGACTTATCAATTTCCTTTTTTCTTTTTCATGGGTCGGATCCAAGTATTCAACTCGGCCCAAAATGAAAGTTTATTAAGAAAGTTTTTTTTGTCCCACATCGAAACATTTGCTAACATCCGAAAGAAAAAAGTTCCCAAAGTGAGTTTGTTCTCTTCTTTAGAAACTCTCTAGAGTCTAGAGCAATGACTTTTAAATTCATATTTACATTCTTCAGTCCAGCTTTTGGTGAACAACGCTAGTTATAATAAAAGACACTTCCTAAGCAAGGAAATGACACATCAAGATATAAGAAGCTTACACAAACAGAGAGTTTCCGATCACCAGAGTCATCATCATCCATTCATCCATCATCTTCATCAACCATATACTTCTGAAACAGAGCAGAGCAGAACACATCACTCACTTCTTTCTCGAATCCCATGTTGTTAGCGTGCCTGATCTGCGATGCAATGCCACTGTAATGGTTCAAGATCACACGAGACTTCTCGCGTCCAACGGAGATTTGAGAGCAATGACAACGAAGTCAAATAATGTCATTAGATAGAAGATTTTATAGCCTTATGCATTGAAAATTGTACCTTTTTCAACATGTGTATATTTTATAAAAACTACTAGGCTATATGATACAACAACAATATTATCACAAACTACTAGGTTATATGTTTTAGTTGTATACTGTTTAATTTGATGCTTACATATATCAACACAAATCGTGGGACGTAGATCTTGCTCTTACATAAATATCTACGGCTTCTCCTACTGTCATATATATATTTTCTGATTTCAGCTTCTCGTCCAATTTTGCTCGCTTCAATTTGTGCAGTACCCTCCATCTGGGACCAGCGATGACGAACTGCAGCCCCCAAACATTAAAAAAAAAAAGAAGATTGGTAAGTTGAATAACCAATGAACCCCACATATGTAACTAGTGAATGAATAACATTTGATTGAGCATAATATATTTTATGTGGGAGAGAAATAAAAAATGTACCTGGATGTCATTAGAAGCTAGCTCTTGATGCAGTTCTTCAAGTGCAACTACTCCTGATGTATCTACCCCAATCACGCCTTCACAAATATTTTGTTACATGTAAGATTTCGTACTTTATTGTAGGATTATAACTTTTTCTATGAATCAGTATCATGATAGAATGTGAATTTGCTTACAAGACATGTCGAGAATTACTACTTGAAGACTATTTTCTTTTGTAACTTCTTGTTCATTCTCCTCTTCTTCTATTTCTTGAACTGAATTCAATATTCTGAAAGAAAAAGTTAAAATAAAATTTGTCAAACTGGATAGAGTTTCATAAGAGTAAGTGAGTAACTAATGATGTTTGACAAAAAAAAGGAAAGAAATATTGATGAATTGACCTGTCTCTAATAAAATTGGCATTGGCAAAGCATAGCAAAGGAGAACTGATTCGAAGAGTCAATAATCCTGGAGTCTTATTAGCCATTGGATACTGATTTATGTCACCAAAGATGTCTGTTTTTGATAACCTCCCTAAGGCCTCAATGTTTGGTCTTATCGAACTCAACATTATTCTTGCAAACGATATCCCCACCTACATATACATTACAAATAACTATATTATAGTCTTATCGATAAAAATTCACAGCTCCATTACTTAGTAAGATCACAACTGATTAAGTTGATCAAAAGGATAAAGAGACACAAGTATCTATACAATAGATATCCCACAGCCAATTTTTCGAAGGTACTTTAAACATATGTATTTGATTTTTTGTGTACTTATTTGCCACTTGAATGAAACATTAAACATTATTGATATTTTGTCGTACAGGGTCTGTCT